ACTCACGAAATTGATTAGAATGTGACTGGGTGAGGCAAAGGCGAGGGAAGGGAAGAAGCAGGGGAGGGAGAATGCGAAGGAGAAGCAAGAGAAAGAGAAGCAGAGCTGGAGTAGGAACTGAGGTAGAATCTATTGCACTGGTGAAGAGGGTGCCATTGGATATGATCGTGAAGATGAGGAAGGAGTCGTTGTCGGAGCATTTGAGGGGGGTGGTGCCGATGTTGAATGATTGAGTTATGTGGGTGATTCTGTATAGGTGGTGGGTTGTCGCTGAGGGAGCCGTGTATGTTGTAAGCAATTAGAAGTACTGACCATCTCAACGAAACAAAACGCTGTGAATGATTACGAGCACGGTAAGAATATGACTACTGCGGATGTCGACAGCTCTTAGCATTCGGTCCTATAGTGTGCATCTGCCCTATATAGTGTGCGCCACGTATAGTGTGGCCACAATGAATTTTTGTACGACGCGATCGCCGTACGATGCGACCGCCGTATAACTCTAACCCAAGTGAACCCTACCAAGACTGACACAAAGCCTAACCCTGTAGCAGAGTGTCGGCATACAAAGATGAATACTAGGGGCACAAGCCCTGGGAGCACTAGCTCGGAGTGGATATGGGGTGAATGTCAGTCTTGAGGCGGGATACACCAGGACACAGGGTCATACTGAGTATGGCGGCAAGAGATTGAGTTAAAGGACTACTCTAAGATACAGGCAGTTCTTATATACATCTTGGACTAACCCTTTAGGGCACGTCTTCACTTGCACACTATAACGAACACTATAGGAATCCTTCATGGATATCCAGTGGACCACACAATGGGCACAATGGGTACAAATAGGACCTGTGTTTATAGAGGGCGAGGTTGGATTCTAAAATTGCCTATTTTGGCAGGTTTAGGGGGATCCATATATGGTAATAGAGAGGGGGATTTCGTCTCCAGCTTCCGAGAGAGGGTGAAAGAAATTAGGGGGATTCTCGACCCAACCTCACAGAAAAAGAGAAAAATTAATAATCTGTCAAAGTATCTAAACTCCCTCATACTGTACTATAAATGATACATCTATCAATCAAGCTTGTCCTCTTCACACTTTTTCTTCCGACAGTCAATGTTTTGACCGCTTGATGAATAATTGAGAGGTCACTGAAGATTCTCGCAAACAGAGAACTAAAGAATGAGGATGAGACCACAGCAAACTGGTCTAATGGACGTAAAACCTGTGTAGCTGGAATGAAGCAGAGAAATGCCGCTGATGGTAAATGTACAAATCACGGTAGACCAAGTGCCTTGGTTGGTCCATGCACATACAGAATCAAAGCTGCTGACCCCCAATGTGCTGCCAAGTTTGAACACAGAGGTAAGAGATCCTGCCGATGGATATTGACGGCTCCTTCTTCCAAGCATGTATGATTTTTTTTACCTCCAGACTTGTGATAGAGTCTGATGACTAAAGATAATGCCAGTGTTCTCATCAGACAAAGGGAAGATCAGAACAAATAGGAACTCACCTTAGGTGAGCATGAGTTGATCTCCAACAAATACAAAACCCCACGAACTGGAGTGAATAGTTGATAGAGCATCGACCTTGGCCATCCAAAGAGTTTCAACTGCTGTAGATTTTGTGAAGGTGATCTGACACTGCTTGAGAATCTGAGCGCATAAAACAAGTAAGTTAATACGGATGCCCAGAGCTGGCATACAGAAGAGCCAAAAAGATGTACCACTTCAGCAGATCTACTCGTTGCCAACTCCACATTTGCACTATTCCCAGCGGTTTTCACTGCCACCGCTGAAGACATCGCAAACCTGTTCACACGGTATCAGGAAATGCATACTTTGCTATCAGCCTGGTTACAAGGTGTCATAGCTATCATATTTGAAAAATGGATCCTATGTAGACCACTACAGATACTATGAGGGGCTAGGAGCTGAGAGAGGAGGTCTAAGCTAATTGGGTAGGACGTAAGAGAGGGAAGTAAGAGAAGACCGGCTAAGTCGGTTAATGAGATAGCTGGACTCCAGAACATAACCAGGAAGTGAATTGGAAAGGAGAAGTGGTTGACCGAAGTAACACATGTTGAACGTGAGGGAACAATCGGAAGTAATGTGCGAGCATAAAAGAAGTAAGAGTCGGGAGAGATTAGAAGCCGTGGCCAAGGGGATGTTTCTGAAGAGGAAGGAAGTGGAGAAAAGTAAGGGAGATTGTAAAGAAAAAGGAAAGGAAAAACAACATATCCGTATGTATGCTCCTTACAACATACCTCCTCAAGAAGATCTGCTGCAGGATGAGGAAGGTACAGTGGATGTGTGTGAATTAGCACGGAAAGAGCTCCTTAGTGATATTGCTAGAAGGGTATTTGATGTATATAGTGCAGGGGAGGGAGACCTGTTACTGAAAATATTTATTTGGAGTGAAGAAGGGGAATTCCATATTGACCACTTCTTTGCTGGACGAACCATTAGAGGCTGGCAAGGCCTCAACAGCTTGAGAGTCTTGCTGTGACGTGCTTTGGGCTATACACGTCACGAAGAATTTGTACCATTGTAAGGGGCTGCTAGGGATACTATCATGACCTTTCATCATTTCCATGCCTTTTTTATTATTTCCTGGTGTGTGCCACAGTTGGGCCACACTTTTCTGAGTTTCTGTGCCACTATGGCCTGGGTTTGGTTGTGTTTGGTTCTGGCTAGTATATAAACCTACCTACTTCCTGTTTTGTACTCTAGTCTTGAGATCGTCAATCTCCCCCCTATACAACCTTTTCCTCGCCCTTGGTGTATGTTTCTGAGTGAGAGATCGCCTGCCAGCAACCCCTCTTTGTAGGATATGGTTGTTCTGGTGTGGTCGTGACAGATACGGGGGTAGCACTCAACATGAGTGGGCCACATCTATCCTAGGTGCCACTTCCGCATAGCTGCTTATCTTGAAGTCCCAGGTGATTAATCTTATCTTATCACGTGCACTTGTTTGCTCCTGGCAAACAAGCCAGATCTTGTAAATATATTCATGGACTCTCATACTGTACTATTTCTATCAATTTGGTGATCACGTGTCACAGGCCCTCCAGAATCAACAAAATGTCACAGCTGTAACATGTCACAACTGCAAGTGTCGAAAGCATCGAGCAGATTTGTGTCCCAAATGGTAATTTTTGATATTTTTCGTCAATTTTTTGCCCAGTGTCACGCGGCTTCGCTGCACTGACAAAACCATTGAGTGTGAGGGGCCTGTCACATGTCACACTGGGTGCCAAATTGATCAAAATAGTACAGTATGTGCATGGCATCTATCTTGTAACCTTCATACCTCCTGGAATATCATCCACACCCTTAACGGGCAGACAGGTACCATTCTCTCAGGCGCGAATACCTCAAGACAAGACCCCAACCTTGTTGGAAATGCACCTCTGATAGCACAGATGGAATAGAGACACACATAAAGGGGTTATGAAGTTACTGTGGCAACAGTGTGTCACGGAGAATAACCCTTTATGCCATCCCTTTCTTTATTCTCAGTTTTACTAGAAAAGAGAAACCTGGTGATAGTAAGACGATGATCATTAGCCAAAGTGGCTGAGCCAGTAAATATATGCGAGAAAACCCAGCAAATTCTGGGGTGATAAGATAAGATAAAACAAACTAACTGAAGACTACAAAATTTGAAGTAATATACTTACTACACCCCAATCAAAGGGGTGTTACACTTGCAGTGAGTTAAGCATCAACGAGCATGTATGAGGATGTGCCGCCAATGTATTTGGGTGAGACGTAAGAGGACGTGAGACATGAGACATGAGAGTCACAAGGGTGCCCATGAATGAGCGGGGTGCGGAGTTTAGGGTAGACGTGGCCCCCTTCCCATTTCCTTTCCTTCTGGCTCAAAATCCTTGGCAGCCTTATCCAGGCTCACCTACATAACAATGTGATGACACAAATTCATTTGCGGGTCATGAATGAGGTATACGGTGTCCGATGACTGCTGCAATAAGGTTTGCTTCATTTTTCTTGTAACTCAGGCTCTTCTAAGCAGTGGGCAAGGGCTCCAAGGACCTCCAAGGCCTTGGATGCCTTGGACGCCTTGGAGTGATTTGCTGTTTTGCTGATGCCTATAGGCCAACATGTCAACCTGTGTTCCAGTGTTCACTGAGACTTTGCTGAGACTCGATGCAAAGAATTAAAGTTTTTCATATTGTGGTAATGCAAAGAGAAAAGGATATGCATGATAATCATCAAACAATTGACACTCAAGAAACCTGACGACTTCTCCTTGACTTTACAATTGTAGAAGATCTATCTAGCGCTATCTTCATGCCTCGAATAATTTGAACAATCTCATCTAAATAAGATAACAATTCTAAGTCTGATCAATAATATAGATAGACAAGTACTTCAACTCACTAGCAGTCTTAGCATTATCAGCCTCAAATTCATACCGTTTATTTCCCCCATCACGGTGAACAGTAAAGCGAAATGATGAGGATGATTTAGCAGATTGCTGACAGGCAACAATGCTATTAATATGATAGGATGAGGTTTTACCACTGTCAAATACAGCTTTTGCTTTGTTTGAAGAGGGCATGATCTTGAAGGACAAATGTAAATACTGACAGTAAAATCAGAGCAATTCAGGCTTACATGAATATAAGCTCCATCAATAGCAAGAACTCTTTCATGTCTGCCCACAAGCATGGGCATCTTTCGGAAAACAACATATTTCTAACAAAGGCTTATTAACCAAGGTCTGAACTGTGGGATTGAATACTCACCTTGTATGCAGCAGTGTAGTCAGCAGCAGGTTGTGATTCTGGCACCTCCGACATACGAGTGAATATAGATGCTGTGCAATAATTAGCATTTTGTGCAGCGCACTGACTGTAATAGGCCTACCATTTGGATCGGTAGTCTTGCCTGTTGTTTTTCCCAGGTCAACACCCAGATGTGGCAGCATGGATCGCTTGACCAACATCAGATCTGATTTCCCCTGGAGACTGGCCACTGTACGGTCCAATGGAATCAATATACTCATGTCACCCAACAATAGTGCATATTCCTTGGGATTCTGCAGTTTACGCTTCCGGCAGACAAGCTCGAGGGATTCCTGCATATACATAGTAGAGGATCTAGTATGAAAAAGGCGGTGAGTATACCAATAGGTACTTCCAGAAGAATTCACGTACACCGGTATGGTGGTTGATATATGCACCGCGTCCGCTGTATCCAACACACGAATACGAAGGAACATCTGTGGTCCATAGATGGGCGACGGCCCAAATGACGTGGAGAATATTGAAGTACCAAGGTTTGACCCGAAAATGGCACTCGTACCCGGCCCAGGAGCAGTAGCCGCAAGTCCTCCGGGTGTGGGCGCATCCAATTTCTTGACCTTAGTGGTGACACGAGAGGGATCGCGCTGAATTTTTGCCTCCAATATCTTATTTTGTTGCACTTTGGCCATGATGAGTAATCGTCGGCCGTTAGGATTTGATGCAGTATTGCGTACGTACCTTGAGTGGCAGTCGCTTCCAGCACGGCATAGAAATCAAACCCAAACTTTGCAATCCTACCAGTCCTGTCGGGCGCTGTGGTGGACTCATCAGACGTGACGAAGATATGGGTGAAGCGAACGACGCACGTGGAAAGTCTTCGTCCACCTCGCCGTCATCTTCGGCTATCCGCATTACCCATCCAACCGCGCTCAAAAGATCCTCCGATTTCTCTGGTTCCTCGTCCAGCCGTGGCTCCCAGCCCTCCTCCCAGTAATTCCATAGCGCGAATCCGAGAACCTCCTCCATCGTAGCATCTTTTCGAACATTCAACAACATGGGCTTGCCCGCCGGTGCCCGAGCACGAGGGAAGAAGATAGTAATTGTAGTCGACGCGGCGGCGGGTACTCCACGACCGGAGATGACGGAATACAAATCCGAGAAGGGATTCGAGGAGTTAGACGAAGCGAGAAGAGAGGAAAGCGCAGATTTGGCTGGTTTCCGGACCACAACCTCTTCGCGGGCGAAAAAGCTCTCAGCTGGAGTGGGCTCCACAGTATTGGCCGAGCGAGAACTCTCAACAGACCTGTCGCTTGTTGTCGGCGGCTTCTCATCATTGGATTTGACCGGAGGCGTCACCATCTCAAAATATCCTTCAATGGGTTTATCGAGAGATGATGCTCCTTCAGTGGTTCGGTCTTCGTGAACCGCACTCAAACGAGATTGACTACTCAACTTCAATTTGTCAACAAAACCTAGTTGTAAGAAGAAATCCGACTCACGAGTCAAAGTCATCTTCGTCTAGATCCAAACCATCGTCCAACTCCACACCATCGTCGAAGTCCTCTTCATCGTCAGCGACAGAAGACTCATCGCCAGATGAAAACTCCTCATCCTGTGATTGTGTATCAACGGAGACCGCGGTTGTCCCTACGGAATTAGATAAAGGGGGCGAAGTCTCTCGAGCGGTCTTTCCTTGGGATGGTAATGGAGCTGAGGTTGCTGTGATGGAATCATCCGCAGCTGGATTGTCCTTTCGGGTGCGTGGATGGGTTGAGAACCTGGCAGAACGTCTGGCCGTTGTAGAACGTCTGTCTCCGACCCTCATTCCCATGAAACCAGTCCTCGAGGGCCCTAAGATCGTCTGAGTGTACTTCAGCCCAGTCGCGCCAGGGAAACCGGTTACATTGCGTGAACGAAGTTGTTCGGTCTCATCTTCGGAGAGGGGTGGACTAGACGGAGCAGCAAGTTCAGGCCAGCGTTCAAGGTCTGCTAAAGAAGCAGCGGCTATGTATGGGTTGGAGGAGAACGAAGGGTTCAAAGATATGAGGCGAGCGCCATAAGGATCATCGACATTGCGGAGGTAGTTCAGGCGCAGATTATGGATGAGAAATCTAAGAGTTGATCAGCCTCTTGACTTTTATTGTTGTCGTGAGGACATACTCTGGATCGTTGAGAAGAGACATTGTTTCGCTGGACAGTGGTGGTAAGAGTGAGAGAGTGAGAGACGCTGATCTGACGAATTCCTGATGTGGCACGTGTGGCGTGCGGTGCGTTTTCCGAAGAGTAATATAATATAGGTAATTTAACGAGAGGACTACACGATTTGACGAGATAAATGATGTTAGAGTCTACTGTACATAGTAACAAGTATTGGTATATGATATAACATATGTAACCTCAAATCCATAGATAGACAAGAAATCACGGCGTCCACATAGGCAGCACGCTTCCTACATCGGCGGAAGGTCTATAAGAACCGCGCAAAGATGCCTGCGACCTCGGTCTCCCCATTTCCATCGATTTCTCACTCTCGATCTCCTCGAAACTTCGCACTAAATCCTTCACGCTGGAACCACTACTCCTCCTGGCCTGAGATGTCCTTGCTACCGGTTGAGTGTGTTCAATCGGCGGCGAGACGGGGCGCAGCTCTACTAATCGCTTTGGTTCCTGCTTGTGCCGAACCTGCAAGCGCGGGATTCGGGATGGCTGGAGGTTGACCAATGACTTCGGGTGGGCGGGCTTTGGAATCGGTTTGCTGATAGGTGTGTGGACCGGTCCACGCGGCTTCTCAAGGATTTCCGGCGGCGGGAGAGGCAGACCAGGACGACGCTCCTCCTGAGGTTTCAGCGTTTTGGCACCAGGTTTCGGTTTAGCTAGGGTTGGAAGGTAAGACATGAAGTAGGTCTTCATTCGGTTCCGAAGGCCAGGTGACGGCTGCGGCACTGTGTCCAATGTCGATGGTTCTTCGGAGACAAGCGACGAGGGTGGAGATGCCGTCTCGCTCGATGCTCCCTCATCAGTTGATATAGAGGCAGAGCCAGATGACACGGAAGCGATAGCGTTGGTGGGGGATGTGTTGGCGATGGAAACAGTCTCCTCCATGAGATGAGAGTATTGCGGAGCGTGAAGCATCGCAGGGAGTTTGCCTCGACTTGGGTCCGCCTGACCAAATACGAACGCAGACGGCAGTGGCGGTCGACCCTCTGACCCAAAGAAAGATCGTCGCGAAGCTAGAGGCGTGAAATCTGGGACGATGGGGGTCGAAACCCTACTGTTTGATCGTAATCCAACTGGTGTCGGGGGCGCTACCTGTCCAGTATTCTGCTTCTTCTGTAAAGCCTTTGCGCGTGCGAACAGACCATCCCTATATGATGGGAATAAGTCTCTCTGCTCGATTGAAAAAGAAACAGAACGAACGAACTTTGTCCACGATGCGCCCATACGCCTAATAGCGTCCTCTCCGCCCATCAAAGTCACGAATCGCTTGATAACCTCCTCCAAATCCACGGTACCAGCATCCGCCATAGCACCGTTTCTCCCCGACGCAAGCCTCTCATCCGTGAAGCAGGCGTCCAGTAGCTTCCAGTCGTTCTTCATCCAATCTCTTGGCCCAGCTGTGTCGATATAGAGCGATGTCTCAGCCCATGTTGGTCGCGCACGAAGACCAGAAGGGGCCGGTGTAAGGAACGGGTCTCTTCGCCAAGAAGTCTTCAGCGCCCTGGGCGTACTGTAGCCAGCTTTGCTGGACGGGCTGTCCTCCGCGCGGGCAGTAGTCAAACTGACCTCTGCCTCGTGAAGTAGTTCAGGAAGCGTCATGGACGGGCTGTCTGGCATCACGACCCGTCCATTGATGACACCACCCATCGTGCTCCAACGTACTTTCTTCGCCTGCTGAGGAGAGAGTGCCTTGACGATACCGGAGCCTGCAACGTCCGCCCGACGTGCACTCTTGAGAAGACTATCGACAGATGAGTGGCGCTGTCCGCTTCTCTTCGCCTTCTGGATCATGTCATAATCGTGCTATGACCATTGAGGGCGTTGGAATTAGCGCAAGACCATGAAAGTCATATAATAACGACACACCAATTTAAGGATAGCAGCGGCTCGAGCGGCTGCCCGGGGATCGTCGCTGACGATCTTCACAATACTTGCGTCGCCCTCGTCGCCACTTTCATCAGAAGTGAAATCGTCCATGTCATAGATTTCATCTTGCGAACCCTGAATCCCTGGCGACTGATCATCGGCACGGGAGTTTGAATGTCAAAATCCATCATATACGAGCAAAGGGAAGAGAAACGAAATACCTGTGTTGACCGATGTTCTTCGTGAGCGGGGTGATCATACAGGGGGTCCACCGATAGCTCTCTGTCCACAGACGCCTCTTCCTCATCCTCCTCCTCATCCACTGACCCCTCACGCGCAGACCAGCCTGGCGAAGAAACGTCATGCTTGGTCTGATATAAATCGTCTTCATGGCCCGGTGACGACTGTCTTTCTTGCCGGGATAAAATGTCATGTGTTTCGAAGCTTTGGGACTCTTCAGCAGGTTGCGAGACATAAGATTTGTCGCCGAAGGAAGTGTCTCCAGGCCCGCGGTTGTCCGTAGGCTCAGAAAAGCTGAGGTTCACATCTTCGTGGCCTGAATCGAAGGAGGCGCTCCGGGATAAAACGACCTCGTTGCCGTCCACCTGCGATTGAACGCCATCTTGAGGTATATGTATACCGTGAAGTTCGCGATGATCGTGTTCAATGGAGTCTTCCTGTTCGAAATGGTCATCACCTTCGTTCTGCCGCGAAGTGAGGGGCTCGAAGTCGCTCGAGAGATCGTTTGCCTCCAAAGATGGGCCCTCGTCAGCATAATGGTTGGGCTCGCTTTCGGATAGGTGTGGCGCGGCTTCAACCTCGTCCTTGTAGTCGTCGGAAGAAGGACCGAGCAATGATGAGTGACTTTGGGGACCATCTTCTTTGTTTAACGAGTCCTGCCCAATCGACATAGAATCGTCCATCTGTTCGTCTGTATCGGACTTCTCCAGGTCCTGATTCCTCACAGGCGGAGCATTGTCTTCATGCTTTTCTTCCATAATCCGCTCATCATCGGGATCCAGGTCTACTTCGCTCGTCAGGCTGACTTCAACTTCTGAATCGTCCATAATGTCCGCATCTGCTTCGTCATGCCCGTGCACCTGTTCTGATTGTTCGTCGTCTTGGTTCTCACCCTCTTCCTGCTCCTCCTCGACCTCATCAGCGAATGAAACTCTGCGCCCCCTCCCCTTCTTCCCTGGAAAGGGACTGATAGGCCGACCCCATGTCTCCATCCTCCACTTGGTAGTGCTCGTAGGTGGATCCATCTTCGTCGGGACAGACATGATGGTATATCTCCCTGTGAACTCTCCCTCTCCCTCCACCTCGTCAATCCGTCCCTCCCCCTCGTCAGAGCTGGACCCATCATCGCCATCAACACCCGTGGAGAAATCGAAAATCGGTCCTGGACTGGGCAGCTCGTCATCGTCCGACTCTTGGTGGAGAGAAAAGTCCAGGCTCTGATTCATTTCGAACGTAGGTGAGGGCGACCTGGCGTTCGTTGGCCCAACGGGAGAGGACTCCAACACCGGCGTATCCCTTGAGCTGATGTTCTCCTTCAGAGGCTCTTTCTCCTTAGATCTCCTCATAATTGGCCTTCCATGCAACAAGATCGGATCGTCCGTGGGCGAGGGTGGGGGCGCAGGTTTGGTGAGGTCGATGTCTGGAGGTTCTTGTTTGATCTGTAATTTTAGGACTTTCGTCCCTGCGGCGGATTTGCGCGTCACCGTTTTTCGTTTGCTTGACTTGGGCACTTTCGGACAAAACGTGCGGGCAGAAACCGGGGTCATGATGATCTCCCGTGGTGGGGTGAAACGTTCTTTAGGGTACTCGTATGTGGGAGCCGGAGTAGATGAGCGAGCACGGCTGGGTGAGTGCTGTCGCATAAGATCATGGCTTGGATGCGGGTAGTCTGGTCCAGAGTTTAGTTCATTTGATGTCTGAGGAAAACGTTTGGTGGGCGACTTCGAGCCTATCCGTGAACGTGTCGGTGAGTTTTCGTGGCGTGGCATCTGGTATCGCGGATGGGGAGAAGGGGCGCGTGCGCGAGTAGGTGAAGAGAGTACACCTCTGTCAACGATTGTTCTTGTTTGCTTGCGAGGTTTCGGATTAGGTGTGTTCTCGACAGTTATATCTGATATATAGGTATCGCTGGGAGATCTACCGGTGGAGATGGCGGAATCAAGAGTGGGGACGTTGAGTCGTTTCCGCTTCCCAGACCCAGATGTAGAGCTGCCATGTGGAGATGAGGTCACCGAGGTAGAGTGCTCATTCGAGTCCAAGCCCGGCTCAGGGCTGTATCTAATGACCTGAGGAAGGTGAGGTTAAGCGTATGCCAGGACGAAAGTAACTGCGCATGACGGACTGATTGCCTGCTCCCACTGGGTCTGATACTATCTTCTGGTGGCGGGCTAATCAGGGTCTTCGCGGCGTCCATCTCGAGCAGGGTCTGAGAATTCTCTGGGGTAAAGAGGCCGGACGAGAAGACGTCTTCGGGTGTCTGCTGTGGTCTGACGGACTTGGAGTTTCGACTGCGGTGGCGTGTATTGGAGCCTGTATCATCTTGCATAGGATGTGGAGGCATCTGTGAAGTGAACGAAGAAGGCGCGGCGAACACGATTCCGACGAACGAGCTCAAACGCGCTCACGTGACCACGGTCTCCCGGTCCGCGCTAATCAATATCGATCGCAACGCGTCCAGCGTCGGTCTTTTGAGAGGCCTTCACTCCCAGTGGCCCTCGAGGGCCCTGCAGCCTCAGGGGCTCTTATATACCCCAGCTTTTGCTTTTAACCCCACACCCACTCCTTCCCCGCATTCCACCCTCCCATGTCTGCCACCACTCTCCTCGCCGATATTCGCAGCCGCGTCGTCGTAGACGTGGATTCAAATGACTCTGCCGTCGCCGCTCGCCACACAGACGGTACAGTCAAATTCTGCGACATGACCTCTAATCAAGCCATCGTACACGGCGAGGCGACTAGGCCTGAGCAGAAAGCCCTTCTTCTCAAGGCCATCGACAGCGGTCGTACGGAAAATGCGCAAGCTATCGATGACCACCTTGTCGACAACATCATCGATCACTTTGTATGCCCTCTCTGCCTTGTCCTCAGATATATTCGTGTACGATAATAAGCCGTTTTTCAAATAGACAGTACTGTTGGCCACGACCGTATATCCTTACCTCACCGGGAGCGTGCATGCCCAAACGTCGCCTGCCTTTGCCTATGATACTGAGAAGACTGTCGCGCATGCTAAGCGCTTGGTTTCTATCTATGAGGCGAATGGGATTCCCAAGTGCTTCGACCTTCATCGTCACAATTACCGTCGGTGTACTAACAACCCTGAATAAAGATCTAGAGTATGTATCAAAATTCCGTCGACTCCTGAGTCGATTGTCGCGTGTCAGTACCTTGAGAAGATCGGTATAAGGACTCTCGCCACTTGTCTCTTCTCTGTCCCACAAGCTGTGGCCGCCTCACAGGCTGGCTGTCTTTATGTTGCACCATACTTCAACGGTCGGTGTCCTTTCATTCGTTTGGCATTCAACGAAGGAATCTAACTCCGCCCATAGAGCTCCGCGTACATTTTGAGCCTTCTTTGTGGCGTGAATACAAAGACACTGCGTCCGAACATCCAATGGCTATCGTCATTTATGACATCGTCGAGACGTACAAACGCATCGGGTCGAAGACTCTAGTGATGCCTGCCAGGTCAGTCCCGTTCCAGAAACTTTCAGAAGCCATAAACCGACCATACTCTCTATGCTGTGTCTAAATTCTAAAATGATATCCTTTATCACACAGTATCGTCACCGCTGCTGAGGTATGCAGGCCATCTTCAACCGTTCACACTGTAACAGTAAACTGGCTTATCGTCTTCTCAGGTCTCCGCGCTTGCTTCACTTCATCCCGACCACCTCACCCTCTCCGGCTCAGTCCTCGACCAACTCGCCGCCCTACCCGCTCCATCTCCGTCTGAATCAGCCGCACAAGTTACCTTGACCCCGGAAGCTCAAGAACCTGAAACCCAGCGCCCCTCGGTCGAGTTATCCGCCCCACCCGCGTCCGCTGAGACAGCAGACGGTTCGAGTACGAATAATTCAATGGTCAATCACCGGGTATCACGTACTCAAAGATATATTTTTATGTAGCCAAGGACCGAGTATCGAGCACTTCCTCTTTCCCGGACTACCTGGCTTCATCTGCCGCTCCCCTCCGCGAAGCGCTCGCGGTCGACGCTGAAAGTACCCGGAAGCTGGCCGATGCGCTGAAAATTTTCGGCGAAATGGAAAGTAAGCTGAGGGAAATCATCAAGGCGGAGCTGACGAAGGCGTGAAGTCAAGGGATGTTGCTGTATATAGATTGAAAAAGTCTGGGGAAAGTTGTACGACATCACTGTGGATTGCTCGCCTGCTCTCCTGAGCCATGAAAATATCTGAGGTTCGGACCGTGGAGTTTACGTCGCGCTTCTTTGTTCGAGATTACACGGCGGCTAGACAAATGTACAGCTTATTGCGGTGGATTCCCTCCACATCAGTGCAGAACAGGCATTAATTGGAGGCAACTTCAAATCGGGTTCGTATTACGCGTGTTCAAACTCCGTGGCTAAACATCCAACCAGTCCTCGTTTCCTATACCTTTTTCACCCTGTACTTGCTTTCAAAACGCCTTATCCTCACACCTATTCTCAGCACACTCAAGCTGTACGCTTCGTCCGTCCAGTGCACGTTCGATCGATCGATAATATTGATCGTGCTCGTCTTCAGTGCTATAGTATCAAGAGCTTCGCCGGGCGTGTTCGCTGCACCTGGCGCTCCTGTCAAGACCGGTACGGGGATTGAGCTGGAGGCCACCTCAGATGGAAGTACGGAGGCGAGAGACGAGGTGGATCCGGCGCTGACATAAACCCTGACGAGGCTTTTGTGGGTATCAGTGTCGTGGACATACGGCAGACCAAGACACGGCTGAGCTTGAAAGCGTGATCGAGAGGTACTCGTCACCACGGTATCAACTGGAGAGCTAGATCGTGTTACACGGGATTCAAATCACTCACTTTATCAAAAACAGATAGCCTTACCTGCTAGACATATGTAGTAGCTCGTCGAGCGATACTATAGCACCAGCACTGTCGGAACACCGACTACATCAAACGGATCAAAACGGCGAGCATTACCCATTGTGAGCTTTTGACGTGCTGATACAGAAGACCACCGATCACGACTGACCGTGACAGACGCGCACGAGGATATGTCATCGACAGCAAAGCAGAGAGGAACGCTATGTCAGAACTGCCTGGAAGCGCAAGCATAGCTCACCTTGATCACCGGTATCGACTGTTCTATTGGAGGTATCGAGATCCTTTTTGAGCAGAGCAGTAGGGCCAGAGATAAGTACTACGCCAGTCTTTCTGTCGTGCCGCGGAAACGCATTCCGCCATAGTACTCAACACAAAGTAGTAGCCCAAGACAGTGGTGTACGCTAAGCGCCGCTACATTATATTGGGCTGCAGCCTGGTGAGCGAGCTTCGTTTAAGTAGGGCCCACGGCCGTGCCATTGGCAGACCTTCAAACCGCGACCAGCACAAGAGGAGCACAAGTGGAATCTGTAAGGCACGTTGAATCGAAAAGTACGTGAGATCGTAGTGGGAGCAGGCTTTGCAGAACGACACAATTTGGACGCAGCGCATAATGTCGGTTCGGAGTCTGAAAATAAGTCCCACGGTTGAATAATTGAGACGTGGACTTTGTCTCGCGAACAAACGTTGCCTGAAACAGTACTAGCGACTCAAAGTGCGAATACATCGTTGCCAAGTGAGTGTATCGCCGGCTACTCCATGGACCTCTGCTAACTATAGCAAAAGCTATCACTATATCTTGTTTAGTTGCTACACCCTTTCATTCCATCTCGGTCGTTAGCTGCGACCCCTTTAGTCCAAGTCAGAGTAACCATGCCTCGTCGGAAACGACAGCACTCAGATACCTCATCCGACTCTGAGGGAGAGTATATACCTCAGAATAGTACTGGAAAACGTAGCAAGCCGAACATTGCTCGAAAGTCAAGTAAACGCTTGGCTGCCAACGCGGGCGACACTGAGCCACTTGGACCAGAAGACACCCCGTCATTATCGAAAGCAAGGCCTCACTCTCGGACACTTCACACCATCTCATCCTCCAACGATATTCGACGTGCGTTGACGGCCTGGTACGATGGCGTTCGGGATACTCGTGGTATGCCTTGGCGCAAGCCATATGATGCGAGTTTGGGCCTCGAAGAGCGAGCACAAAGGGCTTACGAGGTATTTATGATGTCAAACCGGACTTTTTCGCATTTATGCTAACGATTGCAGGTCTGGATATCTGAGATTATGCTACAGCAGACACAAGTCGTTACGGTTATCCCATATTACAACCGTTGGATGCAGCGGTGAGAACATGGTGCTTGAATCCGTATCTTCCAAAGATGTTGATTCGATTTAAATAAGGACAGATTTCCCACAATCAAGGACCTAGTATGCGCTCCTCTACGGAATCACCGGGTCTTGTCTAATGAGCATGGTCGTTTAATACAGGCTGCCTCCGATATAGACACCGTCAATAGTCTATGGACCGGGTTGGGATACTACTCTAGAGCTGCTCGTTTACTCGCAGGTGCTAAAAAGGCTGTCTTAGAGCTGGATGGACGACTCCCGGACAAAGCCAAAGATATGGAATCCAAAATACCCGGCATTGGTCGCTACAGTGCCGGTGCGATCTGTTCCATAGCGTACAATGAACAAGTACCCGTGGTAAGATATTTCGCTCGTACACGCACTCTCGGACTGATACCTTCTATGCTCCAACCCCTAATTCTTAGCTAGACGGGAATGTGAATCGTCTTTTAAGCCGTGTGCTTGCTCTCCATGCCCCTCCGAAGAGTAAAGCAACGCTCGACCTTCTATGGGCAGGAGCTGAGGCTATGGTCCGTGGCGCTCTTTGTCCTGGTGACGTCAACCAGGCTCTTATTGAGTTGGGTAGTACTGTGTGTAAACCGAGAAACCCAACCTGCGGTGACTGTCCAGTGCAACCTTGGTGTACGGCCTATCAGGCGGCTAACAAGGTCAGTTCATCGCTGTTGTAACCGGGAGTTTCGCTCAAGACTGTGATGGCTAGGTGCCAGATGCGAGCACTCTGGATATTGAGGACCTTTGTACTCTCTGCGAGCCTGTATCATCTTGGGGACAAGACCAATTGGGGCCTGATGTGACCTCATACCCGATGAAGATAGAACGCAAGAAGCAACGTGAAGAACAAGATATAGTCAACGTCGTGGAATGGAGGAACAAACACAGTCGTTTCTTCCTCCTCATACGACGTCCCGAAGGAGGTAAACTACCTCCTTTTCCCTTGTGCCCTTAGTCGAATATAAGGCGCTTATATTCATATTACGACTTGCTTATAGGGCTTCTCGGTGGACTTCACGAGTTTCCAACTCTGTCTAACATTGATGCAACAATGTCTCCATCGGAGATCAAGAACGTCCCTGCGAGGTTGTTGGCTACACTCTTGAAGGCTCCGCCCCATTCTCTTGCCGAAGCCGTAGTCGCTCCATCTGATCCAGTCACATCTATGGTTGTGCAAATCACGCCCGCCGGGGATGTTGTTCACGTCTTCTCACATATTCGCAAGACATATCGTGTTCAGTGGGTCGTTCTTGAAGGTGGAGAATCGACTCCCCCCGAGCTTGAAGAACGTTTGCCGGTGCCTGTAGAAGGGCTATCGAAGAAAAACTTGCGTAAACCGAAAGCGACCACCAAGTCGAGTAGTTCGAAAGAGTATGTGGCCCCGAGGCTAGATGGTGCGCAGGAACAGAAGGGTGGTGATGGTGAGAAGTCCGTGATGGCGATGTGGGTGCCGTTGGAAGACGTTGAAGGGTCAAAGTATGTCCACTTTCTGTACTGTCGGCTGACCGTCACCTCACATCGACTTTAGCATCGGCACAGGAGTCTTGAAGATCTGGAAGCTCGTTAGGTCTCTATGGAGCGACGTGGGCAACTAGGGGTATTTGAAACAGCCACACGTTCAAAGCTCCAGCCTGAGTATACGACGTCGTCCACCAGGGCAGCCAGGGCTTTTCATACACGGGGAATGGCAGCGTGCCTCGACGATTCCATACGAGCTTCGAATCGTGTTCGGCGTTTTATCTGGCTATCGTTCTTCGCTTCCTCATCTGCATCACAATGCCCACCTCCCTGGAAAATAGTCAAAAACCTTGTCCCTACGCGGCTCGATGGAAGAGCTCGTTCTCTGCCGTGTGGTGCTGCAATATTCACTCTTTATTTCCTGGCGTGTTTGGATGTCTCCCGGCGGATCGTCACACATTCACACGCCAACCTTCTTGGTGGAACTCTCGACAGCTTAATTTACATCGATGCAATGTGTGGTGTTCCTGACTGACTTTGTCCTTACTCCTCAGGCACTTCGGCTGTCATGAGTGTATGTAGCGCCTGTATTATGACATTGCACACGCTTGTGGGTGCCTGTTTGGCTTTTTTGAGAGTCGCGGCTCTGGGCCCGGTAAAATCCCCCTTAGAAACGACGAGTTACCCGATGCGTCACAAAGAACACAGGGCGTGGTCGGCAAAGCGTTGCTTTTCAACCTTCCGTTTTGGGACAGGCGTTTGTCGCGTCACCCATTTGTGGCCCAAGTATCTACCAATATGGCTGGCATCTTGCCTTACTAGGGCTCCGGAATTCCCTCCGCAGGCAGGCCTGGATGGTCGTCGGTGAGAACGGGCGGTTTCGTTTCGAGTATCTCCTCGAAAGTCTACAATGTTCATTTGTCGGTCTCGGTTCTTTTCTCCATTGCCCGATCGACCTCTAATTGGCGTGTCCTGGGCAAAGTTCTCACCCGCATACGGTATAAAGGAGGGCCTTGCCTCGTCCCTCTTCCTTTTTCCTCAGCGGCCCAAGCACACTCAACCACTCTTTCGCTTTCTCTCCACCCCCCCTTTTGTAACCCTTTTTCGTGATGCGTCCGCGTTTCACCTCCGCACTCTTTCTCGTAATCTTGTTTCTACAGTGTAAGTCGGCCTTTGACGTTGCATTCTTTTTGTTGCTGATGAGCCTTTGGTTCTTTAGTCGCTGGCTTTGCATCAACCGCTGCCTTGCCACCCCATGCGGGTATGACTTGGCAGCGAATGTCAATAGCGATCGGAAGGAGAATGTGTTTCACCACCTGCAGGATCGTCGAGGACCCGGTAAGCATTCACTACACTGTCGAGAGATTTTCGAAGACTAATCACCCTGTTTTGTTTGTTCCCGAAAAGGCAAACCACGACATTCAACCTGTGGCTGCCACGTCCACCATCTCTGACACCGGCTCTGCCTCTACTATCATCGACGACCCGAGCGTCACATCATCCTCAGTCGCTCCTGTCTCGACTTCCACATCCGATAACGATACCTCATGCTCCACTCCGGAATGCCAGGTGCTGTCCGAGTCCACCAGTGCATCGAGCGTGTCTGCGTCCACACCCTCCATCATCAATCTCTTCGTTTTTGGGCTCACTGGTGCTAGCTTGTCTGTCCTTCTATCCTTCTTCTAAGCTCCGAGGCCCTCTCCTCGATTTCGTTCGTAGTATTGCGAGCGTCAAGCACAAAGAAGTCTGTCCAGACCTGTTGTAGAACGAGTGTACCCCGAATTCCCGACCTTCCTGTTTCTGCGCCCGCATCCTTCCCCACCTACAGACATCCAACTTCTCGATCATCAGCCCTTTCACTACAGTACTACTAGGACTATTGGTGACGAACGGACCCTCTCTGTTTCGCGCTCCGACGGATAAAGATTATTCGTACATATAGGGACTGTCGAATGCCGACTTAGATCCAGGAATGCTGTAGCTTTACATACCCCACCCTAACCACCCCAGTCTACCCACGGATCCCGTTGTTTTCTATAATCGATCGTGTACTGCCATCAAGCTCTAATGCGTCTTCCAGGAGTTGTACGATTATAAAGGCGGAAGTAGATGCGCGTATCTGTCTGTACTATTAGTATCCATCCAAACCAGGCACTCGTAGAGCTGGTCTCTACGCGGTTTGCTGTTGCTTTTTCGTAGAAAATCAAATTAGACACTTGTCATCTTCAAATTCCCACCTCCACATTGCCACATCGCCACAGGCATACTTAACATTTTCCCTGCGACGTAGGGTGTTTGCCTCCATCGACTCTTTCGAGCGTGATTGTTCACCGCCGAAGGACAGTATACATTGCATCAGAGAGATCCACGAAACGAGATAAAAACAAACAAAACGAATATGTCAAACGTCCGGCAGACGGCTCCTCAAAACATCGCCTTCACCCTATGCGAATTACTCAAGCGCCAAAAGCTTGTGAATAATATTTTCTCTCTGGATATGTGAACGAACCCTTTTAGAAGTTCTTCTTCTTTTCGTCCACTGACAAGCCTCCGGGGCCCATGTTCACGAGAAGAATCAGACCGCCAACGATCGCTGCGCGACCAAAGGCAAAGTCGAAATGAGTAAAACAAGATGTCGATGTGTGCAACCGAGGCGAAAGACGTACATAGTGTCTGGAAGAAGTCGTACTTCAAGAAGTCCCTGGCGGGGTGAGCGGAATTGACGCTCCACCAGTTGTTGACGGCGACATTGAAGATGCTGAGCAGTATGACGAGGAATGAAGCGGACCACTTGGCCTTGAAGCCAATGGCAACCATGACGCAGGCGACGAGACCGATGAGGGATACGAAGGCGCGGCCGATGGACCATTTGCCTTGGATGATGAAACCGATGAAGAGGAAAATGAGGAGAACACGTCCGGCAAGGAGGAAGCTGTCACAAATGAGCGTCAGTGCCTGAGGCCGAAACAGCGGATTCGGGTGCAAGAATAGGACGGGGAAAGGCTGAAGGTCTGTGAAAGAAGTGATGGGAAACAGAAAGGAGCGAATGAGAAACTGACTATTTCTTGCGGTCGTTCTCGCTCATGGAAGGAAGACCAGCGAATAGTTTCTTGCGGGTGATCATCGAGTCGGAGAAGACCATGAAGAGGCCGCCAATGACGGAGAGGTTACGAAGGAAGAAGTTGAGGTCAAAGATGAGACCGTAGCCGAAGCCTTGTGTGATGACCACGCCGAGAAGCCCAGCGCACGCATATTCAGTGTGCCGTTTTGTGACGACCGCTCCCGAAGCAACGAGCATGACCTGAAGACGTGGGATGTGAGCGACAGGCGCGTCAAACAAGTAGGCGGGAATAAATCGGCCCCGACTTACTATGACGTTCAAAAGGAGGAAAGTATGGGAGAGGCCCCAGGGGAAATGTCTGTGTCTGGAAGAGCGAAGTGAAGTAAATGGTCAGTAACAACAAACCTTTGAGCCTGTTTCTGCGACATACCTCTGGAGGTACCAGATCTGGTCACTCCACTGAGTGATGATCCTCAGAGCGTCCTCGAGGAAGGTGACAATGATCATGAACCTGCCAATGGCGGGGAGGTGTGGTTTGAGTGGTTGCGAGTAAATCTCGACGTTTTCCTCGACCATGCTCGCGTAGACGCGAACCTTCTCGAGCGGGTCGTCTGGGTCGGCTGCCCTGTATCCAGCGGGGGAGCGTGTGTTGCCCATGCCGTGCGGGTCAGAGCGCATTTCTGGGCTGTAACCGCCAGTGTTTGGGCGTGCAATGCTGATGCGTGAAGTCATGGCGAGTGCAACAGATAGAAAAGCAAAGGAAGGAGAGGTGCCAGAGGCCGAGCGAGGGACGGTGGTGGTGTTGACGGAGCTGAAGTACGTGGCAGCCACTCGTATGCTTCCGTGCGAACTCCGTTCCCATCTGGTCTTCCAACCGCCACATCACCTGCAGGGCCACATTCTGTCATAGCCTCGCTTTTTCAGTGCTCACATCAGACCTTGATACCAGGCATCAAGGCTCAAAACATGGCCAAGAACATGTAGGTGTATAGCTGCATGACTAATACTCTAACATGATACAGCCCACAGACTCAGATCGAGAACTCGTCCTCTGGCTTAAAGTTCTTCGCCATGTCCCAATATCCCGCCAGCTTCGTCCCGAGAACCTCCCTGGCCGATGCATCCGTAGGACACGTCTTCGGCCTAAAGTTCGTGAACGCCCTGTCCCTCAACTGCCCCTCCCATACCATGTCACACCGGTTATCTACCAACGACACCTCCGGGTCATCCGTCTTCTTCGTGTCTTCCACAGCGGAGGGGCCTGCGGCGGACGCTTCTACATTGTCGCCGTCCAGAACAACGTCCTCAGTACCTCGAGCTCGAGCGGCCTCCGTCCATGCGATACGATGCGTCAGGAGTCGCGTGTAGTTGCGCACGAACTTGGCAGCTCCCTCAACGTACACCATAGAGAAAGTTGGGTGGAAGATTACCACGCCTGTGAGGTTCATCTGCTCGGCATTCTTGCGAACCTTGAAACGGTGGGCGGGGTCGGAGAGCGTCTTCACCCTAAGAGTTCGTAAAAATCAGTCGCTGTCGCGCTTTCCTAATGGAAGGTTCAGCAACATACTTGAAAACAGCACCATAGATACCCTTCTTCTCTTCCTCTACTTTCTTCGTTTCCACCTTCTCCCTCCTCTGATCGTCCGTCAACTTCCTCTCCGCATTCATTTTCTCGTGACCGTGTTTGCGCATTGCAACCTCGCGTCGAACACGAGCCTCTACCCGCGTAGGATCCTGCACAGCATCCGAGGTGAGCACTTTCATTAAGTTTGCCAGGCGAACTTTCGGGGGGTCCGGAGGTATGAGACCCATCCGGATGCGATCGCGTTTGTCTTGCAGTTCAGCCTGACGACGCCTCTTGCGCATCTTCTTCCGTTCCTAGAGCAGACAACTCATCGCCCAGAAGCGCGCAGAGGTCGCTGCTAAGATTGCGGCCATGAAGAAACCTGGAGGACCGGCCATCTTTGCTCAACAACCCACTGCCACTTCTGTCGCCGCTCCACCATCGCGCGCCCCGGCGCCAGCTGCAGGCCTCTCCGATGACCTTGCCAGGAAGATCGCCGAAGCGAGGAATAAGGTCACTGAGGCTCAGCGCAAGCTCGCGATCAAGGACAACCCGTACATGGTGCGTAATACCATCTACCCTACTCACTTGGTCTTACTCACTTGCGCTCTAGTCCATGCCGCAAACCGGGAAGAAAAACAAGCCCGTGGAACCGTCGCAGCAAGGTGCTGGGCTCAAGATGACTGCACATCCTCTTTTGCTCGACACTAGCGTCCCTGCGCCACAGTCCAAAAAGGACCGTTATAAGCCCATGCAGCCGAAATTCGCCTCCATCCGTGCGAACACACGAAACGCACCCTCGCCGTCTCCCGCACCGACACCCACACTCCCGTCTACTCCCAAAGAGAATCCCTACGCTGCTGCAGCTGCGGCCACAGATACGGGCTTTGAGGGTGCACCGAGGGAGAGGGTGGGGAGGAGTATGAAATTCAATCCGAAGGGTAAGTATGTGGCTGTCGCGAACCAGATGAGACAGGACGCGCAGCTAGAGGCGTTGAAGCAGAGGATCGCGGAAAGCGCGAGGAAGGCTGGCTTGGACACGGAGTTCGATACTTTGGAGAAGAATATACGAGTACGTTTGTTCAGTTCTTGTTTCTTTCGCTGGCTTGTCCTAATAGAGGAACATCTCACTTCAGCGCGAGGCGCCACCTGATGCAGAATGGTGGGACGTCGCTTTGTTACCCAACAAGCACTACGATGACGTTTCCAACTTGGATATCGGGCAGTTAAATATTCGAACGGAGAGCTCGCCTATCACCATATATATCCAGCATCCAATTCCAATTGTTGCCCCTAGCGATAAGAACAGCATCGAGGCCAAGCCTCTAATGTTGACGAAAAAGGTACGTCTCCATGCCTTCCGTGCTGCATTCCATTCTTAAAGTTTTTCCGTGGCTGGGGCTGACGCCTCCTTGGAAACCTATACATTACGACCTGTTAGAGCATAGGATCGACCACAAAGTCAATAAGTCCACTTACACCTGACGGACCACCAAGACCATTAGGGGGAGTCTGGAAGGAAGGAAAGAGGTTATAGAGGCGACGTCAGAAAGAGTGGTAGCAAGGATATTCACCTTGAGAGCGGATGAAGGGAAGGGTACTCACGGCGATGTCACTGTGAGGTACAACGTCAGCGGAGATGATGGCTACAAGAAGAGTGAAACAGACCTTCGTGCCTTCTTCGCAGAAGATGAGTCCCCATTGCCCTCAAAGGGCCGCTTTCTGTCGCTCATTGTCACCGACTATCGAGTCGCGGTCGTCGTCGAGAGTGGTGGCGAGGTGCAAGCTTGACTGTTGCGGACGACGCGCTCACGCGAGAGCGAAAGAGGCGCGGTTTCCTTACGTAATCGCTCTCATCCCTCTCATGTTCTCCTTCCTCTCCTCCACCCGCTCAACACTTGGCCAGGCCGCCCGTCGTCTTGTTCAACAGCGACAGCCATCTCTCGTCCGTGGCCGTGCGGACCTTGCCCCCAAAAATGTCGACCCTCGCTATCTCAGACGGCACAAAGGCGTAATCCCTATCAACATCGGTGGATCCATCAAGGGCACTACGCTCGCGTTTGGTGAATGGGGCATCCGGATAAAGGGCCTTGGTGTTAGATTGTCGGCGAAGCAGCTCTCGACGGCGCAGGATGTATTGCTGAGGAAGATGAAGGTCATCAAAGGCTCCAAAGTATATCTGAGGGTGTTCCCCGATGTTCCCGTGGCCATCAAGGTGCGCATACCCTCACATCAGGGTCAGACAGCGAGTTTGCTCATGGGATACGATCATCTAGGGAAACGAGACGCGTATGGGTAAAGGAAAGGGGACATTCGAGTACTGGGCCACCCGGTCAGTCCTCTTCCGCCACCTAAGTCAGATCTTTGTCCTGACCATATATAAATGTTTCCAGTGTCCCCACCGGACGTGTCATCTTCGAAGTAGGAGGCGTACCCATTCGTGAGGAGCTGGCGCGTGAAGGTATAGCTTCATTTTCATCTTGTGCTTTTCTTTTGACTGACATCTCACTGTCCTGTAGCCCTTCGGCAGGCGGCGTCCAAACTGCCTACCACCATGGAATTCATCAGCCGGAAAAGCCTTCCACGGTTAGGCAGTATACTTGTTGCGCCTGAGACTCCTTCGACCGATTCATCCAAGCCTGAGGTCCACCCGGGTTCACAATCATAACCTACTGTAGTTGCTTGATTATTTGCTCAGCGTGTAGTAGCAAGCGTGCTCGTCACCCCAATCTACCACGCATGTTCTTTCTTGTGTCTGCTCATTCGCATATGCACACAAAAGAACTTGTGCGGTGAATGTGTGACCATGTATATATTTATTACAACAAACGGTCTACTTGTTTGGGGTCGCATCCAACTGGCTTGCACGCCACAGTTTGCCTCGAGGCTATCACGGATGAACCTGGACCTGACCTCGACTTGCTCTTCTGTCCCACTCATCAATCCGACTTTTGTGCTGCTCGGATCTGACTGAGTTTTCGACAACAGTAAATCTCTACGATACATGTCTACCCTTACCGATCGTAAGGCATCATTCAAACAACCTCCAAAGGACAAAAGCCTGTCCCAACAAGTGCGACGGAACAAGGTGCGTCGCGTTCAGCCTAGCCTCCATATCTTTCTCCCGTACTGACATCTTCCATCATGGGCATCGTTTGGTAGGCCCTCGAAGACCAGAAACGCGTGCGTTTATTGTTTCATGATCTTTAATTACAACCTACTGAACTCGTGGCGCACCCCGACACAATATCTCCTTCTTGCCGTCTTATCACAGAGACGAGCGAAACGTGTAGAATCCGAACGACATGTAGACCTCTTCGCTGGTTTATCTCTCGGTGACTCCGACGAAGAAGACGAACACCCGCAGATCACAGAGGACACGATACTCAGAGAAGGTGTGGGCCACCTCGCACCACTTCTTCAAGACCAAGCTGCCGCACCCACATCCACGGATCAAGCTCTCCCGACCTCATTCTCGGCGCAGGAGAAGGGCAAGAAGCGACATGGCAAGACCAGATCACGTCAAAAGGCTGGGAAGGGCAAGGCGCGGAAGATCAGTCCGTGGGCGGACAAGTGCATGTATGCAGAACTGTTGGAGATGCGCGATGTAGGAAGTCACACGGGTGGTAGCATGGTGTCGGGGATTCTTTCAGCGGACGAAAGTGTCGATGGCTTGCCAGAGGATTTGGAGGAGGGTTGGGTGGCCGTAGCGCCTGTGCCGAAGGGTAAACGCTGTCTTGCAGTCGCGCATCAGGGAAGCGGGACTGTTGGACTTGGTGAGTGCTGTATTATTGCCTCTGCATCATACGTGTATCTCAAGGATCCCATTACATCGGTGCCACAGTACCGAATACAACTCTGCGTTCTCGTGTGTTAGGACGTCCTCTCATGCCACGGTTCCCATCGCTGCTCCCTTCCGACACTATCCTCGACTGCATCCTGGACGCAAACTGGAAAGACAATGGGATAGTTCATGTACTGGACGTTCTTCAATGGAAAGGACAAGATGTTGCGGACTGCGAGACCTCATTCCGGTCGGCCAACTTTTTCAGTTCCTCATCCTGATCGACTGTGAGTCTCACTAGCTGTGATAGTTTCTGGTGGCGAGACACTCGGCTTTCTGAACTTCCACCGCCACAACCGCCTACTGCCATCGCTCCACCCCCAGCCTCTCCCTTGGCCTCATCCAACGCTCCATTACCAACATCACAATCACAAATCCCTGGATATCAATTTCCCTATCCTATAAACTTTCGTCCGATACCCTACTACTCCAGCACGACCTATCAAACGCTTGCTACGAACATCATCCCAGCCGCCCGTCAAGCCGTTTCCATTCCCATAACTATTCCTTCTCCAGTACAGGAGCTTAATGACGGCATGGACGTCGACACCAACATGTCCACAGGGACGGTGGTCTCTCGCAACACCACTATCGTGTCTGACGGCTTGCTGCTCTATGTTGCTCAAGGCTTATACGAAAGCGGGACGAGTCCTCTCAGCTGCTGGGTACCGATCGAGGGTTACGAAGACGAGAACGGGAACGCTCAGCGACATTGGGTCGGCGGAAAGACCCATGGTCAAGCCAGTGCTGGCGAGGGTGCGATGCAGGTTGAGAATTTCGGCACGGAAAGTCTACGAGAACGACCGCTGGATTTATTTGAGAAGTCGGTTTCATTGCGCTCTTCACTTGCACCAATAGAACTAACTCAACGCGTCCGGGACAATTAGATTAGTTCAACGACGAGCGATGCGGGGGGGTACGGTGGAGGGAATGACGTTATGATAGGATTCATGATTGGGCAAATCTGATACGGCGAATGGTCTGTGGTTACCCAACTTGTTCGCTAGATGTTGTATACATGAATGTACGTTGTGAGAAACCGTGAGCAAATGACTATTGTATGCTGTCTCCGGTCAACGTGGCGCCGCCTGCCAGGGCGGGCGGCCGCGCGTGAGCGACTCTCCTTCTTCCATACCCTTCCATTGGACCATGTATTACGTGCCCGAACGTGAAGAACGTTGAAATCTTGTCTCCTTTTGCTTTCTCTTACTACGACCTGATGATTCCGTGCGTCGGATTTGGACAAGGCTCAAGTTTCTGAATCGTAATGCCCACACCGCCATTCCCACTACCGCCTGACATGTCCACGCCCTTCTATTGCTCTCATGACGTCCCGTGCTCCTTATAAGTGATCTTGCGAACGGCTAATTACACTGTCTGGGGTTGCGAACGACGCTAGCGCTGTCAGCTCCTTTGAAACTGCAACCATCAACTACCATGCAACTAGCAAAGTTGAGGACTGGCCCTGCTCGTCGCCTTTCAGCCGGACAGCGTATTCTCAGACAGCTCTCTACGCGTCCCACCAATGGTCTGTCCGCTGTGCAAGGTCCCTCAGAACCTCCCCTCGACACCCGTACTCTTCCTCGATACTTCGCCGAAGAAATTCTAGAGAAACGTGCGGACCGTCCTGCCCTCCAATGCCCTCGTGAACGCCCCAGGCCCCACGGTGGCCCTGTTTCACGAAACCTGGGATTAGCTGATGACAGCCATGGGTATCTGGCCTGGGATTTCGAGGAGTTCGACAACAATGTGGCTGCCTTGGCGAGAGGACTTGTCGGCCTAGGGGTGAAGAAGGGGGATAGAGTTGCCGTAGTAATGGGGAACAACAGGTGTGTCAGCTCTCATGACTTCATCAAACGCGGCTGAGCCAGAGGGGCTGATTTATTGGTCGCCCTACGGTCAGTGCGTACGCTATGCTGCAGTGGGCTTGTGCCAAAATTGGTGCAATATTGGTCACCATCAACCCGGCGTATCGTGTACACGAATTGGTAAGTTGCCCGCTTTTTTTACGCCTTCTTCGAGGTTTGCGGCGTCTCTCCCGTTGAAAATATAATTCGTTCTTTATAGATCAACACTCTGCGCCTCGTCGGCGTGAGCCATCTTTTTCTTGTCCCACAGATACGTACATCTTCCTATCTTAAGCTCCTGACAGAAGTCATGCCATCCCTTCGGACTCGGGAACCTGGAAATATCCAAGAAGAACAGCTTCCGGATTTGAAGCACATCGTTCTAGTCGATAATACCGGAGACTACAAAGCATTTCAAGATATTATGAGCGACGTGCGCTGCGCGGCAGATTTCCGAGAAATTCTAGTGTGGCGGGAGAAGGGAAAGGAAGAGAAGACAGTAAAGGAAGTGGAATCAACATTACAGAAGGACGACATCATGAATATGCAGTACACAAGGTAGCTTGCGTGTCCTTCTTGATGATTCTCGACTCAGGCGAATATCACAGCGGAACGACGGGGATGCCCAAGGCCGTTTCAGTGAGTACAAGTTTCACCTCACGATTCGTATTCTATGTCGATGTTTACGATTGTTGCCCGATCATAGCTTACCCACTATAACTTGATAAACAATGGCATATCCATCGGCAGCGCCATGGATCTCACCGACAGAGATGTTGTCTGTAAGCCCTGATCCTTTTGGTACACTATAACTGGAACTACCAAACTGACTCCATTTGTTTACTCACTCTCGTTAGGTAACGTTCCGCCTTTATTCCATTGCTTTGATAAGTCTCATCTGTGCGCAAATATATCTGGTGCAACCGATGATTAACCTGTCCAAACTGCACTTCTACCCGTCCCACACGCCTCATATTGGGGAATCTCGCTGCCTGGGCCCACGGTGCCTGCATAGTCTACCCTTCGGAAATATTTCATCCACCGTCGATAGTTGACGCAGTGTCCAATCTCCGATGTACGGCATTACATGGAGTACCAACACATTTCATCGGCGTGCTGAAGGAAATCGAGAAGCGCAGGCAGGAGGGACGCACTATGGATTTCAGTGGCCTGAGGTGTTTTCGATTCCCTGGAATACCGTTTCCGATGAACAAGTGCTGACACGCAATGCAGAACGGGTATAGCTGCGGGTTCTCCGATACCTATCGAACTCATGAATCAACTCATGAGCAAGATGAACCTGAGGGATCTGACAATTGCATATGGCATGAGTTGAGTGTTTATTAGAATTTTATCTGTACTAACACTTATCTTGGTTATACCTTCTTCCAGCGGAGACGAGGTTAATCTCACCATGACTAGTCGTTTCACGAGAACATAATTAACTTCATATTTGCGCCTCCCAGCCCGGTCTCATTCCAAACAACGGTGAAGGATCCTGTCATAAAGCGCGTAGAGACAGTAGGCCAAGTGCGCCCACACGTAAAGGCGAAGGTTGTCGACATGGAAGGCCAGGTTGTTCCTGTCGGGACGCCTGGCGAATTGCTTGTAGCGGGTTATCTCGTGCAAAAAGGGTGAGCTACTTCACTAACTGGCCTCTGTGCGGATATACCTGAAAGCCTTTACATGTAGATACTGGGGTGACGAAGCGCAGACAAATAGTGTCATGAAGAGGGATCCGGAAGACGACCAGGTCTACATGCATACTGGTGATGAAGCCATTATGGACGAAGAGGGGTATCTCAGCAGTGCGTAGGAATTCGAACTGTGACTATGTCTCCTCCGCTGAAGTTATTTTCGACTCCATAGTTGTTGGAAGGATAAAGGTTAATCTCGTTTGAATCCTATGAGTGCCTTGTGAACCTCATCCATGATTGCTCTCCTAGGACATTATTATACGCGGGGGAGAGAATCTATTCCCTGTGCAGATCGAGAACGTACTCACCAGTCATCCATCCATCGTAGAAGCTGCCGTGGTTTCAGTTCCTCACGCGACATTGGGCGAAGCTGTCGGAGCATGGATTGTTCTAAGAGACGGTGCAAAGATGACGAAAGGGGAGGCCAAGAGGGTGGTGTGGGACGGAATGAACCCTCAGGTGAGCCGTCAAGCTTAAGTATTCTTAGCTGTCGTCAAAAGGCTTTATAGTCTCCATCACTGGCCACGGTATTAACTCTTTGCGTCTCAGAATTCTCCGGCATGGGTGTGGTTTGTGGGCGAAGACGGTACACCGGGCGAACTACCGAAGACCGCGAGTGGGAAGGTTCAGAAACATATTCTAAGAGATTGGAGCAAGGCCATGGCGAAAAACGGTGTGGGGATGGTTCCTTGAAGAGTGTGTCCGATGTGCGTGTGCTTGTATGTAGACGAATTAGATGCTTTTGCTCTATCCTGTCTGAAATGTCGACAGACGATAAGTGGAAGCTGGCCGAGGCCCGAGGGTCTCTGCGGAGAAAGTGCGCGAGTGAAAATGAACGTAACGGCCACGTGACTGGGAGCATTCTGGAAATTTGTGAAATGCGCGCCAAAGTTGGCCGCGTTCGCCGCCGCTCCGGAGCTTTGACGTTTGTCTGACATGGTCCTCCTCTTTTCGCCATTCCGTACCCTCTCTTACTCTTCCTTCTCGCCTCCATGTCGTCGACATACGTTCATTACTCGACGCCTTCATCGCTGCCCTCAGACTATGCGATCCTCTCTCGCTATGCTGCTTCACGGGCTCCCGCAGAGGAGGAGGAGAACACAGGAGCAGTAAACGGCGAGGAGGACATAGAAGACAATGACCATCTTGGAGTTCCTATCAACTCACACGTCGCACAGCGGAGGACGAGTTTTCCGTCAATGTATATCAAGCCACCCAATCCTCCTGCACCTGCCATACCGGACGAAGATGGCACAAAGTCGACTGCACCGACAGAATATACCCCTCTCCTCATCCCTCGCATCCAGGAAGAGGAAGACGAAGAAGTTACCGGCTCAGATACAGGAAGCAAGCTTCATGTCTTCTGGGAAGAGCTTCGTATCTTGTTAAAATACTCGTTTCCGGTCTACGGGTATGTCGACATTGTCTCTCTTTCGGTATATATTTTCTCAATACGCTATGCCACGCAGGACTCATTTACTTGAGTACTCTCTCGTCATAGCCTCCGTTGTGTCCATAGGACATCTGTCTACAACTGCACTGGCGGCAGCCACCCTCGGGAGTATGACTGCCAGTGTCTCGGGCTTTAGTATCATCCAGGGCTTCGCCAGCACCTTGGACACTATGCTTCCTAGTGCTTGGACGTCTTCGCATCCTGAACTCGTAGGGTACGTCTATCGTCTTTCTCTAAAATTGGAGTTGAATCTCTTATACTGTATATCTACCAGCCTATGGTCTCAGCGAATGGCTGTTGTCATGGCCGTAACTCTTGTGCCTATCTATGTCGTATGGTTCAACTCGGAGTCGATATTGCTGTTGCTTGGACAGGAGGCCGAGGTGGCCCACCTGGCATCTGTGTATCTCAAGTGGGTCTCGATCGGTTTGCCTGCGTATACTTTCAATTCCATATCCCGGTGCGTACGAGCTGCTTCGTCAAAGACTTCACTCTTCTGACCTATCTGTCCAGTCGTTATTTCCAGTCCCAAGGTACGACGAACTCATGACTTTCTTTATGATTGCGCGATTCCTGACAGGTTGTGTCTGCAGGTTTATTCGCCGCGCCGACTCGGGTGATATCTGCTGTGGCGCCCATCAATGCTGTCCTCAATTGGCTGCTTGGTACTGCTATGTCCTTATCTCGATGTATATTTTTGCTGATCCCTCTTATCCTTGACAGTGTGGGGACCCAAACCCATTCGTTTGGGCTTCATCGGCGCTCCTATCGCTACTGCTATCTCATTCAACCTTGTTTCTCTGGCCTCGATTATCTACGGCGTCTTCTATATCCCAACGACGGCATGGCATCCTTTGAATAGGAGGTGTTTCACCAACTTGGGGGTGCTCGTTCAACTGGGTCTCGCCGGTGTTGGTAAGTATATACCTCCCCATCAATTAATCGTGCACCGCAAACAAATATTCATCTATTCATAGGCCAAACTGCTTCCGAGTGGTGGTCCTGGGAGCTAATCGGATGTAAGTCCTTACGAATTGGCCATCATCATGGAGTAGCGGTGCTGACATACGGATTTTCTAGTGGCCGCTAGTCTGTAAGTCTTATTGCATTAAAGCTCTGCGTCGGGACACTTAACTCTCATTCTGTCGTCAGGCTTGGTCCAGTATCGCTTGCAACGCAGTCTGTCCTTTTAGTCTCTGCGTCCACGTCCTTCCAAGCGCCTTTCTCTTTGAGTGTTGCGACTTCTGTTCGGTATGTTCTCGCCTCCTCTCTGCGTGCGTTTACACAATATGATGTTGATTTCCATTATATTCTAGCATTGGAAACCTTCTCGGCGAGCGAAATGCCGGCCGAGCTGCTGTAGCAACTAGAGTTTCTCTACTGTTGGCACTTATTCTTGCGGGAATATTCAGGTCCGTTCTGTCGACTCTTCCTAGCGTTGCGAGTACTCATCGTCCCGTCAAACAGCACACTATTCCTCGTCTTCCGCCATAGCTGGGGCTATCTTTTCAATGATGATCCTGGTTCGTTTCCCGTTCAGATGACACCTAAAACTCATACTTAATGTAACTCGTAGAGGTCATCACGTTGGTGGCGTCTATCCTGCCTCTTGTGGCTCTGTTCCAAGTCTTTGATGGTCTCAGCGCGGTGACTGCCGGAATCTTGAGGGCCAGAGGGAAACAGGTATGCAGTCTGTTCAAGCTAATGACCGTTCGTCCGTCTGACAAGTATCTGTTCAGTTCACTGGCGCCTTATTGAATCTCAGGTATGTATACTTTCCCAAGATCACACAGCCACCTTTCGTTGACCCCCAATTTGCTGGTGTCATAGTGCCTACTACGTCATCGGCATCCCCTTTGGAATCTGGCTCACATTCAAACGCGACATGGAGCTTCAAGGCCTCTGGATAGGCCTCACGGTCTCACTCGTCTACTGCGCCTTCTTCGGCGTGTGGCTGTGTCTCGTCACGGACTGGGAGAGGGAGGTTCAGAAAGTCATGGATAGGCTGGCGGAGGACAAACATCGTGGGCCAGAGGATGCGGAGCGCAATCCAACCATCGTGGCTGTGGCGCATTGAGTGCCGATTTGGACGATTTGAGTGATCTTCATGAGATATTTGGACATTTTACGCTATGTCATGCTTGCTATATCTTGTTTATATCTATCTTTTTCTTGCATTGTTACGAGCTGTCACGAACCTCACACGTTTATAAAATTGACAAATGCTTCAGCCAGGGCTTCATGCCCTTTGACGATCACAGCCAGTTTCGCGCAGATCCTCTTCCGAGTCGAGCACACCCTTGAGGGTCCATCGCATAACTGAAATTATTAACGTTTACAATGGTCGATACTTATACAACAAGGTCTATTACAGTGCCGAGCAGGACTTAAACCACAGAGCAAAACAACTCTCAGCCACTACTACGTCTCCGCACCCTCCGGCCCCAACATCACCTCCAGTTCCTTGACCCTCTTCTCCCACTGCTCCACCTCCTTCAGCCTCTCCCTCAACAACCCAATCTCCCTATCAATACCCATCTTCACCTCCGCCGTGCCGACGCGGGTGAGCGTCCAGCTTCCAGTGCCGTCGCCCGAGAGGGTGAGAAGTTGGGTGTGGTATTTCGCGAGCGATGGACTGTAGGAACACGAGTATTTGTCAGAAGAAGGACTGAAAGTGAGGAGAGAGGGGGGCAAGAACCGACCGAAGAGAAATGGTGATGAGGGTGATGCCGATGGACTTTGCGTGCTCGTACATCCTCCCCTCCACATCGCTGGACACCGCACTCGTACATTCTACAACAACGATGTATCAGCAAATCACAGTCATCCGTCGTTCATAAAACCATAGGAGACTCACCATCCAGGATTGCGAATTTCGGTTTATGATAGAACACCCGTGCCAGCGCCATCTGTCCAGAGCGGCTCGATTAGCTCTAATTCTCCATTCTCATATGAGGAAACGGTGGAAAGAAAGACCCACTCTCTGTTTCTCGCCCCCACTCAACACATCCCTCCACTCCTTCCTCGTGAACCACCCTCCTTCCCGCTGTGGCAAATATTCCAAATGCACCGCAGCCAGAATCTCCTTCAACTCCCCCTCCGTCCGTCCGCTCTGCACATACTGTGGGTATGTATGCGGGTATATAATCCTACATCGCCACCAAACAAAATCAGACCATCACTGATCAGCACGTCACGCTCGCACAACAGGAGACAAAACAGACGGCAGAGGGACACTCACTGATCCAATAAACTTCCAGCAACCATATACGCCCTCTGCGGCACCACGAACACCTCGCCCCTTCCGGGTCTCTTGACCTCCCCCCTCCCACTCCCACCTCCAGGAGCCCACAACCCCGCCAACACCCTCGCCACCGCCGTCTTCCCTACTCCATTCGACCCCGTAATCATCAAATGATCACCCGGCCCAAGTGACCAATTCAAATCCTTCACGAGCGGCGGCATCTCTGGTGTGTTCTCCCGGTCCAGGATATCCGCGTCGGGATTCGTTGGGTCCAAATTTGTCGAGGAAGGGGCGGGGACGGTGACATCGACGTGAGAGAGCGTGATAGTAGGCTCAGCGGCCATGGCACTAGGATGCGACGTAGGCAATGGCGGGAGATGATGCAAAGTTGAAAGAAGAGTGTATAATCGCGTTGTGAGACCCGCGAGCTCGAGGACGTCCTTGTAGGCGTACATAAGTCGTCCTCCAGCGTCCGCGAGGGAGAGCAACAACCGGCGGGAGGATATATAGTCTATTGCATCAGTCCTCGTCAGTCTCATTCAAGAAAAAAAGAGTCGGGATTGTGATCGTATGTACTTTCGGTCCTATTGGCCACCGCGTCGTCCGTCTCTTCTGGTGTGCCAGGCTTTGCCGTCTGTACGCCCACATTACGGCGTTTCCGCGTAAGGAGGACAGGGATCGAGATCAGACAATAGCCTGCTGCGGACCAGAGGTACTTGATCACGTAGTCCTCCGTCCATTCGTATGCTATCCGGATCTATACGGACGAACAAGATGCGTTGAGAGGATGAACCAAATAAACAGAGTCGACGTCGCCCACCTTGAAGATGGAGTTCACATGCTTCATCAGCCTCAAATAAGCCCTCCACAATATTTCCTTCTCCCTTGATCCTCCATCATAAAACCTACCCACATGGGTAAGCACTATTCTGCCCGCGCAAGGTGCAAAATCCAAAGGTGAAGAACACTTACGCGACCTCCTCCGCCTCGCGTCCCACTCTCCCCACACCCGCACGATACTCACCCTCCAGCCTCGCCTCCACAGCCGCCAACCGCCCGAAGGCCGGCGTCACTGCTCTCAATATCTTTGCTGTGACATAATAATTGACGAAGAGCGCCGCCGTGCCCCTCACGCCCAGGGTTCTCGACAACTGCGACGTGAAGAGAATAAGGTCGAGGAGCGGTTTCAGGACATTGCCACTAGATGAGCGTGAATGTCAGCAGGAGGGTTTTGTTCAAGAGGACGAAGGGGATAATATGGTACACTTACTACAGGCCAGAAAGTGCGTCCGTCCAGCTAGCGATGTCCGAGGTGATATATTGGTCTACACCCTCGAGACCCCCTTCCCCTGCGACGCGGTAGTAGCGGAGGTAAGGATCAGAAGAGAGGTAGAGATCGTGCGTGTAGCGCGATAGCCTTGTCCGAAGACGGAGAGATAACTGCGCTTGAAGGTGATGAATCTGTGGTACACCGTTCAGAGGAGAGTGAGAACGTGACGCAAGGAATGTCGAGAAAAGACCTGCCATGGAATTCGTGTAGATACTAGGTGCCGCAAGTGCGAACCACAATCCCAGGCCTCGCAGGAATCCTTTTCCATTCGCACTGACCTATAAAGTCAAAATAAAATACTCAGGAATGAATCTTGAAGCTACAAAGGATGAATGCACACCAGATCCCTGACGATCCTTCCGTCCAGCTTTGCCACATAGACGCTCAACACCGTCCTCATCACGAGAAAGACGCTATGCAGCAATACGATACCAGTCTCTTTGGAGGTATATGAAGGGAAGGCCACATGGAGAATGGCTCGGAGTTGGCGAAGGAAGGAGCGGTCTACGTTCGGTTTGAGTTGTGCAGAGGGCGGAAGAGGAGGAAACAATGGTTTGTGGGAGGCGAAGACTTCCTCAGAAGTTGGACGGATGGTGATCTGGGTTAAGACAACTGGGTTAGCATAGAAATAGAGTCCGGAAGCCAGACACTGGTTTGCGAGATGCAGTACTGCGAACCCATCTCGCGCCACACGAAGCTAAGAAAGTACTTTCCCCGGTAGGTTCGCGCACAAATGACCTCCTCGTATAATCAGATACAGTAGCTGTCTCCACTGTTGTTTAAATGATAGAAAAGAAAGTCACCTTTGAGATGTTCTCCCTAAACGGAACCAAGAGCTCCTTGGTGCCATCACGACCTTCGACATAGATCTGTTGCAAAGCCTGTGCAAGCTCTTCTTTAGACAGTTTATGGCGAGACCGCACAGCTCTGAGGGCTGCCAGGGTATCTCTCGGAGCAGTCAAGAGGCGTGAGCGGAGAATGAGAACACATGCAATTAATACGAGGATTGGTGGTCGAGTTCGGAGACTCGGTGGGAGCAGCCGTTGTGGCATCAGCTTAGACTGGGCAGCCATGGTTGAAGGATGGCTACGCAGTGAAAAGGCGGATGGAGAAGAAGAGAGGATGAGTGCATAAGTGGCTGGCGTTAAGCATGCAATGATGCGGGGTCACTTTCAGCTGATTTCGGTTTAATGGCTGGATAGCCCTGAATTGAGGTTAGGGGCTGTATTACACTGCCCCTGACAAATTATGTACGTGCAGCATTTCCGTGTGTACCAAACCACCCAGAAAAAAAGGAACAAAAGGGAAACGGTTTCTATGGACTTGGGTGAGCGACACGGGCAAACAAAGAGGAGCGCGTCGCGCGAGGAGACGTCGTTGACTGCCTAAAACGGTCACGCCGGGGATGGCGCGCGGCGCGACGCGACACGGTGGTCACGTGTCGGCTTATTTGGTTCCTTGTTTGGGTGTTGAACTTCGAGGTCGCCCAAAACCGGCGTGCGCTAAGCGCTTGCTCGCCTGCCACAGACGACGTCCTCCTCCCTCCCCTCTCCGCGCCTCCCCACCATCCTCTAATATCATCTCTGTATCCGCACATAGCCCTTCACACTCATGTCTCAAAACATTCCTGTCAGTTTCCTTTCTTTTTTCGTCTTTCTCCGATCTGTCGTCGTTGTGTCGCTGATCGTCTACTTACCCCTCTCATCCACAGAGGCGCATAACGCGCACAACTCGCTCAACACTCAAAGATGAGAACGCAAACGCACGACCTAGGATCACCACCAGGTCAAAACCCCCATCAGCATCGACCGCCACTGCCGACAAGCCTGCGGTCGGGACACGCGGCGTCGCCAGCGGCGCAACATCCCGCGCACGGGCTCTCGCAGCGAAGGAGGCTGCACTCACTGAACAAGATCCCGCTGCAGGAAAGCGCAAGCGATCTGCCTTTGGCGAGGTCGGCGGTCCCAATCAGCCCAAGGTGAAGCCCCCATCAGTCGCCGGTGTCAAGGGAAAGGGCAAGGCAGAGCCCGCCCAATCCTCGATAGCCCCTAGCAAGGTCCTCGTCAAGTCTACCAAGACGACGACGACGACCACCGCTGCCGCCGCACCGAGGGTTCCTCTCCGCACCGTTGTCGCTCCCGCCGGCACTAAGCGTGTCACACGCGCCGCTACTGCTACCGAACAACAGCATCAACAGCGCCTGCCCGATGTCAAGGAAGAATCCGAAGTCGTCCCTCGTCGTCTCAAACACCACACGTACGATGCTCCTACTGCCATTCCCGTCCCTACTCGCCGCTCCATCGCCATTCCTCGCTCCACTGTCACCACGACAACCACCGTCGTTAACACTGCTCCTACTCGTCGCCCCCTCACGTCTAGGACCGTCAAGGCGGAACGCATCGAGGAGGCGGATGAGGAAGAGGCGGATCGGGTGTTCAAGAAGCGCCGCACTTCATCGGAGGCACCAGAGGACCATCATCAGGTAGAGGCACGGGTGGCGACCACACGACCCGTTGAGGACCAGGAAGCCATCCTCCGCGCAGAACAGGAGGCTGTTGCTGAGCTTTCCCTACACGTCGAGCAGATCCAGCGCGAGGAGGAGGCCGACCCTTTTGGCGATGAATGGCAAGACCTCGACGCCGAGGATGCGCAAGACCCGTTGATGGTCTCCGAGTACGTTGCCGAGATCTTCGAGTACCTTAAAGAAGTAGAGGTGAGCCTTTCTTCTTTGCTGTACATGTTCACTTTCTCACCAGCGATCTTTCTAGCGAACGACGATGCCGAACGCGAATTACATGGACAACCAAAAGGACCTCGCATGGAAGATGCGCGGCATCCTTACTGACTGGCTCATCCAGGTCCACATGCGCTTCCGTCTTCTCCCCGAGACCCTTTTCCTCGCGGTCAACATCATCGACCGCTTCCTCTCCTCTCGTGTGGTCTCCCTCGCTAAGCTCCAGCTCGTCGGGATCACGTGCATGTTCGTCGCTGCCAAGGTCGAGGAGATCGTCGCACCCTCTGCGCAGAACTTCCTTTACTGCGCTGACTCATCGTATACCGAAGGCGAGATCTTGCAGGCCGAGAAGTACATCCTCAAGACGCTCGAGTGGAGTATGAACTACCCCAGCCCAATCCACTTCCTGAGGCGAGTGAGCAAGGCGGACGACTACAACGTCCAGGTACGGACTGTGGCCAAGTACCTGATGGAGATCGAGTGTGTCGAGTGGAGGTTGATTGGATCGCCGCCGTCGATGTTGGCTGCCGCGAGTATCTGGTTGGCGAGATTGATCTTGGGAAAGGAGGAGTGGGTAAGTATAACATCTTATCGCTCACTCTGTCAGCAAATATTGACCATGGTCCTTTTCAGACTCCGAACTTGGCCCACTACTCATCATACCCAGAGAGCGCGCTCATCCCCACCGCGAACATCATGCTGAACTACATCCTGAAACCTATCCGCCATAGCTCGTTCTTCAAGAAGTACGCGTCGAAGAAGTACATGAAGGTCTGTTGTTTTGCTGGTCTATCTTATATTTACATTTATTCACTCATCCCTGTCGGGTGTCTAGGCCAGCACGTTCATTCGTGATTGGGCTCTGCAACGCTGGGATGAGAACCAACAAGTCAACCTTCCCGAGGAGCTTCCTACGCTGAAGGCCCTTATTCGTGCCACCCGCGAGCGTGCTATTGAGGAGGGTCACGATATTGACGACACGGGACGCCGGGATGGGACGCACTAAGCTAGCTCGGTCGCGCGCGCATCGATCCTCACCTTGCATCCTTGTACAACCTCATGGACTCGCACACCGCCACGCAACCTATGCCTCCACGTCCACGCACATTTTTATTTGATCAATATTCCTCCAAGTTCGTCCGTCGTCGTCTGCTGCCCTGTCTCCGTCCTCGTTATCGTTGCGCTATCGCGTCTGGCTTCCCGGTCGTGCTCGTGCGGGCTGGCTCTCGGATAAACACTCATGCACTGTGTATACCCTTGCAATTGCATTGTCTGTGTTCCGTCGACTCATTCCTCTGTCCACGCATCTTCACGTCTTCTCGCCATCGTCTCTGGATCCGGCCCATCCTCCACTCACACAAGTATGATGTCACACATGCTCACGTCCTATGCCTACTCCTTCTCTGTTGTTCTCAGTTGTTCCAATATCTCATCCATCGATCATCCATGCGTTCACTTTTCTTTCTTTCTTCTCACATTACGCTATCTGTGTCCTTCCATCCCGTCGTTCATAGCCGTTGGACCTGCGCTCGCTTTCGTGCCCCTGGCCATACCACTACCTTTGCCGCATCTGTTAACATCGCTCTTTCGTCGTTCGCTTTCCGACTGTTCGCTCACGCTCGTTTGCGTCGTCTCATTGACTTCGGGTATCGGTTGCGCTTTGGTTATGGCCGGTGGGTATTGCTACCATGCTTGCGCTTGTCGTTCGTGTCCACTCCATACGCTATATATCTTCACCGTTGACTCCTTTTTCTTCTCTTTTCCTTAATTAACTTCTCTGTCCATATTCTCTTCACGACCAAGACCCTTTTCAGATGTGTCCATACTTGCCCCCCTCCCTTGCATAAACATCTCTTCCCATCTATCTTCCCACTTTCTTTGCGACGTGTTCAAGATTCCTGTGACACATTCATGCATTCTACTTCTTTCTACCTCCTACCCCTCCCCATACACACGTCGTTCTGCTTTGCATGCATCGATTTGTTCCTCCCCACATTCCTCTTTCATTGTTCATCTCCCCTCCACCTCACTTTCTATCTACATTCTCTACCTTCTACCACCTGAACACTTCCTTTCTACCCTTCACCCACCCCAAAGTTGTTCCCCTCCGTTTCCCTTTTTTCTTCCCAATTCCCTCTTGATGACGGTTTGTCTGTGGCCCCCAAACCAAAATACCTTTTTCTGTTTTCCTGTTTGACGTACATATTCGTACTCTATACATAAACGAAGAGGTGGAGATTTGAATTCGAGTTTTAAATAATGTATGAACACAATCAATAAAACGAGCTTTGTCTTGTCTGGATGAGTGTGCGATAAATGGCTGAAGTTTTGAAGGACGGAGGGACATGTGGCGGGGTGCCACAATGGTTGTGTCGGTGGGTTAGGGTTGACCGTTTTGGTTCCGCGACGCGGTGAACTCGAACCAAATTCAACCTTCACTTGAAAACGACGAACACTCTCCTTGCCTGTAATATACGCTCGACCTGAAACAATCACACTCTGATAGGCACTCTTCTCTGCCCTTCATCCCCACTACACTCGTATACAGTCTACAATGAATACAAACGGCACAACGCCAAAGTTCTTGCCACCCCACACACCTCGCGTCAAAGCGGACGGCGACAGTCTTTTCAGGGACCAAAAGTACTCAGAGGCCAGCGTGAAGTATACTGGCGCGATTAATTTTGCGAACGAGGAGAGTTTCGATTCGAAGATGAAGGCTGTCCTGTATGCCAATAGAGCCCTATGTTACAAAAACATGAAGCGGTATGTTGACCATGGTCCATATCACGCGCCGTTGTCAAGTCGTTGTGTAGCCCGACTGTTTCATGGATTGTGCATTGATTTACCTGCTTCATGGTGGATTTTGATCTTGCCACCCTAGGTTTGAGGAGGCTGAGGTGGATGCTATCAAGGTCAGAGTCGACACTCCCTGATTGTTCCCTGGTATATAGGTGCACTAGCTTTATAACTCGTACTACTAGGCAACCGAACTTGATCCAAGCTACGCCAAAGGCTGGACTCGACTTGCAGCAATCGAAGATGTAAGGCATTCCTTTCGGTGGAACATGTTTCGATTCCTGTTAACAATTTTACATTTACGGCAGGCTGGACAATGCTTCTCACGCGCAGTTGTTAGCTGGCAACGAGCCTTGGACGCCCTGCCATCTAATAGGACGCTTACCACCCTCGAGATCAATGCGAAACGCGAATATGAGGCCTACCTGGCTATTTCACAAGAAAACCTCGAGAAGCAGGGAGAAAATGTCCATGTGCTCTCCAAGCAAGGCTTCCAGGTACTAACGCCCCCTGGCCAAGCACCTTGGGACCGTGCAAGCGCCCTCATACAGCCTCTAGGAAAGAAGGCCGATAAACGAAGTAGTGTGAGTATTCTTCTGCTGTCACAATTCGTTCTCTGAGTTTGCTTTTAGATCTGGTCCGTAGTGCAAGCTCGCAAGGTAACAACATTTTCGACACCCCTCGCCTCGAAAAAGCTAGCTTTATCTGAGATTGGGCCTTACTCCGTCTACGACCATGTAGACATTCGTTGCAGGTGTCACGGCTCTAAGATCCGCTGAATGGCGTCAAACCTACAGAAAACCGACTTTACCCTTTCCATTTGCGCAGGGTCTTCAAGTCGAGACCGAGGGCAGAAACCTTCATTTTGACGTCAGTTATCACCTTCGACTGCATCCCTTTACACATTGAGATTAGTGGTCCATTCATGAATGCAGGACCTTCTTTACCTAAGCGATGCGATACTATTGAACGAGCGAGTTTTCTCTATGTACGATCCTCGTTATCCCGAAGAGCTCCCAAAAATCGGTTAGTACAGCCACTCATTCTAGCTTTCATAAGTGATCCTCGCTTCCTCCGGTGACTATCTTGTCTGCAGTCGATTATTATCGCGAAGTTGGGCCGTTGGGTGCATTCGAGTATAAAATCGACTACGACCTTCACAAGTTCTCGAACGACTTGCTCGACGTCCTGTGCACCAAAGGCTCTGAATTCACCAGTCCAAGGATCGCCATCATCATTCGGTATACGTCTTCATGCAGTCGGAAAATTTGACAATTCACACTGATGAATGCGCTTGTATGGCCTACGTAGATCGTGGATTTTGCTTAGCCACAAGGCCCTGCGAATTGACCATGATTACACAACCGCTTTCCAATGGATATACAAGGCCTTTGATATCATAAAATGGGTTCGGAGGGACCTTTGGCACGAGGTCATACTTGTTGAGGAAGCGGGGGTCGTCTTCGAGGACCTCTTCTATGTCAGCGTCCACTGTGCACTTCTGGATATCTATCAGCGCGTGAGTTCAATTTGGACACAGCTCCAGGACTTCCGCTTAATGTCTGACTTATCTTCCGCAGGGCGTCTCGTCGAATGTGCCAAAGTTTACTCTTCCTGATTTACTGGATGCCGTGACAAAGCTGAAAGAGACCGTGAAGTCTATAGAGGCGCGGTATATAATCGGGTCCCAGAATATGTGCCACGAACTCCAGCTCATCGCTTACCCGCGAGCCTTCGCGTACGCGTGAGTCTCCCCAAGCCAATTCTTCCCGAGTCTTAGCCCCAGCCTTTTGAGCATATTGACCGATCCAAACCTTCTTCATTCAGAGTGGAAGGTTACTTTTACCAACAATACTCCACATCAGGGATGTACAAGGACATCGGAGACTCAAAAGCGCATCTTAAAAAGGCACACCGTTGCTACTTGAATGCCGCAGCGTTGTATCCAGAAGACGATGAATACCACACTTGTTCGTCACGTTTCCTTTCATATCTTATAATTTTGATTGACATTACTTCTTTCCTTTAGTCATGCTCAAATTAGCACTGGATTGTCTTCTGGAACTGGAAGCGCCATTGAACGAGACAATTCCTCTCGCTATTCGAGTCACAAATGCTGCAAAAAAAATGCTCCCCATCTGGGAGTTCTCAACACTGATGCAGCACGGATCAAGTCTTTCACCTTATGGCCCCTTCAAGACACAATTGGAGGACGTGGAGGCCTACGCCAAGGGGTCTGTTCATTCGACTTGGATCCCGACACTGTCTGTACCCTCGTGAAGGCCTCGGCGGATGTATGCTTGCCTTCAGGCGTTGATATACGTCCTGCTTGATTTCTTGATTTGTAGTTGCCTTGTTTCAGTGTAGTTTGTCCAGCCCTCGTGGATCGCAATTATCTTGACTTCTATTCTGGCACGAACAGACCCTGGCCAGGCCATTCCATCTCAGTGGTCCTAAAACGAGGTTCCGCAAGTCGCGATGGGGTCTATACGAACTCAACAGGCATTATCACGGGAGACACCCCGATAGTTCGTAATGGCCACCGCTACGGGTTGGCCACGGTATGCAGGGCAGTTCGCCAGGGTCGTACCCCAAAATATCAGCACCAGGTACGACATATGACTTCCAATTTCAGAGGATATAATACTGGACACAACCTCGTGCCCTTCATTTTTCATAACGATTTTAGCCTGCCTTACGAATCTCGATAAACAAGAAGGAAGACCATGACCCCTCCTCCAGGGATATAAATATCAGTCAGCGTGATATTTTTGCGTCACTGGACCTGTTTCGTTATCCAGCCTCTACACAAAATTTCGACTCCGCGGGAGGCCGTGTTATATGCGTACTTCGAAGCTTTCTGGTCACGATGCCGGACGTGAAGCCCGTTCTCTCGATATTATCGTCCTCATGACCGCATCAGCACGGTCAATTGATTGGTTACAGATGTGGAAGAGGGCCGGCGCGCTACCATATATTGGGCCCCTTCTGAATTCTTGTAAGCCAGCACAGGGTGTACAATGGTCTCCATGCGTTCCTCTTGCATCCTGCCCATTGTCGTTGCCATCACTGCCTTTACTATAAAGGTATCGTGCTGTATCCATCATGTCCTAGTAGGGAACTTTGGAACAGACTATAATGTCACTGCTATGCTGGATGGAACCCAAGATGTCGGGGCCGGATACCTGTACACTCTGGAAGTCGATGCGGAGGCAGGCTCGCTCACACTGAAGAATACATCAGCCGCTGCAGCCGCTCATCCATGGCTCTCTATCAACGTACGTTGCATTCGAACACGCGTTTTTTAATCGTATTGACGCACAGCTTCACCGTCTCTTCCTATTTCTAGCGTGATGCGGGCGTGGTATACGCATCAGGTTGGTCGGATCCTGTCGACGGGCATCGCACCTTTAGCTCGTACAACATCGAAGACGACTTCTCGGTGTCGCTCCTGAACACCGTCGCGTCGTGTGGCACAAAACCTATCGCCAATCATTTCATTCCCCAAGCTGGAGCCTATGGCGCTTTTTACGGTGGTGAGTTGATTTGGTTTCTTACAGCCCAATTCTAATCACTCAATGTAACAGTGGACTTCGTCAATCCATGTGGTGAGGTATGGTCAATCGGACCAGGGGGTGAGATTGAGACGAAAATTCAATCCCTCCCCTTCATGAATGGGTCTACGCTGCACGGCTTTGCGAACACATCTGACTTGAAGTATCTCTACATTATGGTCAGTCCCGTCACCATGCCCCCTGGTCAAGACATCACGGTATTCATACTATATGACTGGTCGTGCCATTAGAATCTAGGCGGCAATATCATTCAGTCCTACTCTATTGACCTAGGGAACGGCACCTTGTCGCCTTTAGCGGACACCTCTCCCAGTGAAAGCGGCGCTGGGCCACGCCACGCTGTGATTCATCCACTCGAGACATATATGTATGTCATTGACGAGGAAGGTCTACGCGTCGACCAATTCGCTGTGGATGCTGCATCTGGCATATTGAGTTATACGAACATCTCTTTGGCTGTCACACCCTTCGGTAAATATTTCTTAACATCAAAACTCAATATCTGACTGTTAATTTCGCATATCTAGGACTCAGCCCCGCCAACGCATCTGACTATTGGGGTGACGAGATCGCCCTCTCTTCCGATTCGAAGACGCTTTATGTCAGCACGCGGGCCCGCGACGCCTCCCAGGTCGGCTACCTCGCTGGATGGTCCTTAGACACCATTGGAAATATCGAGTCATCTCTCTTCGTTATTCCAACACCCGAAGGGGGCGGCACAAGCAACATTTTGTCGACTTCGCCCTGGGCGGACGAAAGCAAGGATATGTTGATTTTAACAGACCAGGACACAGGATTCGTGGCGCTCTATCAGTTGCAGGAGACGAATATGGTTTTGCTGGATAGAGTGAAGTGCGTGACTTGTTCACCTTTATCGTCGTCCATGAGTGCCCTGAATGATTCGAGTTTCTCCACCACAGCATCACTGGCACGAACTGCTGTTCAGGCTCCGTGTGGCTCGATTGAACTACAAGCGACACCGAGGAGCTTCATTTCACGTAGAAGCACAATAAAAATATAAGTCATCCCCGCCCTGGTCAAAGTGCTGAGAGTCGGACGACGGGACGGGCTTCGGGGACATTGTACGCTGCACTCAGGAATTCACCGTGCAGAGTCTGAGAAGGGGTGCGATTCCTATTAGTCAACAGTATATATATCATAAATTACCACGTCTTCTACGTCCCCTCATGGACTATGATCTATGCCGAACAGCACCCTCGCATCTTGAGCACAGCTCTTCCTTTTCCGGGCGGGTGAATGTCCAACATCTAGGACACTTCTCCCCAGACGCAGGTCGCACGCGAATACCTAGCTCCTCGGACGAGCCTGTTCGCGGTGCATATTGTCAGAGTGATGATTTCGTATAAGTTCAAAACGAAACAGGTCGGGGCTCACCCGGTAGTGATATGGAGTCCATATAGACCCATTTTGGTGAAGATACACCTAGTGAGCCTTCATCGACGATAGAGGCGTCGGAAGTTATGAAAAGAGTCTTCAAGAAGGACTCTGTGCGGGGTACAGAGGATCAGCCGGGCCAAAAAACAAATAGAGCATCTGATGTATACCTTCGCGCTGTAGCAAATCGACCAGGGAAGAATTTGCTGTGTCCTCAGGTAGGATAAGGTCCACCTCGGCCTCTAACGAGGACTTTAATATTCTACGTTTGACGAAGAGAACAATGAGTACAATGATCAGTGTGCTGGCCGGTTCAACGTACTTGTCGCCGCGAGCTTTTTCAAGCAGTGCCAACACAGCGCCGCGGACCCGTAATAGCTCGGTCATTTCTTGCTCCACAGTCTGATTCTCCCACTCCGGCGACTGGAATAGGGTGTACGGTTAAGAATGAGCAAAGCTGGCAACGTATGACCTCGGGAGACGGACCAGAGGTTCCCATTTCTTCATGAATACAGATGATCCGGCGGAAAGATCTTGCCCTTCATTCTCATACGCGTGATGGATCTCTTCTGCGAGATGAGGAATGATAGGTGCCATGACATGCGTCGTTGTATTTAGGATCTATATGAAGCCCAGGGCAGATCGGTCAGTAGCACAGATGATTATAAGAGAACGTATCATACATGCTGAAGAACAGTAACGATCCTCCTCCGCTCGAGACTCTCCGTACTGTCGGCATACAGGCAGTCCTTGGTGATGTCAAAGTAGAGCGCAGACAGTGTGATGTTGGCGAAGTTCGACAAGCTATTGACGACTATCAGGGGAGTGTCAGCACGTATGTCCAAAGAAAAGGAATATGCACGCACCTTTGGCAAAATTGTACGTTGCGTAGCCATCCAGCGCCGTCCTCTCTAGTTTATACAGCTCATGCATGACATATTTCTCGGCCTACCGCACGAATCAGCCAAATTAGATCAATGATTCAACTAGCTCATAAAAGCTCACTAGACCCATATCCTTTACATCTACCGCTACATGTCGCTCTCTGGCCTCTCTGTTCCCGATATTCCCCAACGCAAATCTTGCGGAATTACGGATCTTCCTGAGTGACTCGGCACTCTGGCTGAGAATGGTTTGACCGAGGGGCATATCACGCCAATATTCGACAGTGGCCGACCACAATCGGAGGACGTCCGCGCCGTAGGCCGGTTCTCTCTTCTTATCCTGCAACATCATATTGAGCCTATTCAGCAACCAGGCAGGGTAAAAAAAGGGGAAAAGAGCATCAAAGCATACCTTTCCACCATAGATGACCGTCATGGGGCTGATAATATTCCCCAAAGACTTGCTCATCTTCTTGCCTTTCTGATCCAACACCATCCCATGCGTGATCAATGTCCCATACGGCGCCTTCACATCCCTTACCGCCGCCTTCCCCTCGCCAGCCTTCGTCGATGCACTCCCAGCCTGCTCGTCCGCCCCCAGAGACGTCAACAGCAAGCTCTGGAACCATCCCCTGTGCTGATCCGATCCCTCCAAGCATACGTCTGCCCTCGGCCTCCCTTCTATATCCCTCTCCTCCAACATACTCCACGAGCTCCCACTATCAAACCAGACATCCATCGTGTCCATACCCTTCTTCCATTCCCACTTCACTCCCTCTTCTGATTCTGATTTCGATTTCACTTCCATCTCAGCCTTCAATTCCGGAGGCACGAACTCCTCCGCGGGGCCCTCCCACCAGTATGCTACGCCCTTCTTATCCAAAATATTCAGGATGTGTGAGAGGGTGGCGGGAGTTAGGTGAGCCGTTCCTTCATGATTTGCGGAGTGGAGAGATTGTGGGGAGTCGAGTATTGGGACGTGATGGAGGGAGGGGATGGGGACGCCCCAGACGCGTTGACGAGAGATACACCATTCGGAACGAGAGTCGATGAAGGAATCGAGGCGGTTGCGCGCTGAGATGGGATAATTTAAGTTTCGGGTTACAAGGCGTAAGGAAGGGAAGGGACATACAGACGGAGGGGAAGAAGTTGACTTGTCGCAGTGCCTGGAGTGCATCCTCTTTGATGGTGTCCAAATTGGCGAACCATTGAGAGGTGGCGCTGGAGGTGTAAAAGAGCGGAGGTCAGCAAGGCTAATATCGTGCCAGACTTCAAATACCAACGTGACGATGATAGGTTCCTTAGTCTTCCAATCATACGGGTATCGATGTTTGATTCTCTGTCTCTTCACCAACACCTTCCCATTCCCACGCTCTCCCATCTCCTCCAATACCTGCACGATCTCCTTTCCACCGTCACTCAATACCGCCTTGCCCACCAACCTCTGTCCCGCTACCTCACCCACAACGTCCTTAACAGCAGACGTATAGGTACCCAACGGGCCGACATGGCATACCATGGTCGAGGCGGGAGATGATGCGGAGAGGAGACCGAGGGAGTGGAAGAGGGAGTAGTCTTCTGCGCCGTGAGCGGGCGCACAATGAACGAGCCCGGTACCAGAGTCGGGTGTTACATGGCCCGAGGGGAGGATTCTTAATGTTCCCTTGGAGTTTTCCTCCGACACGGACGATGGTTTTGAGCGTAGAGAGTCGAAGATAGGATGGTAGCGGGTGTCGACCAGCTCTGAACCTGAGAGACGGACGCATTTGCATTCAATATACATGTCACTAAAGAGTATGAGAGCTGAGTACCTTTGACTTCTGCTAGGACGTCGACGTCTCCAATGACATCGTGCAGAGCAGACAGGCGCTCAGCGGCAAGGACAAGTAGGCCGCTCGAATCGTTTTGCCTAACCACGAGATACTTCATCTCTGGATGAACAGCTATTCCCTGAACTTTAGATTAGCACACCATTGTTTAGAGTCAATCCCACGGCAAGATAATCACCATGTTGGCGGTCAACGTCCAAGGCGTAGTGGTCCACACCAATAACCGCACATCTTCCAGACCCTGGCTAGCGAGCAAGTTTCGGAGAGTGGTGTTCAGACCCGGAGCCTGAATGTCAACCTTGAAGGCAACATATACGGAGTGAGAGACGTGGTCGTCTTGGTATTCTAACTCCGCCTCTGCGAGGGCAGAGCGAGAGGACGGAGAGTAGTGCACGGGTCGATAGTGCCGGTAAATCAAGCCTGGTCCAACGAATGAAATATTTTATGGATTGCCGGAAGAAGTGATAACAATTGAGCATACCTTTTTCAACCATCTTCTGAAACACTCGTAATTGCCGAATTTCGTAGTCATGGTCTTCAACAACCAGTCAGTACTGCAAGGTAGAAATAAGACCGATAGGACGTACCCAGAGTACGATACGTGTTCTCGGTGCTCCAATCAGCCATTATACCTAGAGCCTGAAATTCTCCTTTCTGCCTCTCAATTTCTGCCTCGGCTGTCTTCCTTGCAGCATCGCGGATGGTAGTCGGCGGCAGGCTCTGCGAATCTTTCTGGCGCACGCATGGTTGAGCACAGCAAACAGGAAAAATGAGGAAAAGTGTACGCACTCCGAGATCATGAAGCGTCTTATTCTCTATGGGAAGCCCGTGACAATCCCATCCTGGGACATAACTACGGAGGTCAACACCTGCACATCGCACCGACCCGGGGAGTGCACGTACTGGACTTTGTGGCCTAGTGAGAGGTGATACCGATTGATAATATCCTTGAGAACCTTATTGAGCGCATGACCTGGTAGAGCGTCAGATCTATGTCATGTCAATAACATTTGCGACATGTACCCATGTGCAGATGCCCGTTTGCATACGGCGGCCCATCGTGCAGGACGAACGAAGGCCCCTGTGCGTTTTCGCGCTAGCTCCGGACAGACGTACGTTAGCTCCTATCTACGCAAAACAGTCGGGAGCAAGCACCAACCTGCCAGAGATATAGGCTACCACAAGTCTTGTCCTTCAAAGATTGCTCCGTCTGCGCTACGTTGGGCCATAGCGGGAAGGAGGTCTTGGGTAAAAGTAAAGTCTTCGAGAAAGCTTTATTATCCTGCTTCGCCTTTGAGTGATCTAAAAGAGTGCGGGAAGTGGTGAAAGAACGTTTCTTGATATGACAACGGGGTAGGGCGGCCCTGTGGCCCACAACGCGTTGCATGGGCTCAACGTCGCGGTCGATGAAGACGCGACGGCGGCTAAGGCTTGCAGTCGCGTTTACCACGTGATGGAGTGTTAAATTGTAGTGTGTGGCGTCGGAGGTGTGGCCCAAGACATATGACCTTCCCTCTCACTCACTGCCGACAACATTAGTTGCGAATTGCAGAAAATATCCATCGTAATAGGCAGTACATCGACATGCAGAGTTCAGAATATTTGTATACCTCACTGGCCCGTTCTCGGTAGCGACGCGCCTAGAAACACGTCGCGCGCCGGAAGAGATAAAATACGTACACAATAAACGAGCTCTAAGAAACGAACGGCCACTCGAGCCAACGTCGTTCCGCAGCGTCGAAGGCGCACAAAACTTGGGCCGTCCGAATGCTGGCAGGCCGCCATGCTATCCGCATTGCGTCCCGAACCATCGTTCTTGGTCGACGCTCGTTCCCACATCTGATAACAGCCAGACGCGTCGAGTCAGCTCTATCCTTGCCTCATCCCTCCTTTGCCCGCTACCTTCATCTCTCTTTGCCCACCATGGCCGAAGTCGCAGCGCTCACAAAACGTCTCGAGTCCCTCCAAGTGACTACGATCACCTCTATATCGCACACAGAGGCAACCACCCCGGCAGCCTGGAGGGAGGTCATCCAGGCCTCCGACGCTCCGAAAGGCTTCCAGCTCGTCAAGGTGCTCGTCTTCAAGCCTAAGACAGCGAAGAACGCAACCCCCGTCCCAGTGGTCGTCATCGCGAAAGATGAGACAGAGACGAGCTCGGGTGCTCTGGGCAAGAAGCTCAATCTGAAAGAGCTCCGTCTTGCCTCGGAGGACCTCCTTCAAGAGTTCTTTTCTGCCGATAAAAACTCTCGTGCGCCACTCTATCTTGCTCTTGGCCCGATCCCGATTTTGACTGCTCCCGTACAGTCTCTCCCCTCGCTCTTACTACAGAAAACTTTCCAAAAGTGACCACAGTGCTCGATACATCTCTGATCGACACCACTGCCCCAATCGCTGTCCGCGCTCTCTCTTCAAACATCACCACCTTCCTCTCCGCTTCAGAGCTTCTCTCCTACCTCCGCAAACTCGAAACGGACACGTCCAAGATCCACGAAGTCGATTTTGTCGCCCTCAAAGCTGATGCTACTGCCGACGGATCCTCTGCCCTCCCCGCCACCACCAAGCCTGAAAAGAAGAAGGTCGAGAAGGAGGATGCAAAGATCGAGGGTGCCATTCAGGTGGCTATTGGTGTGAAGAAGGAAGTTGATTTCGCTACGTGGTATACCAACGTATGTTTGTTAATCCTCCCGTGTGATGAACATGCCCTAAACCCATGCCGCGAAATCAGGTCCTGTTGAAGGCAGACATGTTGGATTACTATAGCGTCAGCGGATGCTATATCCTCAAGCCCTGGTCCTACAGCATCTGGGAGTGCATCCAAGGTACGTTGCTGGGCCAAATGCCACCTTCTCAACGAGTCCGTTCTAAAGCGTCAATGCAGAATGGTTCAATGTGAAGATCAAGGAAATGGGCGTCGAAAACTCCTACTTCCCCATGTTCGTGTCACAGCGCGTCCTCGAGCGGGAGAAGGACCATATCGAGGGTTTCTCTCCGGAAGTCGCTTGGGTCACACGAGCGTACGTCCTTTTCTGCTCATAAACATCGAATCTCTCTCATCGGGTTGCAGTGGCCAATCAGAACTGGAAGAACCTATCGCCATCCGTCCGACGTCAGAAACTGCTATGTACCCTTGTAAGTACTAAGGATCAATTTTTCAACCTTATGCATATCACTCATACGATTGCAGACTACGCAAAGTGGATTAAGAGCCACCGTGATCTCCCCCTCAAATTGAACCAATGGAACAGCGTTGTCCGCTGGGAATTCAAGAACCCCCGTGCGCCCTTTTTTGTGTCTCTATTCATCTAGTCCTACCTCATATTGACACACTATCACAGAGCCCTTCCTCCGTACCCGCGAGTTCCTCTGGCAAGAGGGTCACACCGCGCACTTCACCAAAGCCGAAGCCGACGCCGAAGTCCTCGAAATCCTCGACCTCTACCGTCGCGTCTACGAAGAGCTCCTCGCAGTGCCCGTCATCACCGGTGTCAAATCCGAAAAAGAAAAATTCGCAGGCGGTCTCTACACCACGACCATCGAAGGCTTCATCCCCACCTCCGGCCGTGGCATCCAAGCCGCCACCTCGCACTGTCTCGGCCAAAACTTCTCCCGTCCGGAGATGTTCAACATCTTCGTCGAGGACCCGAATGACCCGACGGGCGCGGGGAAGAGCTATGTGTGGCAGAACAGTTGGGGTCTTTCGACGAGGACGATCGGCGTGATGGTCATGGTGCATGGTGATAACCAGGGATTGGTGTTGCCTCCCCGGGTGGCGAGCGTCCAGGTCGTCGTCGTTCCTTGCGGTATTACCGGCAAGACGTCGGACGACCAACGTAAGACGATCAACGACAAGTGCGCCGAGCTCGTCAAGCAGCTCAAAGCCGCCGGCGTCCGCGCCAAGGCCGATCTGAGGGACGGATACACTCCTGGCTGGAAGTTCAACGAGTGGGAACAGAAGGGCGTGCCACTTCGTCTCGAGATCGGACCGCAGGATCTGTCGAAGAAGCAGACATTGGGCGTGCGGAGAGATACGGGCGCTAAGGCGCCGTTGCAGTTGGAGGGCCTTGAGAAGAGCGTCCCCGAGCTTTTGGAGACGATCCAGAAGGAGATGTTCGAGAAGGCGAGGGATATCTATCAGAGCAGGGTGAAGGAGGTGACCAAGTGGGAGGACGTCGTTCCTACGCTTGATGACAAGTGTGTCGTCGCGATCCCGTGGTGTGAAGTTGAGGCCTGCGAGGACGACATCAAAGAGCGTAGCGGACGGGCGTAAGTCCCTTCAGTTTCTTTCCTCCTTCAATCCATGGGTACTGACCTCTGCATTTCTCGTGGTATCAGTGCCGAGCCCCAGGACGAGCGCGCTCCTTCCGCCGGAGCCAAGTCTCTCGCCATCCCCTTCGACCAGAGCCGCTGGACTCCTATCGAGCCTGGCAAGACGAAGTGCCCTGCTTGCGGTTCAGATGCTAAACGGTGGACCCTCTTCGGTCGCTCGTACTAGAGGTTTGTTCTCCCGTCGCCGCTCTGTTTCCGTTGTTTCTTGCCGGGGTTGTCGTTAGCTAGAAGTCCAGAATGACAAATGTATGACTGCTTGATTGCACGAGGTGGTAGCCGCCACGGATACATCAATTATCATTGTATCCGTGTGTTTTTCCTCAGATGACTGTGACTGGCAGGCAGAACGAGTTGAAGCTTGACTAAACTGGGCGAGTCTCTTGTTGGCATTGTCAGCGTTGCTGTGCTTGTCCCAACGACATTGCTTTTGATTTCATCTCCGGATGAAAGCAGCGGACTCCTGCTAAGTAAAAGGCTCGAAGCTAGTGGCGCTCATGGACGTGCTTCGTCAGAGGTATTCGCGTGCTACTTTGGCTCAATCGGTCACACTTCACGATGCAGCTCTAGGTGAATGTCTACAGGCTAGAACGAGAAATCTATACTAACACGCTCCAATAAAAAAATACGGAGTCTACGCTGCGACAGCGGTCAAATCAAAGTAACCGTACTCTTTCCCCTCCTTATCGTCAGCGAATCTCTGCGTCCACTCGGGGAGACCCTTTAGGAACCCATCCACATTCGCCTGGACGGAGAAGTCCGCCGGCTCTTCGCCCTTCCCCAACTGCCTGATCTGCACTCCAGCGGCGGCAAGCGTGGTCCCGAAGTCGTTCGGATCGAGCTTTTGTTCGATGACTGCCCTAACCTTCCGCTCCAAAATATCCTTACACAACGTCGGCTCCTGGGTCAACGGACGACCAAGACCAACCCCATCCACAATATCCAGCGCGTGAACCATCGCACCGACGGTCTTGAACCCACCCGTAACGTACGCCCTCGTCTTCGTCAACCCCGGCACGATCTTCTCCGCAAACTCTAAGAAGAACGCCTCCCTCTCCTTCGTGCTTTCCCGCCTGTGGTGGAACCCAGACGCTGCAAACGTGCCACCGGATAGCTCTACGAAATCGAACGTGCTCTCTTCCAGGATGCGTACGAGCTCTGCGGCCTCTTCCGCCTGGAACCCATCCGCCTGCCACTCTTGGCTGTTGATCTTGATGCCGAGTATGAACGAAGGAGATGTCGCGCGACGTATGGATTGTGCGATTTCGACGATGAGGCGGGCACGGTTGGTTAGGGAGCCGCCGTAAGCATCGGTACGGAGGTTGGTCGTCTTGGAGAGGAATTGGGCGAGCAGAAAGCCGTGTGCGCCGTGGAGTTGGATACCGTCGAAACCGGCCTTTTCAAGGTATACTGCGGCATGAGTGAATGCTTCGGTGATGCCGCGAATGTCCTGGAGGGTGGCGGCACGAGGCTTCGCAAAAGCGATTGCGCCAGGAGGACCCTCAACTATATAACGGGGATCAGTTTCCTGCTGGATATCTAGTAGCAAGAAGATATCCGCGTACTTTTGAGTTGAACGTCACTGGCGGACATAGGATCTTTGGTGACATTATCTTTGACTTGTCTCCCAGGATGACCAAGTTGCGCAACCACCACACTTCCCTCCCTCTTCGCCTCTCTCGCGATCTCCTTGAACCTCTCAAACCTCTCACCCTCGAACGGTGCATCCTTGGCGATAACAGGGTTTCCCTTGGCTTCAAAGTGCTCGTAGTCCGTCATAATGTTGCCAGTGACGATCAAACCGATTCCTCCTTCTCCCCAACGACGATAGACATTGACGACCTCGTCTGTTGGCACACCACGAGAGGGACGGTCTGTTGGGGACCAAGATGACAAGTTCTCTGCCATAGCGCCTTTGAGGAAGCGATTGGGCACGGTACGATTTGAGAAGGCGAAGTGGAGAGGTTGGCCTAGAGGGGAGGGGTCGACGTCGGCTGATTGATAACGAGAAGACATTCTTTCGAGCGAGATGTATGTGGTGAACGTGTAATAGGGAGTAGATGTAAGAGACAGAGGTTAGTATGCTGCGAGTGTGAGCTGCAACTGATGCCTTGCAGACCTGAACGAGGCTCGCTTTTATACCGTCGCCTCATGCTGCTAGTATAAAGAAGCAATAATCTCGCTCTCAAAAGAAGAGAAGGCATTGATCATTCAGCATTGCTGAGCAACCCATACATCACTCATCAACGTTTTGCTTTGTACGTTGAGCAAAACAAGGCCTCTCCCAGTCCAGCTTGCAAAGCAGCCACAGTATCAAACAAAACTAAACAAGATATTCGAACCTGACGGTGAATCTTTGGCCAAATGAAGCAGGAACCTTACTCATCCAAGGCTCTATCAGCGAGACTGAGCGACCAAGGTCAGGCCGCTTCCTGGAACGCGCCATGTACTTTTTTTTTTTTGGATACATACTGATCTGCAGCCTAAAATAGGTGCGGTGAGAGATTAGTAAGAATTTTTCATCCAGCAAGCTTGGCAGAGTTACCGTCACTCGAGAATGTCCTTTATCTTGCGGTTGTAATCAAAACATAATTCTTGAACGAGCAGTGCACTGATAGTGAGGCCAGCCAGCTGGATGATACGGACCAAGAGGCTTGAACCTCACCGTGCTAAGGAGGGCGGCCAAATATTCGTGCACGATACGAGCCAGATTTTGCGGTACGTGGTGGGCAAAAAGTGATCCTCGGATAGTATCCCACGCAACAAGCGACGCAGAGCCTTCTGCAGAAAGAACTGTACGCTGGGAATTAAAGTGTTGGAGGAGTGATGATTGATCCTTCGAACTCGAACTTGGTCACCGCCTCCGAGTCGGAGAACGCATTCAATGCCCGACGGCATTTGCCGCGCCACAATCCCCCTACTTGTCTGAATACTTAATCTTAACTCTTCGTTTTGCGTTGTATGTTTTTGCTGATCGCGTTCAATGCTACTGTGTCAGAACAGTTAATGATCTTTTGGTCAAGGTAAATGTTTGCAGTCACCGTCGCTGGTCAAATCCAATGCCCGAAAACTGTATGGATAGAGAGGAACGCCACTTCAAGTTGCATACATTCCACACGCTATCGAATTTAATGTCTGCACTCACTGGTACTATCAGTCGCACACTCCTATACAGAATCTCACGCTCCAACAGCCGTCAGATCGAAATACCCATACTCTTTCCCCTCCTTGTCCTCTGCCAATCGCTGCGTTTAATCCCCAACATCCCTCAAAAACCCATCCACATTCGCCTGCACTCCAAAATCCACCGGCTCCTCTCCCTTCCCCATCCTGCCACTCTTGACTGTTGATCTTGATGCCGAGGATGAATGAAGGAGACGTCGCGCGACGTATGGATTGTGCGATCTCGACGATGAGGCGGGCACGGTTGGTCAGAGAGCCGCCATAAGCATCTGTACGGAGGTTGGTCGTCTTGGAGAGGAACTGGGCAAGGAGAAAGCCGTGTGCGCCGTGGAGTTGGATACCGTCGAAACCGGCCTTTTCGAGGTAAACTGCGGCATGGGTGAATGCTTTTGTGATTTCGCGAATATCCTCGAGAGTCGCAGCGCGGGGTTTAGCAAAACTGGTGGTGCCAAAAGAAACTATATGGCGTATTCGTTAGTTCCATTCACTGAGAGTAAGTACAGGTGCTATGTAAGCATACCTTTGAGTTGAACGTCGCTAGCAGAAGTCGGATGTTTATTGATCGCATCGCTGACCTGCCTCCCTGCATGGCTAATCTGACCGAGCACAAGACTTCCCTCCCTCCCCGCCGTCTAACCTCTCAAACCTCTCCCCTTCAAAAACTGCATCCCTAGCGATCACAGGGTTCCCTTTTGATTCGAAATGGACGTAGTCCGTCATGATATTGCCGGTGATGAGGAGACCGACGCCGCCCTGGCCCCAGCGGCGGTAGACGTTGACGAGGTTGGCGGATGGAACGCCACGAGATGGGATGTCTGTGGGAGACCAGGACGATAGGTTCTCGGCCATGGCGCCTTTGAGGAAGCGGTTGGGGACGGTGCGGTTCGAAAATGCGAAGTGGAGGGGTTTGCCCAGAGGAGAAGGGTCAACATCTGTAGATTGATAACGAGACGACATTTCTAGTCAATTGAGGATGAAGAGTGCAGGGTGAGGAGTAGGTGTCAGTACGCTGCGAGTATGGGTTGCACAGTCGCACAAGACCTGTCTTTATAGCCGTGCTCAGGACTGTTTGAAAGAAGCTCTCCCCCTAGCAACAAAGTTCACCCAGACAGACAAAATACAGGCCTATTCCGTCGGATTCATGAACGGGGAACTGAGGATTTGTCCCCACGTTGATCAGCAGGGTTGGACAGAGTAGCCCATATTTCCAGTGACGACGATCCTCTGCCAAGACAGCATGGGCGCTAGCAGTGAGCAAGAACGAGAGTATGTAACTAAAGTTTAATGCAGGGGTCCGCCGGGGAGATAACATTGGCGCTTCGACTTGGGTGAGTGCGGTAAGCATCCCATGGGTCAGCAGTCTCGACCCACATCTGTTGTTGGAGAAGAGAGGATATGTCCGATAGCTCGAGTGCAGGCATTGCCGATAGTTTCGAACCAGAGGAAACGGAAGCACTTATGGCAGAACAAGCCGCAAGGAAGCCGCGCGGCGAGAGATTAGGAGGTTGAAGCAGGAAGCTGAATGGTCGGACGAGGTCGGAAGCAAATGGCAAAAACTGTTCCGCCACACTACGTCAGCAGGCGTCCTCAAATGGCAGTGAATTCCCAGGGTTTGGGGCGATCTGCGCTCGAAAAACGGGCAACATTGGGCCATCATGCACGCTGCCTGTCGCCGTCGCTCATACTTATGCTGCACCTCTCGTTGACGACCACTAGCCCATTCGCCACACGACCCCCACCGGCCGTCTTGAACAGTCCACGCGACACAATCTTCGCATTAATTTCGCGTACTCATTGACACAGACCTGACACACCGCTTCAGTCTCGACATTGATCACCCTCTAGAGCTTCTTTCTCTGCTCTTTCCTTGCCTTTGTTCAACATACATCTTCACTCGTAGACTTATAATTAGCAATGGTACGTCCAAGCCATGCCCTCCATTTACCACTGAACCTCACCATGTACGGGCTTGCATGTCCTTTTAGCAGCCACAAAACGCTTCGCCTTCGGGTTCTGCGTCAATATCGCCTCCCAGCGTGCTCTCTTCATCAGCCGCATCTCCTCCATCCACCTCGACATCCCAATCTCGCTCTCAAACAAAATCTTCACCTTCACACTCTCCGGTCCGGCACGTACAAGCACCTGTCACTCCCCGCGGTCGTACTCGCTATCCAAATCATCTCAATCGCGACCCCAACCGTGTTCCCCTTCATCGCAGAGGCACGTCAAAGACTTATGAACGATTGGAGGATCTCTTGAAGGAAGCAGGTTACAAGGAGACGAGAGTGTTCACGCCAGAGACAGACCGTTTTGATAATGAGGGTTCAGGGAAGAAAGGGAAAGGCCGAGAGGATACTTCAAAGACAAGAGGTGGTGTTGGTGCTGTTGTAGGATTTCTTACCGGACTCGTTACCACAGGTCAGGGACAAGTGCACGAGGGCAAGGATGGCGAGGGAAGTGAAGACGACGACGATGTCATGCCCACACCAACGCAGACTTCGGCAAAAGAGCGGCTACCTCCTTTGACGGGTTCCCCAATAACGCGCAAGCTAACACTCTCCTCACCTCTTCGCCAAAGTTTTCCTTCATCAAATAGCCAGGAAACCATTCGACGACCCGTATCCACAATTCCCCGGTCCCCGTCGCCCACTCCCGCCCCTTCCGGTTATTCGTCCGCCGCTTCATCAAGACCCTCGTCCCGTGTAGGCCACCGCACCGTACCCGCCCACTCCAATTCGTTTCATCACAATCATCATTCACACCACCACCCCATCCCGAAACACCAATTCTCCTTCTCCCAATTATCAAATGACGTCCCCCATCACAATCCCGTCCGCCCCCAACCCTCACTGCCTTCGCACATGCAGACCTACACCCAAGCCTCCGCTGCGCGCAACTACCTCCGCCACATGGCCTCAACGCCGAACATCCCCCGGCGAAAATTGACGCCACAGCACTCCACAGCCGCATTCACGCACGCGCAGCGCTCGCAGCGAACCAGCGACCCCGGCTTCGAGAGCGACGACGGCCGACCACCCATGCCCCCCTCCTGGCTCGAAGTCGTAGCGCGAGCGATCCTCGGTGCGCCGGGATCACACATCGGTGGCCCTTCGGGTGCCTCGGGCGGTGGCGGCGGGGCGGGATTGGAAAGGTCAAGGTCCTCGGTGTCGACGAAGTCTGCGCCTGCGCGTCATGGGCCGAGAGGAGGAGCCAGGTCTTTACCACAGTCGCAGAATGTGTCGGCTGCGCCTAGTCGTTCGAATACTCTTCGCGGTCGGAGGACGACTCGGGCGCCACAGGATATCACGAATTCGAATGTTGATGGGACCGCCTTGAGGCCGGGCTTGACGACCAGACCATCGCTGTTGATGGTCAACTGTGCGAATCCGATGGGTGCAAAGGCGACAAGTAGCGTGGGAATGGTGGTTAAGACTAATGTGGTATGCCGTTCGGCCCCTGTGTCGAGAGAGACATCGAGAGTTCGAGTGGACAGGGATGTATTGGCACGAAGAGGTTTTGGAAACGAAACGGGTACTGTGAGGGGTAAAGGTGGTTCAAAAGGAAGGTCGTTGCTATTAGGGAGTCGAAAGGCGGGTGGTGGGCGGAAGGGTCCGCGTAAAGGCAAGGACACGTTGCCCAGTTTGAGCACCAGGGTGGAGGATTACGACTTCGACGTTTGGGGACGGCCGCAACACCCGTCTTTCGACCTCGACGACGACTATAGCGCGGACGAAGAGAGCGAGGAAGGGGAGCTCGACCTCGCTAGGCTGTTAGTCGACCCGAAAAGACAGCATTCCATCCAGAGCCTGAGGAAACATCTCGATAGGGATCAGCGCGCCGGGGCGACCCCACTCACTCGATCGACATCGTCACTCACGCAAAGTTATCCACATTCGGCGGCGTCTTCGTTCCGGAGAGGACGTAAACCGAGGAACATGGACATGATGGGAACTTGGCTCCCCGAGGACATGGACGACGCTGAGGAGATCGATGGGCACGGTGAAATCCTCAATGGGATGATCATTGGCTCGGGGCTGGGTGGGAAGTTTCGCGGACGGGGAAACAGGAGCTATAGTAGGGGTAGGGGTAGAGGGGATGGAGAGGATGACGATATGAGTGTGAGGGATTTGACGATGTTGGCGGGAAGTTCCGCCGTGCTAGACGATGGGGCTTCGACGAAGAGGTCGAGGAGAGCTCTCCCGAATGGGTGGTCGGAATGAAGCGATGCGCGGTAGACCGCCTTTGCCGACGTGGCTCAGGGAGCATACGGGCCCTTTCATCGGTCGCGGTAGGATGTCGCTGGGTGTGGCCTGCCCTATCCTTTCTCCGAGGATGTCTGGGTGACTGGTCGTAGATGTCGGTCTTCTCTTTCTAGGTTAGTTGGGCAGCTGCTCTGTTTGACCCCGCGGCGCGAAGATGCTCTCGTGGCATTTCCGTCGGCCTGTGTTGGTCGTTCTTTCAAGAGTGCTTGACCATGGGGACTATGGATTTCTTTCTTCAGGGATTTTCTTCGTGACGGGCTGCGACCGCGCAGGTTCTGTTTGGCGTCCTTCTCCGTTCACCTTGCTTCTTGTTGGTCATCAAACTATCCTATATCTATTGTGACCCTATCGCTTCACTGTGCCGCCGCCACTTGTTGTCTTTCTCGCGTCTCGGTCTGACACTCTACCATAACTCACTCATACACGCACCGTCCATCACCCTATGCATCCAGTTGTTCGGTCTCCTCCGGTCTGTTTAAGTACCTATCCATCCTAGACCTTTTTACTGGCTTACCCCCCCAAATATGTAGAGTATCGCCTTACAATTCCTTTTATTATTTAATAATCCCGTCTTCCCCCATTCCCATTCGCTTGTACATACATGTTGTCTTTTTGCTATTCGTCCGTGTTCGCCGTCCCACCCATCCGCCCAGCAGTTCACACACAAACATAACGTATCGTACTATATATCGCATCGTCTCGTCTCCCCGTGCTCAGGCTGCCGTTACCATCGTATTGTATCGTAAGCTATACTTGTGCCAGCTACAGTACATACTTACCGAGAATGAAATAAGAGAAGGAGAAGTGGAATTATTGACATAGAGCAATTATAGACTGAAGCCCGTGAGCCTGAGCAGGACTCTGCGGGAGACTGTTTAGAATGCGAATCATGATCACAGTGAGCTAATGATGCACCTCGAGGCTACGAAGGACCAAGGACAGTCGTACTCGGGTTCTCAGGAAGGTTAATAGAGAACAATAGGATTGGGATTATAATTACGGGATGTGCCACGTACTCATCAAGGAAGAGTTCATGAATTTCAAAGAGAGGATGGAGATGTGCGTGCTCACCGCGATGGTCCAGACAGAGCGGTTTCCGGCGGTGAAAACAAGGTTGACGGTTTAGTGGGACCGTTGACGTTCTTGCAACATGTGGATGTCTCTTCATAATCACGACCATGCACTCAATGGGCAGGTTGAAAGGCTCGTAAGATCCTTGTGTGAGCGCCACAGATGAACGCCACACCGCCGGCATATTTGAAGATGTAATAAACGCGCTCACGTGATTTCCAATGTGTTTGTCTGGCGGACGTGACGGAGAGCATTGGGACGCGTTCTGGAGGTGGATGAGTGGCATATTCGCATTCTACAGCCAGAAGATACTAGAACAGAGAGTTTGTGGCCAGGAAAATGAGCGCCAGCCATGTTTTCGGCTCCATATGTCGCCATATTCGTCGTACAAGGAGAATACAAGGAGACGGATAAAGGAGGCAACCCGCGAAGTCACCGTTATAGTCCTCCATCCCCATCGCCCTTTCCTCACAGACCCCACCATCGTCGCGTCTCGCTCTTCCAACTCTCCTACCGTTTCGCCCATACATGGTCAGTCGAGCAGTCAAGCTCCTCGCGCCTCACATCTTCTGTCAGTCTCCTCGCGCCAGCAGACGGTTCAAGAACAAAGTCGATAGCCTTTCCCGTGCGATTGCATCAAAACCCTATCGTCGTTCGCGTCTCTCGAGCTCGAATTGGTTCCAAGAGAGAGGGAAGGATGGGGATGTTTACCACCAGGTTACTGGTAATGCCGGTCATGGAACCAGGGTACCCCTCATGGATATTACACCACGCCTCAGGAACAAGTTGGACAAGCTTCTAGCCAGGATGACGATGGAGAAGAAACAGTGGAGGAGAGAAGTTGGCAGCGAGAAAAGGGTTGGAGGCAATGACAAAGAGGTCGAAGAGGAGGAGGATGAGCTTGAAGATGAGGATGAAGACGAAGACGAGGATGAAGCGATCGACGAGGATGACATTCGGGTGCTCATTGAGCAGTGTCAAGCCGAATACGGGATACGACGGAAGAATGACGAAGAGCGGGAGGAGTGCAAGTTTGTGGAGGCCAGTGCGACCGCGGCCTCTGGAGGCGAAGGGTTGTGTTTGGAAGAGACAAAGGAGAATTTCAGAGTTTGAAGTAGGCGATTCCCGGGTGTATGGTGAATATTCTTGTTCTGGCATCCAATCATCGAGCCTTCTGCCCTATGCTCAATCCTGTGTTATGTTATGTGTGTGTTGAGTATTGAGTGTATGAGTACAGACTGACTTCGATTAGAAACAATTGTATACTATGGAGATGCTATGGGGCCCCAGAAGCCGTTTGTCGATGGAATGGAACGGAGTGAACGCGTGTTACGAAAAAGCGTAGCGGCCGGGCATCATGATGCAAAAGACAGACTCCTGAGCCTGAGAATAGCAGGATCGAAAATATTTTTCCAGGAGCAATTGAGGGCGGAACGAGAGCCTGCCCGAAAAGGAGCGTCCGATAAAAGGCAGATTGTGCCACGTGACCGCGTTCGTGTCGCGCTCCGATAAAAGGCGGCGATCCCGCCAACTTCTCCCTTGTGCGTCTCCTCCACAACCTCTTCGACGCCCTTGAGTTCCCCTTCCGCCCGCCCGCCCGCCCGCCACCATCAACGACGACGACGACGATGCCTGATACGAAGCCCACCAAGCACAACTTCCCAGCGAGCGTCCCCATGATGCCGGCATCGGCCCCAACGACCCCAGCGTACTCCCTCTCCAAGGCCTCCGCCGCCAGGTCCAAGGACAATGGCCCCCCTCCGGTTACCCCGCAACGACTTCCGCGCTCTCAAAGGCATCAGCACCAACTTCAGAACTATGTGGGGCGATCACCCAGCACGACCGTCTCGACGCCCTACACACCGCTCAGTCTGCGATCTGCATGGTCTTCTGGCTCAAACTCAGTCTATACCACGCCCGCCTCTGCTGCGAGCCGGAAAAGACTCGGGGCCTCGCTTTCCCCCGAGAACCTCTCAATGGATGAGAGCATAAGCCCGGCGGACGTCGCCAATGACTGGCGTTGCCGTTCAAGCGAGAGCGGCATCAAGGATGATTTTGCTTCAGAGAACGGTAGTTTCGACCAAGGTATGTGCACCTCACTGGTTCTACTCTCTCGCCACCGGCTGACTTGTTTATTTTCACTCAGGTGCAGACATACACATTTCCTCTATGCTGTTCTTTTGACTAAATTGACTGTGTTTTGCCTGCCCCATCTCGTGCATACACCGTGCGTACCACCTGCCTATATGCGCCCAGTCCTCGCACCGGCTGACTTCTCCTTCTAGACCTGGCTATTACAATTCAAGACGGTGAGTTCAACGTGTTTGCTGACGAATGCAACATCGTGTTCTGATCGTTTCCGTCTTCCCATGCCACCTCACGACTCCGATCACCCTAGGTCAGCATCCATCTACTCACAGTTTGGCGCCTTGACACGAGTACTAATATGTTTCACCTAGTCCTCCTCGCCCCTCCTTTCTTCCATGCTCATACCGCTCCCCGCCGCCCGAGGGCCCATACATTGGCTCAGCCCCAGCCCGAATCTCCGATGTCTCCAGAAATGAATGTGCAACCACAAACTCCGGCTCGAAAGACTCTGGCGAGTCTCAATACCCCACCTCCTCAAGCATCTAATATTAGCCGCCTCAAAGCCAAGGGTAGCGCTAGCGACCCGGCTTATCCCCGCCGTCGCCCTACCTTCGGCCAGGTTAGTAGCTCTCATCATCACCACAAGGTCATCATTGACATCGAGTTTAGACCCCGACAAGACTCTTCGACATCGACGAGAACGACTATGTCCCATATCCTATGGCGTTTTCTCCTTCTCATCCTTCCACATCACCCTTCGCATTGCACGACCCATACGAGGCACCCCGTCTTCCAAGTATCGCAGAGTCTCTTCAACAGGCTGCCCGGTCAATCCGCACCTCCGGACGAGACGATAGCCCACCTCGATCCAAGTCAACGTCGTGTTCCGTTTGCGGCTTGTCTTCCCCATCCCTTGCTATCTTGGAGCCATGTTCCCATGTCCTCTGTTCCGGCTGTCTGACTAGCGCACTCAATATCGTGGGCGAAAAGGACATGGCATGTGCGGTCTGCGACACCGGCGTCGCCAATTTCCATCTCAAAAACGTGGGTGGCGGCCTGACGGAGAAGTCGCACAGACGGGCCTCTTCAGGATCGATAGCCAAGGATCTCGATGGTCTCACGAACCAGTTTAGCGTCTTCGACATTGAGGGTCCCTGTCTCTCGGCGCAGAGTGGTGGAAACAAGCAGCACTCCAACAGGCCCGGCGAATACCCTGTACTTCGAGTCGACAATGTTCCTTGGGTACGTTGTCAAACTACATTCGTTCGACTGCTGTCTCCGTATCTGATGTATCATGGGACTATTCTTTTGACAGGACATCACTCCGCCCGCTATCGTCGCTTGGCTTCGTCACCCTGTTCGCTTGGTCCACGTACTCCTAGACCGCAAGGGCAAGACCATGAGCCATGCTTTTGTTGAGATGATGGACGAAGACGCGGCCCGAGCTGCACTCCGCACTGCCCAGAACTCTGTTCTCGGGAAGGGTAAACGTGCTCGCGGGGTCACAGTCACCAGAAGTAGCCAGGAGGAAGTGATGAAGGCTCTATTTCCGTCCTGGAGGGGTCGGTTCGATGGCACGAGGCCTTCGCTTGCTGGCCTGGGTAACGAGATGGTGGTGTCGACGCTTGAGGCCGGGCTAATCACTGAGGGCGAACTCAAGGCGCTGGCACATCTCATCAGGGCGCCGGACGTGAGTTACAGGCCATCGTTGTATCTCAAACTATTCCCAGTAGCAACCGTCACTGATGTTGTCTCGCTTGCTCGTTGTTTAATAGTCCCATTTCCTCAAGGTTCCCTCATTACCTTTCCACTGCTTGATCAGTATACTGTCCAAGTTCCCTGTCGATCTTGACAGTCAAGTATTCTGGTCCAAACCCGTGCGCGATGTTCTTTATGGTAAGAGCGCTTGTTACTCTCCGTACATGTGTCGCTCATAACCGTCCTCATGTCTTTTCCGTTTATAGATCTTACGTTTAGTATGTCCTTTCTTCCGGTGCTCCGCTCGAGTGCATACTGACTTGATGGTCGCAGTTGCGATACAAACCTTATTAAAACGCTGCGAAGATACCCCTGGCTTCTGCGAGCCTGATCTTCCTATGCGCCTTCTTCAAACTGCTTCGAACTGCCAAGGTACCTAGCCCGACTTGATCAGTCGCCCCCACTTTTTCAATAAGCTGATACATGTTGCCCAGCTTTTACCGGCGATCAGATGGCGAAACTGGGAAGCTTCGTGAACCCTTCTCCTACACCTTCGACATACATGCGCGACTCCCCGACATCTACCAACAGCGCCCTCAGTGATGCCTTCAATCCGGATTTCGCATCACAAATTCAGATGCTTGCCCAACAACAGCAACAGCTCCTTGACGCCGACTACCATCGAGCTGCTATGCAAGCTCATCTCCAGCAAGGCATGGGTTTGACGCATGCGCTCCCGTTTGACGCCGTCGCCCGTGAGTTCGGTGTCGACCGTCATGTCGTCGAGGCCATGGTGCAGAGATTGACCGGCATGTGTTGAGCATCTTGTAACATTGTTACGCTCCAGCCTGGTGGTGGCAGCGGCATTATGTGATTCATGGTCTCTAGGCCTTTTGTCTATCTTCTCTTTACGATGACGCGTGCGCTTGCGCCGCTTTTATGACTTTAGATGACTTTCTGTTTTCCGGTCTTCCTCGTCTTCTTTTTCGGTTGCATGCCCCTCGTGTTTTTCGCATGAATAGTTTCGTTCCGTTTGCACTCGGTCTGATTTTATCGTCGTCCTCACCGTTCTCGCAGTGTTTTCTTGGTCGGAGTCCCATTTTCAAAAGCATTCCCTCCACCCGCACCTACCCTCCTCCATGTTTTTGTACGTCGTCGTCAGTGAGCATCACATTTTCCATTTTCCCTTCGTTGTCGGCGGCGGCGTAGCCTTTCAGTATTGTACGCAGATCAACCCTTTCAGACTTTCACTCGCTCATGCTCTCCACCTTGCTATCCCACCGTCGTTGCTGCTTTCCTCCTGCCGCCGTACGCCCTTCCATTGCCGCTTATATCCGTCCATGTCGCCATTCATCTATCCATCGTGTGCCTCTACCTCGTCATCATCGCCGTTATCGTCATACTCGCCATCATCCACGCATCATCGACCCTCTCCTCTTCGCAATCAATTATGCATACCTTTTGCCCGTTCGTGTAACCTATACAGCATCCATCTCCATAAAACGTCTTATCCGTAGACCGGGCTCATTCGCATTCCTTTCGAGATGGTAGTGATGTTGATTTCCATCACCGCGACCTGCCCTTTGCCATCTGTTCTCGCCTTCTCTTGTTGTGGTAGCGTACCTTTACTGTATCCAACCTGTGTCCTCGCCGTGATCATCCGTATCGTGGTTCCAAAAATCCAATGTGATCTCTTTGATCATTTCTTTGCAATACTGGTGTTGTGTGTTTGTTTGTGCCATGTTGTAATAAAACCATAAGTAGAAGAATTGTGAATTTGCTGTGCGGCGTGTGCTTGGATATTGATCTCGTCGAGAGGATGGGAACGATTCGGATTGCTTAGAGGTATATTGCTAAGGTGCTAACATATGGAGTGGTCAGGCTGGCCGCAGTTTGCGGTCAACAGACCACAAGTCCAACTGCAGGTTGGCCAAGGTTGGCCACCCGTAGGCCACCCCCTGTGGCGTGGCTCGGTACCGCGATAAATTAAACTGTAGTGACTTTGGCACTCACTCACGTCCATATCGACTCATACGGCCACTGCAGTCTGAGTCGAGTCCTACCATCACCATCCTGTGCTTCCAACTTTATGACTCATCGGAATCATCGTCTGATGCACTCTGGTATAAATATCTGGGCAGAAGCGCTTTCAGACGAACGACAGCTTCCTTCCCCATCTCTCTCGAGCCCCCCTACATTCTACCCCTCTACCACCTCCACATTCTACCCCTCGTCTGGCAGCTATGTCGTCTACCACTATCATCGATGCTTCCGAGCATCCCTTGACTTCTGTCACCATCTTCAAGTCTCGTAAGGCTGAGATCGTGCGCTCGTTCAAGTTGTCTTTCCAGGTATGCCGCTTTCATGCCCTCAGCCCAGAGCCTACATACTCGTCGCTATCCTTTTACGTCTTACTAATACTAGCTTCTACTCACAGAAAGGCCAGAACAAGGTCGAGATCCGTAACCTTTCAGGATCCATTGATAGTGAATCTGCTCGCATCATTGGCCTCCGAAGCGACCTCCAGCTGTTCGACGTCGTCTGCACGAACTCATCCCCCGCCTCGAAACCGCTCTTCGGCGCCGGCTCTGTCTCTGTCCCTGAACCGATTCGTCTCCTCGAAGCCAAGAAAGCGGCCCTCGTCGCGGAGAAGAAAGCTATCACCTCGGCGAATTTTGTGCTCGAAAATTACTCGAAGACGCTCAAGAGCGACGACGTCACTCCAGAGCAGGCGGACAACTTTTTGGACACCTATGTGAGGCGGGCCAGGAAACTTGTCAAGGAGGGCGCAGAGATCGAGGAGCAGATTTTGGAGATTGAGAAGGCGATTACGAAAGAGCGAGAGGAAAGGGACAAGAAGAAGGGCAGTACGGCCGGGATGGTGAGCGTCGTGGTCATGGCGAAGAGGGAGATGGAGGCAGAGTTCAAATTGACGTATAGTGGGTTTTCCACGTTTTCTATCCTCTATGATTTATGTCTTACTCTTCACGTTTGTCAGTCGTGCACGGTGCATCCTGGGCTCCAAGCTACGAACTTCACGCCGCAACGGAATCCGGCAAGCCTTCCTCCTCGGTGTCTCTCCACTACCGCGCCACCATCAAACAGGGTACCGGTGAAGACTGGAACGGCGTGGCCCTTACGCTCTCTACGGCCTCTATGGATCAGGCGGACCAACAAGTCCCTAGTATCCAAGCCTTACGCATCCGGCCTCCGACCTCTGGGTCTGGTCAGCCAGTGTACCAGCAGCAGGCCATGCAGCTGCAACAGATGCAACAGCAGAGGGCGCCCCCTCAATTTGGCCTTGCTATCAGAGAACGGGACCGGGAAAGCACCGCGAATGGACCTCCCACTGCGAGCGGTCTATTTGGCGGAGGGAGGGGCGGCTTTGGCAGAGGTAGGGGCGGATTCGGCGGAGGGGCTTTGTTTGGATCCGCTCCTTCTGTACCAGGTGCTCCTCCACCACAGGCGGCCCCGCCTGCGCCCACAACGGCCACCCAAAAGGAAGAAGGGTGGACAAAGCCCGAGTCCTGGTCCTTGGCTGAGGACGAGGCTGAGGAACCCTTGAGCGACAGTGACAGTGAGTCAACCCAGGCGATGGCACCCGGCACTTTAATCAATGAGAGTCCCCTGTCGATCTCATATACCGTGGAGGGCCAGTCGAGCATACCGACGGATGGAGTGGCGCACAAGGTCTCTGTGGCCGAGTTGAAGTTCGAAGCGAAAGTCATGCATATTGCGGTTCCTCGCGTTCGCGCACAAGCCTATTTGCAGGTATGTACGGCGATCATCGTGTTTATTAGTCTGGCTGCTGAGTTGATTCTTGACTGTTTAGGCGCAAGTCAAAAATACGAGTGATTATAGGCTGTTGCCGGGCCCAGTCACCATTCTCATGAACGACAGCTACGTTTCGAAGACCTCCATCCAGGTCAGTCAGTATACTTCCTACCTACCGCTGTGCATGCTAACAATTGATTTTCATGCAGGACATCGCCCCAGGGGACTCGTTCGACTGTACCTTCGGCCCTGATACCTCCACCATAATCAGCTACACCCGTAATGTCAAGCGTACTACCGCAGCCGCGAGCGCCTTCACCGAGCAATACACAACCACGACCTTCGTCTCTGTCATCAAGGTGCACAACCGACACGCCTTTGCGATTGATCAGATCATCTTGCGAGATGCATTGGCGGTTTCGGACGACGAGAAGAAAGTCAAGGTGTTGCTCAAGAGACCGACGTCGTTGTTATCAATGTCTGAGCTCGAGGGTGCAGAGGACAGCGATGACGTGAGTAAGGACGCAGAGACGAAGGGCAAAGCTGTTGAGGGGCGGCAGAACTGCGTGGCCAAATGGCAAGAAGCGAAGGGCGGGAAGGGCGGAAGGAAAGATGGTTTGTTTGAGTGGATCTGTGAGGACATAGAGGCTGGAAAGGAAGTCAGTGTCGAGACCGAGTGGGACGTAAGGGCACCAGCGGACGTGAAGTGGATGGAAGTTCAGGCTTGAGCTTCAAGTTCTGCATTACGCTTTGTTTCAAGAAATATGTATGCCTTAGGATGTAGTATGTATCGGTCGCAGTGTCGGGGTACGAGTGTACTTTTTTGTTTGTCGCAACCTTTAGTATGTATGAATGAGCAATTGTAATTGTAGCGCACCATTTTCTTTGGACTTGATGCATGAGTGAAGATGCATACAGCGCATGATGATGCTACAGGATTTGCATTATGCGACTACAATGGATTACACAAAATTCTTTCTCCCAGGTTTCAAGTACAGGCGTGAATATTTCTGGGCGCCCTGCGAGCTCTACTTCAGACACTCAGAAGGGCGTGCCCGCCGGGAAAATCATAGGTCCCCGCACTTGTTCTCGTTTCTCCTTGCCACAGAGCAGTTCAACGATAGTCAGTGCGAAGGGGAATGCAGTTCCTACAAACAAAACATTAACGTCAGCGACATGCGAACAAAACCTTTGATTTGCTCAAAGCATGTGTAGAATACATGCAACTGAAAGCCGTTGGACATACCTGGACCTCGGCTTGTGATGAGGTTGTTAGAAACGACGACAGAGTCTTCGCTGTACTTGAATTCTGCATAACTATGTATTAGTGTCGATTAAGAGGTCGTAGAGATGACGTGAGAAAGGCGCACTTTGATCAAGTTCAGATTTGACGGAGGGGTGGGACGTCAGGGGCTGGGACGGGAGCTCAGAGCTCAGAGCTGCGAGGCTTCCTAGGAAATGGACGTATCGGTAGGTCAAAGGTCAAAACCATGCAGAGCAGTAAGTATATACCAGCACAAATCATAGCAACTAGTTTTTTGTTATTGTAGAATTCTTTGACGACAGTCTGAACGGCGGAGAATCCAGCCATTGTCTCTGCTCCTTTCGCGCCACCCGGAATAACGAGGACATCATAATCGTTCTGTATGATCAAACTTAGCCAATTGACCACAAACTATGCAGATGATATGATAGTGCTCACAGATGTCGTAGCTTTATGCGTGAAATAAATATCGGGCTGGATGCACACCCCGCGCGAGCATCTGACGAACGGAGGATTCTGTTCCGTTCCTTCGGGGATCGTCGCGGCGGATGTCGGCGAGACGTATGCAGAGACACACTTTACGTCGGCACGAACGAGAGTATCATACACAATGGTACTGTTCCCAAGAGTTACTGTTAGTAGCTCATGATGACTTTGAAGGATCGATAGGGGCGAACAATTCCATTTCCTCCGTCCCGTCCGCGATGAGAATCAGTGCAGAAGGCATGTCGCGTTATTGATCTGAGCGCACGATATAGACGTGAGCTCATCGGGAGACGTATGTGGATGCATACACATCCTCACGCACTTACACGCAAATCGTTGAAAGAGAGAAGAGCAACGATGGTGAAGCTTTGAAGACGGTGGAAGCAAAGAACGGTGAAGTTACACATGACGTCACGCAAAGTGCCGGCAAGGAGTCAACAACTTGCGCCGGCTCCGATCCCACATAGGAACCACATCCTTTCATCCCCAACAATCAATAGCCCGGCTTGGACACGTATGCTCGCGGAAGTGACCCACACCAGCTTCTCGTACTATAAGAACGGCCGGAGAAGACAATCTTGATCCATCATCTGTATCGACATCCTCTCAAGCTGTTACTATTCCTCCAAGGACGCGACTCCTACTAAGCACTGGCCCACACCGTCAAATCACGGATGTCTACTATTCTGTCTCTTTCCTCTGCTGTGAGGCTTCCGTCAGGTTAGTTGTGTTTTGGATGTTCGCGCCTTTGTTTTTTGAAAGCTCAAAACTCCGATCAGGCCACATGATGAAGCTTTTGGGATTCGGCGTGTATCAAAACTACGATACGAAGAACTCTTGCCTTGAGGCACTTGCTGCTGGCTACCGGTGAGCCTCGCATTTTTTTTTTTTGCTTTACTCAGAGTCAGCATCTGACAACTTGAACCTTTACCTTCTTAGCCATATCGACAGTGCCCAAGCGTACCGCAACGAGGCCCATGTTGGCGAAGCCATTCGCGAGGCTGGCATCCCCAGAGAGCAGGTTTTTGTCAGTGCGTGAAGACTCCCGTTCGCACACTTCAGTCTCCTGAATAATACGAAATAGCGACCAAGGTCATCTGCAAACATCAAGGTTACGAGGAAACATTGAGTGGTGTCGACGAGTCTCTGAATAAGTTTGGATTTGGTAGGATTCTTTCAGACCCCCATGGAATTGGAATTCATGCTCACCCGAATATCCAGACTATATCGATCTCTTTCTCATTCATGACCCGGTAGGGTTTTCCGGACTCAAAGTCCCCTATACTTTTCTCATATCTCTTTAGCTTGCTGGACCAGAGAAACGGATGGCGACTTGGAAAGCACTCCTTGAGTCCAGAGACAAAGGTAAACTCAGGGATATCGGAGTATCAAACTAGTAAGTGCACCTTCACGGTCTCCAATCTTGTACCCTATTCACGATCAGGATCGTACAGCGGCATCAGACACCTAGAAGAGATCAAGTCGTCCGGGCTGGGGCTTCCAGCTGTGAACCAGATAGAGGTCAGACGAGGCACACTTGTTCGCTAAATTTAGTAATACTCATATAAAGGCGACAGATTCACCCTTACTGCCAACAACGGCCGATCGTTAAGTGGTGCGAGGACCATAACATTGTCGTTCAAGCGTATTGCCCGATCATACGTGGTAAGATGGACGATCCCGTCATCGTCAGCATAGCACAAAAGGCAAGTCCTCTGTCATCCACTTCACCGACAAACCATTTTGAACACGAGCTTCCCCTAGCATGGCAACCGCGATCCAGCCCAGATACTCATCCGATGGTCTCTTCAACACGGGTAGGTTTTGTACTACGCCATTTGTTTTTACCCACCAGGTTATTACCGACACCTCAAGTGTTTAGACTGATTCTCCATTCTCCATTTTCCGTTATCCGTTATTATAGATATGTCCCCCTTCCTAAATCCTCCACACCCGCGCGCATCCGGTCAAACACGAATGTGTACGACTTCTCCCTCGATGAAGAAGACATGCAGCGGCTTGATTCACTCGACAAGGGAGACGGTGGGGCTATCTCTTGGAACCCAATTCATGCTGCCTGACCGAACTTACTCCGTTTTATCCTCCACATCCTTCCGTTACCTGATCCTCTGGCGGCTCTCTTATTTGACGCATTGACTTCTCTTTACTGGATGTTGTCGGAACGCCAACTCTTTAGAAGGCCGATTATTCAAACGACACGCGTCGATGAGTGGGCCAATATGATAAGTTATGTTGGTTGTGCGATCGCGCTGATACATCCCTGTGACCACGTCCACGTCCACTTCAAGCCCTCTGCATCGCAGCCCGATGTTTGCATGAAAGAAGATTACGCCACGATCACATCAAAATGAGATAAAATATGTATCGCGACAATCGAATGCAATCAAGCCCATTGCCACTCACAGGTAAACATAATCGACGTTCTCTCCATTGATATAGAAGATCCAGAAGAACGCGATAACGAAGTACAATGCAATATCTCCGAATCAGGATATCTTACAAGCGAAGTGTACACCGCTCACGTTTCTTTTGGTAAAGGCCCGAAGATCAAGGTAAGGAAAAATGCAAATAAACATACAAGACAGATCCAAGAGTCCGAAATAACTGGCCGAAAGCAATCAAGCAAAGCAAAGGAAAATCAAGTCATGCCCGAATCATAAATCAACGAAGCGCGTAGAACAAAATGCCCTTGTCAAATCTCTGCCCGGCCCAAAGTAAATGTCAGCCCTCTATATCTTCTCAAGCACCCTTCATAGCAGATTTCGCTATCATCATACGGTCGTAGAACGATCCCGACAAGACCTTGCACTTCCCATCCACATCCGCCTTGATTTCGCATAGGGTTCTAGTGGTAACGTTGAACGGATGGCGACTCCATTTGTTCTTCCAGTCGTGGATATACGCGTACGAGGCTCGAAGCCGCGCGATCTCGTGCTTGCTGAAGGACAGAATTGTCTTGGGATCGGGTACGGCAGCGAACTCTCGAGACTGGTCCCGCAGGATATCCTGCCTGATCTCGATAGGCAGATTGGTCCAAGGCGACCCCCCCGTCTTCCGGTCGTGCTGCATGTCCAGCTCCCGCCTCGCCGCGATAGCCGTGGATGTGTTCATCAACGCCTTCCCTTTCCTCCAGATATCCTCGACATGCTTCTTGATGATTTCCAGTTCGTCTTTCATCACCTGATCATCCTTGACCTCGGCACGCCGCACAGCATCCTCCCAGTCCTCCGCGAGATCCGTGTCGAAGACAGGCCGGAGATCTTTGAAACGTTGCTCTATCATGGGCATGACCCGATCTGAAAGGGTTTGGACGTGATTTTGCAGCTCGTCCATGATGAACGGCTTGGCAGACCGCCGCTTGATCTCCGCTTGAGTTCCTTTATTTTCGCGCTTGAGCCTGGAAGGGTTCCACTTCTTCCATCCCGCGGTCACGTTTGAGCCATATTCTTTGCTGTTCATGTCTTTGCGGCGGATGGCTTCTCTGACCGTGAGGCCGGTTTTGGCGCCGTCAAGGATGTGCGTGAACCTGCGGGGAAGACATTAATACGCTACACTTACAGCGATGCTAGATCGGGCTCGTGTAGGAACAATATATCCAAGGGAGAAGACACTCACATGTACGCAAGCCGTATGGTGTGTGGATGATCGTACCCAAGTCCATATATCGCATTATCATGCATGGTGGAATACATGCCATAGATTGAAGGGTCGCGTAGAGCACTGAGCAGGACCTTCTGAAACTCTCGCATGCGGTCAGAATCCGACATCCCCGAAGTGCGTAGCAAAAAGTCGGCCACGGTCTCGTTTTCCTTCTCGAAGAAGGACATCAGGTCGGCTGGTGGATCTGCGAACTTGGTGTCTGCATTGACGAAGTCATCGACGATTTCAGGTTGCCATATTGCCACGGCCTTATCTCCGTCGTAATCACCTGGGGAGTATTTGCTTCATCAGAAACAGTGGCTCTTGCGTGCAAGCTTGGCACAACTTACCTGTGGCCAGTAAACTGGCTAAGCTTCGACGTCCCTTGGTGGAGAAGACGATGACATCGTCGTAATCCCTGAGCTCCGCACAGAAGACGGCCGTGACCTTCACAGGAGGTCAGAAGTGCACAAGACTAGTGGCGGAGACTCAATGCACCTTTTGAATATCGGACGGAAGCTTGCAAGGATTCCTTGTAACCTATGCGAGTTGGTCAATCACCATGAAACTCATGTACTGGTCGAGACGTACCAGAACCGGCCCCAGAATTTGAGCTGTTGAGAGGCCATCTTGTCTCTGCAAGTTCGTTAGCGAGCTCTTGATGTGGATCTCGCCCTCGTTCAAGACACCGAATGGGTCTGGAATAATGAACCTCTTGAGCGTCTGCAGCCAATGAGAAGATGGTCACATACCTGGGATGATGAATGCCGTACAAGCCATAGGGACCTCAACCTTGCACCTCGCGAGGCGCTTATTCACAGCGCCCTTAATCACTTTCTCAAGCTTCGACGCAAGCACGGGGTTGTTCTGGGGCGTGAAGCCAGAGTCGAGAAGAACACATACGGTTTCCTATACATAGACAATGCGATCAAGATACTCGCCAACAACACACACAGTGTAGACGACTTACTTCGAGTGAAGACGGCTGTCCGCTGATTTCGTCTGCGAACCACGCAGTTGATCGTTGAGCACCCATCTCGAGTACATCGCTGATACATTCGATTTCGTCGTCTTTGTCGTCCTCGTCCTCGTCGTCATACGCTCGCAACCCTCGTACTCGTGCCTCCCCAGCCATCTCTCTCGTCATACGGGCAGCAAGCACACCACCTTCCTTGGCTATCACACGGTGCAGTTGATGCATATCGTTCCAGTTGAGAAGGGGTTCCATAATTTCATCGAGCGAATGTTGGAGGAGGTTAGTAAAGACGTTGGTCTTGACGCCATTTTCGGCGAGACAGATGACGACTTCGTTAGCCAGACGAGTTCCACTCCGCATGTGAGATGCACGTAGCACATCCACGGTTCTCTTTGCGGGATCTTCCAGGTCATCGAAGGAGTAGTGAATCTTCATCTGTGATGGTCGAACCCACACTGTAGATACCTCGCTCGCATTTTCACCATTTTGTCCAGGGTGGATAGTGAGTAGGCCCTGGTTTGTGGGCGAGTTATGTGAATTTCCTTAGCACCGTCTAGCAACAGACTGCACTGACCTTTGCACCCGCAACTCTGACTTGAATAGCTGTCGGTGGTTTATCCCAGAGTTTCTTTGAACTTAACATCTTCATAGCGAACAGATTGATGTAGCCGCATCCGTCGGTCATTTCCATCTCCGAGGGAGGTTTACCGACGGTGGCAGGGTCATGGAAGGGCGAAACTTGGTATCTCAGGTGAGGTTAAGAACCTCTTTTTGAACCAGTTGTGAAATACATACTGATTTCTGCCTCCGCTTTTATTTGATCCTTTTTCAACACCAGCCCTGGAACCGAGTTAGACAATCCTAAGGGTATACGAGCTGCCCATTTCGCCATTGTCTACGGCAACGATTGATGAGATGAGTGTTATCATGTTTAATTCATGAAACATACCTGATTCTGGTTAAGATTCAGAGGATTATGCCACTCAAGGATCTCGAAGTAACTGAGGTGCCAGCGTGACTCTGGATTACGACGGAAATCACCATCGATGAACGTCTCGTTCGTGGCCACAAGAAACACGGTGCGCTCTTTGCTGATAGATTAATGCATTCATCGTTGATCCTCTGATAAGTAAAATATGATGTCACGAACCTTGCATAGAAGGCACGGTATACACGATCAAAAAAGATGAATGGCTTCATGAAATACTCCCTCAGATTTACGCTCTTCGAGTTGACGAGGTCTTTGTGGATGCGGATACGAATTAACCAATCAGATCCGAACCTCCTGGTGAATCGTGACGATGATCCTAGCTCGGGTTGGTCTAGAACAAGACGGAGCTCGCCATTCCTATCCTTTTTAAAGGACAGTTTCGCAGAAAACTGCACTTTCCCGTGGTATTTAAACGGAGAGGTGTTGGAGGCATCCACGTTCTCGACACATGCCAAGTCACCTCGAAGTTTGAAGGCTGTGTCTTCCTCGTCCAACGCTCCCCAAGCGCACTACAAAATCGAATATTGTTAGCCTTTCTGCACGGGACTAGAGGACATACAAAGTGGGCCACGACAAACCTTGACCATCTCGTCCTTTGTGAGGGGCAGCACTGATGCGGAGGAATCGGCGTCCTTCAGCTTCTCTTCCACCGACGAGGCCACATCTTGATTCAAACCGCGGAGCTTGTCCAGTTGAGATGGTGAGATACAGTCTAAATCAAGCTTGTTCTGAGTTACGAGGCGTCCCATCATCCAGCGGACACCCCATGTCAGCGTGTGGAAGGCTGGACATCCCTGAAGTTGCTCGTTGTGCGCCTGAAATAGTATGGCGTCAGGCATCTGAGAGATGTGTACTCATAATGGACGTACCACAGTATGAAACGGTGGATCTGCTTTGACAGTAGGCAGTTTGTCAGAGGCGGATGAGGGGGGCTTTGGACGAGGAAGTGACTCCGGTGTTTCTGCACCAAATCTGCTGGCAGAGCGTCGATAATCAGGAGTTCTGGTGTCTGAGGACCGGACCGATGGGGAGACTGCAGCCGAGCGGGATGGAGTTTGGGGCTCGCAGCGGCGTGCTTCCTCTATGGCTTCTATGATTTTTTGTTTCCGAGGTGAATCTGGCCTAGAGCCTGATGCTGATGGATCGACACGACCAGTGGAAGTGCCTGACTGGCCACGAAGGGATGTTGGTGCGGTTTCAAATACTGGTCGCCTCGTCGGAGAAGTTGAGATAATGTTGGATGGCAGACCGCGATATATCTGGCGTTTCTTCGGGGTTTGGGCATCCTCAGAGGGCGAGAGCGATGCATCTTCGAGAGTTCGCTTTCCGAGAGCGGTAGGTGTACGCGGAGGGGCGGCTGCGGCGGGTTCTGGAGTCGATGGTCGGTCTGTTTTAGGGGGTTCGAGGGACGGCGGGATGACAATTGTCTCTTCTGTATCTCCCTCATCGAATCCCGCTATGAGTTGCGTAAAATCGGCATCCGAATAGTCAGTGGTGGAATCCTGAGTGTCTTGGAGGCCTTCAGGGATCATCCCGACAGTCTGAGTGAATTGAAACGGTCGTGCAGCAAGGCAGAGAACCAGTAAGATATGATATCCAGTAGCACTTATGCAAGAAGCCTTGAAGAGATAGAGAGTTAGCAAGAGCGGGGAAGGACAAGTACGGAGGCAAAGTTGCCCGAAGTTGACCGCACCTTGTCGATCGCCAAAACGCGTGCCCCCACGTGATCGAGAATTCGCAGGCGTCCATTTGAAATTCCATACTTTCGAGGTCCGCGTGGTGAGCGCCTCACCAAGTTCATCGACTTACTAGTACGCTCACGCTGCTCTAGGAACTCAAATCTGATTCTGAACAAAAATACCTTCTTACACCCGAGTCTATCAACAGTAACAATTGTCTGAATCAACGCGAGTTAGTGCCATGGCGCATCCGTTGTGTTTTGGTCGTGTTGCAAGTTGTAAGTACCCAGTCATCTCTACTGATACTATCGAGCATGACTCGTCGACACCAGTGAATCATAAACCCGTCCGTCAGCTTTAACAGTCGCACGTCAATCGCATAGTGACCGGGGAGGTGCCATCGCCCTCGTACTGTCTACAAATCCCAGCAGTCTAGTCGCGAACACGGCCTTCGGGTGTATCTACAAGTCCATTCCCGGGAATCCTGGCCATCCGCTCGAGCATCTTCATAGTCGGCTCATACGTCTTCGAGGAACACAGATCGACGAGTAGTGACGACTGTCGTGTTGTGGATCCGATCCAGTCTGGAGGCTGCTGAAATAGTATGAATCGCGTGGTGTTCTCATCCTTGGGATCCACCGGCGAAAGGATCGATTCTAGTAACGTCACGGCCTGCAGGAACTCGCCTTCGACTGTCGTCGACAGACATGCATAAATACACCGGTACATCTGAGGGACGAGAGAGATGTCGAGCTCCTCGGCCAAAGCGAGGGAGTTCAGAGTCTGGATGACCTCGGAAGTGAATGACGACCCGTCCAAGCATACTGCATCATGTCTTCACCGCCGCCTTCGGGATCGACATATGCTCATAAAAGGTACCGGTAAGGACCTTGTACTCCTTCGACGCCTTCGCCTTGATCTCGCAAAGTACCCGCATCGATACGTTCCAAGGATGGCGACTCATCTTCATCTCCCAATCGTGGATGTATGCGTATGAAGCCCGAATTTGCGCGATCTCGTCACTTCTGAAGAAAATCATTGTACTCGGCTCAGGAGAGCTAACGAAATGCTTCGAGTGGGCTTTCAAGATGTCCTGTCGGATTTCGATTGGCAGGAGGGTGAAGGGGGCCTTTCCATTGCGATTGGCCTGTAATGCTGGCGAGGAGGTGTCCCGCAAAGTCGCTAAAGCAAGCTCCGAGGACAGTTTCATCATCTTACCCGAGAGGATCCGCGCGTCATGTACGTGCTTCTCAATCATCTTCAGTTCTTCTGCTATCCGGGCGATACCACTCCTCTCCACACAATCCAGAGCGTCGTAGTAGGGCTTGATCAGATCCTCGTCGCGGGTCTTGCGCAATCCCGTGAACCTCTCGCTCACCCTCGGCATCCACTGATTGTGAAGCTTCTGTGCTTCACCTTGTATGAAGTCCATGATGAAGGTACCCTTGGTACGTCTTGCTAGTTTGTTCGAGGTGTTTCCGTGCTTCAGTGTCTGGGTTGACCAGGTCTTCCACAGTGGTGTCACACTGGAGCCACAATCGAGGTCGGCATAATCCCTTTTGCGGACTTCCTCGTCGACGGTCAGACCGGTCTTCCCTCCGTCGAGAATCTCGGCAAACCTAGCTCGAGGCGTCAACACCTTCATGCATGAGATGACTGGTTTTGATAACTCACATATTTCCGAGTCTTCGAGTGTCCGGGTGAGCATAGCCGCGTACGTAGATTGAATTGTCGTGCATGCAGGAGTATATCCCGACGACGTTGGGATCGCGCAGAGCTCCCAGAAGAACCGCTTGCAAGGCCTCCATACGCTGCTCGGGAGACATCTTCTCGGTGCGTTTGAGGAACTCTGCGACAGTCTCATTCTGTTTCTTGAAATTCTTCATGAGGTCTGGCGGAGGGTCTGCGAATTTGGGGTCGGCATTTCGGAAAGGTCCGGCAATCTCTGGGTCCCACACGGCTTCGACCTTGTCTCCATCGTAATCGCCTACAAAATAAAAATTAGCCAATCGCGACTCAGTGTACAAAGAGGAGAAGTCTTACCGGTGCCGAGCATGCTGGCGAGGCTACGGCAGCCCTTGGTGGAGAAGACTATCACATCGACGTACTTCTCAAGCTGAGAATAATAGACGGCAGTGACCTGTGGAGTATTTCAAGAACTGATTCAGGCAATCGTGGAAATAGCACGAACCTTCTGGACGTCTGTCGGAAGTTTGCACGGGTGGCGCGATACCTGGACAAAGCATCAGCCAAGATCGCAGGCTTGGAATGGCACTTACAAGCACAGGACCTAGCACTTGTTCAGTAAGTTGTCCATCCTGGCCTTTCAAGTTTGGCGCTGATGACCTGATGTGAATTTCGCCTTCCTTCAGGGTGCCGGTGGGATCTAGCAGTTGCCATCTTAGAAGGACAGTTCTGTGGGAAAGAAAGGTGTGCCACGAACCGGGAATAATCCATGCGGAGCATGACATTGGAATCTCCACTTTACATCTTGCAATCCGTTTCTTCATGGCCTTCGTGATGACTTCCTTCAGCTTCTCGGCAAGGATGGCGTTATTTTGCGGCGTGAAGCCCGAATCCAGAAAATAACAAACGGTCTCCTATTCGATTTCAAGTTCAAACGCGTCAATTCAAGACTTCCAAGTCGAAATATGGATGACTTTACCTCCAAAGAGGATGGCAGCCCACTTATCTCGTCGACTTGTCATGCCTTCGAGCGCTCAGGGCCGAGCTCTAATACCTCGCTGATTCTCTCGTCCTCCTCCTTGTCATCATCTTCATTGTCATACGCACGATATCCGCGAACTCTTGCCTCCCCTGCTGCTTCTCGTGCCATGCGTGCACCAAGAATGCCACCTTCCTTGAATACAAGACGATATAATTGGAGCATATCGTCCCATTGAAGAAGTTGCTCCATGAGCTCTTCCAAGGATTCTCGCATTCGACGGGAAAGAATCTCATGGGGGACGCCGTTTTCAGCGAAATTGACGAGCACTTCCTTTGACGCCTGGATACCGCTACGCATGTGCGATGCGCGCAACACGTCGATTGTTCTTTTAGCTGGCTCATGCGCCAAATCTTGGTCGGAGTAGTGAATCTTTGTCTGAGACGGTCGAACCCAGATACAAGGATATTTCAGGTAGTTCGCGTCATTGCTGGGATGTCTAGTCAAGAGGCCCTAGTGACTATGATCAGTGACAATTGGGCAGCGATCATAAGAATATCGGGCAAACCTTATTCCCGGCCACTCGGACTTGAATAGCGACAGGAATGGAGTCCCAGAATTTATTCGAATGTAATTCTTGCAGGGCAGTCTGATTGATGAATCCACAGCCGTCCGTCATTTCCATCTCGGAGGGAGGCTTAGGCCCCATAGAGGGGTTCCATGAAGAAGATACTAAAATGAATGACGGTAAGCGTGTGGATCCTAGGTGCTCAACGCTTTCTACATACTGATCTCTGGTTCCAATCTGATCTGATTGCATTCCAGCTTTGGACCGGGAACCGAGTTCGATAAACCAAGAGGGATACGTGCCGCCCACTTTGCAATTGTCTAAGGCACAACATGAGCTGGTCAGTGCTCGATCCGGGTTTCATTCACCTGAACTCACCTGATTACTGTTCAGCTCTATGGGATTGTGCCACTGCAAGAGGCTATGTAAACTAAGACGTCTGCTCGTCTCCGGAATGGTAACAACCTCTCCATTGATGAACGTCTCGTTTGTAGAAGCAAAGAAGACGTTCTGGTCCTTGCTAGAAAGTCGGATATCCGTCATTCGTAGACATCATCAGAAAAAAATTACGATTGACCAACTGACCTTGCATAGAAGGCGCGATAGACGCGGTCGAAAATGATCAACGGTCTCATGCAAAACTCATAAACTCTCGATGATCTGATGTCTCTATTGTAGCGAACTCGAATCAACCAGTCCGAACCGAACCTTCGAGTGAACCGGGAAGAAGAGCCAAGATCAGGTTTCTCGAGAATGAAGCGCAGCTTCCCAGATTTGTTCTTCTTATCCGCAAAGATCAACCTCCCCGCAAACTGCACTCTGCCGTGATATCTGAACTGCAAGTCGGGAGCGGGTACCTCATTGGCGGGATGACCGAACTGGTCATCCCGCTTGAAAGCTGCTTCCTCTCTATCAAATGCTCGCCATGGACCCTAGATATTAGGCACAAAGAATCAGGTATAGCTCAAACATGAGTCAGGAGATCTAGTAAGCCGACCTTGGCTTGTTCATCAGGAGGGGGCAGACGGGCAGATATGAGGGGCATAGAACCTTTCAACTTCTGCTCGACCAGCGGGGCTATGACCTCGTTACTCCCTTGAAGCAACTCTAACTTCTCCGGTGTGAGATCTTCTACCATCAATTTATTTTGCATGACGAGGCGTCCTATCTCCCATCGTACCCCCCAAGGTAGGTTCCGAAAGCCCTCACATTTCTGAACCAGCTCGTCATGCGCCTAAATAGGTAGCGTCAAGCTTCAAAGACTGCAGTCAGTAGCGAATGTGACTTACCACAATTTCAAATGGGGGGAATTCATTGGCCACGGGCATTTGGTTTTCAGGGGAAGATGGGCGTGGAGTTCGGGGGCGTGGAAGTGACTCTGGCGTCTCTATACTAGTTTTGTTCGCGGAGGCTCGATGGTCAGGGTGCCGACTACTCGAGGGCCTACTCGAAGGTGAGATTCCAGTGTTATGAGATGGCGTTCGTGGCTCAGGGCGGCGGGCTTCTATGATTGCGTTCAGCACGGATTGTCTGCGGCTGGAACTAGAGGCGTTGTTCGTATCCGGCTGCTCTCGAAGAGCGTCTGTGACGATATCTACCATCGATCGCCTGGGAGTTGAGGGTGAGGTGGAATGAGGCAATTTGCCATTGGAGATATGTTGTTTCTTCGGGCTACGTGCATTGCTGGACGGCGACTCGGCCAACCTAGCCTCTGCGAAAGTGCGTTTGCCAAGAGCGATTGGAGTTTCATGCTGTTTTGTGGGCTCGGGGGTAGATGCTCGTTTGGGGGGCTCGAGCGATGGCGGAACTACGATAGTTTCTTGGGTGTCATCTTCGTTGTAGTCTGCGATGAGTTGAGAGTAGCCACCGTCCGAATAGTCGGTGCTGTCGTCAACCGTATCATCCTGCAGGCCCTCTGGGATCATCCTGGCAGTCGCTGTGCGACGATTGTATAGAGATATGCGAACAATAGATAGGCTGAGAGGATATCTCAATGCAAGTACACCAGACAATGAGATAGAGCGAGCACAAGTGCGGGGAAGATCGAGAACGGAGGCAAAGTTGCCCAAAGTTGACCTCGCCTTGTCGATCGATCGGACCGTGTGCCCCACGTGATCGAGAACTCGCGTTCATTTGAAATTCAACACTTTCGAGGTCCGCGTCGCGTCGAGCGCTTCACCAGGTTCGTCAGTGCACTCACGCTGTGCTGGGAACTATCGTTTTATCCTGAACAAAATTAGTCCTTTTACATCTGACTCTGATAACAGCAACAGTTGTCTGAATCACCGTGAGTCGGTGTGACGCGTCCGTTGTGCTCTGGTCGAGTACCAAGTACGTGACTACTAGTCATCTCTACTGATACTATCGAGCTGCAGTCACGGCCACCATGAGTGCCGATAACTCGTCGACACCAGTGGATCCTAAACCTATTCGTCGGCTTGAACAATCGCTCGTCAATCGCATAGCGGCCGGGGAGGTGCGTGTCTACCTTCTGTCATCGCCCCGTGCCTACTCCAAATCCCAGCAGTCTTATTGTCCACGCCCAGATAATACACCGCCCAGCTTCAGCGCTCAAAGAGCTCTTGGAAAACAGTTTGGATGCCGGCACAACATCTATACGCGTCACAGTCAAAGATGGTGGCCTCAAGCTCATGCAGATCCAAGATAACGGTTGTGGTATAAAGGTGCCTGCACTTCTGTATACTGTTCCGTATTCGAAGAACTTATGGTGTCGCTTAGAAAGGCGATCTCCCTATTCTTGCCCAGCGTTTTACTACATCGAAGCTCGCTACGTTCTCAGATTTGTCTCATTTGACGACCTACGGCTTTCGCGGAGAAGCCCTGGCTTCCATCTCTCACATCGCCAACCTGACTGTGACGACCAAGACAAAGAAAGACTCCTGTGCTTGGAAGTAAGCGTGCAGTACTCTATGAAATTCTGATATTTCGATGTAAATAATTATTTTTCCTCTCCAGAGCCTGTTACATCGACGGAGAATTGGTCTCCGCTAAAGACGGACAATCGCCTGAGCCAAAACCTTGTGCGGGTAACGATGGCACTACGATTTTGGTATAATTCGCTGTCCACCTCTCAGTTACTGATAGCTCAATATATGCGCATTTTTTGCAGGTGGAGAACCTCTTCTACAATACACCTACCCGTCTTTCTGCCTTACGAAGCTCATCCGAGGAGTATGCTCGTATTCTTGACGTTGTAACCAAGTACGCCGTACACAACCCATTGGTGGCCTTCGTCTGCAAGAAGGTCGGTCCCTCTCCTGTCATATATGTATTGCTACTATACACGTGGGTACCAGGCAGGATCCCCATCGCCCGACCTTACCACACCTTCAGCATCTACGACTCCCACAGCCATCCGCTTGCTCTACGGCCAAGCTATTGGCAAAGAGCTCATGTACATCCATGTGACGCCTCCATCTGAAAAGAAGGGCAAGAGAAAAAGACCAAGCAAGGACGAAGACGACGACATCGAGAAGGAAGAAGAGACTGAACGCGAGAATGCATGGGAGGCGGAGGTGCATTGCACCAATGTCAACTATCATGCAAAACAGATGATCTTCATCTTGTTCATCAACCGTTGGTTCTTCTCTACATCTTTCTTCTCTGTTCCGCACGAATCTCAAAGATCCTGAATACATGCGCTCTTCCTAGACCGACTCGTGGAATCGTCAAGGATTAAACGGGCAATTGAGGCTGTGTATACCAGCATTCTTCCGAAAGGTTCCTCGCCATTCGTTTATCTCAGGTAACGGATTTATCTCAATATATACCAATGGATGCGAAAATTGATTCGTTTTATTGTGCACAAGTTTACTTCTAGATCCCACGACTGTGGACGTCAACGTCCACCCGACCAAGCGTGAAGTACATTTCCTAAATGAAGAGACTATCACAGAACATGTCTGCGACGCAATTCACAATAAACTGGCCGCCATAGGAGAGAGGACGTATGAATACCAGGTGACGCTGCAGCTCACCGACATGGCCTCTCTACGTACTGACCCATCGAATACACCTTAGACCTTACTCACCGGAGGACTTGTAGACTCCGACAAAGACAAGCAGTCCAAAGGGAAGTCCAAAGTTCGATCACCGGAAGATCAGAACGTTGCCAACGCCGAAGTCCTAAATAGCGATGCAGAGGAAGACAATAACGGCCCTGGCGCCGTTCAAGTATCTGCTCCAGCTCCGAAAATGCCGAGGAAGAAAACCTCATCACAACACAAAGTACGAACATCTGTTGCTGATCGGACTTTAGATTCGATGTTCCCCGTCTTGCATCCATCGACATCGCAAGGAAACCCTGTTCAATCACTAGCTGGTCATAGCTCGCCCACTGATGTGAAGGCCACTGATCCGGATGTGCCATCTTCGAGCCAACGTCCTGGTAAAGAAAGGTCGAAACTCATACCAGAGAGCATATGCAATCTACTTAGCGTTCAAGAATTACGACGAGCTGTGGCGAGCCGGAAGCATCAACGTGAGTGTCTTCCAGTCACTATATCATCGTCTCACATCTGATATGTACATGTCTGGCAGAACTCTCTGAGATTCTAGAAAAACACACATTTGTCGGGGTAGTGGATCTCGAACAGGAGCTTAGCCTTGTCCAGTTCAGCACACAGCTGTACCTCGTCGATCACGGTGCTTTGGCGTAAGCTCTTACTTTGAGACCAGTCGGTGTAAAGTTCAAGATACTGATTGTCCCCGGTCAATTTCAGGGAAGAGCTATTTTATCAGCTGGGTCTACGACAATTTGGCGATATGCCCCGGTTGAAGCTGGACCCACCAGCTCCATTGCGCCTCCTGCTTTCTACAGCGGTGGAGACCGAAGAAAGCACAAAGGGTACACAGCTAACAACGTCTGAGATTGTCGATGTGCGTCTTCTACTTTGGCCTCCTTCTGAGACCAAGCTAACTGATCGATAGGTTATAGAGGAGACGCTCATGCAACGTCGAGAGATGCTACTGGAGTACTTTTCCATAGTCATCACGGACGAAGGGATGATCGAAACGCTCCCAATGCTACTCAAAGACTATTCTCCGAACCTAGACAAGCTACCGTTGTTCCTCATGCGTCTTGGTCCACAGGTATGTATTTATCAACTTGATGTCGACCTACGAGTACACTGAAGCAATCTTCTTCACCACAGGTTGACTGGACCTCGGAGAAAGGCTGTTTCGATACCTTCCTTCGCGAGCTGGCTTACTTCTACACACCTGGTCCAACGCTCTCCCCCTCTGACGTCGCTGTTGACGACGAGAAACTGCTCAAGCCAAAAGAGGTCCAAGCAGAGAGGTGGCAAATCCAGCACACGCTCTTCCCTGCTATGCGTCGATATCTCTCCGCCCCGAAGTCCTTGCTGGCCCGGGACGTCGTGCAAGTAGCAGATTTGCCCAACTTGTACAAGATCTTCGAGCGATGCTAGAGTCGATACTTTGTGGTTTCTTGAGGCGATGGCCTAGTATTACGAAGGTTCAGACCCAGCCCTCTTTTTGGTCAAATTTACATCCATGCTGTATAATAATCAAGGTGCGTTCACGTAAGTCAAAAGGGAAATATTGCAAAATGCTGAATGAAAGCAGTCTAGACGATGCGTATGCGAGAGCGTGGTGGTACAATACAGTATGTATGCGGAGCATTAATGCACAGGTTAGTGTCAGATCATATGAAGCTATGGACATTGCGACAGGGTGAGACGAGCGTAAGTAATAGTAGAAACCAAAAAAAAAGTACCGCGTAACATATGGACAAAGAATCCAAAAATAAAAGGGCATAGGTTATATACGTGTCCGAGAACCATTGATACCGTTTATGCCATGTGCACCCCGCATCCGTAAAGCAGAAGGAGAGTCAAAGACGAAAGCATCCGAGTCCGAGCTATAGTCCGTATCATTGTCCGAGTCGTCCTGACCGAATGGAGCCATCCCATCTACGCGGAATACGTCCACGAAAGGCGTCTGCGGTACATCCGTCACGGGATCCGTCGATTTCGCGAGAATGGCCGCCACACGGGCTTCGAGCTGATGACTGGGCATAGCTTGGAAAGGTGGATTTCTCCTAGTGACGCTGTCCTCCTGGAAGAAGGTGCTCAACTCATGAAGGTTCTGAACTAGGTCGCCGAGGTCTTCGTCGCCATGGTCTGGGGATGCTAAGCGGATGATGTCGTCGGGCTGGAAGTCGACGCGGGAAGGACGGGAAGATATCTTGCACGTATCAAAGACGGCGACGACATTGGCACGACAGACCGATCGCATCTCGTCTGGACGAGCGACACACCATCCGGTCTCCTGCGGCACCCCGAAGACATCCGCGACTGGACCGGTGTCTTTAACGGTAGGCTTCGTGTGCATACTAAGATGCATGCTCATCCGAAGGACCTGTCTTGCCGGCAGACCGCCGGAGATCGTCATGGGCTCTTCCAAGACCTCCAACGCTCGAGGAGCCAGGTCGGTCTCCAGTAGTCGAAGGAGAGGCATGAGTAGTTCTGAGCCCAAGAGGTCTACAGGTTGGCGAGTTTCGCGTTGCTGGAAGAGAACCTTGAGAATCTGCAGGGAATGTACGCGCAGCCACTCCTCTTTGTTAAGAACAAGGCCGAGAAGAAGGGTCACGACCTCTGTCCAATGGTCTGAGCCATAGTGCTCGCGGAGGCTGGACACCGACTGGCGCAGGAAGTCCTCCTTGGTACGGAAGCGACCTTTGACGAAGGATGTCATGATTCGAGCGATACTCGGTCGGTCCTCTAGCTCTGCCAGTCTGCCGATATTGGTAGCGAACTCCTCGAGGTCCTTATCGGTCGTCTCTTCCGTCATCGCCCTCATGCATCGGGGAAGACAGGCGGTGTACAAGTCGCGGACACGACCTTCGGGTGTGTCTACGAGTCCATTCCCGGGAATCTTGGCCATCCGCTCGAGCATCTTCATAGTCGGTTCGTACGTCTTTGAGGAGCGCAGACCGATGAGCAGTGACGGCTGCAGTGTTGTGGATCCGATCCAGTCTGGAGGCTGCTGAGATAATATGAATTGTAGGGTGTTCTCATCCTTGAGATCCACCCGGGAAAGGATCGATTCGAGTAACGTCACGACCTGCAGGAACTCGCCTTCGACCGTCGTCGACAGACACGCGCAAGCACACCAGTACATCTGCGGGACGAGAGAGATGTCGAGTTCCTCGGTCAAAGCGAGGGAGTTGAGGGTCTGGATGAGCTCGGACGTGAATGACTGGATGTTTTCGTCGGGTGCTGCGATAGTGTTCGACAGCCGTCCAAGGAGGAGTGCCATGTCGGCTTGCGTGGCCGAAGGAACAAGAGCCCGGAAGATCTGAAGCGAGCGGAAAGCGATGGCACGGATGGAACAAGCAGTGCCCCACAACAACGCCAGCGATCCCCACTCTTTCGCCAGCTTTGGAGACAAGGGCTGTAAAAGCTTGAGCACCCGAGCGCAGAGCCACTGCATCTTGTTCTCCGACTGCGTCGCCGTCTCGTCCTCACGCCATATCTTGGAACCAATTTGGCGCTCCAGCTCTGCGACGGATGCCTTGAGGGAGGCACGAGAGGGATACTGAGACCGATCCGGGAGCTCGTCGTATCCGGGCAGCCAAAAGCGTATGACCTGGAAGAGCATCCGCCTCGCATGTTCCCGGACGAACGGCATACGGTGATCCAAGTGCACGAAAACAGCATGAAGAACGGTCGGCAACTGGTCGTCCGAGTCCCAATGGCGATCTAGCGCGATGTTCGAAAGGAAGAGCAGAGCGTACTGGCCCGCGCCCAACGACAACCTTGGCTGCTCCGCAAACAGGACGTCCAGATCTGACCACAGCTCGACGTCCTCCGCGTCCGGGACCGCCAGCTTGTGGTCGATGGTGGGAAGCATCCGCGCCGGTTCGATAACGCTGCAGAGGTCCTCGACGATATTGCGCCCGATGGCCGACTGCGACAAACAAGCGACGACGTTCTCCGCGCATTGAATGAAGGCGATACTGCCCACCGTCTGCGATTGCTCTAGGAGGAACCGAATGGCAGCATGCCCATTCGACTGATGGGGCGCGTCAACGAGGCGTGTCCAGAGCAGCAGAATCTGCTCTGCGTGTGACTGGGCGTAACGAGTCGTGAGCGCCATGAGATGATACAGCGCGATTCGGCCCTCCCGGGAGAGCGCAGACCTATCCTCCTCCATCAAATCGATATTCGGACTCCAGTACTCCAAACTCTGCAGGAGCACGGGTGGCAGACTCGCAGGGTCGAACATCTGAGGAAGCCACGTCGAGAACTGTGTGAGCACCGCGGCCGCTTTGTCTGGATGTTCCCCGGCGAGCACGTCCGAGATCATCCGATGATAGTGGAGGTATGTGCTCGGTGCGGAGCTCTCGATGGAGGACTCGTACTGCGAGATGGACAACATGCCGTTCGACTGTTCGTGCAGGTGCTCAAGGATATCGAGCGCCAGACTCCGGACGGCGTGTAGCGGGTGACAGAGGTTGAAGAGACCCAGGCAAGCGACCTGTTCGAACCGGAAACCATGGGTCTGCGAAGAGCAGAGAACGTCGGCGACGACCTCGAAAAACCGGACGTTGCTGTTATCGCTCTCCTTGGCGGTGACGAACGACCGTCGAAGAGCCTCGTCGACCAGAGTCGAGTCGCGCTCTCCGAATGCCAACAACGCCTTTAACGCTCTCCTATAATCCCCAATCAATTTAATTGTCGCGATGAAAAATACCAAATGTTCACGCACTTTCCGCTCGCCTGGATGGAGGTATCCAGCGAAGCCAGTATCGACGTAAACCGCTCCAGCGTCGACCTCGGATCCAGTGCCTTCGGACTATCCAACGAAAGCATCTCCGTCGGCGAACCCGACGACATATCTGGCGGAAAATACGCCTTTGCCTATTAAATTCCACCGCAATTCCTGTCAGACTTGGACAAGATAAAAGGCGAAAGGCAAAGCTTCAAACGCACACAAAGCGCCGCCATGGCCCCAATCGCAGCCTTGCTCAACATCTTCGTCTCCTTCTGGAATATCGCGACCGCCTGACCCTTATCCGCCGGATCCACCACCGCATTCGTCGCCGCCCTCTGCATCAATATCAGCCTCTGCTTCACGTTCTCGGACTGCCTCCCGACCTGACACCACTCCTCGCAAAGCCTATAAAGCGACAGATGCATCCCAGGTGGAATGAACCGGTCCGTATCGTTCAGCGTCGTCAGGCCGTCGAACAGCCGCTCGACGGTGCCACAGAAGTAACGTCGCAGCTTCTGCAGCTTGAAGTGGTCTCTCGAGTCCGGGGAGGTGAGCACGGCCTGGGTATTCCGCACGAAACGCAGGACAGGCGAGAGCGCAGCCTGACGTCCGCTAGACCGCTGATCCTGCAAATAATGCGCCGTATAATAATAAATCCTCGCGACCGCCGTGAACAGCCTTTCCTGCCTCCTACCCCGTTCCGCCACAGACGTCACACTCGCCTTCATCCTACTATCATCAAACAACTGCCGATGCGCCAGCAGTCCCAAATCGTCCAAGAGCTGTGGATATCCCCTCGAAGGCAAAGAGCTAATACAGAAAACGGCGGCATCGCGGAAATACGAATGTTCCGAGTCGAGGAAAGGCGCGAGGTATCGCACCAAGCCACGCGTCGTCGTCAACTTTTCGCGCTCAAAGTTGACTTCGGACGGCGCGCGGGAGTGTTCGCGTTGGACGAGAGCGGGTCTGTGGTCGGGCACGGCGGCGATCGAACAGAGCACTTTCGTCCACATGTACCATTGGCCCGTCAACAGCCTCTGGTCGAGCGAATTATTCTTCGTCGCGTCCTTCTCCCCACTACCACCACCGCCACCACCACCACCGCTTCCTGCGCCTGGCGCTTTCCCGGGGATGGGTGGCGGGCGGGCGATGAGGCCCGCCATGAGTGCCATGGTGGGATGAAACCGCGATGTAGCGGCGACGAGTGTCTCCCTGAGGATCTGGAGCGTAGCCGGGGCGTGTTCCGTTCCATCCATGGTGTAGACATGCATGAAGCCAGGATAGATCCACGTCCATATCGTGCGGTCCCTCGTATCCTCGCTGTCCGCGATCCGGAGGAAAACGTCGGTCTTGGTGGATTCCCTCCACTGTTTCAACCTCTCTACATCTGCCGGCTCGAGAACATGGTCGTACCCATCCAGCGGAACCTTCTCCGGCCCCCTCCCATGAAACATATCCACGATCCTCAACTCCACCTGGCCCGCACCACCCGTCCTCGGCCACAACCGCGCAACCAACAAACCCAGCATCCTCATCACCTTCACGCCCACCGTATAAACCCCCCTCGAACCATGACAAAGCAAAAACAACGCGCCCGCCTCACTCTCATCCATCCTCCTCCTCACCCTCTCCTTCTCCTCCTCCTTCACCTCTCCCACCCTCCGCTGCAACAACTCATGCACCCATCCGTCCAACAGACTCACCCACAAATTCAACAGCCTACTATTCTCCACCACGAGTTTCGACCCCGAACCCTCCTGCGCAATCGACCCCGGATCGAACAAGAACGCCGCATACTGCTGTAACACCGCCGATGCGGTCTCTCCATCCGCAGCCATGAACCTCCTGAGCGCCAATACCGCCGCCTCGCCCACCGCGGGCTCGATATGTATGATCCCCCTAATCAACATATCCACCGCCTCGTTCGTCGGCAACGACGGCGTATGCAAACATCTAGGCCATGCCTGGAAACACGTCTGCAAGAGACTAATCTGCGGCACGAGCGCATTCGAATACGCGACGGCTCCATCCGGATGTCGTCTTATAATATAATTATGCGTCTCTTCGTAGCTCGGATTGAGGCGCGTCGCGAGCCACTGTTCGTCGAATATCGACATCCTCCCTATCGCATTGGCGCACGAGATCGCTACATGGCTTAACACCGTCCCCGTCCGATCGAAAAAATCCTGCATGCCGGGTTTGGACAGGAGAGCCTGTGGCATGAAATCTGACGAGGAGGGATAATCCAACCACGACGGCGCGCCCGCGAAATCGGGACTAGACGGCCAAACCGGGATCGGTTCTTCCCTCTCCATAAGATGTATAGTGAGTAATATCGCCTGGACGGCGATGGCCATTCTTTCGGGGGAGAGTATAGACGATGCGTTCGTCGGTTGTGATTTCATGCCTGATTCTTGGAGGAGTCCGAGCGTGATGTCGATTCCGAAGTCGAAGTGGCGGGCAAAGGCGAAGTGGACGATGTAGATGAACGGTTCGAGGTGGTCTTCTTGTGGGAAGATGGTGAGTCTGTTGGGGGGGAAGAAGTGTTTGAGGAGGGACTCCATTTTCGATGTTGAGGTCGATGCAGATTCGCGACAACGAAACATGTATGTCCAGATGAGGCGCATCATCCCGTTCATGACGGGGATCCGGAATGGTTTTTCCTAATAATATATAAACGTGAGATGTTTATTCCACCGAGGTAAACCCGAATCGTACCTTGAGTTTGCTCAGTCCAAATTCGAAGCAAGACTGCCAATTCCGGAGAAAATACTCCGTCGGCGCGACACAGAGGCTGACGACGACGAGGGGATACGCGACATGCCAATATCGAGGCTTGCTCGCCATATCCCTCGCTTTTGGATAGATGATCTCGATCGCCTTTGCCCATTGCGGATGGTTAACTTCCGCTTGTGCGGTCTGTTCCCATTACCATCAGAACTGCAAAACTTAAAGAAAAAAACTACCCACCTTGGCGACAGGATGCATGAGATGGACCAAAGTCTCAGCAAAGGCGACTTTGAACCGGAACCCATGGGCATTATCAAAACACTTAGCGAGTGCCTCCATGAACTCTGCGCCATCTTCGAAGGCTTCTGGTGGCCATACCTACATTCCCAGTCAGTATAATTCCAGATTCCCTCATGAGGAGCGACCGACCTTGATCTGGACATGCTTCAACCCCCTAACCAGATTCTCATACTTCATATCCGCATCCTTCGGCACCTGTCCACTCGCCACCGGCTCCAACTCGCCCAAAAACAACATACTCACACTCGGAAACCTGCCCCATCCCATCATGTAAGGTCGAAATCCACAAGTGACCTCCAAAGCACCCACATACCTCGTATTCGCCAAATGTCCCAACAGCGTCGCATAAAGCTCCGCATTCGTCCTATGATTCGCGCTCTGCGCCAATAACTTCAAATCCGGCCTCCTAAACTGCTCAAACGTCGTCTCCTCCAAACTATACCCCAAACTCTCTCCCAGACCGCCATCGACCCTCGCCGCCCCGCCTCCCAGCGCTAGTCCCATCCCACCCCCAGAACCCGAACTCCCCGCGCTCAGACTCTGCATGACCGCTATCAACGCCCTACACATGATATATATCGAGCCCAGACTCTTGCGCTCATTGAGTATAAGCGGCGCGTCCTGCGAGCGAATCCCGCCGCCGTTGTTGTTGTTGCTGTTGTTATTGTGGCGCGTGGTGGTAGATGCGGCTGAGGGCGATTGGCCGATGTGAAAGCGTACGATGTCGAAGGAGACGGGCTCGTGTTGTGTTCTGCGCCAGCGCATTATGGAGTCTACGACCGGTTTCGCGTTTTTCTGACCTATACGACCGAGTGTGGCGAGGATGTCGTCGAATTTGGGGTCGATGCCGGGGCCCATGAAGTCGGCTAGGGGAGGTTCACCTCGATCCTGCCATCGCATATTAGTGTAGAACAGCAAAAATAGTGGAGAGAGACGCACGAGAGGCTGCCTGAGAAAAGTGTCCATCTTCATCTCTGCCGCGCCTGCGAACCTGAAAAAAATAGCATGAAGCGCATACTCGGACGGCGTCCTCGGATCGAGCACGACGTTATCCTCGTCCGGTTCGACGAGCGGAGGCGTGTCCGTCCTCGAGCCAAAACTTCCATGGAAAAGGTCTGGGACGGGAGGGACGGGTGGTGGCGAGGTCGAAGCTCCATGTCCGAAATTAAAACCATGGCCATGATCGCTGTCCGAGTTGTGAAAGATCGATCCTGAATGGGAATGCTGTGAGCGCACGGTAGAGTGGCCTCTCTGCCTTCCGTTCGCTGCTCGTGCGTAGCGAGCCTCGTTGGAGCCGGGTGTCGGTGGTCGATGATTAGGCGGGCTGTTCAGCTCGGACGGCCGTCTGGTGAAGGAGTTGGTGGGCACGTGCGCCAGGGATGAATTGGAGCGGTTGAAGGGGTTCTTGAGCACAGGATACGCGCTGTGGTCGAGGGGAGGAAGGGGCGGGGGGTCGACGGGGGCAGCCTTTGCGGCGGTCTTGAAGGCATTGCGGATGGACGCGAAGGAGGGCTTCTTTGTGAAGGGGGAGGAGGTGGTGGTGTTGATGGAGGAGTGGGTGGAGTGTGCGAAGGGCGTGGACGGCTTGCGGGGGAGGTGGCGACTGGCCGACGTCTGCGAGTCCTCCGACGTGAGCGAGTCGGTGCGGGCGTGGAAGTACGTCCGGTCGGCGCGTTCGGGCAGCGCAATGGGCGTGATCGCTCCCGTCGGCGACTCCTGCCCACTGCTCATTCCCCCGCTGCCAAACCCATGGCCGAACGCTGCGTTCGCTGCAGTCCGTCCGAACGGGATGGGCGTCGAGTGGAAGTCCTCCTCGTCAAAGTCTGTGTCGTCCTCAGCTTCAGTCTGCGCAAACACAAGCAGTCGACGCACCAGGAATAGTGATCTGAAACCCAGACTCGGACATCACTGCACACTCAAGAAAACAGTAAAGAGAAGAAGAGGCCCGCTCTCAGCCAAGTAGCAACGACGCCTTCGCCACTTCGATCGCCCCGCTACCCGGCACTCTGGCTCCCGCCCTTTTTCACTTCCTTTTCTCGTACCTCGCAGAAACATATACTGTATTCAGTCCTACATACGCCTAAATGTATTTTTACTCCCACTCCGCACATCCCTTCTCCTCTCCGTCCGCCCACCTCTCCCCTTGTCCGCCCCTCCCTCCCCACCCTCTCCCCCGCCCTTCTCCATCCCCGCCCCGAACCGCTCAATACCCCGCTTCTTATCCTCCCGCCTCTGCACCGCCGCCTTCCCGATATGCTTACCCGGCCCTTCGTCCATATCCCAGTCATCGTCCCCACCCCCACTCTTGCTCGCTCGAGAGGACGGAACCCAGGACATCTCGACTCCTCCGTCCGCTTTGTGCACGACCTGTTCTTGGTGGTCGCGCGAGGATGATGCGTATTTGCCTTTTGAGCTCTGACGACGTTGGCCGAACGCTGCGTCTGCGGAAGATTGGGCGCGGGAGGAGGAGCCTTGTTGTGTGCGAAGGGGGACCATGCGCACGGACGGTTTCGCACCTTGTGGTCGTGCTTGTGGTCGATTCTGCGCTGGCACGAGGTCTATATGACAACATAAAAACATTGAGTGACAGCACGAATGAAGAAGAAAGAAATACGAACCACCAGCCTCACTACTATCCTCGTCACTCTCGCCCTCCTCATCCGACGACCCTTTCTCACTCTCTTCCTCCTCCTCCTCCACCGCCGTCTTCCCTCTCCCCCATCCCTTCCCAGTCCCATCCTCACTACTATCGCTCTCACTGTCTTCCTTCCCTCCCCTCGCCACCCGCTTGTTATCCTTCTGCGCGACCGTCGAAGGATTGAGCAGCGCAAACTCTCGGCTCCGCTCGTCGACCTGATATTCTGGATCCTGAAACACCGCACTGAACCTTGGATCGTTCAACAAATTATCCTCCTCCTCCTCTTCCTCGCCGTTCCCATCAACCTCCATCGTATCCGCCTCGCCCTTCCTCCTCTTCTTCCTCTCCGCAGCCTTCATCGCCCTCTCCTTCTCCTTCCTAATCTTCTCCGCCAACGCCCTATTCACCTTCACATCCTCCCCACCCTTCTTCTTCTGGTTCTGGTTCTTAGGCGCCCTAATCCTCCCCTCGGCAAGTTTCTCCATCTTCGCCTTGATCGCCTTCTCCCGCTCTTCTTCATACACGTACGGATTCGCAATGACGCGCGCGGCGTCGTAGAGCTTGAGCGAGATGAAGTGGCCGTGCATGTATGGTTTGAGCGCGGCGGTGCCGATGAGGTGATCCAAACCGAGTCTATCCGTCGCCGTCGTACAATACAATCCCATTCAATACAAATCCCATTCAGTCCAAACACAATGAGAGAAAGAAAATGAAAACGCACTGAGACAGTTCCGCCCTCGACACAAACTTATAATCCTCATAAACCCCCTTCGTCCCGCCCGCGCCCTCCTCCATCTCCTCCGTCAGGTTCTCAAGGAAGGAGCACCAGCGCGGCGCCGGCCCAAGCTGCGGTATATAATACGTCGTCATCTGGATGCCTTCGTTCGCGGTCAGGAGAAGGCCACTGCCTGGGACGTGATGTAGGTCGTTTAAGTCGTTCGCGGGTGTTAGCGAGGTGAAGTTCGTCGATGGCTACACCCAAAAACACACGCATCAGCAAAACGAGGAGTATAGTTAGAGCCCACGAAAGGGACTCACCGACCCCCTATCCCAAATCTTCACCACCTTCCTATCCGCACTAATCACCAACCCCTCCCCCGCCATCCTCGCCCCGCCCTCCACCCAGCCCACCTTCTTCACCGGCAACCCATACCCCTGATCCTTAACCGCATACGCCCTCGGACTTCTCACATCATAAAGCAACGTATGTCCGCTCGACGTCCCGACCGCATACGAGAGCCCGTCTGAGCGCGACGAGAGCGCCGTTACCGATACCGCCATCCCCGCGCCAGAAGGGTCGTCGACGCCGGGGAGTAGCGAAGACGAGAGCGTACTGGAGTTGACTAGACGAGAGCGGGGCAGGTGCAGTGTACCGACACTGCTACGCGATCGCGGATCCCAGAATTCGACGGTGCCGTTCCCGTCGATCCCAAACGCCCAGAGCCCATGCACCGGATTCACGTCTATCGCATTCACGCCCTCCACGCCCTCTCCCAACACCAGGGGATTCAAAAACCTGCCCTGCTCGAGATTGAGCCGATAGACCTCGTTTCCGGACGCGCCGAGGAGGGCGTCGCAGGAGGGGTAGTGGTATGCTAATGCGCGGCCGAAGCGGGGTATGCGCGTTTTGTAGTGCAGGCCGCCTTGGGTGTGCAGTTCGAGGGTGCGGTCGGATTGGAGGTGTAGCGTTTTTGTCCAGTCGTCGGAGAGGATCTAGGTTTGAAGGGGGGGTTCAGAATGTTTATATGTATGGTTGAGACTTTGAGAGAACGAGAACGGAGGAGGTCATGCCCAGAAGTATATCGAGAATACACCACGAAGCGGCAAATGACATGGCTGCTACAAAGAAGAAGAAACACACACCTCAAAATCCACATTCTCCGCATCCGAATGCCTCTCAAACTTCAAACTCAACTGTCCCAAATCCCACACCCTCATCTGCGGCTTATACGTCCCCGTCGCGATCACATGTTTCCCGTCCCGCGTCGTCTTCACCTTATTACTCGCCTCGGGAAACTCAAAGTGCTGGATGAGCTCGATGGAGCCCTCGACGTGCTCCCGGATCGCGCGTTTGCCTTTTGCTTTTACGGCGCGTTTGCGGGTGAGCCAGTCGGGGAGGGAAGAGGAGGAGCCGGCGGGGGCGCCGTTGACGGTGTAGATTTTGACGGAGTTGGGGTCCAGGGAAGAGACCATGTTGGTGGTTGCTCAGTTCAGTTGGACCGTAGACAGAGTTGAGCGGGTTAGGGCTCGTGATGTAGAGTACTTTTCTAGGTTCGAATGGAGAGACACAGGACGAGAGAGTAAGCAGAGAAAAGAAGCTAGTATTACAGCCCGAGACTAGATAGAGCAAAAGTACAGAGCAAAGAGCAGAACGAAGTCGAGAGAAGAGTAGAATTTCTGGAGAAAATGCTTGGCGGGTCGGTGTGGCGTCGGGTCCGGAACCAGTACGATGGCGCTGTGGCCCAACTTTGTATGCGAACTCATGCTAACCGTATGCACAGTAACTATTGTAAGTTGAGGTAAATCGGCATGGATCGGGGGTATCGTAAAATTGTACATCAACCACGCCATATAAGCAAGAACCACAGGTCAATAGACTTTGGAGTTCGGAGTGTCCCAAGAAGTACTCATGCAAGATTCGGAAAGCAATCCTTCAGAATCCATCCCCCATATAAGAAAAACTCGCGTCTCCCCATATCTTGCTGAACGCAGTAACTTCATCCGGAAACGTCTCAAACATCTGTGGATAAATCGAGGCCCATCTGTCCTGCACGTCCGCCGCCCCTTTACTCGCCCCGGACGCCACGAAATCGTCCCAAAAGTACGGGTACCACCCCGCCTGCTCCCAATCAATGATCCCAACGACGTGCCCATCCTCCACCATAATGTTCGAAGGCCCAAGGTCTCCATGCGAGAACACCGGCGCCCGTTCAAAGTCGAACGGAAGGAGACATTCCGCCTCGTTGCGAGAGTACGAGATGTGGCGACTGCGGGAGACGTGGAGGAAGTATTCGATGAAGTCGCGAGTGGTACGGGCGTCGTCGGGTGTGCAAGGGAAGCGCTCCAGGAAAGAACGGAAATAGTCGTTCCGCCAGGAGCCTTGAAGAGGACCGAGGGAGGTACGGTGGGTGCTCAGTCCGGAGAGCTGTCCGATGAGGTCTTTCAACTCCTCTAGGATTACTCCCTCGGTCTGTGGGTTTAGAGTGGGGAGAATAGAACCGAGAGTGCTACCGGGAAGGCGCTCCTCAACGATGTACGTCACTGGCCGGGGTCCTTGTGTCTCGTCGACGAAGGTTGCATAGACGGTGGGTACGCGAATCGTGGTGTTCTCTGCGACGTATCGTGTTGTGGAGGCTTCGACGAGAGAGACGTCCGTGCCGAATTTGACGATGAGTTTTACGCCGTTCAAGGCGACGTCTAGCACTCGACGAGTCGGGACGGAGTGACTCGAGTACATCAAGCTCTGGTCATAGTTGAGCACCGCCCCTTTGGATGCAAGAGACTTTACGTCTGCTAGATCAAGATGAGGACCCGAAGACAGAGGTGGAGGATGGAATAACATATCGAAAGGTCAGGGGATTCAAGAGAAGCGAGTTAGACAGAAGGACGATGAGAAAGTGAGGGGAGCATCTCGTAGCATCTGTGCCTTTAAGGCTTTTCTTTCGAGCTCTGTCGTCATAGTTTTAACTTTTACGAGCTCCAGGATGGGAAGGCTGTTTACCGGTGTGAGACAGGGTGGAGTAGATGGCTGCAAAGCTGTGACACGAATCTGAGCGCTTCAAGGCTTCATGTCCGGCTACCACCGAGAGCGGGGAGCTGCGGAGTGCGAAAAGATAGAAAGAAGGTTCGGTGACGCGTGTTCGCTACCGAACCGGATTTGGCGGTCACCCTCCTTGAGTCAGACACACTTGCAAGCTTAGGCCTCTCCTCAGTGAGGGATACATGCGCGACATCTTTCTGGTCTATTGGCAGCTGAATTCCGTCCTCTTTATACCAGAATCGTAAACTGCCACTACGCACCGTCAATCTGTGCAGTGCTCCCTAGTCACACGTCATCCCCCCCTTGGGACCCGAACACTTTGGTCTCGAGACCGTAGATTCTCCTACGTCTATCTGCAGTCTTCTGGTCACAGCTAGGAAACTCTAGCCCTCGTTATCGTCGCAAATCTTTGGCAACCAATCGCGCGCTGTCTTCGCTGCCGTTTGCTAGCGCCACCAAAATGATGCCCGGTACGTGAATTCCGTGCCATCCCTGACTCTTCTCACACTCTCCTCCAGGCTCAACCACAGCAGTAGAGACATGCTCTCCGCACCCACAAACGCCTGTCAATCACGGTACAATCCAGCCGCATACAGCGTCGTCAACACCACACGAGGTTCTTATTCTTACCATGTTATAGCCACTGTATCAGTATGCCTGACCTCAACATCACCTTATAGCTCCTTCTAGAGTCGAGGATAAATCACTTACTGCGAGCCTTTGCCCCCTCTAACGTACCTATTGGCAAACTCCCCGAGCCTTGTCATGACTTCTTTCAGGGCAGATGCTTCAAAGGCCAACACTGCTCTCGCGTGCATGTGTCTACCAAAGACCGAGTCAGTAAAGTTACCACGGATACTACGTCTCTTTTCTCTGACAAAATTTCCATCGTCAGAATCGCGATGTATGCTTCTTCTACCTTCATGGGCGCGGGACGTGCCCAGAGGGATCTGAGTGCCGCCGGTACCACCTTAAAGCGGAAGATATCGTGAGTCAACGGGAACAATGACTCTAAATCCGAAACTCATTCATTGTCCAGGTTCACGTGCAATGGCCTAATATCAGGCCGCCACCTGTGTCTGAACAAAGGCCCGCTCCAAGCGAGACACATCCGGTTCGTCCCCTGGGTCCTAGTGTCAGTTATCTCGTAATGATGGTGAAACAATAGCCGGCACACGCTGAATTCTTTTGTTTGATCAGAACCAACAACAATTTCCCATCCGATCAGCCCTCCTTGCCTTGAGCCCCTTACACCAAACACCATTTAAAGGGATCATCTCTCAGCAGCGGCCAAACCCCCTTCCCCTTCCCCCTCGCTTCCGTCAACAACCTCCGCCGCCGCCGCCACCACCACCATATTCCGCTACCACGAATATCCTCTCCCCCTCACACTCCGACTCTCTACTGAAGAACTTTATCGCCGAAGCTCTTCAGCAAGAGCCTCGCCCAACGTCGCATATCATGCCTCCTCCCGAGAAACCCGGCAGTGTCCAAGTGTGTAAAATTCTCCTCTTTTTGTCACATCTCCTTGCTCATGATACTGCAGCAGACAGTCCACGAGCTTCGCAAGCGCCTTGAACAAGATCCGCGCTCCGAAGAAGTCTGCCTCAATTACCAGAAAGGCCGCTGTGCTTGGGGGGACCGCTGTCATCGTCAGCACCATCCCAAGAGAACGGCGACTGAAGCGAAACCTCCCACGCCAACGATACAGGTTAGTTAGTTTCAGCTTGGTTGAACGAGTGATACTCATCTTCAATATAGGATTTGTCGGGTCAAACTGCTCGAAAGGGCGCACCCCAGGCGGATCCTTCGTTACAGTTAGCTGTACAATATCCACATGACTCGCCTGCTCGCAACGTCCCTACCACCAACCAACCACTGATATCAACGCAAGCGCAACCTTTGCAGACCCCTCACTTCAATAATAATGTAAATAATTCTCCCCGTACTATCCGAGGAAGCACAATCCTGAAGATTCTTACGCAGTCACCCCCTTCGTACTCGCCCCCACACGACCCCGCCATCACCGCCATGCCGCTTCCACACGACCATGAGCGTGCACAAGTCAAGCTTCCTGTCAGAGCGCCACCACCGACCCAACATACAGGGCCTGCACAACACAACCTACGACAAGATCCATTTCCACCTCAGCCTTACACGGCCGATCATCTTATCCCAGCGCCGAAACTCCAGCGACCGGTTCTGGACAGCAGTCAGGTATGCACTTTATTCTTGGTGTGACGTTCTATATGCTCACATACAGTAGCGTGACGCTCCTCCACACCTCTTCAAGAGGAACGATGGGCCGTTCACCGGACACCCTGCGATAGTACTTGGAGGTGGATACAACGGCATACAGTCCGGCCGTATTCGCAGCGCACCCCAAATCCCAATCCCTCGCGGCACCCGCGTCCCTGACGGTGTATGTTTTGAATGGGCCCGTGGTCGGTGCTTCAGAGACACCTGCAAATTTCGCCACCATATCAGCGAGGAACCTGCACCATCTACGGTGAGCGAAGTTAGTGAATCTCCTTGCTTCTTTTATCTCCTTATGCTGACTACTTTCGAAACTGGCAGGTTGCTCAACCATCTATACCTTCTTCCGAACGCTCCCAACCCCAAGCTCGAGCAACTTGTTCTTCGGCCCCTGAACGGGTAGTACGATCTTCTTCGCCGAGATCGTCCGCTCCTGGAAGTTCTGTGAGTCGTCGAGTTAAACCCAGACTTGGCTTCTTTCCTAATGGGTGCTCCCATCCATATCAGACGGGAGCCGTGCCTCCCACACGGCCGTCACCTCCTGAGACCGTCACTATTCCTGTCCATGATTACATGCGCGTTGTTCTCGGGCCCGGATTCGATGTTCGCAGTGTCCGTACAGGGACTGAGTCCAATTGGGTCGCCTTGTCTAACGTCCCAGCCGATGTCAGCCAAAGTGAACTCGAACGAGTTCTGACACCGTTCGGTAAACCAGTCGAGGTCAGACTTCGGGAGAAGTCCGTTCGCCCAACCGCCTCATACAGTGCTGTCGTCCAGATGGAAGAAGCGAGTCAAGTCAGTGCGGTAGTCGAGGCTCTCGACGGCGTAGAGATATTCGGAGCACGTATCCACGCACAAGTCTCCCTCGGTCGAACACGCTACCACAATCAGCTGCGGAACCAAGCCATCCATATCTCCTGGGAGGTCCCTCTGTCTACCGGGTATGCAGGCTACGACACGCCAGAGGAAGCACAGAAAGCAGTCACTCTGGCCGATGGCTTCACGATGCGCAAGCAGTATTGGGTCACCGCATCCCTCTACGAAGGTATCCCGGTCGTCGGCGCTTACAACGTTCGCTTCACGGGACTTCCTCCAGACGTACAAGGCAAGGATCTGGCCCCTTTTGGCAAGACGGAGAATACGATGTTCGAGCGACCAATCGCCCCGCTCGCCAATTTCGGTATTCCTGCGGTCCAACGTCTTCTATCAGAATTAGGCCCCATGTCCTCCTTTGAAAACTCGCCTGCACCATACAAGAACGGTCTCGTGCGCGCGTGGGCTCTCTTTGAGACGCCGGATGTTGCCAGCGAGGCCTGTCGACGCAATGGCATCAAGCAGAAGGCGCTAGGCTACCAGAGGATCACCGTCCAGAGGGTGCAGTCTGTTCTCTACGAAGTTCCCAGAGACATTTACTCCCTAATCAGCGAAGAGCTCCAAGCACTTCGCAATTCGTTATGGCAGAATGGTCCGGGTACACACATCCATGTCTTCAACAAGAACCCTGGCATGGACAGCGTCCAGCTCAAGCTCGTAGCCGAAGATTCCGTTACTATCCGACGACTGAAGGCCGATATCGAGGTGATGGTCAGGGGAGAGCCAGTGGAGCAGGATGGTAAGAAGGTTTGGGACCCGTTCTTTTCACGTCCCGATGGGCAGGCGTTCTTGGAAAACACTGAAGCGCGACACCGCGGTCTCCTCGTTCGTGCTGATCGGTTACGAAGGACCATCAGGCTCATCGGACGGCCTGAAAAGCGTGCCCTGGGTCAGAAAGCCATCGTCGCCAAGTTCAACACTCTCACTTCGCAGAAGGTATTCTCGATCCCGCTCGACGGCCACGTTCTGACACTAGTGATGCGCGGTGCGTTCAATGCGTCCTCCAAGAAGCAGGGCGTCGAGACGACCTGGATGGATATTTCTCAGCGGAAGCTGTTCGTACGTGGAAGTGCCAAAGGATTCCAAGAGGTCCAGGCCATCGTTCAGAGGGACATGGGTCATCATGCGACGCCTCCCGCTCAGGCTCACTGTCCCGTCTGTTTTGAGCCCGCAACGGACCCAGTCACACTCGATTGTGGTCACTCATGGTGCAAGGCCTGCCTCGAAGGATATCTAACTGCGGCTTCAGACGTTCAATCCTTCCCGCTTCACTGTCTTGGTGACGAGGGCAAGTGCTCCCACCTCATTCCAACCGTCGTTGCACGCAGGACCCTTTCACCGAGCGGGTACGATACACTGGTGCAAGCTGCGTTCTCCTCGTACATCCACACTCGTCCCGACGATTTCTATCACTGTCCGACCCCCGATTGTCCTCAAGTCTACCGCTCAGGCCCACGCGACTCCGTCATTAGCTGTCCTTCCTGCATCTGCGCTATATGTCCACACTGCCATGTCGAGTATCATGAAGGGGTAACTTGTGCCGATCGGGAGGATGGTTTGGATAAGTTGTTCGAGGAATGGACGAGCATGCACGATGTGAAGAAATGTCCGGGATGCAAGGTGCCGATTGAGAGGAGTGAGGGGTGCAACCATATGACGTGCACGAGGTGTCACACGCATACCTGCTGGGTCTGTCTGGAGACGTTCCCGCAGGGGAAGGGAATTTATGATCATATGAGGAGTGCGCATGGGAGTATTGGGGTGTAGAGGCCGTGTTGGGGTTTGCGCTGTTCTATGGGTGTCGTTGGGGATGCATGGTACAGTTATGTATATGTACGAGTATCGTTTCTTTTTCTTTCTTTACTTTCTCTGTGTATAGTACGACGGCTTCTGTGCCTCCTCTAGAGCGATCCCCACAACTGTACTAGCGATTTATCACCTGGATTTCGCGGATGTTGTAATCATAGTTACGCCGGCTGTGGCTCGCTGCTTCTCTACTTATGCTGCCAATTTTATTATCACTCACCGTTCAACTACAAAGAGATCTCGGACAACAGACAGCTCAAGGGCGCAGATGGTAACCAGATTCTGATTCCGATAGCCACACCAATACGTTACAAACAACAGATGCGATGAAACACAGATGAAGTGTACCTTCACAGACAAAGGGCGATGTGAGGTAGCACATGGTACAGAAAAGTACAGATGACGGTGGTTATCCAGGGTTTACAGGATGGGCAAAGACAGAGCGGAGAGACGAGACAAAAGAAAGTGGATTTACATAGGTCGACAGAGAGGATGGAAGATGATTGTATGTTGCCATAGATGGTTCAGATGAGTTCAGGGGAAAGAAGCGAAGCAGATTTGAAACAAGAATTGGATGGTAGATTATATGGTGGACCGGCCGAATAACTCATTGGTCGCCTCTCTAAGCATACAGGTACGACACAAACTACAACCACGCAAGAGTCAGTTTGCGATATCACAACACAAAAGTTCAACTCAGACGTACGCGTTCGTAAGGCATCTTCGGCGGCTGCCCATGCTTCGGCAGCGAATCCTGTAACTCCGGCCTCTTAGGATCGTACTTGACGAACGCTCCCGTGTGATCTCTGTACCCCTCAGTCGGGCTCGGATAATTCGCCAGCTCAGAAGGATTTGCGCGGTCTTGCGGTGCATAGACAACGTAGCCCTCCTGGGTGAGGTGATCGCCGCGCTTGTTCCAGTATCCGCGACGAACCATGGGACTTTGGCCGGAACTTTGACTGGATCTGGGGTGTGACTGTGAGTGCGAGTGGGAATGGGACGCGGAAGTTGGCGAGGTAGGGGAAGGGGTGAAGGAGGTAGGGTAGCGATCTTGAGGGGGTGCGGGGAGAGGGTTATGAGGGAGGCCTCGCGTACGCTCACGGTCGCGGTCGCGAGAACGATCACGATCACGGTGACGGTCGCGAGAGCGGTCACGAACTCGTTCGCGGTCGTTGCCGGACGAAGACGAATGGTGGGAAGAGCGATGTTCAGAACTGGATTGATACGTATTGGCAGAATATTTGGATTGAGCATAGGACGGAGAGCGCTGTGACTGACTCGAAGAAGAATAAGAGTGAGAGGACTGTTGCGTCTGTGTCTGTGGATAAGACGGAGAACGTTGGAGTTGTGTCGTCGAGGACGAATATGATTGTGAGTAAGGTTGCGACTGGGGCTGAGGTGGCGGGTGCGGTTGAATAGAGGCAGAGTACGAATGGGTAACCGCCTGCACTTGAGTTTGTGCCGTAGGTGCGGAATACGGATTGGCCTGTGGTTGGGCTTGGGGAAATGGTTGACTATATGGTTGACTATTGGAGTTCTCCCGCGAGGCAGGCGGGGATGCGTAAATCTGCGGAGGCTGCGTATAATTCGGCGACGGGTGTAGACTCGGAGGCCTCGAACGGGAGCTCGAACGACCCGAGGAGGGTGTATTCCTGCTATACGTCGACGAAGGCGTTCTCGTGTGCCTTGACGATGGCGTGCTCTGATTGCCCGAAGACGGTGTACCCCTTGTGTGAGGACTCGTGCTCGGTGTGGTCGTCGCAGAAGCTGACTCCGAATCGGATGAGGACGACAGGGGAGACACATCGCGAGAGCGGTATTGGCGGTGATCATGGTGGCGACTGCCTCTGTGACCACCGCTGCTACGATCTTCGATGTTTGGGTACGTAGCACTGCGAGTCGGCCGGCGGCTGCTATGATGCCCTGAGCCGTTTCGTTCTCGGTCACGGTGTCTCGAATGTTCATACTCTCTGGTCGGCGGGGGCTGTGCTTGGACAGTCGATGCGGATGAGGATGAAGTAGTAGACTCGCCAGAAGGGAAACTCGCCAAAGGCGCCAGGGGGCTCAAGACTCCATCGGAGTCCTCATCGAAGTGCGAGAGGATTCCCAAACTGTTCATCCCTGAGCGGCTGCCCGAGGTGACAGGTAAGGACGACTGTCTCGAGACAGGAGCGGCTCTTGAGGTCGTGATGGCGGGTACGGTAGGAATGGACTGGGAGCGCTGAACAGGACGCGACGAGGAGTGGGACGAAGGCTGAGGAGCAGGAGTTGGATCAGGATCGGCATAGATGACACGACCTGAGGTAGCACCAGTCATCGCAGGCCTCGGAGTCTCAGCTACAGAGCGAGATGCCAAATTGGCAGCAGCTGCAGCACTCGCGGTGGAGACCGTATTGGAGGTCTGACGATAGTGATTCGGCGTCCGAACGATGGCAGGCGAAAATGTAGGGCGGAGCTCTTGGCGCGCGGTAAACGACTCCAAAGGACCCGAAGGGGCAGGTCTCTCTGACGCTCGCTGTGGCTGTGGAGCGGACAAAGTATGGGAGTGTTGGGTACGAAGGAGTTCAGCCGCAGCTGCTGACGCAGTCGAGGCCTGAGCGGTCGGGCGATTGGCCATAAGATTCGAGATGTGATTCGGATCTTGTGAGGGCGGTGGACGGGACGAATGTGATTGCTGTTGCTGGTGTTGCTGTTGCTGGGCTTGTTGTGACGCGTAAGAAGGGGGAGGTAGATTCTGAGCCTGAGGGTGTGAGGCCTGTTGTGTACTGCGAGAGTCAGCCTGACGATCATGACGCTCACCACTACCACCTGGATCAGAATCGACATTCGGTAGATCTGTCGGGGACCATATCCAAGGCGTATGTAGCTGCTTCTTCTGCCCGTCAGGACCGGTCTCACCCTCAGGAGCTCTGTAGCAGCGACACAGGTAGAATACGATACCACAGTGTGCCAAACGTCAACACAAGGGGACTGCCGAAGCTCATTCGAACTAAGACGAACCTGATATCCATGCCCTGTAACCCAAGCCCGTTCTCCGATAATTGTGTTGCCCAATAGCTCTGATCCGGCTGCTTCGGAGGAGGTTGGTACTGTTGAGGAATGCCCCATCCCGAAGAGACATGATATCCAACCATGTGCGGCGGTGGAAGCCCCTGCATCGCCGGTCCTGGTCCGTAGACTTGCTGATAGCCTGGAGGAGCTCCTGGAGCAGGCGGAGGTCGATAGAGCCATTGTCCTTGCCTCCACTGTGTTGGATTCACACCTGCTGGTACTGGAGGTGGAGGACCTGGAGCAGAGAAGACCGAAACAGGAGGGTGCGCGTGAGAGGACGAAGGCTGGGAGGGGTGCGACGGCCTTGACGATGAGATGGCAGGGGGGCCTACTGGAGGTATTGGCGGTGGACCCTCCGAGGGTATGGCAGGGCCTCTCCCTCCACTAGCATACTGAGAAGCTCTTATCGGGACTACCGGACCTCGCGAAGCGGTATGGGCGTACATCAAGCTCGGCACGACACGGTCATCAAGTCAACCGAAAGATCTGGCAAATCGACAGGTCGAGAGACGTTAGGAAGAGTATATTCAAATACAAAGAGATAATACGGACGACAGATAGCAACCCAACCAGTGACGATCAGCTCTTTATATATGCGAGCGAAGGTACAGGTGCCGTTGTGCACAGAAGCCTCCGGCGACGCGTTACTGTTCGGATGACGCGTTGAGAACAGTGCTACAAAATTGGCGACAAAAGCCGAGAACAATGTCGGGCGTCTTTAGCTGGGCCCAAGCCGTTGGGGAGAATGTGGGGGATCTAGTGAAAGATGGGAAGGAGAGCCGGACGGTTGAGGAGCGTTTACATGAACTCTCGACCTTCTGCGCCTGGACTGACGAGCGCCGGGACTTCGGACACCCCCCTTCGTTCCACTCAACTGCAGACGCCCACCCATTCGGAACTAAATCACGGCGTGGCCCCACGACAATTGTAGTCTTGTGCAAGACGCTGCTTGACCAGGAATGATATGATTGCTCTCTATATCTGTCGTCATCTACGATTGTGTAGCTAACAATACTCTACAGCTTACACAGCTCTACGTACAAATCTGTATCACAACAAGCTCTGGAAGATCGACACCGCTACTACTGAGATTAAGCTTGTTCAGAAAGGTACGTCCTCGTCGAAGGGCACCTTAAGCTGAAGAGCCTAGGCCACCCACGAGATACGAGAAACTAGAGACAAGGGTACAGGTGCGTCTCTCCATGAGGCTCCGCCATTCAGCCTAGCTGTACACGTATGATCTCACAAGTGAGCCTCGAGGGAATGGGCAGGCAGAAAGAAGATATGACGAAACCTTTCTCGGACGGAAACACTCCCGGCGCCTCAGGCATTCGGAAAATCGTCGCCAAACTCAGAGGGCGCAAGGACTACAAGTGGAAAGCACGTTGTCGTACGTCGGACAAGACATTGTACATCCTTTCACCACAAGACACGGTGACAATCTAGCCAATGAAGCAAATGGTCCAATGATGACGGTCAGAGTGTGTGTGTCGGAAAGTGCCAAACGTCAGTGTCTAGAGCGTTTGCTAGCCCGAAACATAGGAACATGTCAATGGCCCGTCGAGTGATGTTAGAAATTAAAGCCCAGCACAGACGGGTCTTTCGAAAGCGATACGCACGCAGTGAGTGGAGCTGAAAAATCGAGCTAACTGGAATCTAATGATGGATAGAGGCGGCGGTTTTGAGGGTGCACTGTATTGAAGGGCATTGAAGGGACTCCGGACAAAGTGGGGTAGACGACGCCTCAAGACCTCACGCCAGAGCCCAGGAGGGCATCAGTGCATCATGGAGTCAATGTTTAGGGCGACTAAGTGGATTCGAGATAAAGCAAATGGTCGGCGGAGCCAGCTTGAGCCTAAGAGATCGAGAGATCGAAGAGATGCCGTCTCGTGCTGAGATTCCATACAACGACTGAGAACGTGAAAAACCAGATAACAGAGCTTATACAGTGGCAGAGGCCGAGTGACCTCCAAGCGCTCCAGAGAAGCTCTCTTGGCGGGAACGCTGTAGCCTTGCTCAACGTACCACCCGCTGTTCAGTGAACCTATAGATAAATCCGGGACTCGCGGAAACAGCCATCTCTGTAGATTCAACGAAGATTCATCCACGGCGATAACGGACAAGAGAGTTATACGAACGACGAAAGAGTATGGTTTGACCTGGGGCAACACAGGGCGTACAAGATGAGCAAGCAACGGGGAGCGGGCGCTATATGTAGATGCACCAGCCCAAGAGGATGCACTTGGAAGATCCGTATGGAGGAAGGCAGGCCAAAGAAACTTGAAAGCAACGCAGAAAATCAGTAGAGAGTTTCTGGGTGTGGGCGTAGACGGGCGTCCGAAAGAGGTTCGAGGAGGATCAAGGCACCGACGGGATGTGACCTTCACCAATGTTCTGCTGCGTTTATGCCCATGACATAGAAACAGACTTCGCATTGTTATAGCCATATGATACAAAAAAACGAGGAGTCGTCTCCACCTTGTGCATTTCGTGAATCAAAGAAAGTAGAGCGCGATAAAAATGCTCAGCAGTGAGAAACTTCGGGATAATCGAGGTAGTCATCGGGTCCGCGAGCATTGAAGTAGCGCGATGGACGAAGCAATGACGGCTTGAGATCATTATTTTCAAAACGGTAGCATGTTTCGAATTTTCCATGAGATTATTGGGAGACGGTGAGACTGTCTAGCTAGCAGCGACATGGAGGTCAAGAACTGGTCAACTTGTCTGTCAAGACGATCTGTTGTAACGTCACCGTCACAATGTAACAGTTGTGACAGCGTTACAATCGACGCGACGCGCGTCGGGAACGCGTAAGGACCAGTCGTAACTTGCGCTCATCATCTCCCGCCAGCTCACTCACCATGCCTGAACCAACAAAGATCGCTATTCCGGTACCCTCAGAGGACCCCACGAAGAAGGCAAAAGAGACTGCCAAAAATGACCTCAAGTCCAAACCCGGTGCGAAGGAGGAGAATGAACTCGTGTGTAACTCCCATACTTCTATGCTGGTCATATGTAATTGATAGGTCTCGATGGTGGTCTAGTCGGAGGAGGACCTTCAGCTGCGGAATGAGCTGGAAATGCTTGTAGAACGGTTAAAGGTGCGTCACGCACGCTGTTATAACCTGTACAGCTTGGGATGAATGCTCATGAGTGGTCATGTTCTCGATATACTGTGATAAACATAGGAATCAAACACAAGCCTTTATCGACCAGCGCTCGAAACTCTTCGAACTCTGATCAGGACCTCTACTTCGTCCATGACGTCTGTGCCTAAACCGCTGAAGTTCCTTCGACCACACTACCCGGAACTACAGACTCTGTACGAGACCTGGCCTGCCTCCGAAGACAAGGTATAAGCCATTTCCTTTTCTTCCAACGTGTGAGCTTATGCTCAAAGATGACCTTGCAGAGTCTTTTTGCAGACATACTCTCCGTTCTCGCAATGACCTACTCCGATACTCAACCGCGTGGCACCCTCCGCTACCGTCTTCTCGCAGCTTCCCTCCGCCCCTCCACATCTCCTCTCTCCGACCCAGGTGAATGGGGACACGAATACGTCCGCCATCTTGCTGCAGAACTCGGCGAAGAGTTTACTCTTCGTGAGACGGGCGAAATCGAGGTCATTTCCGCTCCCGCACCGGACGCCACACCTGCCGATGCGGCCAAACCGGACGGTGCGGCTGACGGGACGGAGAAAGACGTCGAGGCAGCACGTCAGGAACCTTTGAAAGTTGGCACACTGGACGACCTGAGAAGTCTCGCGGTGGATTGCGCAAAGTTCTTATTGGGTCATAATGCTGAACCAGACGCTGTGGATCTGCTGGAGGAGATGGAAATTGTGGATAGGCTTGTGGAACTCGTCGATGAGAACACATTTGCACGAGTCTGTGCTTACATGATTGCGTACGTGTCTTTGATGCCTTCCCCTTTCATTGTCACCGAATACTGATATGCATTTCGCATCTGTAGCTGTGTCAACCTACTCCCGCCACCAGACGACCTCGCGTTCCTCAAGACAGCACACAATATCTATGAACGGCACCACAGATTCCCTCAAGCACTCGCTCTTGCCATCCGACTCAACGACCCTGAGCTCATCCGCAAAGATTTCAGCGCTCCTGGCAACCCGTACGAGAACTGCCTTCTCTGCCCCCGCAACATACTCATGTCCCTTTTGTATTATTCAGTCTCATGAAACGTCAACTAGCATACATACTCGCCCGAGCACAAACACCACTCGAGTGGCTTCAGGACTCTTCTGGTGACGATGAGGAGCCTGAAGAACTCCCAGAAGATTTGCTCAACTGCTTGTACAACACAAACTTGAGCGAACACTTCAAGGAGTTTGGGAAGGAGGTCGGCGTTGAGGATGCAAAGAGTCTTGAAGATGTTTACAAGAGCCACTTGGAGAACACTCGTGCGTTGTCCAAACCTTTATAGCGGAACCAGTCGTTACTAAAGTCATTTTTCTGTGTTGGCAGGCTCATCAACAGCGAATGTCGACTCTGCTCGTGGTAACTTGGCTGGAACATTCGTCAACGCCTTTGTCAACGCCGGATTTGGCAACGACAAGCTAATGGTGGAAGCAGACGAGGGAAACAGCTGGATCTACAAGAACAAGGATCACGGTATGTGGGATCAAAGTCGCCTCCTCTCCCTTGTTGACATACGTTTCCGTTAGGTATGATGTCTGCCGCCGCCAGCCTTGGTCTTTCTCTGCTCTGGGATACCGATCTCGGTCTTTCACACGTCGATAAGTACACGTATTCCTCAGAAGAGTACATCAAAGCTGGCGCCCTCCTTGCCACAGGCATCCTCAACACCTCCATCCGATCCGAGAACGATACCGCCAAGGCTCTTCTGGGCGAGTACGTCGAGAACAAGTCCGTACCTCTCAAGACGGGAGCCATCGTCGGTCTTGGGTTGGCCTACGCAGGGTCACATCGGAGGGATCTAGCGGAACTATTGCTGCCGCTTGTGGCGGATGATGCGATAGGCATGGAGATCGCGAGTTTGTCTGCGTTGGCGATTGGCTTCATTTTTGTGGGAAGTGAGGACGGAGAGGCGAGCAGCACGATTTTGCAGACGTTGATGGAGAGGGAGGACAAGCAGTTGGAGGAGAAGTGGGCACGATTTATGGGTCTGGGTCTGGCGCTTCTTTATTTGGGTACGCCCCTTTTCTCACAATCCTTTACTTTCCGGGAAAATCTGATTGAATGTCCCACCGCTGTTTCACAGGTCAACAGGCAACCGATTCTTACGATGCGACGGTTGAGACGCTCAAGGCGATTCCACACCAGGTATCGAAGCAGATCCAGATTCTTGTCGAGATGTGCGCCTTCGCTGGCACGGGCAACGTCCTCAAAGTCCAGTCCATGCTGCACTACTGCGACGAGCACATAGGTTCGTCAAGCGAGAAGGAGAAAGAGAAGGATAAGGAGGATGGCCAGGCCGAGGGCGAGAAGGAAGAGGATGTGAAGGTCGACGACACCTTCCAAGCCTTCGCTGTTCTGGGCATCGCACTGGTGGCGATGGGTGAGGATATTGGTTCTGAAATGTCACTCAGACAATTCAACCATCTTGTATGTTCATCTTCTTCCATCGTTTCTATCGAAGCTAATATAGCGCAAATAGATGCACTACGGCGAGCCCGTCATCCGCAAAACCGTCCCTCTAGCTCTCGGCCTCGTCAGCGCTTCAAACCCACAACTTCCCATCCTCGACACACTCTCCAAATACTCCCACGACAATGACCTCCAAGTCGCTCTCAACGCCATCTTCGCCATGGGTCTCGTCGGCGCAGGTACCAATAATGCTCGTCTCGCGCAGATGCTCAGGCAATTGGCCGGATACTACCACAAGGAACCAGATTGTCTGTTCGTTGTGAGAATTGCGCAGGGGCTGGTGCATATGGGCAAGGGAACGATCGGGATCAATCCGTTCTTCTTGGATAGGTCGGTCATGAGCAGAACGGCTGTGGCGGGTATACTGGCTACGTTGACGGCGTTCACGGACGCGAAAGCCTGTGAGTCCCATAGCTTCATCTTCTTCGACCTGTATTGATTTATTTACCAATATGCTTGGCTCGATAGTTGTGCTGGATAAGTACCATTGGATGTTGTACTTCTTGACAACGGCCATGTACCCTCGCTTCCTCATCACTGTCGACGAGGACCTGCAAAGCAAGCCGGTCACCGTCCGTGTCGGCCAGGTACGTCCTTCATACTATTCCCTCGCGTTTCAAGCTCTTTACTGACTTTGACTTTCTCTTTAGGCTGTCGACGTTGTCGGGCAAGCCGGCAAGCCACGCACGATCTCAGGCTTCCAGACACATCAAACACCGGTGCGACTGGCAACCACGGAGAGGGCAGAGCTCGCCACAGAAGAGTTTATCCCCTTCGCGTCCGTGCTCGAGGGCTTTGTTATCTTGCAAAAGAACCCTGGGTGGGAGGAGGACAAGATGGACATTTAGACGGTTCTTGTCGGACGTTTGGTGATGCCATGTCCGTGAGCGGTGTTTTGTTGGCGGTCGTTGTCGATGTTTTTTGTACTGTGGGAAGTTATCATAAAATAATGAGCTTTGTTTTTTCATCTGTCCTCTCATTATCGGTGTGTTGGCCATTGAGTAGCGCTGGTTCTAGTGTTCTTCGTATGGCGGCTGGCACGACTTGCTCGTCGTCACCCTTGTAGTACCCTCGCGGGTTTAAACTTCCTTGAGTGTGACGTCGAGCGAATCGTACGAGATGGTAGATATGGTCACTAAGGTAATGTATATTCATCTTCTCTTTCGTCCATAGCCCCATGCTGCTCAGTCTCGTGTTGCCGTGGACCCTCTCCTTGTCTTTTGCAGTTCCTGTTGATATCTCATCAGTCGGCGGACACTTTGGAACAGCAAATGATCGGGAGTGGGTAGAGTCTACGCTCTTGAATTATCTTTGTTAGTCCAACCGCGTTCGCCGTCCAAAATATATTTCAGACGAGAGACAGAAATGATGAACATCCGACCAATGCCAGCGCGGAGAGAGGTGTCATTTCGATCTTGCCGCTTTGAATTTGCCGAGCGTAGTTGCGCACTTTGCTGAGTCGGACTTGCGGACTTCAAAGTTCAAGTCGTGACATTCGCGCAACGCGAGGTAGGTAAGGTAAGGTAAGGTCTCCCTCTCCCCACCGGGAAACGCGTCGTTTTCGATTAATTCTCATCCATTTCGCGTCGTGCGAGGTTTTCCTGAACTGTAGAGATCGTCCATCAAAGACGCCGACGCGGAGAACCTGAATAACAGGAGAGCACTCAGTCTACGAACACCGCTTGCGACACTCCGTGCAATTCAGTGGCTCACCTCCTACACTCAACACTTCAGTTAAACAGAATGAAAGTGAAACCAGATAGCATTCAGCGCTGGTGTGCGCTCACCTTGGAACAGTACAAGGATGGTATAAATCACCGCACGGCAGCTGGCATCCAAGAAGCTCATGCCATTCCCAACGACATAGGGCCTAAGGAAGTGCGTCCTCATCTCCTGCCTCATTCGTTATTCACTGATCAATACGTTCTCGTTGAACAAGATGAGTGCTCTCGAGAGTGCGTGGGGCTTGAAGGCCGGAGCTCTGGCCGATGCTAAGAGCAGCTCGAAGAATATAATACCTCGTGAGTACGGTCTCGCTTGCTCATCGGCTCCTTCGTCCTCATCAAAATTTGGTTGAACCAGTCCGCGCGGACTGGCGAGATTGCTTTGACTGTGGAGACTTCATACTGTTGCCTCGTCGTGAGGTTCTTGCACGAATTCAATACTTCCAATATAACAAGCCGGAAATCATCGCACACGCCATCCCATGGGAGGAACTAGTGAGCATCTCTTGTTGTTCTTTATGCTGAAAATTGGGCCACTGAAATTGTTGTCTGACTTGTAGAAGGTGCACCACTACGTCTTCATCCCCATCGGCAAACGCTCCAACACTGTTCCACTTTTCCGACGGGAGTTCAAGCAAGGCTGTGAATTTCAGGAATTAGTGAAAGACAAAGGCACCTTTTACAATCCGCCCAACTTTGACGACTATCCTGAGATTCAATCGACGGTTCACCCATACTGCATGATCTGGAAAGCAATTTATGAGATCGGTAACAAAGTTTCACATAATCAGATCGAGAACATAAATCATCGTCTTTTGTATCTCTCCGCCTTGTGTATCGTGGAGGAGTGGAAGTTTTGTATGTCACCAGAGGCCAGAAAATTGCTGACGTCCCGCCAACCCCGCCACCCTCCCGACTCAGGCGACGCGCACACCGACCATTCATCCCCCACACTTCCCAGCGGTCCCTCGGAAGACGATAGCGATAGCGACAGTGGTGGCGAGAGCGGCGGCGAGAGCGACGGCGATGGCGGTGACTCTGACCTTCATGTCAGCGACGCCCGCAACTCGGGACACCAGCATATGGCTCACGGATCGACCCTTATATCGTACTCTAACTATAAGCTTTCTTTCACGTCCTCTTCTCCACCCAAATCTGCTCCTTCTGAGAAGCTCACTCGAGACGATGAATCCGACGTGGTCGAAGAAAGGCCCGATAATCTCGCTCCATATGTACCATGGAACGTTGGCGATTGGCAATTCAAAGACGCTCAGCCCGACGCTCAGGCCCTTGATGACCTCCAAGATAACCATTCCTCCGTCCTCGCTGTCGAGTCTTTGTCCTTATATCGTCTGGAAAACCCGGCGCAACTTCCTCGTGGACCCTGGGAGTACTGGCGACCCGATTTCATGAAGGACATGGACGAGGCAAAATACAGGGAATTGGCGGAGAGATTTGGAATGATCTGATCACAGTAGATGGTTATGGCCCGAAGCATTGGTCGAGCATTCATGGGCCCATTGATATTTTTCTTTCATTGATTCTTCCTTCTTCGCTTGCTCTCCACACACAACTGTATTCTACTATGCTCTGCCAAATCTATGCTATCTCATCGCCCGTTTTTTTCCGTTGCTGTCTCATCTAACAAGAGGATATTTGAATGACCTGTTGCTCTCCGACTCCAATCAAACAACCTACACGTCCTCGTCCATTCCACCCTGGATTCCGCTCTCCTTCCTTCCAAAGCTATCTCGGCACCCGAATACATTTGAGCTTCATTGGTCGACTTGATAGTTCTGAGACTTGCTCCAGCTTTGACGATTCTGCCACCGTAGTTCCGTACGACACATACGTAGCAATCGAAATATTTAGATTGAATCAGTATAGCTTGGACCACCCATCTCCGACAGGGAGGCAAAGTTGAACCGTCTGTACGTGGTGAGGCGAAACACTGATACAAGCATGGATTTCGAAGGACCAACAGAGTACTATGCATTGTTCGCGTTCAGTATCGTACTAAGTTATACAGAATAAGACATATGACGGTAGTAAGAGCTACAGGACAGTACTCTAATCTTCTGATGATATCCGAACAATCTCATTCCCTGCTATATGTACTATGCAGCGTCGAGCGGCAAGGTCCTCTGTCTACATGTCCAAGTCCGTCCACCATCCACACCACAATCAAAGCTAAAACGAAGTTCAAAGCACAAAGCACAACAGTCCGAAAAAAAAACAAGGATATACAACGTAAAAGTATCAAGTATCACAGCATAAATCAAGCAGAAAAAAAATCACCGCCAACGATCAACGTTCAGCAGAGTGTCATCATGTCCACACAAATCCAAGCAATACCAAACCCACCAGCGACGCCACAAACACACCCATATCCATCCACTCCATTCCCATCGGCATACTTGTATTCGCGCCGCTGGTACTAGTGGAGTTGCTTGAGCCACTGCTGCCCTCCGAGGTATTACCGCCTTGTGGGCTGGTGTTGATGGAGGGATTTCCGAACCCTGTCGAGCCGGGCTGGAGAGACATCGTTGAGGCGGCGGATGTGGCGGTCGCAGTGGCGGAGACGACTGTGCTTCCATGTGGGTAGATGAACGCGCCGTTGGCGGAAGGGGTGGGAGCAGGTCCACCAGTAGTATAGGCGCGCAGGTAGTTGATGTCGAAGTAGGCCTCGTCGTATTTTGGAGAGCCAGCGCCCACCACGTTGTCGTTGTACTGAAATAATCAACAGGTCAGAAATGTTGTACTTCTGAATGGAGACGTTCATGATGAAGGACTCACACAGAGGCCTGTGGACCCTTCATTTGCGCAGTTTTCCTGGTATAATGACGGAATGCCAGCCCTGTGCCCAATTGATCGTTGGTTAGAAAGGTCGAGGAGAAAGAGTGGAGCTCAGCGCACCATGAACCGCAGAGTGTGATGTCGATCACAATCTGTTGAGAGGTGAAGAACTCTTGGATGTTGCATCCCGAGGAGGGATATGCAGCAGAGGGAGTGCCCCAGTCGGTAATGTCGATCCCGGAGGTGGACGTGGCACCCAGGATCGAGGCCGGAATGTCTGGTCGCTAGTCATATGAACATTAGCGAGTATGCAAACCGGTGTTCATGAGAAAGTCACTTACGCTGAAAAACCATATACTGCTCGGGCGATGACACGGTCGCCGAACAGGGAGTTTCAAGTCTATGTAAGAGTCTAAACCCAAGATGCTAGGCCAGAGATGACGCACAAGATGCCCGCAACATCGAACTGTGTGGCAAACACGCCTCCACCTTCATGAATTTTAGCAATGGAAACTATGCGCTATCCGGGGAAATCACACACCAGCTTCAGAAAAACCTTCCCTATAACTGTTCGGCTTGTTCTCCCCCACAGTGCACCCGCTCGACTGCGAGCAGTCCGTGACACCTGATGTGCCACTCTGCCATGATCCTTGGGCCTGCCCGCAACCTGATGTCGTATGGAGCGCATACTGGTTGAAGGTCGCAAGGTTGATTTGTTCTATGATGTCAATTTCGCCGTCATTGGGCCAGGTCGGTCCCTCTGATGATTTGTCACGTATTTCAGTGTGGCGTCAGCAAGAGCAACAAAACTATACTTACTCGTCCAGTATGCTGGCCACACCTATAAATGCCAAATTATTAGCGCTAGTGAGGACTCAAAGCGGAACGAGGGCGCTCACGGAGCATCCGTATGGAATATGGTTCAAGTCGAGGATCCACAATGAACCAACGTCGTAGAAATCCTGGGATGTGATTCGGACCTGGAAACAGTCTTCAAGTCAGGTTGAACGGCATGAACACAGAGTTGAACAGACATACCGAGTTCCGTTTGTCGTTATAGGCAACATCCGACTTATTATCAACCTTGATAATAGCATGCCCGGCGTCATCTGTGTAAGCAAGGCCCTGACTGAAGGCGTCCGACTCGTCCAACCACCAAACATCGCCTTTTGTTGCCAACAAAGATGAGCATACTGACTCAAGGAGGTAGCAACTGCACAGACTCACCTAGAGTCAGGTTATCGTATGATCCATAGAAGTCCCAACGGGAGAAAAAGTCAAGGCCAGAGTAATCGCGAACCATGTCGTACGAAGCCGCACCACGCGACATCATTAGTGTCGTGCAGAGGGCAACTCTCCAAGGTATCCGATTCAACATTATGACAGTTCGTATAGTTCACGAGCAGAAGAAATAAAGATTACAAGAGAAAGCAGAGCGTCAAGAGTGTTATGGCGAAGGGTGTACGAGGTGAAGCCGCTTTACGGTCCTAGTGCCTATATATGCTCAGCGTTCGTCCGCACCGGACCAAAGATAGCAAGCATACATGATGACGAACTCGCAGTTTTTTGACGGCCTGAAGAAGGGGAGATCAGCCTCGAGGCGGATGGGCAAGGGGTCCGAGCCCAACATTGGCAACACCTCGAGGACGTGGTGCGCCACACTCCAACAGGAACGGCGATCACGTTTCTGTTCGTGGGCCACAGAACTCCTGTGCCACCCGGAAAGACCCGTTAACTTCCCGCCGTCGGATTTTGAAGTCGAACACTCTTCCGCTGCGCCTCAAGGTCACAGTGCGCGATTCCGTCAACACCCTGGGTATGCGTGGATGATTCTTTCTTAAATTGAACTCAATCAACTACGCGGTCATTTGTCTTGTTACGGATCAGAAAATATCTACGAAGGCAACCCTCATTTACCACATCCAGGTGCATAATACTGCTACCCTCAATGCGATCTACACGCGTTGTTTGCGCGTTGTGCAAAGCGCATCAGCACATCTATCGAATGCGCACCGCGATACAGCCTTTGAGAAGGGCGCTCTGACCTTCCTTCATTCCAACTTGTCCATTTCACTAACCGGTGTTTGATCAGCCGATGGAGGGGTTGACCTTCTCGGTGGTGTCTTCCGGAACTTGTCTGGGAGCACCTAGTAGACGTTGTAGGACCCTTTCTCGTCCCTAGGCTTGCTAAGGAGATTCGATGGAAGGACAACGCAGGATCACGCAAGGTAAGACGACAGGAAGGCCTCGACTATGGTACAGAAGCAAAAGATCGTCCACTTGAACACTCCATAATGTCGCTGTCGACCGGCAGATCATCTTGATTGGGAGCCAACTATCGAATGATGTTCCACATCCTGGCTGAGCAAGAGGCGACTATCTTCCTCGACGGCCTGAAGCGCTAGGAAGATCATATGTACGTTCTTCATACTACCTAACCCGCTTGCCATCTTCGATGCAGCTCGTGTCGTGGCTGCGTGGACTCCTTTCCTGAATGCACATCAATCGGCAACGAGCCATAATTGTCAATGCAGTCGTTCTTCACGTGGATTCCGACCACGCCCATCTGGTCACGTACGAATGAACTTGTTCTGAGGATATACATCAGAGTCATGCTGCGCCGTAACACCTGTTCATATCTTCGCGATCCAATGCTCCTCCAAATACGCAATGATCTCCAAACTGTTCTTCTCCATGAAGTGCATATGTCCGTTCCCATGAAACCCAACATCCTCGAGCCTCAGATGCTCCGCCGGAACACCTGCTTGTCTCAGAAAATCAACGTTACAATGATCGTACACCGCGTGGAAGCTTGACTCGCTCGTCTCGACTAAGATTGGGATATGTTGTAAGTTGACGAGTTGACGAGCAGGTTCTGCCTGAAGAATGCACGACGAGCGGTTAGGGTTGGAGGATGGGTACACTTCAGTGGTTAGAGGATTGGTGAGGTTGGTGACGGGAGGATCGTAAGTGAGAGGAGTGTCGGTCAAGCCGTATGGACGAGCGGTAGAATTGTCCAAAATCTCGTCATGGAAGGGCGGACCTGTGGGCTCGATAGAAAGGATTCCCTTGACGAGGTCGGGGCGAGCATCGGCCAGCAGCCAAGGGAACAGGCCTGATTGGGAATGCGATACAAGGATAGCGGGTCCGATGGTGTCGAGAAGCGCTGTGCCGGCCGCTTGCATGCCTATCTCTTCAAATGTGTTGTTGTTTATGTATTGCACGCACGACGCATAGAAAGCGTCGAATATCGGATCGCCCATTCTTCCTGTCTGTCAATAACATTCAGCATGAGCATATTGGCGAAGGGACTGGAGTAGGCCCTACCCCGGGCCACTGAGTGTGCAGGGATGCCTGGGGCCACAGGTTGAAGTCTTGGGCGGCGGTGAACATCTTCTCAACAAACTCTGCAGACAGGAACGCCATAGTTCCGTTATTTGGTAGCCACATGCTTCTTGCGCGAGCGACCTGGTCGACGATATATACCTATTCACAACAAAATACGAGTATTAGCGAAGAACTTCTGAGATAATTTAAAAATAGCATTGGTTCGTGAATTGTGGCGTGCCTCGTATCCTCGATCAATGAGCCATGATGCCCACCCTTTCCGTCCGTCAGGTGTGTTCAAGAAGTTCTGCATAAGAAAAGTCAGCTGCCAGGATCAGATGAACATGGAATTTGACTCGCCGTTCCGGATTGTCCACCACCATGAATGAACACCAGCGGGTATGAATGGTTCACACCCCCCACAGGTGTGAGCCGTTCGACGTACATCTGGCCTTGGAGAACATGCGTTCCTGCCCCGGTGCCATCGTCTGTCCAAGAGCCCCCAGCCATGAAGTAGTCTCGATAATACGCTGACTCTGGACTCGACCATGACGTCTGGTTGTCCCCGGGTGCTCTGGTCGACGTCGTATACACGACAGCAAAGACGGAAAATAACAACAAGAAACTCAACAAGGATGGTAGCATGAGAAAGGAATCGATGCAGTGACGAAGTGGAAACGGTGGAGTGCGTCGAGCTCAAAGGTGGGGTACGTTGAGCTTAGAATAACATCTATATATCCGTCGGATGCGGTCTTGCTGTAATATTTCGTTGTCTCACGAGATCAGCCTAACCTTGCCACGGGATCCACAGAGAGCAGAGAAGAGCAACGAATGAACTTCATACGGGCGCTTGGAGCCTCATGTGCACGAAGTCCTGAATATAGTGCACATTACGCGTAAACCCACCTTCCAACCGAGCAGAAGAGGCTGACATCGTTCCTGTCGCAGATGGATGAGAGCCGTCACATTGGCCGTTCGAGGGGAATAATCAGAAGATAGATATAATCGTACCAAGCATCAAATAGTACTAATCCAGTGTTCCTCCAAATACTCGATGATCTCCAGATTATTCTTCTCCATGAAATGCATGTGACCATTCCCGTGAATCCCAACATCCTCAAGCCTCAAATGCTCCGCCTGAGCACCGGCTTGCCTCAAGAATTCGACGGTACACTGGTCATACACCGCATGGTAGCTCGCCTCGCTCGTTTCGACCAGTATCGGAATATCCTTCAGATTGATAAGTTGGCGAGCAGGTTCTGCTTGGAGAGTACACGACGTGCGATTAGGGTTCGACGAGGGGCGCGTTTCGGTGGTCAGAGGTGTGATAGTATTCGTCACGGGTGGATCGTAAGTGAGTGGGATGTCCGTTATGCCATATGCCCGGGCGGTGCGGTTGTCAATGACGGCGTCCTGGAAAGGTGGTCCAACTGGTTCGATGGCAAGTATCCCCTTGACGAGCTCCGGCCGGGCGTCGGCCCACAACCACGGGAAAAGACCCGCTTGAGAGTGTGAAATGAGGATAGAGGGGCCAATGAGATCCAATAGCGCGACACCAGCGGCCTGCATGCCTGTCTCTGCCATCGTGTTATTGGTGATATATTGCACCGTCGACGCATAGTAGGCGTCAAATACTGGATCGCCCATTCTACCTGTCTGTTCAAAGAGAGACATTAGCAATTCCTTTGGCGCAATTGACCATAAATCTTACACCAGGCCACTGAGTATGTAGCGCGGCTTGGGGCCATAGGTCGAAATCTTGAGTGGCGGTGAACATCTGCTCGATGGTCTCTGCCGAGAAGAAGGACATAGTTCCGTTCGTAGGTAACCACATACTCCTTCCACGAGCGACTTGGTCGATGATATACACCTAGACACGCAACAAATAACTTCAGTACCCAAGGCGTGAACCAGATAAGATGCGAGATGCACCTCATAGCCTCTACCAATGAGCCATGAAGCCCATCCTTCCCGGCCGTCTGGTGTATTGAGAAAATTCTAGGGAATCCAGGTCAGGTGCTGGAGCCAAGCGAATCATCGTATGACTCACTGTTCCCGTCTGCCCCGCTCCATGGATGAACACCAGAGGGTACGAGTGGTTCGCACCCGCCAAAGGTCTAAGACGTTCGACATACATTTGGCCTTGAAATGCGTGCGTGCCATTCTCAGTGCCATCGTCCGTGTAGGACCCTCCAGCCATGAAATAATCACGGAAGTACGGCGACTCTGGGCTCGACCATGGCGTTTGATTGCCTCCTTGTGCACTTGAGGTACTGATACCAAGAACGACAAAACAGAGAAGTGATGGAATAATTGACGGTGGAAACATAGTGAGAGGAAACGAGTAGAGCCAGGGCGGAAACGTGCAGACTTGTACCGAGCGCGAGTCTCGGGGTGCACTCTTATATACTGTTCTTCTTCACGGGGTCCATAGGCGCCAGAGAAGAATGACAAAGTGTGCACGGACTCGGGGCACCGTGTCACGCTGAAGCCTGTATTGTCAATTCTGGCTGCGTCGCAGATCTATAATAAGACCTACATATACATGCCAAGCCCATACCAACTTCTAGAAGAGTGAACCTTGACGTTAGAATGAGTTTTAAAAAGCGTATTCGGTACGGACAGGAAAGGAAGCACAACCGTATCAATCAATGAATTTTCCCAATCCAATTTTCCTCCAAATACGCAACGATCTCCAAGCTATTCCTCTCCATGAACTGAAAATGCCCGTTCCCATGTATCCCAACATCCTCGAGCCTCAGATGCTCCGCCAGTACCCCCGCCTGCCTCAAAAACTCGACAGTACAATGGTCATACAATGCATGATAGCCCGACTCGCCCGTGTCGACCAAGATCGGAATATGCTTCAAGTTCACGAGCTGGCGGGCAGGCTCTGCTTGGAGAATACACGACGACCGATTCGGATTCGACGACGGATGAACTTCAGTGGCCAGAGGCGTGGTTGCGTTCGTCACTGGGGGGTCATAAGTAAGTGGGATATCCGTCAGGCCATAGGCGCGGGCAGTCAGGTTGTCGACAACCTCATCTTGGGAAGGCGGGTCGGAGGGTTCGATAGCAAGAATTCCTTTGACCAGTTCAGGGCGCGCGTCGGCCCAAAGCCAAGGGAACAGGCCCCCTTGAGAGTGAGCGATGAGGATCGAGGGTCCAATGATGTCGAGCAGTGCAACGCCGGCTGCTTTCATGCCGATCTCTTCCAGTGTGTTGTCGCTCAGATATTGTACATTAGACGCATAGAAAGCGTCAAATATTGGATCGCCCATCCTCCCTGTCTATTTAGACATTCAGTAAGATTATGCTGACGAGGAAGAGAGCAGCACGTACACCGGGCCATTGGGTATGTAATGCAGCCTGGGGCCACAAGTTGAAACCCTGTGCGGCAGTAAACCGTTGTTCGATGTCCTCTGCGGAGATAACGGCCATGGTTCCATTTGTAGGCAACCACATACTCCTCGCACGAGCAACCTGATCAATAATATACACCTATTCATGCCCCATGGTGCGAATCAGTAGACAACTACAGTGCCATACAGGATAGATATGTGGCCCACCTCGTAGCCCTGATCAATGAGCCACGATGCCCATCCTCTTCTCCCGTCAGGTGTGTTAAGAAAGTCCTTTGAAGTACGGTCAGCTGTTGAGAGCATCAAATAGTGATATCATCTGTGTTGCTCACTGTCCCCGTCTGTCCTGTTCCATGAATGAGGACCAGAGGATACGAATGACTCACACCTCTCAAAGGGATGAGGCACTCGACATACATCTGGCCTTGAAAAGCATGTGTTCCTTGACCGGTGCCATCGTCCGTATAGGACCCCCCGGCCGTAAAATAGTCCCGGACATATGCTAATTCGGGGCTCGAACATATCGGGTTGGAACTGCGTACAGTCGCGGTGGTGCACAAAAAACCGAGAACACAGAGCAGCAAAGGCAGAGCAGACGATAGCAACATGCCAGAAGGATTCGCGCAGAGAGGAAACCCGTGGCTTCCTAAAACCAACGACATGATGCTATATATCGTCTCCTGCAGCGCCTACTTGCGTATAGTTTTGGCGTAGTTCACTTCCTCGCCATCATGGGACCGCAGACGTCAGGAAGAAGAATGGTCAACGTACGCGGGCTCGGGCTCAGCACCTTGTCTTACCAAAGCTAGCTCGTATTGTCCACGTTATATTCATAGAGTACAATAACACCCAGGTTAGCACGAGATTCGGAAAGCCCTGACGCGCATGTACGGCACCCTTCCCGCTGCAAACCAAACCGAGAATCAGCGATCTCATCCACTAGAAACACACACCCGCACGGACCGAGAAAGAATAACTCATCCGCACCAATAGTTACAATCACCGTATCCTCCCAATCCAACGTTCCTCCAACCACCGTATAATCTCCAAATTATTTTTCTCCAAAAACTGCATATGCCCATTCCCCCGTATCCCGACGTCCCCCAGATTCACAAACTCCGTCTTCAACACACCCGCCTGCCTTAAAAACAGCGCGACGCATCTGTCGTACTGCGCATGAAAGCTCGCCTCGCCCGTCTCCACCAACACCGGTATATGTCGCATATTCACGAGCTGGCGCGCGGGCTCGGCTTGTAACACACAGTCGTACTCGTTCGGATGCGTAGATGGGTAGACGGCAGTGGTGAGCGGTTTGGCGAGGTCCGTGATGGGGGGATTGTAGGAGAGTGGGATGTCGGTGAGGCCGTAAGGACGTGTTGGGGTGCCGTCGGCGTCGAACCAATCTTCGAAGGGAGGTCCGGCGGGTTCGATGGCTAGGATGCCTTTGACGAGGTTCGGACGTGCATCGGCCCATAACCAGGGGAACCAGCCTGCTTGAGAATGCGCGATGATGATGGAGGGGCCTATGATATCTAGAAGTGCCGCCCCTGCATCTTTGAGGATTAGCTGCACGAATGTGTTGTTGGTGAGGAACTGGACGTTTGAAGCGTAATATGCGTCAAATATAGGATCTCCTATTCGTCCCGACTGTACATGTTGATTTCGCTCAGTCAGCCTCTTTCGACATGTTAGTGGATGGAAGTGGACTCACGCCGGGCCATTGGGTGTGCAAAGAGGCTTGTGGCCATGTGCCCAGTTCTCGACTGGCGGTGAATAATTGTTCGATGATTTCTGCGGAGAAAGCAGCTAATGTTTCGTTTCCCGGGAACCATAATGACCGGCCGCGAGCGACCTGATCAACGATGTAGACCTATTCGGGATACGATCGTGAATAATCGTATAGCTCATACAGCTCGCTCATATTCTGTGACGTACTTCGTATCCGCGGTCTATGAGCCAAGACGCCCAACCTTTCCTACCATCAGGTGTATTGAGGAAATTCTGAGTAAGTAACAGCAGGAAGTTAACAAACGATCCGGTGAATGCTCAGTACACAAAAGCGAACCTTACCGTACCCGTCTGACCAGACCCATGGATGAATACCAATGGATATGGATGGGTAGCACCAAAAGGCGGCGACAACCTCTCCACATACATCTGACCCTGCAGCACACGAGTTCCTTGGCCTGAACCATCGTCCACCCAGGAGCCACCTGCATAGAAGTAGTCACGGATGTAGGCTGACTCTTGGCTCGGCCGTCGGGGATATCTCGCATCCGGATTGCTCGAGCATGCTAGTACGAATACGTGGCCGCAGAAAGCAAGACAACCTAATGCTCTGGCAAATAGTCGCGTCATGTCAGCCTGAAAAAATGCCTTGGCAGAGGAAGAAGGTGGAAAAGGAGGAGAAGGACTTACAATCTCACGGAGGGCTGTATATATGCATTCTGCTGCTGCTTATCAGGAAGTCAAATCAGCATGTTAGTCAACGTCAAACACGATGCTCAGGGGCTTCAGCGGCGCTTTTGAAGGGGAGCGGGAGAGGTCCGACGTGGTAGCCTGCTGGTGCACGCAAATGCTCTCTGGAGTACAAATGCCATCGGGGGAGTATGAAGAGTATGGCGACCACAAGCAATGCTGTAGTCGAGCCGTTGAATTATGGGTGAAAATCTAGAACGCCCGAACGTCGTAAAGATGAAGTAGAGACTGATTCTGTTCCTCTGACTCAAGCTCGTGCGATCAACTTGCGTTCTTCACAATCATTAGAGATACTGGGGCCAGTTATTACTGTCTTCAAGAAAGGAATCGGAAACGAGACTATGTGGATAACGTAGTAGGCAGTAAAGAGTCCAAATCAAAGAATTTCAGCGAGTTTGAGCACTATTCGAAGAAATCGGCAACTCCCGGCTCCCTCCGATTCCGCCGAACCGTCAACGTCCCCGAGCACGCCCTGCAGCAAACGTCCTCCACGTCCTCCTCACCGCCATGTCCTAGTGCGCCTTCCCCATTTCTGCTCTTCGTTCTAAACGAATGCTGACTGCCTGTCTTGCTCGTGAATTTACAGCCAAATTCTCGGCCAGACGGTCAAAACCAAGTGGCTCTCCATCGGCACTCTTTCTGCCACCGTCGCCGCGTCCTATCTCGCCATGTCGGGCGAGAGCAAGCCTAAGCAGCCCGCGTCGGGAGCGAAGCAGACGTTGGAGCAGGTGAAGGAGGCTGTTACCTTCAAGTCATCGTCGTCGTGCGTCATGTTCTGTTTTAGTGCTCCCAGCTGAAACTGTTTGCTGACGGTTGTTCTGCTCGTGTTCTGCTCGGACGTGTACTGGATATACGTGCGTTATGTCTTTGTTATGTTGTGGTATGACTTGGCCTTTCGGTGTACACATTGGCTGATTCAACAGAGAGGAGGAGGACTTGTGAGTACCACCTCCCTTTTTGTTTCAAAGAATGAGCGGATAACAACTTACTAGGATGAACAGCATCAAGAAGTACATCGCCGAGGCCGAGCAGGAGGCGAAGCACTGAGCATATCTCTGTACTCGTACTCAGCTCTGGGATGCCATGACAGACGTAGACCGGATGGTGCTCCTCTAGACTCAATGACAAAAACATGCATTCCATCATACACCCTCCTCCCCTGTCCGAAGGCCTGCAAACCTGTTGGGTCAAGATCCATTTCAATGCGGCCACATACTGTCCAGTTGTTTCATTGAATGAGTGCAGACGAAAACATTCCGTAATGGCCATTCAATCCTCTGTTTGCTCGTGAGGTCGGCCTATTATCTGCTCCATAGTGAACTGTCATCCTCGATACATGAGTGTGGACTTCGAGACCACCTCCTTGCCTGCGCTTCTGCGTAACTTCTGCTGGGACTTAGATAGTTATATTATTTGCTGCGATTTTGTTGGAGGAGACCGTCCTGTTGGTGTTGAACACGCGAATTTGAAACGAAATATTGGACCCATAGAGACCGCGCCGGCTTCGATCTCGGCCAACACCCAAGACGATCTTTTGAACGTTCACCCAGCGAGTGCACAGTCTGTGTCGACCAGCGTATATAGCCAGTCCTGCTCAGCGTATGCAGCAGCGCCGACCCTCCTTTTGAATCCACCCAAGCCAGCCCGCTCACGATGAGCACACCGTCGAAAACGAGCCGGCCGACCCCAAATCCCATAGTAACCACACCGTCCGTAAACGCGCCTCGGCCGTTGCACCTCCCTCATCTCGTCGACTCTGATCCCGGCCAACAGAACCCGGCCTTGCTGTTGTCCTCTCAAGCGAGCCCAGCCGGCACACCACTCCCGTCGAGCACGACGTCCATGTCCTATTCCACCCCTTCATCCACCACCGAACTCGTCTTCCAGCCGAACGCGCACAAGAGTCGCCCGAGCAGTCTCAAGGTCGCTCGTCGTCAGTCTTCCATCTCCTACCTTCCTCCCGACAGCGAGAGACACTGGCGGATACGCTCGCCCACTGTCCCCACATCGGCTGCGGCCAGTGAGAGCGAGAGCGGTTCTGCGAGTCCTAGTCCGGCGTTGAGCAGGAGCGTGTCGCTGAGCAGTGCTGCTTCCAAGTCAAAGCTGAAGGAGGCGCGTCGGTCGTCGTTCGACCCTCGTCCGGAACGAGCAGCTGCAGCGCTGACACTCGCTGAGAAGTACGACTCTCTCTTTCATTCATGTTCTATATTTACGCACAATGCTCACCACCCTGAATAGGCATGCCGATCTCTTGCACTTCATCGCTCAGAAGGAGTCCAAGTGTCTCGAACTCCGCTCACAGCTCTCTTCGCACGAAGCAGAACTCCTCCAGCTCAAACAGAAATGGGAACGCATCGTCAACCGCGACTTTGGCAAGGCCCTCAGCTCGACCTACTCTCCCTCTGTCTCCTCAAATACCCCCAGCACGCCCAGTACGAACGGCAGCAGCAACAGCAATAATACTACACAACAATCCCAAGGCCATTCTTCCAATGGTGCGAGCGCTTCGTCCACGAATCACGGTAACGGAGCCGTCTTTGATGGGTTTGTGGAGGGCATGCAGGGAATGGGCCGTCTAATCGCAGCAGGACTTACCTCGCCTGCCTTATCCTCCTCGGGAGCTTCATCACCCGTCGTTCCTTCTTCGATTTCGCGCGGACATGCGCCCTCCTCGTCGTCTGCCAGATCTTCGACGCTTGGGAGGCGTATTGCTAACGGCCACGGCCACGGCCACGGGCGTGGACACGCGGCCCACATGTCCACCTCGTCCACTTCGACGGCCGCGACGGGGAGCACGAGCATGAGCGGGAGCACGAGGCTGTCGCAGTCCTCGGCGTCGTCGTTGGGGATGGGCGACGAGCCGATTTTGGGTGTACATAAGGAGGAGTCGGACACTGAGGACCAGGTCGGTAGTCAGGAGTTGATGGTACGGGACACGGGCGCCACACCGACGCTCAGTCCTAATCCTAAATTCATACGCCGCCATTCTCAACCGCCTTCGAATTCTTCTTCGCCTGTATCTATTTCACCTCCACCCTTGGGTCTCGCCAGCTCGAAGCTTCATCGCCGACGGTCGCGCGAGGCCCCGCCCCTTGTTTCGCTGGACGAGGCAGAGCCTGAGTTAAAGTCGCAGGACGTGAAGATGCCGAAGAAGAGGTCGAGTTTGAGCGGGATGCAGACGGGCGCTGCGCAGACCCCGACGAGTATACCAGGTATTGGGAGTTTGTCCGCTATGGGAGCGCAAGGCTGGGTCGGAAGTGTTGGGAAGAAGTTCGAGGATCTGCAGAACGGGAAAACGTATGTATCTGCCTGTCTTTCCCCTTTTAGTTTGCTGTTAACTGAGTTGTCGCCTATCATTTCAGTTTCTCTAAAGGCTCAAAACGTGCATCTTTACTTCTCTCCGACGTATTCGCCGCTCTCTCTTCTCCATCTCCTTCCGCCACACCATTCGCCATCGTCTCTCCCAGCACAGAAAACACGCCGTCAACGCCTCCCGTTCGTCGAAACCCATCTCATACTTCGCTCATGGACGATGACGACGACGTTCTCGTAAGCCTCGGTGCATCTGTCTTGACGCCAGACTCTACCGCACCGGTCACGCCTGTAACTCCCAAGACGAACCTTACTGGATTGTCTAACTCCGCGAAACCGATGAGGCCTCTGGTTCCGACTCGGGCTGCGACCACGCCTGCTGTCAAACAGAATCAAAGTCAAGCTAAAGATGACGAGGATGAGTGGAACTGGTAATCTGTCAACTTCATCGTCATCATTCCTTGTCCTGTCTTGCTTTTCGTTCCCCATCCTTCCCACCTCATTCAATTTTTTATTCTCATCTTCTTCATCTTCATCTTGGATACGTATCAATCTATCACACTCCAATCTACATATCTATACATCAACCTGCCTGCCTACATTCGCACGTACTCTGACCAACTCATGACAAGTTCCAACGATGACATACCGGTTCTTCGACGCAGTCCAACAACGTTCAATATATACTAACTACATTCTACATTCACACATTCACACCTACATACCTGGATCTCCCTCCCTAAACTGAAACTGGATCCCCTCCTTCTTCTTTGAACTCTGTAGAATACAATTATGCATGCTTTTTAGTCGCCTTTCCTTCCCTTCTCTTCATTCGTCCATCGATGCTTTCAACATCTTTATTCCCCCAACTTACGAGTGGTTTGGTTTTACTTTACATATATCCGTGGTGTGGTAGGATGTGGGTGCGTGCGGTGCGGTACAAGTCACGTAAGTAGTACTTTATGAATACTTCTGTTGTCCTCCTAAACACACATCGTGCACCAATCGTCCTGGTGTGCGTCTACCCTTCACGCCAACTACCCTCCATCAGCCTATCCTCCCCCACCCGATCCCCATTAACGACAATCTTGTGGCCCACACCCGCAGGAACGCAACCCTCGCCCAGCTCTGCTTCGAGGGCTATCTTCGTGTTGAAACCTGAGCAATGCATCGGAAGGACGTATGTCGGGGCTGGAATAAGCTGTCGAGACAGGAAATGGACGGTGGGTTGGATTCGAGGGGCGAGCTCGGGTCCACCGAGGTGAAGACCTCCGATAATCTGTGGGACCATCATGAGGATGAAAATAATTGCGATCAGCAACTCGGAAGGACCAGGGATGTCTTGACGCACCATGTAGACTGGCCGAGAGAACGTGTTGACGGCGTCTTTGACGACGTTGATGATCCCAGCGTGAGAGCATCTGTAGCAAGATAAATAGTTCGACTGACTATGTATAAACAAAGAGTATGGAGCGCATACTCACGCGCTGAAGATTACCAGGCCCTTTCCGACCACGTCGATGGCTGCATAACGCTCATCCATGATATGCTGCATTGAATTTACCGAGCATGAGTCCTCCCTCCATAACCGGATGATCTGTCTCAACTGTGGCGACCAACCGGTTCGGGCACCCACTTCCCTGCACTACCCATCGACGCATTGTCGTCACTCTGCCATCTTACTCCTCCTAGGAGCCCACCCTCAAAATCAGTCACCCTAGGAATCTCACCGCTTACCCAGACAGTCCCACCAGCGACAGCATGCCCCACACTGCTCTTCTCGACAACCCCGCCCTTCTCCTCGATCTCATTAAAAGTCGGATCTTCAGGCAGACGGCATATCACATCGTTTCGTGGAGGAGGCGCTATGCCACGGGCGATGGGACGATCAGGGTGTAGGTCGAAGATGCATGGCGGAGACGATTCGGATGAAGGTGCCACTTCGTTTCGATGGTCGAGGAAGGAGAGGATTCCTCCGCTATGATCGCGGTGCCAATGCGACAGGATGACTCGCTCGATAGAGCTGACGGGAACGTGCATCGACTTGATATTTCGGATGAGCGATGTACGATCTGGGCCGGTATCAAATAAAGTCAGATACGATGGGGAGGACGCGGTCTCCTGCGTTTCCTGGTATGCCCATGATGTATGAGCGAAGATTATTCTCTCCCGAGGTATAAGTTTCGTAGCCGAAGAAGAGCTTAGTTACAATGAGAGCAGAGAACCCATGAGCGCCACAGCAATAATCGTCCAGTTCAAGAAACGGCGCGCCCGTGAGCGGGTCGCGGCGTGGGTTGTGCTCTGTGAGGTGATTCCGGATCTCGTTCGTGAATCCTGGGGGAAGTTTTCCGAACCATTCGAGCGTGTTGTCGACTAGGAATGTGATGGTGAGTTTCTCTACGGACTTGAGCCCTGTGGATTCTGCCTTGTCAGTCCTCATTTTGAGTGTTGTTGGGTGACTTGTGATTGTGGCGTTCCGTCATCGTTCTACTCAGAATTGAGACTCAGCCCAAGTTCCGACATTCCGTTGCCACACGCGTCAAGTTGGACGAGCGTGACTCGCTATCTTCCTCCTAACCAAACGACTTGCCCTTGCTTTAAGACGACACATTGTAGTAGTTTTCCTGACTCTCTAGCCCCGACCTTGCTCGATCTGTCCTTCGATTCTTGGAACGCGCAATGCCTAGTAACGAAAAGTGGAGAGTGGACTCTTCCTCCCCTCCGCACAGGTTCCAAATCGTCCTCGCCATGTCGCCCCCCGACATCATTCCTCTACGTGCTGCTCCAGAAGGACCCTTCAACGACGAGTCATTATGGTTTGCTCAGAGTTCTTGTCCTGTTTTCATTCCAAATTCCTCTACTCCTTCGCTTCCCCCTTTACCGTCATCCGTACTCTGCTATAGCCGAACCATCTGCTGAGCCAGAATCGGGCGCACATCACTCTCGTATCGATGTTCCCTATGATACCCGCGAGACCTCTATGAAAGCTACTCGGTTGTATGCGCAAGCTTACCGGATACTTCATCTATTATTTCTGAGACAAGGAGTCGATCTCGAATATGCTCCAGGCTTACGCTTTCGACCACGCAATTCGGAGTCTCCGAGAGAAGGGTGTTTCGCCGGCAAGACGGATGCCTTTCGTTCATGTTGGCGGTTAAGGTGATTATTCTGCCATGATTCAGGATAGCCGGAGCCTGCAGTGCAGTGGGGGAGGGGGAGAAAGGAGAAGGGACATATGAACAATATTACACATATAAGTCACGAACTGGTTTTCGACATATCTATGGTTTACGTTCAAGAGGATAAGTCTGGACATTGCGTTCGCGGGCCATTCCACATCCCCCCGAAGCAAGTGCAGGATCCAGGAAGAGGAAGAAGTGGTCCGGCCTGCCCCAAGGCATGCCACGACATTCTGTCGGTGGCACTAAACAGGGCCACAACTGTGACAAGCGCACTCGCGCCGTGCGGTATGCTTCATTATATATATGCTGTGATATCACCGACCGGTCAAGGAAGTAACTAGAGCCTCTCCTATCTCGAGTTGTAATAGGTCCTTGACTTCGAGATCCTGTTCGACAGCCCACTCGTAGGCCTCAAGCAGCACAATGTCCGTCAAAGGTACCGAATGTGATGCTAGGACGTGGATAATGTTTGCGACCCGGGAAATGGCAGTTCGAGTCGCATCGTCGATGTTCTGAGTAGTTTAAACCAGTTAGCTAACAAATAAGAAGGTGGAAGACACGATATCGATGCACTCACATCGTTCCTGTTGGAATAGACCGCCTCGGAGTCGAAGCCTTCTTCCCCCTCTTGCTCGCTCTCTTTCACATGCTTACTGACCCATATATATCCGTTAAGACCCAGAATCAAATCGACTCCGCATGGTAATGGCATGAAATGAGACTTCAACCGCCGAACGAGGATCGGCGGAACCGTGACGAGCTGTCCGTTTCGTAGCTGGCACCGAAAAATTTAGACTCTGACGTATCCCCCAGTAAAGAAAATGGCCAAACACACCTTGCCGTACTTCAACGAGCGAGTGTGGAGGGACATTGCTCCGTCTGAAAAGAAAGCTTGGACCTCGGCGACTAGGAGGTCGCCCTCTTCGAAGAAATTCCGCATCTGCAGCTCATCGCTCTCAAGTTTTCTTCTCTACCGCGTGCGGCCCTATCAGCGTCTGAACGTACAAAATACGAGAATGACGCTGTCTTACTTGAACACCGCCCGGTAGATTGACTGAGGAAAGCATCAGTATCGCGTCCTGACGAGAATTTGTGTCTACTCTCCACCTCCGCGGTTGGACCTATTTGCGGTTTTAAAAATACGATACATAGCAGACGACATGAGCATACCTCGGTGATGCGGCCCACGACAAGATCACCGACTTCGGGGTTATATCTTGGGAACGGGTGAGCACCGTACCTGTGATTTGAAGGGAGGTCCCTACCTTGTTCGGAGAGCACGAACGGTGACCAGCTTGTTTACACGTTCGACTGTTCCAGCGACAGACGCGATGACATCGTCATCATCGACATATGTACCATGGCCCCTGAGGCCAAAAAAAATCAGATAAGTGTCAGCGAGAGCACGTTCAACGGAAATTACCTCATAAAAGCTTGGGAGGAAGTGATGGGCTCGCCGGGAGCCGTGACTTTTGAAGAAAGTGGCGCCGAGTCATCCTCTAAATCGACATCCATGTGTATGTCATCGTCCAGTCCGCCGTAATGCTTGGTGGCGCCGAAGTCTGAGGGGTGAAGACCCGAATGTGATGGAAAGGATGTAAAAGTTATCATGCCCGGACTTTCGCGATCGCTGGTGATTCCAACGACAAGAAAATAGTTGTCACGGTTTCGAACAGAAGGCGGGTGTCGACAAGTGTTTTCAGACCAAGAGATAAAAGTGTGTGCTGTTATAGCTGTGAAAACAAGGGCACGTTAGTATGCCGCCTTCATCTGAGGTACCTGAGGTAGTGGATTCAATAGATTATCCACGTGCTCCTCACTCACTCTCGTTAGGTCACCAATTTGGGGGCCACAAAGTGGTTGGAAGATGAACGAAAAGCGTCAGATGCGGGGCCGTCGGGTGGGACCAGCGGCTTATTACGCCACAAATTTGCTACGGCATCTTCCGAAGCGGGGTATTATCAGCAACAATCGAGTCTCATCCTCAGCTGGTGCATCCAGACGCTTCTCTGGTTCTCGTGCCTTCTCTCTGGCTGAGCTCGCCCCACGGTGGCCCGCTAACCTCTCTGTCTTATTTATAGCCTTACGACCCACAGATCGTGTCAGGAATCGTTCAGCCACAGATACCCACTTCTGCTTGACCAGTCACTACGCTGTCTCTCAGGCTTGCAGACACATTGTTTTCATTTTCAGCCACCGATGTCCCACTTCATGATTAGAAAACTTACTCAGCTCTCATTCGGGCTTCTTGGGCTCGGCTATCATCTGAGCGCTAGGGAGAAACACCCAGTATAAAACTGCTCTGGCATCAAACCGCCTCCCCTAGATCTCTAGTCAACTACCCTGCAGTTCAACCATGCAAAAAGCCCTCTTACTTGCCTCTGTGGGGGCACCATTTACCATTAACACTCGCCCCGTCCCCAAGCCCGGCAAGGGCCAGATGCTCGTCAAGATCGTGGCCACCGCTTTAAATCCTCTTGATGGCATGATGCAGGCTACCGGCCACCATGTACAGCCAGATCATTGGCCCGTTATATGTGGGTGGGATGCTTCTGGTCTCGTCGAGGAGATCGGTGAGGAAGTGGGTGGATTTAAGAAAAGCGACAGAGTGTAAGTAACATCGCATGGCCTGCTTTCCCATGTTGGTCCAGGATTTGAGACGGATGTCATCGATGTAGCTTGTACCAAGGAAATTATGACAAGGACCGGCGTACCTTCCAGGAGTACGGACTGACCGATGCAGTGACGACAGCCAGAGTATATGACCCTATCTTTTAAAGCCATATCGCGCTCATGCCACTGTTTTTATAGATACCCAAGAACCTCTCATTCGAAGAAGCAGCCACTCTCCCGTCTGCCATATGCACTGCTGCCATTGGGCTCTACGGAAAGCGCGCTTCTGAGCACAGTAACAAGCGAGGGGGAGCGGGTCTGGTCGCCCCTTGGGCCGAGGGTGGCATGGGCAAGTACAAGGATGAGCCGATTATCGTGACGGGTGGCGCGGGTTCTGTCGGACAACTCGGTGAGAATGTCTCCTCAGTAGTGCCGCTGTTAATTTCCGATCTGAACCAACAGTCACGACATATCCACAGCTATCCAGCTCGCAAAGCTCTCCGGGTTCAATCCTATCATTACCACAGCCTCTGCTCACAACAAATCCTATTGCGAGGCCGCCGGAGCAACCCATGTTATCGACTACCACGCCACACCGTACTCTGAGCTGGCTTCCGTGGTTTCAACCATCACCTCGAAGACTATCAAGATCATATACGATGCTATTTCCACTCCAGACTCGCAGATCGCTTGTTGGTCCCTCCTCAGTACAGGCGGAACGATCGTAACCACCTTGCCTCCATCGAAGGATATCGGAGAGCCCGGAGTCAAGGACGAGGACGGAAAGTTTGTGGCATGGGTGATGGGGAGTGTGCACGATGATGCTATGGGAGACCCGAAGCTTGGAAAGGAGATGTTCGCGGTGTTAGAGAAGATGTTGAGTGACGGTGAAGTCAGGCCGAATAAGGCTGAGGTGTTAGAAGGTGGTCTGGCTGGGATTGAAGAAGGGTTGCACCGGCTACTGGCTGGTAGAGTCAGTGGAGCGAAGCTGGTGACGAGGGTTCTGGAGACGCCTTAGGATAATGACGAGATAACTATGGGATTGGAGAGTCAGGTCTCCGGTCCTCGTCCCCGTCGTGCTTATAATCAACCATCCCTCTACCCACATATTCACTTATGCACCGTCCATACATTTGAAAGACCAAAAAGTTGGGATGATCCCCACCTCAATAAGTTGCACCAAATCATATGGTAGTTCTTTCTACACAGTCGAATCACAAAGTGTGTGGTAGTAGGCACAAATGGGATATCAGTCGAGATAAAACAGTGTTCAGACACGCGGACAAGCAGCCCAGACGTGTTAGCAAAAAATGTTCTATTTGTACTGGAGGTAGGTCAGCAATTGTAAGAAACATAGGAAAAGAGGCGAAAGAAGACTCACCTCTATGGAATCGGTTCTCCCTTATCCGCCGCTATTTGTTGTAGCTGGATCTTGCGCCAATTGGCTCTACCACAGTAATGAGGAAGTTGTTTCCACACGAACCACCTTACATGCTCCTCCTCTGCCTTTATCCGAGCCGCACACTCCACGCAAGGTTTTGCTGCCTTCTTGTCCGACGAGGGGTCAATCAATGGTTGATTGAATAGATCAAACCCGTAGTGCTGGAAGCGATCGCGCTCGGCTTCCCATGCAGCCCCAAGGCACTCTCCGCGAGTCTTCTCTGCGCTACGGGTTTTGCGCTCCTGCGGACAAAGCCACTCGGCTTCGAATATGCTACGCAGGTAGAGCTCCCGTATTTTATCAGCGGCCATCTTTTCGCGAAATAACATAGTTGTGCACAGGGCAGAGGGAGAGAGCTTGACGATGTCGCCATTGCGGGCTCTGACACCGTCGAAGAGATCCTCGGTGGGCATCAATGAGCAGGCGTAGTAGGCGGCGGGAACAATGGCCGGGACAGGGTATTCCTCGCCAATTTGGAGAATCCGCATCATCTCTACCTTATAGTCATCTGAAACGGTATCGACTCGTGGAATCGCTTGGTACTCTTTGAGTGTTATCGGAAAGCGGGCCTGGAGCCACTCGACGGCGTCGATGCGAAGAACATTCATCATGTACTTGTTTGACAAGTGAAGCAGCTGTACATATTAGATGAGCGCGATGGGCAAGTTCCGAAAAGATCGTCCTCCGACGTACCTGAGATATGGCCTCTGCATCAATGTCCGGAGATTCTTTCACGTAGCTAGAGGGCGATGGGTAGTATGTCAAAACACAGATCAGCTGGCTAATGAGAGCAGAGAAGACTCACGTCTCATAATGCAATGCTTTGAGCATGTGAAAGATTTCTGCAGAACCATCAGGCAGGCGTATAAGGTCGCAATCTTGGGCGCGTTCGTCGACCGTCATTCCCCCGTTTACGAAAAGGTCGTTAAAGATCTCAGAGTGAGTAACGAGCGACTGTTTGTCGACACGGAAACCAATGTTTTCACATAGAAGGATGATGTCCCCTTCAGGGAACCACAACTCGGCACTCGGCAATAAAGCTTTTGCTAAATTTCCATCAGGTTGGGGATGATTCATGGGAGTTATGACATATCCAAACTCACCTCCTTCAGAGTCGCGGATTTCTGGAGTTGGCTCTAAGCCACTATCAGGGGCATCTGAGCCATAGAGCTCATCATCTTCTGGGCCAGGAGCCCGCCCGGAGAGGTCAACATCATCTTGTAGACGAGAGCTAGAGGCCATGTAGTGACGTTGTGGAGGACGGTTGTGAAGTAGCAGAAAGAGAGATGCGAGGTAGGCCAAAGCACGACACGATTCGTGACACAAAAGGATGTAGGGTTTCAATCGGAGTTTCAAAATAATTTCATTGTCACATGCAATACTTAGCTGTGGCACATTGTGGCCTCAACGTTAAACGTTGTATATGCGTCAACAATTACATTCACGTCTCAATCAACGGTTGGTCAGAGCAGCTAGCGTCCAGGTACAGTAGCACTTCCGCGCATTGGACCGTGCCACATTTTGATGGCTTGTGATGTCACGAACGCGTCCGTCACAGTGTGACCTAGCGCGTCTTCAACGCGAATGTGGCGCGTCGTGCTTAGTAACTTAAAGGACTCTTGGCACTCACCATCACTCACCCAGACATCCTCGAGCAGCCGTCTTATCTTATTGTAACGAATAAGACAGATGGTTGAAGTACCAACGACTCCACGACGGTCTAAACGCTTTCAACCCACCGTATTCGCTCATACATCTTCTTTGGTATCTCGCTCGTCGTCAACTGACACATGGACCGATCAGTCGAAACCGCTACATTCGAGACCCACTACTGCCGATGATCTTTTCGAGCCGGACGAAATTGATCTTGGTACTGCACGAGAGGATGAGGAAGATATCAAAAAGGGAAGAGAAGAGAGAGAGGTAGAGTATGAGACGCGCTTCTACCAGAGCTTCACTCGACGAGTAAAGCCTCTCAAAGCCAAATCGTCAGGAAAGGGGAAACAGAAGGCTGCCGGAGATGAGAAGATAGAGTTTAAGGTCGGGGACACCGTCCTGGTCGTCACAGATCTGAGGAAAACGAGCGTGGCGGTTGTGACGGCGATGTGGGAGGTTATAGGTGGTGAACCGAACGAGAGTGATGGAGAGGATGAGGATGGCGAAAGGGGGGAGAAGATGAGAGTCAGGGTGCATTGGTTCGTGAAACCGACTCAGCTGCCATCTGTGAGGGTGAAGCGGGATCACTTCGAGGTGCGTAGTCCTGGTTTGGTTGTATATTGCCCTGTTTGCGGAGCCCATGCTATGAGAAACATCTCGTTTCGCCACGAGGTTCGGATGTGGACCCTTTGGTCAGCTCGCCAATCTTCCTATGCGAAAAGGTACAGATACAGGTCAAGACGGCGATTGTTGTTTCTGGCTCGGAAACCGGGCGGAGGATGGTGGGCATAGGAAGATTTAACCTGCCTCTACAGCCAGCACTCAGAGCATTATGATTCTCTTCCGTCTGCTACAACTCCGACAAAATGGCGTCAAACTAGTGCTAATACGTTGTTTATCTTTGTGCACCAGAACGAAGTCTACTTCTCGCTCTCCTCTACCTCCGTCGTGTCCACCTCCGTCATCGTCTCCCATTGCACCATTTCCACCTCACCACCTACAAGGAAAGATGATGTCAGAGTAATTCGCGGGGACTCCGTCTGGGCAGGAACCTCCACACCCGCATCTCCTACCAAAGCACGCCGCACCGCCGACGAATCAGATGACTCTAACGAAAGTATCAAGGAGCCTGCTGCCAAGCGGAGAAAAATATCTACTGGCGGAACGACTGGTGGAAAAGACGGAGATGGAGAGACTTTCTACTGCAGACTGCTCGTCAATAATCAGAAGGGTTTATTCTATCGTTTCGATTGGAAACGACATTGGGAGATCGCACTGCAGTCGCGACCGTCACGCTCCGATTCGAAGTTCGGACTGGGAAAGGAGTGGGAGGTTCAGGTTCAGGACATGAATCTAGAAGCACTGGATCAGAAGGCCGGAGGAGGGAGAGGGGCTTTGGCTACTGGTAGGCAGAAACTGGACCGGATTCATGAGGAAGGCGAGGGCCAGAATGGACAAAATTCTGAGTCTGAAGAGGAGGACGATAGTGCGGACGAGTACAAGGACAAACACGGCGAAGATAACCTGTCTGACCAATCCTCGCTCGCACCAGACGCATCTGACGACGACGAGCCAGCGGAAGAGGAAGACGAGGACGTACATGCATCTGACAGGATTCCCAAGACCCCTACGAAGAAGCGTAAACGAACGGCTCCTTCCCCAGCTACATCGCGCCCTCGTTCACCACGCAAGAAACCAGCCGCCACTCCTGCCTCCACGCCTCGCAAACCCAAACGTACTGCCATCGCGCAGCCGACTCCGCACTCCAAGGCCGCGATTAAAGCAAGAGCACGCAAGACACGCGCTCCGCCTCGTAGGCTTCCGGGTCTTAGCCTAGATCTTCTCCTCTCCGGTGAAGGTGGCAAAGGTGGCAAGAAGCTCAAGCTGCCGGACGACCCGTGGTTGAGAGCGATGCATGTTCTACATGTTGCGAGTCGACCGGAAGCATTGCCTTGCAGAGATGAAGAATACGGGAAGGTCATGAGGGCTGTCGAGGAGTTAATCGAGGAAGGCAGTGGCGGATGTGTCTGTAAGTCGAAATCTTACGGATCAATGATTTCTTGTTGTGTCGAATCATTTTATTTCACTTCAGATATTTCTGGTGTGCCCGGAACGGGAAAAACTGCTACAGTACACGCCGTTGTCCGTGAACTGAAGCGAATGGCTGAGAACAACGTATGTCAGGTCTGACTCTGGCCGCTCACATGCCTGACTCCTTCATCATCGCGCAGGAAACTAACCCGTTCACTTACGTCGAGATCAATGGCCTACGTATCTCTGAACCATCGGCGGCATACTCGCTCCTCTGGGAGGCCGTCTCCGGGCACGATGTGGCAGAAGAAGGTCATCTAAAGATAAGTTCGAAGGAGGCGCTCAAGAATCTCACCAGACACTTTGGTTCGGGCGGAAGAAGAGGTCCAGGGGGTCATGCATGGTGAGTTGGATGGCGGCAACGGTCGCGTTCATGTTCATATTCTTTATTTGGTCGTTTTCCCGCTGCTGTGCTGACACGAGGTTGACGGTGGACTTTTCGTGTAGCGTGGTCCTTATGGACGAATTGGACCAGTTGATGACAACTAAACAAGATGTGGTTTATAACTTCTTCAACTGGCCTACATTGGTCGGTTCAAAGCTGGTCGTGTTAGCGGTGGCAAATACTATGGATCTTCCGGAGAGAGTCATGACAGGCAGAGTAAGAAGTCGTTTGGGTAAGTCACTTCTTTCCCTTCCATCTTTTCACTTCATCCCGCCGTGCAGAAATTTTATATGGATGCACCTCGCCGTGTTGGTCTTTCGATATTACCGACGGTTATTTTGCATATTTCTGGAGCAACTAATAATAATGCTCTCCTTCAGGTATGATACGTATCAATTTCTCGCCATACACCACTCCTCAGCTCGTCGAGATCCTGAGCTCCCGACTGGCCACGTCGCGCGAAGGTCTCAAAGCAGATGCACCGCAAGTCATTGCTGCAGACAGTCTAAAGCTAGCCGCTATGAAGGTGTCTAGCATTAGCGGAGATGCAAGACGAGTTCTTGATATTTGTAGGTCCGTACAAACGTGATTCATGATCATCTTCATTTCGTCTAGTGCGCTGATCCATCTATTTTGCTCTCCCATCACTTTCATCTATTAACAGACGCACCGTCGAGCTTGTTATGCCTCTGAAACGTGCAGCCAAACCTGGCGATGTCACCGAGGTTATCAAAGTGATGCAGAATAGCCCCACGGCCGCTTATCTGCGAGATTGTAGCTTTCATGAACGCCTTATGTTGGCTTCTCTCCTCAAGTGTGTGAAGAGAGAGGGTGTAGAGGAGATAAAGTGGGGAGAGGTAAGCTCAAAACTTGCTGTACAGACTGCCTTCGATTTCAGACTGACTCCGGTGGCGTGCTTGGCTCTATGATAGATCCAGCGGCAGCATTGGATGTACATCGGCGTCCTTGCAGGTGATGAAGACTCAGAGCGGAAGCCCACCACCCGAGAACTTGGATGTGTTCTTGATTCACTGCTTGCCTCGAGAGCTTTATTGATTGAAGAAGGAGCAACGGCAGCGAAAAAGCCGAGTGATGACAGGAAAGTTGTATTGAATTTGGAACAGACCGAGGTAGAACGGGTGTTGAGTGAAGTCGGAGGGCAGAGGTGGAAGAATGCGCTGAGTGTATCTTAGGATATAACTACCTGGTGCGTAGTTGCTGTGTGTTTGCCTTCCATATTTCATCGTAGAGCAACTATGAGACTGGTACGAGTCCGTACTTACACAAAGGCCGTAGCATCTGAACTTGATCGTGGCAGAGTGTGGCGTGCGTCGGAGCCGCTAATGCCAGTCGTTGTTGAACATTGTATCTCACCCTACTCATACCACCCTATACCCTGTGCGTCAGTGATAAGATGTGGCTCCTCGAGGTTTGTGTGGCAACGCGCCTCTGAATGAAATTCTGCGTTACTTTGAATTCGGTTACACTCATTGCCCACCCCCCTTCTGCATAACAGGACCAGCCATGCTGTGGATGTCCATCAAAATCGCACGCTTTGAATCACCTCTCGGAACGATATCTTATTAGTGTGGTTGATGATTCGACTATTCTCCGGGCCTACCAAGTCAGACCAGGTCTGAACTTGGTTCAAGTCATCAATTCCTTTTGGTGCCCAGCCTTACGTGCATCTTCGGCAGTGAGACTCCATCACTGCTTATAATGACTCAGCCACCCAAGAGCCACCTCCAACCACCTTGATCAGCCACAGCGACTTCTCATCAGCGCCAGCCACCGTGCCCTTACCTCGTGCACACCCCTTCAGCCACCGCACTCTTATCTCTGCCGCCATCTCTTGAGCGCTAGAAATGTCCGGACCCACTCGTCCATCAAAATGTTCGATCTTGCCTTACTAATCTACGTTTAGACACTGGGCGTCATCACTTCACAGTCACGACCTCGAAGAAATGTGGAAGCCGACAGCGAGCGTAAGTATGTGGACTTTTCGGCCATGAAAGACCATCGTACTAGTCAGTTACTGCCACACTCGCGCCGTCCTACAGATCTAGAGCTCATATAAATGCTGCACCAGTCCATACATGAAAAGATCATTCACTCTTGAACCCCTCTGCTCTAATCCCATCAAGTAGCCCCTATATCGCCTTCATAACCACCTCCACTTGTCATTATCCGACCATGCAGAACTTGGCACTCTCACTCGCATCCAAAGGTGCACCCTTCGTCGTCGGCACTCGTCCTGTTCCTAAGCCCGTGAAGGGTCAGATGCTGGTCAAGATTGTGGCCACAGCGCTGAATCCTCTTGACGCGTTCATGCAAGCCAGTGGATATCTAGTAGCGTCCTGGCCTGTAGTATGTGGGTGGGATGCTGCGGGGATAGTTGAGGAATTGGGTGAAGGAGTTGAAGGGTTTAAAATAGGTGATAGAGTGTGGGTGACTTTGTGAATTTATCTACCATGCAGTGAAACTAACACCCCCTTGCGCGATACAGGATGTACGAAGGAGATTTTACCAACGATAGGTACACCTTTCAAAGTTACGGACTCGCTAACGCGTCTACGGCAGCCAAGGTACGTGGTTCTAGTACTCCGATACCATCCTGACACTTATACGATTCCTTATGATGCCACAGATCCCCAGCAACCTGTCCTTCGAACAAGCAGCTACTATCCCTCTATGCCTTTCCACCGCCGCCATCGGTCTCTATGGAAAACGTGCCTCTGAAAACAGTTCGAAGCGCGGAGGTGCGGGCCTTGTCGCTCCTTGGGACAAAGGTGGCAGGGGTAAGTATAAGGACGAGCCAATCCTCGTGACGGGCGGCGCAAGTTCTGTGGGACAATTCGGTGAGCATTGTATTCTTCTAGTATGCACCTGGGGTCAGTCAATGCTGACCCATATCGAACCGCAGCTATCCAGCTTGCGAAGCTCTCCGGGTTCAACCCCATCATCACCACCGCTTCCGCTCATAACAAAGCCTATTGCGAAGCTGCCGGAGCAACGCATGTCATCGACTACCGATCCACACCGTATTCTGAGCTTGCATCCGCCGTCGCATCCATTACTTCCCGGCCTATCAAGATAATATACGACGCCATAGCAGTTCCGGACTCCCAGATCGCCAGTTGGTCCCTTCTTAGCCCAGGCGGCAATGTCGTCGTTACTTTACCTCCATCCAAGGACATAGGAGAGCCGGGTGTCGAGGACAAAGATGGAAAGTTCGTAGCCTGGGTATTCGGAAGTGTGTGCGACGACACGATAGGTGATGTCAGACTCGGTGAGACGATGTTCAAGGTGTTGGAGGATATGATGAGGGATGGAGAGATTAAACCAAATCAAGTGGAAATTCTCGAGGGCGGATTGGCTGGGATCGAAGGGGGCTTGCAGAGAATGTTGACTGGGAAGGTTAGCGGGGTGAAGTTGGTGGCGAGGCTTTCAGAAACGCCCTGAACAATTACGGCACTTGTATGACTACGGATTGACAGAAGTATAGAATTATCTTTGCTGCATTGGTTTTCAAACCTTTGGAAGGAAGGAAGGGATGGTCGGAGCGCAATGCTCGTACGCCGCACTCGACCTGAAAATACGTAGTCTCTTGCCATTCGTAAAGTTTGGTTAGTAGGCTGCTGCGTTCATACTCGTCGACCAGTTTTTTTTCAACCAAACGGTAGAGGATACGGTTCCATTCAATTCGTTTTGAGCGTCATCCACAAATAAGTTGTGTATTTCGAAGTTCGCCACCCACGGGTTCAACACGGCCGCACGCCGCGACACAAGAATCAGATGGAATTTGCCGGCCCCTTTCTGCAACAACGTCCTCTGCCAACCTGGTGATGACCAACTCGGATTCTCTCTGTCCTTATTGGCACCGACGGAACATGTTTCAAGTTGTCTCGTTTGTCTCATACAGTCTGCGACTTTCCAGACCTTGGCGACATCTATCCAGTCAAAAATGACACAGTGAACTTGAACGGTCGGATGGGCACGCATCGCTCTTGCCCTCGCCCTCGATTTTACCCTTTGAGGCCTTGACACTCATATGATATTTACACTCTGTGCGACACAACTGTATATTGAAGAATTCATGTCCTTTGATCCAATCTCGGAAACAAAACGTAGTACAGTCGATGACTAGCTGCATAAAAAGAGAATGTCTAACCGACCTCGGTCGGGAGTCTCGCAGCTGGTCATCGACCCTGGGTTTTTCATTTCGAAAACTTTTCCGAGGACGAAAAACCTTATTTGAATACCACAATAGGACATCTACCATTAGTCGTATCGTGCTCGATAGAACACTTAGGTCCCAGTGCCAACTTGGTGCCAACCTCTCTACCAGTCTTAGCGGCTTTCCGACTTGTGCCGTATCTCTGTGAGCCTTCCACACGGACTATATGCCGCTCGTATGTAACAATCACAACCACCCACAAAACCGTTTAATTGACAGCTTCTCATCCGAGTCACTTCCGGCTACCATGCCCGCCCTTCTACAGTCGACGGCTTCCCACCCGGGTCGCTCCCAACCACTGCACTCTCGTCTTAGTACTCGTCCTTGCAGCTTTGGGACCACTTGTTCAGCAAGATTTTCGACCTTCTTGCGAAGTCGTCGTATAGATGCTCGGCATTACAATTTTACTCCTCATGACCTGCAACAAACGTAGAAAGGTTTACTGTCAATTATATTAGGCTGAACCCCACTTCTAGTATCTTACGCGATATAAACAGACGCTACAGGACTCTGGATATAAAAGAACCACCTAAACCCAATCTACTCTGCTCCAGACTCTCCATCTCCGCCAAACCACCTCCGCCTATTCAATAACCCAATTCGACCAACCATGCAGAAGGCTCTCTCACTCGCATCCGTAGGGGCGTCCTGGGTCGTGACCACCCGACCCATCCCCAAGCCCGGAAAAGGCCAAATGCTCGTGAAGATCGCCGCCACGGGTCTGAATCCTTTCGACGCGTTTATGCAGTGCGGCGCATACCCAATGAAGCCCGAGTCTTGGCCTATAATCGGTGGGTGGGACGTCGCGGGCTCGGTCGAGGAGCTGGGCGAAGGGGTGGAAGGGTTTAAGAAAGGTGATAGAGTGTGAGTGGATACTGAATTCTCCCCCCTTCTCGTGTGTCTGTAATTGACCTCCCATTCTACGATATAGGATGTACCAGGCAGATTTTCATCCAGATAAATACGGCTTCCAGGAGTACTGCCTCACCGAAGTGTCCACAACGGCCAAAGTACGCTGCTCAAACCAGCACTCTGACATTATTTTAACACCTAACACTCACACGCATTCTCGACGCCCACAGATCCCCAACAACATCTCATTCGAACAAGCAGCCACCGTACCTCTCTGCTTCCCCACTGCCGCCATCGGCCTCCACGGAAAACGCGCTTCAGTAAACAGCCGCACGCGCGGCGGTGCGGGTCTCGTCGCTCCCTGGGATGAAGGTGGCAGGGATAAGTACAAGGACGAGCCGATCATCGTGACGGCTGGCGCGAGTTGCCTAGGACAATTCAGTGAGCACTCTCTTCCTCTGAGCTGATCATCCTCTTCCTTTGTGACACGCCTGAGCTCATCATCTTGTCTCGAACCTTAGCTATCCAGCTCGCGAAGATCTCCGGGTTCAACCCCATCATCACCACCGCATCCGCCCACAACAAAGCCTACTGCTCAGCCGCCGGAGCGACGCATGTCATCGACTACCACGCCACGCCATATTCCTCGCTCGCCTCCGCCGTCGCGTCCATCACCTCCAAGCCCATCAAAGTGATCTACGACGCCGCGTCCGCCACGACCGCCTCCGAGACCCAGATCGCCTGCTGGTCCGTCCTCAGCCCCGGCGGGACGCTCATCGTCGCCATGCCTCCCTCAAAGGACATAGGCGCGCCCGGCGTCGAGGATAAAGACGGGAAGTTCATCGCATGGTTGTTTGGGAGTGTGACGGACGATGTGATAGGCGACGTTACGCTCGGAAGGAGTATGTTCAAGGCACTGGAGGGCCTGATGGAGAAGAGGGAGATCAGGCCGACGAGGGTCGAGGTGGTGGCGGGTGGACTGGCCGGGGTCGATGGCGGTTTGCAGAAGTTATTAGCTGGGAAGATCAGTGGGACGAAGTTAGTTGTCAGGATCGCGGAGACGCTTTAAGAAGACGACTTTGCTGCGATGTGGAGTCCGTTTTCAGGCTTTTCACGGTTAGTGTACTGCCAATGTATGACTTCTAAACGACGCTCGGGTGTGGAACATATATCACTGTTACCGTACCAGGAATATACCTGCAGGGTTCAGGAACGAGGGGTGTCCTGAAAGCCTGAACGGGTTGATCACAAATTCTGTTGTCATCTTTACAACTATCCCTGCGCCTTTGATTGGTGTTTCTATATTATGAGAAACCGCGCATACTCGAGGGTGCAAAAGATGGAACAAGCCATTTGAGAGTTCTTGAAGGCAAAAAAAAAACCGAAGCCCAAGTATATCGATAGGGGCTCAAAAAACCAGTGTGGCGTTCCAGCCCCTGTGGCCCATCACCATCAATCCTCGTTGAATGCAAACACGCACACTCCTCTGGAAAGCTCGGCTGAACATCACACACAACGAGATTCGTGAACCATCAATCATCATTTCTCTTCATCAATATAAACTCAAAGAAAAAGCACCCCTCTACAGCACTCCTCTGCACCATCTCTACAACCGTCTCCCCACCAACCCATCTACACCTCTATAATTACACAAAAAACCTCAACACTAAGTGTATAGCTAGCTAGTGTTCTCCCCACGGCCCACGGACCACGGACCAACAACAGCTCAGTCAGAGTCAAGACAAATGAACGATAAACGATAGAGCGAAACCGAGAAACATGCGGGTGGATGATAATGAGATGCAATGCACGGAATGGGAGGGGAAAAAGGGACCAAGAAAACCGAATCGGCATCTCAAAGAAATCAACCAAGCATGCCCTCGCCATCGCTCTGCGCCGTCGAGCTATACGGACTCGTGAGTTCGTTGAACCTAGCGATACGGAGACGTTGTGAAGGTGGGATGCTCTTGTCTTCGAGGCCGTGTGGGTGTCCGCCGTGGAGGATTCCGACGCGCATCATGGAGAGCAACTGGATACGGAATCAGCTTCAGTCAGGTCCTTGATTATGAGGCTGGTAGGAAGAAACCCACGTTGTGTGCGGCGTTCGAGTGGTCGTATACGCCACCGAAGAACGCAGTCGTGGCGTCCTTGCCGATCATCTTGACCAAAAGATGACGACCGCCAGGGTGCTCGTCAATGAAGGAAGACACATCATGGATGAATGCCGAAATCAAAATCAATGGACGTTTCTGAGACTGCTCCTGGACTGTATCATCAAAAAGTCTTCGAGTCAGCATATGATTGCAAAGATGAGGGAATAGAAGAACGACGCACAAGATTGCCACGAGATGACGGGAAGGTCGGTGGTGTCCTGGGGCCAGGTGAGGCCGTCCTGAGTCTGACGGAGACGCTTGAGCTGCATAGTAAGTTGACCCTTGGCGACCTCATTATCGGGGAACGTCTGGAGCGAACGAATTTTCGTTAACGGCTGCCGAGTACCAAAAGATTGGATACTGCATACCTTCAGGTGCGAAGCAAGATTGAGCTTGTGGGCGACCCAGATGAACCACTTAGTAGGGTCGTACTGGTACCACTTGATCGCATTCCTGTAGTCCATCGGGAACTGGTGGTGGAAATTGTGGTAACCTGCACGCCAAACAAATCAGCACCAGAACACCCCGCCCTTTGAGCCACGCAAAGACGCACCTTCACCGATAGTAGCAAACGCAGTGATCATATGGTCCCTCGGCGTATGCTTATCATCAAACGGCGCCTCGCCCAACCAGTGCGCCAAACTGTTCACACAGAACGTCGAATGATGCACAAAGCACAACCTCGCCGCTCCCGCATACACATATCCACCCCTCCAATCACCCCACAACAACCCCGGAATCAACGTCGGCAAGCCAAAGCCCATACCGAGGATCAACCAGAGGTACCACCTGTGCTGCCACCTCACGACCTCTGACCTCGACAAGTCCGACACATCAGCGACACCGGGCTTGCGGCGGGGCTTGATGATCATCCAGCCGACGTGCGAGTACCAGAAGCCTTTGTGAGCGTTGTAGGGGTCGAGGTCGGTGTCGGTGTAGCGGTGGTGGGCGCGGTGGCCTCGGGACCACCACTTGATGGAACCCTCGACGGCACCTGCACCTGCGGTGGCGAGGAAGTATTGGAGGGGCTTGGAGGCGTTGTAAGAACGGTGAGCCCAGAGACGATGGTAGCCAGCGGTAATGCCTAGACACATAAGATTGGGCAGTCAGCAAAATATTCAAAGCCAAAAGGTGGCACGGGACCGCGTTGCAATGTGGCCCCAAAAATAACACAGCGAGAAAGAGAACTTTACTCACCGAGCCCAGTCACAAAGTAATAAAACACAGCGAACAGACCCGTCTGCCACTTGAGCTCCGTCGTGAACGCGCCATAGATCGCAATCGCGGGCGTGATAGTGAGGATGGAGAGCGAGAGGTAATTCAGCTCCTGGAACAGATTCTCCCAAGTGACGGGCGGGAGCGCCTTTTGGTTCTTGAGTGTGTACGCGACGTAGTTGTCCGGGATGTTGATATCCGCGGGCTGCTCGTACTCGGAGGGCGTAGGCAGAGTAGGCACGGACGGCAGGTTATTTTTCTTCGCGTCTTGGGGCGGGGTCATCGGTGGCGTGAAGGGTGCCATCTCAGGCGGTGGTGTCTTGCGGGATGGATACACGCTCGACATTGTTTGCGAAAATGAAGGCGGTCAAGCGAACGTCAGCGAAGACGACGACGAAGGCGCTGTGGGAGGCAGGAGGGAAGAGGTGGGGAAGAGAAAGCGGAGAGGGGTGAGGGAAGGACGATGACGGGACCGCGGCCAGTTTATATCGTGGCCCAACGACAAATCGTTGGGGATGAGCGTGTCCCACAGCCCACGCCGAGTGGAGCTCCTCTCCTCCCAACTCGTCCTCTTGCTTTTTTCTTCCACCCCAGCTCTTTCGCATCCTCAGACATTCGACTCTGACAGTTCGGTGAGCATAATTCTAAGCCTCACCCTTGTGCCAAAAATGCGAGCGTAGATGGGAGACGCGCTGAAATGTTCGCTCGCCACTCCGCAAAAGCTCGGCACGATCCTTTGGGGCGGCGTCTATTCTCTCCAGGTTCTGCACACGTAAGCACTTTCGTCTTTGGAGCCGGTCATCTCCACAAATGCACAGCTTGCCAAACAAACACATGATCACGCACAACCCGTACCCCAGCGAGCATGTTCGAGAGGCAGATTGACAGACAACAAGTGGACTACAGGCGTCTACGAATAAATTATCATGGGTCGACCCACGCTAGCTAGAGTACATACAACAGCGGGGAAAGAACAGACAAGAGAGCGAAGGGAACAGATCCGCCACAATACTGGGACGGCACAACCACGATACTACGAAGAGTTCATCCTGAAACAGATCAGATGAAGAAGAATAGTCGACTGCGTGTATCGTGACCCGAGCTACTTCACGTTCCGTTTTGAGGTCGAATGCGTCGAGACAGGTAAAGACAGGGAGCATAAACACCGTGTAAATGTGTGGTGAAATGGGAGACAGCTAGAGATTCAGAGGTCGAAAACAGATCCAAGAACGAGAGGAAGATCGTAGGGGGGACGAGCGAGCCACGGTGCAGGCGAATACGGAACAAGCGGGAACAACAAAAAAAGACATATAACAGGCGAAGAAAACATGAAGGGAATAACTCAGGACTGACGTCAAGATGCAAACGATATGGGCAGGAATGAAGGAGCAAAAGTGGGATAAAACAAGAACTTAGAGTAGAAAGGGTTCCTGTTAGGAGGGGTCGATGGAGTGCGAACCGATGGACGGGGAGCAACTAGAGTCAGCCTAGATGATAAGCGCCGTCTTGTCCAGGTTATCCCTGAGCACAACATCCGTGACTGCAATCAATTCGTTCAGCTCGAGTCCACGCTGGTAACCGAATTCACGAAAGCATAAACTCACCGTCGACAAGGATCATCGAAGTCGCCTTGGTGTCCTGTATCGCGATTAAATACAACGAGATCATAACTCCACTCAACAAAGGGCACGTAACGATGATCGAATGAAATGCAAACATACCGTCACACACGTGAAATGACAGTAGAAAGGCCTCGGATTCTGAGAGAACTCCTTGAATATCGATGCAAACTTTCTCCTGAGGTCTACACCCCGTCGCACCACGCACCAAATGAGCAGAAGGTCAGATGAAAGCAGGCGAAGACCAAAGCAAAGAGGAATATTACTCACAAGCACTCGTCGCCTCAAAATCATTCAGCCTATCCCCATAGCTCGTAATAAACCTCCCAAACCTGACCCCGCTCGCGAGCTTCTCCTTCATGATATCGCACTTATTCAAGAACAATATCAAATTCGTCTTGTTCAGCAGCGGGTTCGCCACCACCATCTTCCAGAGCAAAACCGAATCCTCCTGCATACGCGAGTATATTCAGTGACCGGCTAGCGACAGTGTTATGAAAAGGAGATCTACGAACCAGTCTGTTGACATTCTCGTCTTCCTCCAAAACCTGGTCGAAACAGCTGATTGGGGCCAGGAAGATGATGGCATCCATATCGTCGAAGAACGGCACCCATGCCGCTGTAACGCCACGCCACAAGATAACATCAAACCATAATGAGTACATTCTGTAGAAGAAGGAAAAATCCGACCGCTACGAAACAACATACCTCGCTGGAATAGATGGGACCAAAATATGGCAGATACATCAGATATTGTACCCACGGATGGCGGATGAACTACTCACACATGACCGATGCCCACCAACATCGTAAACCAGCCAATCTCGACCGAGAACATTGTCTATATACGCAACGTAATGGGTTCAACCTCGTCTAGGTTCGTCAACGGAGAACTTACTGGACGCAAGCGCAAACCGATGCTCCGACACACCCAACGTCTTAATCCTCGCCCTCATGATATCATCTACACCAAGTCGGATCGAAAAACCAAAGTCTCAGCTTGATAGACATCTCCACCAATCCCAAAATTACTCACCATCCGTAGGTACATACCTCTCCTCCGCCACCCTCTCCAACTCATCCAGAAAGAATCCGCTCATCTCCTGCAACCTCACCTTCCACGCCTCCAAAAGCTCCCTAACCACCGGATCTGTCCACAACTTGATCATATCCTCTCCACATAGATGGATCACTCTCCCCGGATCGTCCGGATCTCCCCAATCAATCCCGTCCTCACCGACCGTCTTCCCATTCGTGCTCACAAAGTCTTTGAACTTCCCCTTCCATCCCGTCCAGGAATTCGAGTTGACAGACATCTCCCGTGCGACGTTCACGGAGCGCGAACGGAACCTTCCTGGAACACCGCCACCGCCAACACCACCGACACCGTTCAGAGCACCAGACGCCGAACCGGGACGTTCGAGCGGCGAGCCAACACTCTCGTCCGGAAGATTCGTTCTCGTGGCAAGGAATGGTCTATCCCCGGGACTCCCATTCGGAAACGGCGCAGTCGAGAACGAATCGCTCGCCGGTGCGTTCGCGCTCAATTTCTTCACCAGCTGCTCCTCCACCCTCAACAGCGGACTCAGCCTCATCTTCAGTCTCAGATGATCGGGTGTAAGCAGCGGGAGGTCGGCTGGCGAGTAGTCGCGCTCTCCTGACGAACCAGATCCATTGGAGGATGTCTGCGAGCGAGGGTTCGACCGGGGCGAGTAGTGACTCTGGCCGTGGCGAGGATCTTGCTGGAGGGCCTGGGCTTGGGAGATTATGTCGAGGATAAGGTGGATGGAGCGAACGACGTTCAGTTGGATTACAGAGCGCCAAACTGCACGCTCGGCCTTAAACGCCTATGAATGGAAGGAAGGGGGTTAGCGCGCTGTTTTGTGGCCCAGAACAGGAGGAAAGAGTGCTGGGAAGCAAGAGAAGAGGGTCCCCGACACGAAACGGAACAATGATGGGTTGCTAGGGCCCAGGAGAAAGATATTAGGGTTTCGCGAGGACAAATATTCCGCGATGGGAGACACGCTACAGGGAAAAAAGCAAGTGCGATTGTATAAACCGAAGTTGAGCCTGTGGAAGTAGGTGAAGACTATTGGGTTCGTGGGCCGGCATTGTGACGCGAACAAACCATCAAAAACGACCGGTTTCACACCGCAACTCGATTACCGGGGACACAGTATGCGCCGGGATTCGCCACATCACGATCGGGGGGCTTTCCATAGAACTTTGGAGTCTATATGTGGCTGAAACGCACACACAAACGACTTCCTAATAGAACTATGGCGCGTTCATATCCAAAAGTATTAACGAGCATGCCTAAAGGCATTGGCTCTGTCAATTATGATATCGGATGGCCAACGGAGCACCGTTGAAGGCAGACAATAAACAGACCTTCACAAGGTGTACCGCTCAGTCCCGGTGCGGGGTGCTTTGAAACGTCGTGCGGGGCAAGAGTTGAGACAGATGTGAGTACACCGACGTCAATATGCAAATCAAGTCCCGATCGATGCGTCAACGATGTATGGAACGGAATCGGGCGAAATGAAAGAGCCCTCCGTACGGGCTCGAGCCTCTGGCTCCTAGCCCAACTACGCAGGCTACTGTAAGAGTATCGTGGCTGTATACCGCTGTAATTGAGCAGGGCTTCGCTGGTCGTAAACACTCAGCTTGAAGCCTCGCGGGGGCATCTCGACAGAGGTTCATGTCACACCGGACATGAAAGATAGAAATGGAACACACCTTTGGAGATGCCAGAAGTTGAAAGTCTGTGGGAAGTCAGTAAATTTTTGAGGGAACAGTAGTGATCAGAAACGCACTCTTCAGCGTCGTCGATTTGCCTGTCCGCAGGGTCAGAATACACAGACTCCGAACGGATGGAGGGCAACATACCTGACTCGCTTTGCCCTGTATACCCCAAGAACGGTGGGGCCACAACGAATGCAGCGGACACAAGACAAGAGTGGGCGGTTGAGAATAAAGATTATAATACTGTCAGCGGGTCTGTTCAACTCGAAGTGAGATATATTCCGCACCGAGCAAGAGCAGCTTCACGGGCTTGGGGCCTTTCTTGAGCGCCAGCCTCTCCTGATTGATTTCCTCGTCGATCTTTTCTGACCGGATGCGAGCGGCTTCCTCCGCCTGCAGCCTCACTGCCCTGTCATCCTCTGATTCGTTTGGCGGCGGGCGAAGTGCTGCAGCAAGGGGGTCCTCGCGGTCATTAGGGGCAGATCTGTGGTGGGTCTGTGAGAGAACCAGGGAAGGCATGGCGGGCGGGCAAGATAAGTTGGATCAGAGGGAGGAGGAGGACATGGAGGACAGGAGCAAGGCTGGAAAAGGAAGAGAGAGAGGAGATGATGAGATCAAATGTGGCCAAGGCGCTGGCCTGCATGAGCGTCCTCCGTCGAGCCATCACTTCCAATTCATTGCCAATTCCCCGTCCGCGTCCAGCCACGTGAGCCGATCCGCTTTGAATCGCCTCCGCCAAGCCTCGCCCCTTTGTTCCCCGGCGCGAGCGTCCCTCCGTTCCCTCTTCCCATTCTTTCCTTCGGCGACTCGCACGTCCTCTAGCGTCTTCATTTTCTCCGTACTGTTTCGACTGTCTGTGCGAAATCAAAGATAAACTATAGTCTCGAGACTTTGAGCTTACGGAATGATAGTTCTCCCTCTGCTTTCTCCCGTAATCTCTCGCTCTCTATACGGCCCGTACCATGCACTTCACGCCTTTACGATGAAGCAAACCACACTTTTGGATCGGCTAGTAACGCGCACAGTCTTCCCGCTCGCCTTCTCTTACCTTCTCTTTGCATAATGTCCCACGTTAATCTACCGAATTTTTTCGTCGACCTCGTGCTTCAAATATTCAAGCTCCTCCCAGAAATTTCTCTAAGTACCATCCACATCATGATCCTTCAGCCTGTTGCCCCCTCCATGTCTTCCCACCAGTATCCGACAGTGTGAGCCAGCGTATGTATGTTCGGTCCAGTTCGGTATTCGTGAAATGGTCATTGTGTCTTCAATATGGACCTCCTTATCGGCGTTCATTGGCAGGCACATCTCGTATAGACGTCTTCGACTTCTTTGTGCCTGTAGGCCCCGTAAATTGCCTCAACTCATAGCTGAATAAAACAACTCGACAAAGTCAGAAGATATTGAAAACATGAACACGAGTGCCAACGAGAGCTGTTCATTTGTGTTCAGCGAACACAGGTTGTGAGTAGGATCTGGATGTCAACGAGCTCTCGGTATTGTCTGGTTTCGTCTGCGAACGCCGTAAGCAATTTACAAGCAATTTAAGGGGTGCTTCGTCTCAGCCGACCGAACTCTGCCGTGATCCAGCGCTACCGTCGTTGTACAGACTCCCAAATATCATCCCAATGAAAACAGTCTGAGCCTTGGTAAAATACCGCAACATAACCACCCTTCTCTTCAGAAATGTCCCGAGCGGTGTTACATAGGTCAAACCCAGTTGGTCCAGGGCCACATCCCCAATATTCAGGCCAAATTCAGGCCTCCAGGTCCCACAAATCTCGATGACAACGATCTTCAAAGCACCACGTTTTCTGAAGTGGCTTGGCGCGTTTGTGGCGTTATTTGTTTCCGGACAAATCCGAGTCACGGTGCAACGTCATGATCAACATCGGCCTGCTGCTCGCGTCAACCCATCGCCACCCTCGAATCCCTTGCAACTTGTTGCTCGTGTGCTGACTTTTTCTTCATGAGCATGTCGGTGAGCTGACTATTTTTAGAATCGGATTGTTTGGCTTGACTTGATGATGTTGTTGGTCGATCATGCAGATTGCATGAACGAGCCCTCGGGCTGATCTCCTCGCACGCCAACCGAACTTGAGCCTATAGGGCCACATTCTCTGCTACTGGGTGGACTTCAAACATTAGGGAAAGAACGGCCTCTAGCCTACCTCAGAAACCCTATACACCAAAAGACATGTCAAAGGGCCAAGAGCACCTCAGAGACGAGGTAGATATCCATCAGTACTTTCGACTACTGGAAGAGAACGTCATCAACACATTCTCTATGAATAGGGCTCGAAATCCCAAACGATGATCGCCGGTGCCACAGCTGGTGTCGTTTCTCGGTATGTCTATCCTTTCACTTCACATCTACCTATGGAGCTCTTACTCCCATGATGGCTATGTATAACGCGCTGACCACCGCAGATTCTGCATAGCACCTCTCGACGTCGTCAAAATTCGTCTCCAACTCCAAACACGCTCACATCCTCAGCTGAACCCGGGTGATAAACCTCCAATATACAGGAGTACGCTGAGCACGTTCCGGACTATACTCAAACATGAGGGTATCACGGTACGCCTTCCCTTTTCGTCCCATTCACATCCCAGTCCCTATTGCTAGTCATTTACTACTCCATGTGCGATGAACCTATCCGTCGATTGAAATGTGGCACCTCCTCCATCTACAGGCATTTTGGAAAGGCAACATCCCCGCCGAATTCCTCTACCTCGGCTACGGCGCCGTCCAATTCACGACCTACCGCACAACCTCCTCCTTCCTCACCTCCCTCACTCTCCCCCTTCCCTCCTCCGCCAACTCACTTATCTCAGGCTCCATCGCCGGCGTCGCCAGTACCCTCGCCACCTATCCCCTCGACCTCCTCCGCACGCGCTTCGCAGCCCAGGGGAAGCAAAAAGTCTATACCTCGCTCGCGAGCGGTATCGCGAATATATATACGCAGGAAGGTGTGAAGGGCTTCTTCAGAGGGTTGGGAGCGGGAATGATGAGCATCGTCCCGAATATGGGACTTTTCTTTCTGTTTTATGAGACTCTACACCCGCCTTTAGTGTTACTCTTCTCTGTCGCTCCACCACCCTCCCAGCTACTACCCGCAAAGGAGAACAACGAACCCAGCGACGGTCACCCCGATCAACGACCAAAATCATCTACTCACAAAATCCTCACCTCCCTCATCCCCGGCTCCGCCCACGCATCCGCCGGCCTCCTCTCCTCCATCCTCTCCAAAACCTCCATCTTCCCTCTCGACCTCATCCGCAAACGCCTCCAAGTCCAAGGCCCGACCCGGCAGCTCTACGCCCACGGGCCCATCATGCCCCGATACGACGACGGGCTAGGGATCAGGGGTACGGTGAAGGAGATATTGAGGAGGGAGGGCGTGAGGGGGTTGTATAGGGGTTTGGGGATCAGTCTCGTTAAGGCGGCACCGTCGAGTGCGATTACGATGTGGGTTTATGAGTGGGTTATGGAGGGGTTGAGGAGGGAACGGGAGACTTGAGCGCTGAAGTATGTATACGGAGAGGTTGACTAGGCTTAGATAGACGCGGGTAGTATTGGTGCTGGGGTCCATTCTTATTTATTGTTTCATATCTAAAAAGGATGCACTACCTGCTAATTTTTCGTACTTTTGCTATCTACTCATCTTGAATGTTGATTCTCACACGTTGCTTTTATGAGACCGTTCGTCCCCATACTTTGATAAAAATGGACGAATTGAAGCTCAAGCCTGATTTACTATGATATTTACCATTAATCCGTAGTTTCTTATGGCCGCCTGGCGAAATGGCATCGCGTCTGACTACGACTGTGCATGTTATCAGGAGATTGCAGGTTCGACCCCTGCGGTGGTCAGTTATGAGCAAATGCCCAGCTCTCGTTTTGCCTTTTGCCCGGTACCAAAAGTGATACTTTTCCACTTGATATGATCGACAGCGCGATAATAGATACAATACAATTGCGAGATAAAGACTGAGACCGTCCTGTAACAAGTACATACAAAGCCCAGGACAAAAAGGAACGCGAAAGGCATCCCCGCCCTTCCTAAGCATCCTTCGCAGATGACGGCCTCAGCGACCCAAGAATAAATAACACTCCCTCAGCAGTATAACAAATATGGGAGGTACAATCGCGAATCACTCGTAGACATAGCAGAGTAAGCCGCTCGTCGTGTCCATAACGTCGTATATCGTCGACTCAGTGAACAACCCGTCTGCTGGGATCGATGAGTTGAGCTGTGAACAATTCATCCAATCATAAATTTATTAGTGTTTACCGCCGTCAAAAGAGATAAGCAGAGAGATATGGTGCTTACGCTCAATTCCGGCGCAGCGCCGTTTGGATTGGCCTCGTAATCTTCGATGGTGTCGAGTGCTTGAACGGACCCGCCGGAGAAGGACCAAAAATTGGAGGGAGAGGCGTGCTGCCAGTCGTACCAGATCTTGTCGATCATCTAGTGAGAAATAGTCAGTGCTCAGCCCCTATGGAGAAGTGTGGGGAGATGTTAATGAAGGGGCCTACACCGTGGTGAAGCCAAAATAGGGGCTCTGGAAAAGGTTGGGAAACGGGGAAGACGGGACGGCGTGAGTTTGAGAGAACTAAATAAGGTTGTGGGGTATGCTATTGACTGACCATTTGCGGACCAGGTTGGACCAGGTGTGCAGTTGGCTGGAGCGTTCTCGGGACAGGTACCACCGAGATCACTTCATGAAACGATAGGATGAACGGATAGAGTTTGGTGAGTGACTACATATTTGGCGTGAGGCTCAGTGACTTACCCGCCCATGATCAGATGGACATTTGAGTGCATACCCTATTCATAGAAAATAAGCAATTACATCACCGCTAACTCGAGAAGAACAGCAATGTCCAAGAGAGATAGAACAAACCTGCGTCTGCTCCACATACTTCTGCATTTCCTTGAAGTTACCTTCAAACCCCGTGATCACCTTCTGCACTTCACTCGCCGTAAAGCTCGAATTCGCGATCTGAGTCGGGTCGGGGAAGAACGGATTCCCAGCGAAAGAAAGCCAAGGCTGTTCTGTGAAGTTGCGTCGAAGGATGTGTGGCGAAGGATAGGAGAGGTGCCATGTATCAAAGGCGCCCGTCGGGACGGCATAGTCGTTGTTGAGTGAGGCTTGGCCCCAGCCTCCCAGGCCGGACGTAGCGGAAGAGTCCGACCAGAAGGATGATTCGAAGAAGTCGGGGGCATCTGAAAGGTACGCAATTAAGATGGTAGAAGTGCCGTAAAAGGGGGAGACAAACGGACCGATGGTCCAATCCCAGTACGGAGAGGCGCCGGTGTAACCACATTTTGATTTCAGGGCGGACTCGTAGACTGCTACATACCATCGGTGCCACGGAAAAAAGAAACCTGAAGATTGATGTCGAAAATAATGAGCCCAACAAATAACTCCATGAGCAAGATACCACTGAACGCACCGGTGAAGTGGATCTAAGAAAATTTATAGACATGAGATATACTAGAGATATCAGCAAAAGCTATCGCCTACTTTAATGTTCAAGTCTGTCCACACATATTAATGCGAGTCCTAATTTACATGTGAACGAATGCACGTACCCATATGTATATAAACGAAATCTGAGCAATCAAATAAATATCGACCATGTCTGGTAGGTCAATTCTCTGTATACAGTTCAGAGGCAGACGCAACTAACCGTCATAGTATGTACCAGACGTGTTGACGGGAGGAATCAGAGACAAGGACGGGTCAACTGATGGAGTGAGAGCATCAGTGTGAGGGAATGTAGCCAAACACTATCCCCAATGGTCAGCCAGTGGTGGGTGACAAAAGTCTTTTGAACACATACCTTGACCGCTGAGATCCAGTCAGCTCGCTCCGTGGTAGTCATTGCGCGCCATTCCTTGCGGACCGACGGATTAGTGCAACTTGCTACGGAAAGGGAGACCCAACACCCAAGCACGCTCAGGAGAAGAGTTAGGTGTCGAGCGGATGAGAGCATGATCGAGACTAGGTAGATATTAGGATACGAGCTGAGCGTCGAGTAGTATCAGGGAAGCAAACCAAGTTCGCGCTACCTTTCGCCTACCAATCATGCGGGATTTTAAGCAATCCGGCCGGCCAGGATGGAGGCTGAGCTGTGGTGCGTTCCTCGGGACAACGACAGATACCTCCCATCCACGGAATGCCGTTGATCGTGCACTACTCATGTACTGGAAGGCGTCTACATGCAGAAGTGTAGAGCACAATTATGGCCCACATAACGGGAAAAAAAAGTTTCACGATCCCCCATATAGCAGTATGCCAGTCCGCGACATCGCGGTCATTCACTCCCGACATGACCTTGACTTCCTCTGCGCGAACGCCTCATGGCCCTGGAAGTATCTCCGGTGGCGGCGAATAATGTACATCTGCCTGAGTTGAGCGAAGACCTCATCTCCTCCCCATGATCGACTAAATCCGAGCTTCAAAGCAAAGACAAGATCAAGAGAATATATTATACGTCCGACGATCGCTGCTCGGACGACGAGACAATTGTGCGTCACCTCGCAAATAATTCGTAAGACTGACTAGGGGAACGTCGTTCGAGTAATATGGCCGTGGCAAGTCAATAGCCGTACGTGTGAGCCAGATCAGGCGACTCGAAATGGCCGAACATGTGCGCGGGTTTCGAGGCGAGGGTCGCGCGAGCCAAAAACAGAGAAGGAAACAACTTCGACTCCCGAGGACTCTAGTACTCAGGACCGGTATGGCACAGATGTCAATGGAAGGAAATTAGACTCACACATGGATTTCACAGGCAGAAGACCTAAACTTGAACGCCTGCCAAGACGGTCTATATCTAGGTCAACCCAAAGATAGATACGATTCCATTCGTCCGATTCACCGCACAGGCCACTTCTACGAAGTCCGAAAAGACCAACTATGGTGGCAGCTCTTGGCGAAACGCTGCATCATAGAATTTTAGATGTCCGACGTTCGTCAGAGTGGGAGGCAATGTCCTCGGAGCAGCATTGAATACGATGGTGTAGATCGGACACATGGGGTCCAACTACATCAACGTAGACTGCTAGTCATTGTACTAGCAATTGCGATCAACCGCACAGAGAGTCAGGTTCAACGCAGTGTACGAATCCCACAGATGTTGTGACACTGCTTGCAGAAGCATCAAGGGTCCGTCAAGGGTCCGTCAGGGCGCACGGAATAGGCCCTGCACGACATAGAATTCGCCATTCAAAGCCACTGTGTCTCTTATGGGGCTAACGCGGTGATAGAATTAAGGGGCAACAACTCATTAGGGTCCACCCAAAGTTTGGAAGAAACAAACGTAGATATTCCTCAAAATGGGAACGGCTAGACCGTGCTGTCGCACAATCCACTATCTCGACGGCATACGCCTGAACGTCAGATTGGATATCGCAAAGCATCACCAAACGTAAGAAAAGACCTGAAGAGTCGACCCACGGTCCCCAACATCTCGAGACCAGTGTTTTGCTCCGAGCGCCTTACGCCGGTTCCGTAACCGCCACCCCAGGCGCAATGGGACTGCCCAAGTTCGGCGTACCATCGGAATTCCTGCCCGGACTGTCAACAACTCGCCGGGGACATATGACGGGTTCGCGGATATGAAGGGAAGATAGGACGTACCAGTTGACGGGCTGGACGAAAGTTCTGCGTGTTCCATCGCACGCTACAGTCGAGGTCGGAGAAGCGTGGAATACATTCCATATGTCTTCTCCGTTCGGAGACTACACATCGGAGCGTCACATTCAGCCATCATGTAGGCATCCGATGCTAGCATCGTTGACTCACAATGAAGAAATAGTTGTGTCCCGGTCTATGTCCCTTAGTCAGTACCCAACGCCTCCTCGAACATAGGAGTTCGGCTTACCCATAGTCGCCATCTGCGGCCTGAAAGATGGGTTCGGGGTTCTTCACCCAGTTGGAGGCTACCATAGGATCCGATCCGACAAGTTCGAGCATTCCAAGCTTGTAGTTGTTCCAGCAGTAAGAGGCAGAGTAGACGAGCCAGGTCCTACCGCCATGATACAGTGCAACTGAAGGCAAGACGGATGAGCATGATGCGGGACTATTTACGTGGGAGTACAGCAGGAACAGACATACCGGGACCTTCGTTGACGGGGTTACCTTCAGTCTCCCACGAGTAAGTTGGCTCGGAAATGAGAACTGCATCGCCAACGGTGAGGGCGTCGGTCATTTTCCTAAGATGAGACAAGTGAGTATAGAGCGGGCAAGTGATCAACATATGAAGCTTACGCAATATACAGGGATTGAAGATCCCCATTGAACGAGCTATAAACCAAATATTGGCCAGAAGAGAGCACCATAATAGTCGGATCGATGGACCAGACGTCACGGTTCGGGATGACGATTCGACCTGTATAATTTCGCAAACCGTAAATGAGAGATGGTGAACAACCGCAATCTAAGAGTACGTACCGGCGTAGGTATAAGGCCCCAGGGTGAATCAGCATTGCCCTCGAGAACTTGAATGTGTTGGTTGGCGGCATCGGACGTTCCGGCGACATAGTAACTGAAGATTGACCCTCAGCATCTCCACGAAACTCTCAAACGTACTACACTTACATGTACCAGATGCCGTTCACGAGGTGGACTACACAACAATCAGGACCGCACGAAATACCCGGAAAGGCATGGAGCACTTACTTTCAGGAGCCCCTGCACAGAAAAGTGTCAGTGTATAGCCTCTAACGCGGCGTAGTGAACATTGAACTTACAGACGTTGCAACAGTATGCAGTGGCTGTCGTCGAGAATGCGACAGTTGTCTCACCGGTCTTCAGTCCTTCAACCGTCTAAGTTACGAAGTCGTTGTCAGCCTGAATCTTGAAGAGGGGTAGAATAAACAAACTGCTGACAGTGGCGCGGGTGATGGTGACATCGGTCCACTCAGTGGTGGTCAAATAATCTGGGAAGCGGGCAAACAACTCGGCTCAAAAAAGAAGACGGCGAGGTAATAAGGGAGACTAACAATATCCATCAAAATATGTCTGCAAATCACAGCGATTAATCAAGGGACACAAACACAAGTCAACCAACATACCATCCACGGGTCAGAACCATTCTCGTCCCTAATGGGATTGGTGAAAGTGGCACCAAGTGCAAGCAACGCACTTGTAGCAAGAACGTAAAGCCCCAAAATCGCAGAAGATGTTCTCATCGTGAGCTCTCCTCGAAAACATCACGACGGGCCATTTCAGCCTTTATATGTACACAGCGAAACACAGCAACGCTCCAGGTGGACCGAGGCGGCCCCTGTCCAGCCGTGAAGAATCTCCGGCTGAATCCACGAGCCTTGTAACTATGCACGATATGAAGGCAACCATAAGGCCAAGGACGAGGCAAAAAGTCGGATTGGGTGACTGGTGACTGGCTTAGCATGCGTGCAGGGTGGAAGATGAGGTCGAAAGGTTCCTAGCTAGGGTCAGGTGGTAAAGACACCTGGTGGAGTTCTGTGCGACTGGCCGGGAGTGAGCGCGACGGATTGACGATTAGGAGTGTATCGTGTTTAATTGAGTTAATGATCGCCTCTCACAGAAGACTCGTCCACGCGTTCTCGGGGGCAACAACTCCGACACGACGTCACGTAGGTGCTTGCGAGTCTCGAAGCGCTGTTGAACAGGGACGGAGGAACGCCTCGAAGCCACGGTCCTCTTGCGCGAATAGGCATAAAACGTCGTTGTGTCGTAAAACATCTCGCTCCCGGTCAGGAAGCCCCGCTTGAATCGATATTGCCCCTATCCAGACCAGGTATCCAATTCGGCAGTCTCTTCCCACCATACCACAACCTCGGTCTTCCCTTCGTCTCCCCCTCCGTATTCTCCGGATCGCGCTCCCATCTGATCTCAAACTCTGTGCCCAGCAACCCATGCGATGAGGAAAGGGCAGCATTCCAGTATAATGTTCCCATAGGGCCAGATGATGGGCGGGCTTCGTCAGGATGGGGTAGCGACGCGAAAGGAGGTAGATGAAGTAGAAAGAACGGAACAGGGGACGCATGAGCGGTGAGAAGACATGCTTGAGTGAAAGATGATTCAGAGACGAGGACGGCAACGATGGGTAATGATGTCGGATTGCGAGGATTGCGGAAGGCGTTATGTCCCGTGAGGTCGACGAGAAAGTCTTCAGCGTTGAGGTTAGGAAGTGCAGAAGATGATGGCGAGAGAGAAGTAGGATTTGGACTCGAAGAGGTGTCGGAGAGACGACGAGCCTCGGACGTGTATTTGTACACTACCCCTTCAAGTTCGCGCACGTAATTGGGACCCATCTTTTTCTTCTCAGCTTTGCATTGACCAAGGACACGAATGCGACGGCGGGGTTCTGGGTCTGCAAATATTTTGTATCAGCGGTTCCCTCAAAAAGTTCCGAGCACGAGAAGATGAATAGCCTATCCTACCTAGGGATCCGGCTTCAGGAAGCCACCACCAGCCGAGGAGGTCAACGCCTCCATCGGCCCGTCCACCAACGCGAGCAAGTGACATGGACATGGTTGACTGAAGAAGGTTAAGAGAACGCTTTTCGAAGGCCGTACCACGGTGCACACTGGAAAGATGCCCAAGTGTGCTATGCACAACCCTTGTAAACCGCATTTGGATTTAAACCGAAAAAGAAATCGAAGGTGGCAGCGAAGAGATGTTGAACAGAAGTTTGGTATCAGTCTGCTGCTAAAATCCAAGATAGTAAGTCTTCAATCCAGTGCTTTTCCTAGTTCAACAGCTAATCAGGTGGGCTCGAAACAGACCATACAACGCGTTGGATTACGCGTCGTGGTGAGTAGGTGGGGGGAGGACGCGGCGAAGACGCGTTCAACTTTTAACACTGGCATGCGGGCCGATCCGAAATTTATCTACCCGAGGTCAGGTCAATGAGTATCTTTCCTTCTTTCCACAATCGTAAGGATTAGTACTCTATAGGGGGTCTTCCAGTCGTCTCTGTGCTCTATATTTTCTATCATACTTGCTCGTCCAACCATGTCTTTACAACTGATGCAGGTGCCAGGACATCGACGTGGCGCGCCACAGCGCCCAGCGCCGACTCACGTGGTGGCAGGAATATAATAATCCGTCCTTGTCTCTCCTCTTTGTCTCACCACAAACTCTGGTCTCGCTTGACACGTACCGCTTCCCAACCACACAAACTGTCCAGTCATGTCTGTCGCCACAGCAGTCCATCCCACCAGCCACACAAACGGTCTCACTCTCCCACCTCCAGACAGGTACCGTGGCGCGGTCGTAGAGGTGCGCTGGCAATTCCACCCATTTATCGAAAAAGCCTCTGTTAAAGGAAGACTGTTGGACGATGGTATAGGATCTGCAACTACCACCAGCGTTTGCGCTTCCACAGGATGAAGATATCTCCCGCGCCATTGAATCCGCCTTCGACCGAGACTTTTCTTACATCCCGTATGCCAAACTCGTAAAGCTTATCCCATCCTGGACGAACTTTCTCATAAGCCTTGATGTCATATTTAATTCAGAGTGCTGGACCGTAAACGCAAACCTCTGGGGTACATCGATGTCGGCGCACTCAAGAAGAAGTGGGAGGCGGGCGAGGCATCTCCTGTACGCATTTCGTTCGCCATCTGGCATATTCAATGATGGCAGCATGCTTATAATTGGCATACACTTCCTATGCTCCCTAGTCAGACAAGGTCGCATCATTCATGACCAAGTTCAAGCGCTCTGTTACAACGAATCCATACACAACCATAACTCCCGATACCCCCCTCACCGACCTCGAAGGCTTTCTCAAGCAGAACATCTTTGCACTAGGTTCGTATTGTCCCAATTCCGCCTAATTTTGCTCTTCCAAATATCTCGCTTCACCGGTACTCAATCACTTACTCAATTCACCGCCACAGTGACAGACTATGACCGGAAATTCGTGCTTGCCGTCGCAACATCGCACGACCTCGAGGTGAGCCCATTTTTCGCTAGCCCGCGCACGACCCTCGCTCTCTTGTCCTCTGCGGCGTAAATTCAGTCACAAGCTTCAAATATTGACTGACGCCACATCGCCGCCGCAGACCTTTGTCACCCGTCGTGGTATCTGATCCTAGATCCTTGCGGTCGCATCCTCAATGTCCGATTCATTGTACGGCCGTTCACACGCAACTGTCGACCACCTTTCATGCACGCCTCTCACTCCTACGGACTCAGACAGGCGCCGCCCATTCTAGTACTACTCAACAGCGTTATTAGCTACGTTTCGCTGCTGCCGACTTGGCGCTAGATTCATACGGTTCCACCCGTTTGTCTCATCTATCGCATCTTGCGTTGTCTGTCGTTCAGGCCTTCAACGGCGCCGTCACCTATATCTATTTCTTCATCATTTGTTTACTGTCATATTTAGAACATCGTCGACATCCATTGGTTACAGGGATTTGTGTAATTATTTGTGCTATAGATCATCGCGTTCTCACTAGCAAGGCTACCAGTGCGAATGGGTGACAAGTGTACCCGCGAAGTGTGCAGAGCCCTCACGTCTCTTGGGTTTTCTTGACTCGCCTTTGGAATTTTCGGTATCGGTTGTGTATCTTTCGTGCAGAGACTCATTTGATCGCCAGGAAATAGACGCTTGCCCGAATGTGGCCCCAGCTTGGTTGAATATGATACGGGCGTTTCGATGACCTGGGGCCAGAGTTTTATGAGCCCAGAGATCAAAGTGGCGCTGGGTTCCACACTCCCACGAGAGGCTTCGCGCCGCGCTCTGTATCGAGTGCCCCTTGTCCACTCCTTATTTCGGGCTGTTTTTCTTCAGATTTTTCACGGGATTCTATCCAAGCATGCTTACGTTGCCTATCACGAAGTTTATAGAAGATAATAGATGCTGGGGTGCTGTCACCAACATGCGAAGGCTAACGCGGAATAAGCCGAACGCTGTTGGCTTCGTCGTATGCGGGGCCGGCGCTCGAGGTGGAGCAATCTCTGGCCAGGCAGAAATGAGCTCTGGGGCCGTATCATAAAACCCCTAATGTGGCACGTCCTCGATGTGACCCCCTGTATGACGTCGTTGCTCGTCCATAACCCCGCATCTACGCAGCGTCGCTCGACCTAACTTGGACCTAACTCTTACCACCACCTCACCTCAAAATCGCCTACAAAACAACTTGACCTCAAGAACCATCATTTGCCAGTACGATATCTTACCTTTCAGAAGGAACGTTTCTCATAAATTATCCATACTAAATCCCAAACACGGTTTTTACAGAGATGACGTCCTACATTCCTCACCTCACCCTTCCCAATGCATTCTTCACCCACCCAGCTTCAGCAATCTTGCTGCCCGTAGGGCTCGGAGCAGCAGTCGGCTTCTCAATCTCCTGTTAGTCTACACATACTTTTCGCGCGAAATTCATAAGTACTGACTTTTCGTCGTTTATGGCACAGCGCGTAAGACTCAGGAGATGTACACGCAAATGAGGCAACCCGCGTACCGTCCGCCTCCTTGGCTATTCGGGCCTGCTTGGACTGCTCTGTACGGTCTGATGGGATACTCGGCGTACCGTGCCATGAGCACCGGCCTCACTTCTATCAACCCCATCACTCGCGGCCTCGCCCTCGTACGTCCCTCCCATTCCATACCCCTATCCTCCAAATCTCGCGAAACAAAAATATAGTATAACTCACCCTCCACACCATCTCTTTCCTTTTCTTTTTCCTCTTGTTTTGGGTGGGTCACAGCACGGCGCGACGCTCTACTCCATCCAACTCGGACTCAACCTAGCCTGGATGCCGACCTTCTTCAAGTTCAAACAGCCCGCCCTCGCCGCCGTCGACATCGTCTCCCTCCTCGGCGTGACGTCTTACCTGACCTATACCTGGGGTCAAGTCGACGAAGTCGCGGCTTGGGCGCTCGTGCCTTACCTTGGCTGGTTGGGCTTTGCCACCTATTTGAATGTGGGTGCAAGTCTGCTCTCCCCTTTGGAGATATATCGCTGAACTGTTTTTTTTTGGAATAGATCGGTGTGGGGTATCTTAACGGATGGTCCATTCCTGACTGGAAAGGAAAGGGCAGGGGGTACTAGATCTCGGACAAGGAACTCTCTCTCTTGGGGTATCGGCAAAAAATGAGGCCGCAATGAAATAGGGGGTCACACAACCTTTCTGTTTACGGACGTTTTTGTTTCGCATGTTGTATCATTACTCTACCTGGTATATGCAAGTTTTTGGCGCCATTTGACTATTGCTGTCTCCAAACATGTGGAAGACCTGTCTCGACGCTGTCTGTACAGCGTACCCACTACGCTGAATTACCTATGGAAAGCTGTCGCGAATGAAGACGACCATTGGCACCATAATATCACACTCTTCCTCTCAAAAAGGTCTATCTCTCATCTAGGGACCATGCGATTATTTAGGGGCAATGAGCCGGAAAAAAAAGAAGAGAAGGAAAAGTGAGTGGCGCGCCACAGGGGCTGTACGACGATGGAATTGTGGCGTTCTCACTGCAGTCAGCTCCCTCTCCAAAACAAATGAGTACAGTCTTCCGGGGTGTCACCACCACGAAGCTCAAACATATATATTTCCTCGGTTTCTCTTTGGTCATCATTACTCACTATAGCATATGTCCGGGTCAAGAGAGAAAGAACTCATTGGCTATGAATCATCCAGACGAGTTGACGACTCTAAGTACCTCCATCTAGTAGTCATAGCCTTCTTCCAAACAAAATGAATCACCAGATAGCTCGCACTCCAAATAAGTTGTTTGAGTGCGATTTAACAACCACGCTATGGCACCCATACCCCCAGACCGACATCCCGATACCTCGCAGCCACATGACAGGCGTTCCGACGAGATCAGCACTGACGGAAAGCCAGTTAATCGAGATGGTAATGCCCATGAGCATAATGCCGAAGACGAGGGATGAGCCGTTTAGTGACAGGGAACGTGGGCGGTTCTGCTTTGAGCGCGAAGGTCATACACCTTGATGCAAAGGCCTAGAACCGAAACGATTCACAACAAATATGACCGACAGCTCACGCTGCCCGGAGATGACTAGGGTTTCAAAATGATAGCCAACGCCGGTACAAGGCTTCGGCAAGGGGAGCAGCACCAGTGATGACGAAAATCAAAGAGAGATTGTATGCTGCCTCTTTTGCGAGACCAATGTCCTGAGGAAGAACAAAATATTTTTAGATCAGACAGATATGCAAAGATGCTCAGATTGGTTACCTCTGGATTCGATTTCGTCCTCTCCTCCGCGAGAGCGAGCACGCGTTCATAGTGCTTAACCGCCAGAGAGTGAAGTCCTGCCACCCATTTCGTATCAAAGTTCAAAGAACAGGAAGCTAAGCTGGAGATAACTCACCAAGTTGGTGGAAGGAACGACCAAAGTTATAGTCAATTTCGTCTTGTCCAACCGAGTCAGATTGCCGCAACTCGCGGTACTTCGTCAGGAATGCCATAGCCTAGTGCTATTTCATGAGTATCCTGATTCAGATAGTAGCGGCGCGAGTACTCACCTGGGCGACGAGATGGTGTCGATTGTCTGCTTGTCGCTGCATCGCACGGCCCATGGAAGCAATAGCGAGTGACAAACAAACCATCGGCTCCTGCGGGCAGTAATCGTAGGCATGTAGCAGGTAGTCTACCGCGTCAGAGGGTTCAGTCATGCTGAAGACAAACACACAGAAGCTCAAATCGCACTCACAAATCGCACTCTGATAACTTCGAGCACCCAAGCTTAACTGTCCGTATATCGTCACCAACATCGGGTTGTCCACCTTCGGCAGGTCTGAAGGCGGGCCACCGGTCTTCAAGTTCGTGCTTGGACCCGCATCATCCACATCATCGTCACCACCCGCTTCCTCGCCCTTCCAGCTTCCGCTTGGCGCCAATGCCCATCTCCCCCTCGGAGCATACCACTTGAGCGCATCTTGATGGCGTATGGCGGCGTCGGACAGCTTGATCTCGCGGAGCAGGTGCTTTTGCAGTTTGGAAGTGATGAACGCGTCGGTGTTACGGAACCCGGAGGCTAGAGAAGCGACGAGGACGCGCATAGGCTCGTTATTGAATTGGTGGGAGTTGATGATCTTCCGTCCCTGTTCTACCACGGTATCGTAGTTCTTCGCATTGGCTGCGCATGCTGTAGATACAGTGGAAAATCAGTGACTAAGGATGAGCGAGTTAGCGAAGTGATCAGGTTTATCAATACACACTCATGATCGCAATCCGTACGGTATCCTGCACCTCGGGGGACTGGTAGGCGTTCGAGTGTAGAAGGTGGGATAGGAGCTCCTCTGCAAGGTCATATTGGCCGCGTTTCGTCAAAACGAACGCGTACTATAAGTTGCATGTATGGTGAGCGACAAGAACGACTTGACGGTAAGACGAAGACTTGCCTGCATAAAGACCCGTAACCACTCATCAAAGTGGATGCCGCGGAAGATGGTCACTTTCTCTGGCTTTTTGTTTGCCTTGTTGAGGGCTCGCTGTGCCCGTTCATCCTCTGTCGAGAACACCTTCAGCTGCGGGAACAGATGGAGGTGCAAGGTTCTTACCCATTTCAAGCGCAATCCGCGATGCCAGGGCGTCTTCGTCTTCAACTCGCGTCTTCCTGCTAGTCTTTGAGGGGAACATGCCGCGGAATGGATCACTCTGCAATATCGTGCATCAGCATGCTTATCCCATAAGACGGACGTGAAAGACTGACCCGACTCGTCAAGAACAGTTTCTTCGTCATTCGGAAACTCTCTGTCATCCTTTCTACCTCAACTAACCACTCTCTCTCAGCCTCCGCCTGGCCCTCGGTACCATCAGGCTTCAACATATCCTCCCATGTAGCTTGTACACGCTGATATGACCTCAATACTTCCTCCTCCTTCTGACTTTCCATCTCCTTGAGTTCAGCATGGCTAAATTTAGCCTTGGCTGATTGTTTGTACCTCTTGGAGCTTTCTTCGAATAGGGAGGTGGTGGGAGCATCAGTGGATTCGGAGGTTTGTGTGGCGCCTTTGCGAGGTCGGCGGCGAGATTCAATCACTGTAGCATGACCATGTACCGTTAGTAAAGGGGAAAACGGTGTGAAAAGACAGATAGAGTAACCTTGGAAAACGAGCTCTAAAGCTTTACGTGGTTCATTGAGAACCTCATAGATTTCTGCCAGTCTCATCTTGCTTTCGTTGTCGGTGGCGTCGGCAGCGAGTACTAAGGAGACGTATTAGCAGGTTTTTCTCAGCTCCACGAGAAGATGCTATTGTTTTCTCGACATCCATACCATGTTCATATACATCAGCGGCCTCGCGGAGGTCGCCAAGCAAGTGGCAACATCGAGCCACTTGCAGAAGTATGTGTAGGCTACTCGTCTTGGAACGAAGAACCGTTTATTAAAAACATGCCATCTGTGAAGGTCACCACAACCACATACCGCTGCATCATGAGCTAGCGTTTCGTAGATTGGCTTCGCGTCGGCGTACATCTTCGAGTCGTAATACGCGTCCGCGATTTCCGCGAAAAGTGGTGCATAGTCAAACACATCCTGAGCAAGGATGACCTTGGCATGCATCTAGGTCGAGAAGTCAGCAAGGAAATAAGTGTCCCTCAGGATAGAAGCAGTCGGACTTACCACTCCCTCATCCATCTCACCCATTCTCAACCTTGCAACTGCCAACCTATGCCTTGCATTCACGTCCAGAGGATATTTCCCGGGCTGAACCCACCCTTCCCTTCCAGTCGCGCCAGAGCCACCCTCTGTCCTCCAATCCCCTATATCGTACTCCCTGTCATCCTCACAGGCGTCCCAGAATTTCTGATCCGCTCTTCCCTGCAGCCATCTCGACCCATTTCGAATGACATGGACCGCTTTGTCATGCTCGTTCAGTCCATTGTAGAGATCTGCTAGGACAAGGAGCTGAAGATGACCGAATCCACCTCCTGGGATGTCGCCAACAGTGGGATCTGGACCTGGGCCCAGTCCAGAAGGGTAGAGGGACTGAAAGTGCGTGAATGCACCGTGATACAAAGACGCGCAGGTATTGAGGTCGGAAAGTTCGACAAGGATGGGGCGTATTTCCTCGAGGATTGTGAGGTCATGAGGGACGCTCTTGAGGATCCCGAGCAGGGAAAAACGGACCTGTATTTTTGTCAGGTAAGTATGACATAGGATGTCATGCAAAGGGAAAAACATACGATGCGGTATTCTCCAAGTTCTTTTGCCAAAGACGCCCGGTCCCAAAGCGCATTAATATTTGAGGGGTCGAGGCTCGCCACCTTACCATAGCAATAGAGGGCTTGTTTGTTGAAACCGCGTTCCCTGGGGTTTTGATTTGAGAAATATACACAGACTTTCATAATGTAGACTGTACCTCGACTCGCGAGCCAAAGTCAACCAATCATCTGCTTCATGTTGTAGATGAGCAGCCATGATTCTCAGCTGCAACGCCTTCTCTGGGTTGTCTCGTTCGTGTATGTTAGCAAGAACGACCCATGCAGCACGGGCCCTTGGTTCGATGCGAATGACTTCCTGCATAATCTGAACGGCTTTCGGTATGTCATCGTCAATGAAGGCCTGGTTGCCCTCGCCGAGCATGGCTTTCACTTGTGGTGACAGAACTGGTCCTCTACGACCGCCTCGCTGGCAGGCAAAAGTTAAACAGTGTAGTAGAATAGTTGACGTCAATATGGATATCCTACCTTCTTCCCTTTCTTCCCAATCCCAGATGCAGCACGGAGGTCGTCTCGAAATATAGCATCCTGTTCTTCCGCATTGAAGTCCCACTCACGGCTAAGCATACCGGTATTGGTACTCGCGTCCGCGTTTCGGATATTTTGTATGAGGCGGCTTAGAATACATGGCATAAGACAGAATACAAAATAAGGAGGAAGGCGTTGTACGCACTCAAAGTCACCCTCTATTTGCATCTCCGCCGACGGCCCCTGTCCATCTTCTCCCTCTTCTAGCCCAGCGTCTTCCTCAGAACCTACTCCCAAATCCTCCTCTTCACGAGACAAACAGTATTCAAAATTTGAAGAAGCACATGAGAGATAACGAAGCGCACCAGAACCTGAGGCATCACTACTCTCCTCGTCCTCACTCTCTTCATCCTCTGATTCGCTCTCCTCAGAGAGTTCCTTTCTCATGTCTATTGGTGGTGGCATTCTCGACGGAGTTTATGTCAAAAGTCAAAGTTTAATTGATCCTGTCCGGCGGAGAGATATGGATGGCCTAAACGATGAGGAGCAAGCACAAAGTTAAAACGCGAAGGACGTCAAGGTCAAGAGTGCCACAGAGCCGTCAATGCTGAAATTCCTTGGAAAACTCAAGCTTCTCAGCGGCGTATAAGGAGAAACCAGTATATATAATTCCCAGATCAGACTTTGGAGCAGGACAGAGTCTCCCAAGACTATACGACGAAGCAAGGTGGTGAAAGGGAACAGGTGGCCCGTCGAGTTACACAATCGGAGGCAACGCCACTCTTCAGGTTGCTGTGGCACTCGGATCAGAGCAAACAAAAGCAAACATGATGCCATCGCTTCTCGGAACATTTCTGACTTGTTGATCTTGCACGAGCACACGTACAATGGCAGAGCAAGGAAACCAAGGTAGGTACTAGCGAGCGTACACTCCATATATAAGACTAGATACAAATCGTACAAATACGATAGCAGTGTTTCATATCCCTTCCCCTTCTACCAACTATTAAAATGTGTAAGTTGGAACTTGGGTCCCACTAGTGAGACATCTGAAACGAACAATCACCACGACACGACCGTCAACACAGAAATAGAGAGTGAGAAAATCAAGATGAAAGCAAACATAAAGGCCATGAGGACGTCTTGGCGACCTGATGGAAATCGAAGGGTATATACAGAGTGAATGAACACACGACAAAGAGGGATCCGATGGCAACGCAATGACAACGAAGTGAGTGGGCAAGATCGAATGAGTAGATGTAAACGCTTAGAGTTGTGAAGCCTGTAGGGTTTGAGAATATGATACAGTGATGTGACATCGAAAGGCTAGAATGAACGCTTAACAGAGATTTAGCGTGGATCAAGAGAAGAGAAACACGTTGGGTGATTACGGCGACGGTACAAGGAGCAAGCAGATGTCACAGCCTGGGAGAGCGATACAAAAGACCAGATGAGAAACGAACATGAGGCATCATACACATAACAGATCATGAACGCCATGGGCGACGACAAATTTCTGGTACACGACCTACAGTAAACATAAAACGTGTAAGAAAGGATGAGCATTCCACCAATGAAGGATTCTACTCACCGAACACTATAGCAGGCCACCAAGCCGCTAATAGCATAGCAACATGTTGTGACCCGAATGCCATAGGCGCGCGGCCTTTTATAACGTCGATGAGGGTGGAGACGGATGCCACGGCGAGTATAACAAAGAATCCCCTGAACAGGCAAAAACAAATAAGTAAGTCATCGCTATCTACCGGATGCAGAAAGAAAACACATACATCTGAAACACTACAAGTTTCAATAAGATGCTGCTGGGACTGTCGTGTCGAGGTGGTTGGGGTGATGGATGTCCCAATCCCAGACCTGATAGTCAAAGGTCCAATGAGCTCAAACGCTCCCAGTGGAATACATGGAGGCACCTACGATCTAAAGCTTTGCCACCGCCACGCCGTTCCCTTGGAGCCTCTGCCATGTCTTCATAATCATCGTAGCCCTCTTTGCTCCTGATGTCTTCTCCTTCGACTGTGAAGTCTCCTTCCTCATCTCCCCCGTGGAATGTACCGCCTCCGCCACTCCCGTTTCTACTTCTCCCAGTGCGACTGCCTGACCAGCCCAGAGTGTCTAGTGTGACGTTATCTTCCTCTTCTACCTCTTTGACGTCCTCCGCTCGGTATCGTCGATCTCGAATCCACTTGGTAGAGCTCTGTGGTGGCGGAGACGATAGCCAATCTGGAGCTCCTCCGTTCACCTTCGCTGCCAACGAATTCTCGATCTCTTCCTGACGCATAGCCACGAGCGCATATTCCGGGGAAAGCTCAAGACTAGGACGGAGAGGAAGGTGAAACCCTCGGCTCGAATCAACATTTTGATCGAACGCCACGGGCGATCGCGTCCCAGATGTCGCCTCTTCGGTTGGAGGCGCGATAGCCTCTCCAGCTCCCTCTTCGCTAAGATCAGAGCCAGGAAATGCAGTCGTAAGAGCTCCAGGATCTGGGAAGGATGGTGAATAAGGGCCACTAGAAACCGAAGGTCCTCCGGACTCTCCGAGAGGAAATCCGGCTGGTCGTGGACGAGAAGGCAATGGAGCTACAGGAGCAAATGTGATGGGTGAAGGTGAGGCTGATCGACGAGAGGATGTATCTCCGTCAGTCGATATGGATAAATTTGGGTGTGAATGAGAAGGCGGCCTAGATGGCGGTGCGAGGGGAACCTCATCACGACCGGGTGTGAGGGTTTGACGATCATGCGAAGAGTTATGGTGCGCTGATAATGTACCAGCCTTCAGCGAAGCTTCTGAATCTTGCTGCAAGCCCGCGTTCGTCGGCCGTGTGCCCATCTTTTGACCGTGTACGTTGATGTTCCGAGTGGCCATGGCGAATCCTGCTTTAGACCGTCGCGAAATCCTTGCTGGAAAGGATGTAAAAGACATTGGTCCACCGTGACTGGACGCCGTGCGGACAGGATCGTGACGGCCGGCATATCTTTGAGCCTTACGGATTTTATGCGCTGTGACAAGGGAAACAATAAATCCAGGTATCCCAAGAAGGAGAGGGACGCCCGCGTAGCCCACTAGACGAGTCCTGCAACAGGCACGACTCAGGGTTAGCCCAAAGTAGACAATACCGAGACAGCTTCGATGTGATGGGATCCATCTTTTCCCAAAGATAGGGAGGTGGCAACGCACCATAATGGATCCGTGGCGTCACACTCAAAATTATCATCACTGAACGTATTCACCGCATCAAATTTGATGATGACGGTAAGGTGGGCGACCAGAGCGGCGACTGGATAGGCGAGAATAAATATTAAGTATACTGGTCTCCAGCGTAGTAGTCTGCGAAGCGTGGTGTGGAGGTTTGTATTGTTAGCAAAGGGTGAGATGCGAGAAGATACATGGTGCGCGGCAAACACGTACGAAAACGAAACATAGGAGCTGGGCTTCGGATTAAAAACGAAAACAGATGTGGCGATAGTAAGTGCGGCGCATACGCCTGTCAGGACACATGCAGCTAGACTCATGATAGCAACCTGAGCGACGCAAAAGCCGTGAGGCATACGAGCAGGGTTCATGCACCAGACCATTCCTACATCGATTACAATTACCGTTACAGTCGTATAAATTCGGATGAGTTACACGGTTGATCGCAGTCGGCGAAGACGAGGTACGAACCTATGCAAAACATGATCTGCATGACGCTTACGGCCACACAGTATAGCAAAGGAGCCCATGTCGATCCTGTCAGCCTCGCAAGCGGCGTGAGGATGGTCCACGACGCGACGATGCCTATTTTTTTTGTGGACATAATTATATGAGTATAATTTCACGGTACGAAAACTGTGCTGTCGGAGATATTGTGGCTGCGAAAAGGCTCACCGAGGATGGACAGGCTGAACCATACGACCTTGAGGGCGAAAGGCATGGTGCCAGCACTCCCGTGAATGCTAAGCCCAGCAGCACCGTGGTCGATGCTATCGCCAGCGTCGAGGGTAGCGCAAGGCCAAGCAGGGCAGACGTTGTCGACGGAGTGAGGTGGGGTGGTGGTCGAGAGGTAGAATGCCGGTGCTTTGCGGTACTTAGAGATATGAGGATCACCGGAAGCACTTGCCTGTGATCCGTGCCTGGCTTCCGATTGGCCGCTGTCAAATTACCCCTACCATAAAAGGCGAAAGTTAAGCGCCCTGACCTTTCCCATCAGTGGCAAACCCGACGGCACGCAACGGCATGCGGGCAAAACAACTCCGTTTATTTGCGGTATAAATCTCAAGAAGAACTTGTCATGGACATCTCCGACTCAAGGTCACCAGGAGGGCAAACAGTGCACACTCATCATGGTTGGTCGGATGTCGCAGTGTCAACGACTTTTACCTGGCCCAGTGCAGAACAGAGTATGTAGCCCCAAAAATGATGCAGCCCAGTGGACAAAGTCGTGTGGCCCCCTTACGAATAAATATCCGGGGAACAACTAGATAGAGTGGCCCATAGAATTCCACTTAGATACAGGTTATGTGGTTTGAACAACGTACTGCATTGAAAAGCAAGCCCTTCAGTCTCGTTGCGATAGGTTTGCCTCAATGATTATGATGCATGGAAGAGGACAATAATGAGGATATCCCCACGTCTGTTCATTCCACCAGAATGCTCCGAAGATGCGCCTCGCGACATTAATTTGTATGGCCACGAATCATTAATTTCTGCTGTTCACGCTACCGCTCTTGAACTTCACCATCCACAGACCTCTACAACTCTCAGGGTATACAAACTGATAAGTTCATGCGTCGTGGACGACGGATGTCCCGCTACATAACAGAAACCAATGATGACATGAATCAGCGGCTCCGAACACACTCGAACGAAGGTGAGTGAACTCACGGATGTAGAACACTTGCGTATCGGGGTCGTCGCATCCTCCTTCTGTCGTGTCTGCGCTCAGAAGACATGTTGACGTCCCATTACCAGTGTACCCGAAGGCGGACGCTGTAGCATTGATTGCACCAAAGAGCCTATCACACAATGGGTAGCGTGTCGAGAATTGAGCGGAAACAAAGTCGAAGGTGAATACAGAGGACATACGTTTGCAGATTCACGAACGCGACATTGGTACCGTTCACGGTATGCGCTTCGCGCAGATACGCAAAAATGCGATTCTGAAGCTCGTCCGTACCCGTATGAGATTTATACATCTACCATCACAAGGGGTATGGGTGTGGCCATTTAGCAGAGTGGCACCAGGGAAGGAACGGCGGTGGCACTTACCCCATGCACAAGAATATTCTGTGCTCCGGAAGCTTGCAGTTCTCCCAATCTATTGACCTACGGCCTTCGTGTAAACTTCAATGAAAAGCCATGCTATTGGGGTGAACCTACATATGTGTTGTAGGCTATATCATAATCTCCGCCACCTGTAAGGCCACATACCAACATACTTAGCGCCACACGACTAGGGTCGTAAATTGTAATTGCAGAACACTCACCTAGCTCAAACTGTCCATCATCGCTGAGACGACACCACAGAGGATGAGCCAGTTTCTTGGTTTGAAAGATCGCAATCGGGCTCACTTTATACCTACAATAGTGCGTTAGACCGAATATCGATGTGAGAGCAGCAGTAACTAACCGAACGCTACAGTGTACAATGTCTGACTAGGCTCCAACGAGTCTAGATACTTGCCCTGCAAGAAGAACAAGCTCGCCTCATCGTTAAAATCCGTTCTAGGCGTGCCATTCTTCATAAGCGGGACGCGAGTGAGTTTAAATCAGACGTGTTTGCCATGATAAGTTACACTGTCACAAATGGCACTTACCACCGCTGGGTTCGTCGTGTTATAGGCAGCGTTGTCGATCACTGCACCTCCCCAGGCATACTGAGGGGGAAAGACCATCCCGAAAATCCAGTGTAACGTGAGTCAAATGGACGGAGATCGACGCAGAAGAATACCCCACGTTCAGAAGCTTCGAGTTGAGCGTATTTGCCAGATCTTCGACCCATATAAACCCATTGCTTGCTCTTCTGTTTTCATTGAACTGTGACCCAGCAGAGGGAAGAGGAGGGTGCATGACCGGGGCAACGGGGACTGTCCCGTTGGCTATATAAATCCGAAATCGCGTCAGAATGAAAGCGGGGGAACAATATGGCCCCTAGCATACCTCCGTTCGATGTCCAGCTATCTCCGAACGCCACAATGGTCCTGCAAAGTTTGTGAAATTGGGTAAGCCATGTCAGAAGGAGTAGGCAGCAGAGAACAGTCAATCGTTACCTCGTAGCATTCAGGTTGATACCTGCATTGATGTCCGTGAAGTTAGTCCCATTGAGAGATCCACAAACAGGCTCAGTCGCCAAAGTCAAAGGAGACGTGACGTTGACTAGGTTAGGCCAATCACCGGCCCACACAGGGCAACACAACAGAGCACCCACAGCCAGCAGCAAAGTATCCATTGTCGCAGAGAGTATAGCGTCAGAGTACTGCAAGATCCAGAGGACAGAGAGCTTTATGAGAGTAGGACTCGGACATGTGCATCGTCAGCTGAAAAAAGTCAACGTGCAGATCTCGGGTCATATCCAAAAATACCTTCGCAAACGTAGTTAAACAGTCAGTTATGAGAGGAAGGGGGACCAGATGGGGAGGAGTCGTGGATGACCATGATCACAATGGTCGACGAGATCTTTTCCAGCGACGGAACGAACCTGAAGACGGGCCACTCGCGTGCCGGTCGCTCCGCTCCCAGAACCTCGTGCATCGCGTGTATTCCGTGTATTCATACTCTGTGAGATGTTTTCGTTCAAGAATCAATATAACATAGCAGCATCTTTGATATATTCTAGATGAGTCCAAACCGTCCTATGACTGTGATATCTTGATCACTCCTGCGCCTGGTTGATTTCAATTCCTTCCCTAACATCGACGCCAGCGCCCTTTTCGATCGCTCCCACAACATTACCCACAACACCGGCTCTCTTGAGCTCGACTGTATCGCTCTCACCACTCTCTTGCCTAGGCGGTGGTGAGGATGGCGCGTCGGGCATAATCTGCTGGAAGGTCATCTGGACGTCAATTATGTCTGAGCCGAGACCTATGGCAAAGTCGCAGTCGGATTTTGCGAAGGTGAGAGTAACGGGGTCGGGCTGGGCGGAAGGATCGGTAGGTAGAGGAGGGAGGAGGAATGCAGGAATGATCCAAAGCCATGTCATGAAGACCTGAACGAACGGGTGGATGGTCAGATGGCGATAAGGAACGACGCAGAAGGATTCACTTACTTTGCCCATGTACAGCTTGAAGCGGACTTCTCTGTTCGAATCGAGCACGACGCCACTGCTTCCAGCACGAAGTGTCTGCGTGATAATCTTGTTGTCTCTCGTCTACAATTTGTTAATCAGATTGGAAGGAAACGGAGATGGGGAGGAGTCATGGAGGGAGAGACTGACCTCCGATGCAGCCACAGGTCCTAACTTCGCGAAGCTACGAACCATTTTCTTCTTATCCCATTTATCATCTTTGAATAGATCCTTGATTCCCTCCTGCAACTTTGCCGGCGTCTCCTCAACCTCATCACTCTTCAGAGTTGGCATCTCATCGCCCCCTTTCCTCCTCCGCCCCATTCCACCGACTCCAGCCTCGCGACTCCACCGCTCCCACTTCTCAAGCACATCGACGAACTCATCATCATACCTCGCCAAGCTGCACCAGAGATCAGACATATCGGTACCCCCCTCGCCGGCAACACTGCCCTTGACCTTCTTGGGGGCGAGGCGATCAAGGAGTTGACTAGCAGCCTTGACCACGCTGACCTTCATACCTCGGTCTTCCTTCAGTCGAACTTTCATTTCGAGGAGACGTACTCGCGGACGTATGGGCTCTTGGTCGTGATAGGGAGATGTCGGAGGGTGGGGTAGAGGTGGCCAGAAGTATTGAGGTCCTTCATCTGCGAGAAGCATGGACCAGAATAGAAGCCACCTTCGCTGAGAAGGGATAGACACTCCCTGTTTTGGCTTTTTCGGCGCCTTCTTCTTCTCGTCGTCAGAAGAGGATGAGGATGATGAGGATGATGAAGACGAGGAGGAAGACGATTCAGATTCTCTCCGCATGCGCCTTGAGGTATGAAGATTGAGTACGGATGACAGAGTCGACTGTTTTGAGGCCGCCTTCGACTTGGAAACAAGCGTGGGGGAGTTATTGCCGGTGGTCTCAGGAGACTCGACGACCCTGACAGCCTTTTCCTGTGCCGGGTAATCGTCTTGTGCATGATCCTCGACCTTGATCCCTTCATTCTTGACCGTATCCAATGACTCCTTCTGGACCGTCTGCTCCGATTTCGTCAACTTCTTATCAACTTCCGCCAAACCAGTCGGTCCATGTATACCACTTGTCGACTCCATAGTTGATTCGCCATCCTCGCCGTCCGTATCTGGGGCAGTTTCTGGTTCGTCCATCCCATCGTCAGAGGGCATCTCGTCCATGAGTGTCTCTGCTCTTGCCAAAGCATTCTCCTTCTTCTCTACGTCGCCAAGACTCTCTTCGTTACTGGCCGACGTCGTCGGCGTGGTGTTCTCGTCTACAGGAGGAGCCGAGGTCTCTGATGCTGCCGTACCGGAGGTTTGGGCTGGCGAAAGAGTTCTAGACATTTTCTTCCATTGTTTTTTGTTGTAGCTGCGTGGAAGACTGGGTGCGCTTGGCTCGGCGTCGAGTGTCAGAAGGTAGGAGCAAGCAAGGGTACCAGAGCGTCCTTTCCCGGCTATTGAATCCGTAGTTAGTAGGTATCACATGTGGTGTAAAGAGGCAAGTTGAGAGCGTATGTACCTTTGCAATGTAGCACAGCCACTCTTTCCGGCGAGCCTTCGAGCCAGACACGCATCTCTCGTGCGGCGAGAGCGAGGATTGCCAATGGTGGTGCACTACAATGCTGAGGTTAGCGTTGAGGCTGAAGAGAGTATAGAACACTCAAGAGAACGAGGACTACGCCGAAAGAAAGGATTACACGTGGACTTTCTACGAAAAGGCAAAAGTAGCATGGTATGGGCTTCCCGCATGACTAACCGGATGAAGGGAAATATCATTCCTCGTGTTTGTGATGATCTATTTCTGGTGCTCGAGACGGACAAACAGATGGCTATCCTCGACCAGTCATACGACATTAGGGACCCCACGATATACTGAGCATACGACAGATATGACGCCCCTCATCAAGCAATCGACTTGTGCACCTTCATTGGTACTTGTTCGACAATCGTCTGCGCGTTTGCGCATGAGACCACGGCCAAGCAGAGTGCGCCACACATGTTGTGCCGGTAGGGTATAGGGTGCAGAGAAGAACGATACTACTCACTGATGATCTGGGAATGGATACCTGCTCACTCGCCCATCGAAGACGTCCGCATCGTATGAGTTCTCGCGAGCAGGGCAGAAGTTGAAGACCCAAAAGTTCTTCCCGTGTCGATGTTCGAGGAATTTCTTCGCGTCTTCTCGGCGATTGCGATACAGGCCCTCCAGCCCAACCGCAGGGTAGCCCATAACAATCACCTGGTCAGTGATGTAAACCAAGTCTGTGTATTCGAAGGACAGGAAGAGGGTCAGTATTTCCCTGATGATGAAGGAATCTTCTGGGTTGAAACACAGACCAAGTTCCAGTTTGAGGTCGTCATCCTTGAACCGTGCTTTGTTTCCAGAGACGAGGCGGCGTACGAAGTCTGTCATGTCTGTAGAAATTATTCTGGCTCAGTGTCGTGGGGGATATCAAGCTTGTAAAGTCGGGCAGCTCCAAGATCGGCATCATGGTTGTCGTCCAAACCCATCCTTGCCCTACCGACTATCGATGACGTCACACGCCAAATCCGGCGAGCTATTCTTCCCCTATCGGGAGCGGCAAATTCCGATAAAAGTCGTCAAGTTCAACTTCTTAGTCGGAAGCTGCATTGACCAAGATTTTGCTTTTTTGTGATGAACCTTCGACCCTACCCCAGGTGCCTTCATCGTTTCAAATATCCGAAGCTCCGCTAGAGGTCTTCAAGGTTTAAATTTCCCAGGATTCCGCGCTAGTAGGGAATTGATACAACGAGTCGTTCTTCATCACCCTTATAAGTAGTATGGATTCTCTCAGACTTAAATCTCCTTGTGCGTAGCATCGAGCGGATCGTAAGGAATGGGGGTCCAGTTGCGTCAGACAATCAACGTCTTCCTCCTCGACGCTCGTCCATTGTCTCGAGTAGCCCAGCTTCATATCACAATGGACACTTCCCTTCTATATTTTACGCTCCCTGTTGATACCTTGTTAGTTGGTCGCACCTGGGACCGATAAATAATAAAATGGCGTGTATCATTCCTGCCGACACATTGCGGATATGCGTAGAAAAATTTCGAAGATCGTAATATGGAGAATCCTAGGTCGATGAGTTGAAGGAGTCACGGCCAACACAAAGAACGGGATGCCGGTCGGCGTCGGGCGGCATCGACAGACACAGACCATATGGACTCAGTTTACATGAAGATAGAAGTTAACGCGCAACTGGGTACCTCGGGGCTATGCCGCTTTTCCTTGCATACGAGGCTTCAAGGTTGGTGGCCAGCGAACGATAAGTACAGGGCCGCTGGATAAAATACACGGTGAAAGTGCGTCACGACTCATCGAGAAGTTCGAAAGTTCCTTACAACCGGGTGATCCCAAGATGTAGAAATAGGTCGGAAACGCCGCTGATGCTCGCACAATTGACGCCCCCGAAAGGGAATAACGTACTACTATACTAGCATAAGATGTCAAGGGAGGCGCACTATCAAAAAAAAATCGGTCATCGCAACGGCATATTTCGGCAGGTACATATTCAAGGAACGCTGGCAGCGGGACAACCTAAGGACATAGAGTTTGATGATAGGAGGAACGGATTTTCACCCCGAGTTCAAGAGGAAGGTAGAAAGACAGAGAGATAACCACTGGGGCCTCACTGACGGTGGCCACTCTATATTGCAGGAGTAAGGTGCGTGGCAGTAAGTAGTAAGACATAGATGCGAACTTGGGTGGTGAAAAAGAGACTGGCTCATGAGACCAGGTTTATCAACTTCAGGAAGTGGCTTCCTCAGGCGTAACGCCGGGTCAATGGAGGGTGTTTGACACTTCCGGTAACTTGCCTGAAGCCCTTCGCTAAGGACGAAACCACGTTAAACTTGTGGCAGTTGCCGTAGATCCGTGCTCAGCGGTGAAGTGAACTTGAGCAGATGATCAACAATAGTGAGACTTTGTAAGACGCGGAGAATGTATATCTGCGTTACACATGCGATAGGGTTGCACAAGCGTGCTAAGCCGCCATATTTGTGTTACCTGATTCTTTTCCTTGTCGAGTCTGATAATTAGTCGCGATTAGGGCCGACCAATGGAGAAACAAAAAAAGACTAATAAAACACCGAGACCTGAACGAGAGACGGGACTCTCATCTCTTCAGAGGTATAGGGTATGCATGGACGACCCAGAGGCGAAACGAAGCACTTCCTTGGTGACGAGACCATACCTCCCTATCGAAAAATAGAACAAGGCAACAAGACATCACGGCAATTCCGAAGGTCGTGATGCTGCAGGGTCGACGGCCATACTGCTGAATTCTTTGACGCTGAGAGAATTAAACTGTCGCGAATGTTTTGCGGCCTGTAGAGGAAAGGGACAAGAAGGTCAGTACACTGCTTCGAGGTACCCAACCGTTTAATCAAAGTGAGACGTTTGACGTACAAAGAATACGACGTCAAGCGTCAAACATCAGCCTATAACACGATATTAGTGTAGGGTTGAGAAGAACCTGACTATCAGCACTACATACGACTCGAAAGACTGAGATAGGCGGAGGATTGCCCCCATATTGAGGACAAGGACCCACGGTGGCGGCAGGACGTGTCTATAGTAAGAACGAAAAAATTAGATGGTTACGAGGGGATAACGCACAAACTGAAAGCGTAGGGTGCTGTAGGTGGTCCCACAAATTAGAAGTCGTCATGACAAGCGCCGGCGTTTTCCATCCAGAAAACTAAGCGGCGGGGAAGGTCGATACTCGGGTACCTTATGAGCCAGCGTTGTAATACTGACGAAGCCTGCGAGAGACACGGATTACTGCCCTACACTTCGTGGACAAGTGCAGTAGCCTCCTTTCATCGCTGTGGAGTACAAAGCCAAGCAGTGGCTCCAGTTAAGCCTAGACAGGGACTACTGAAGGACGGAACAAATAAGCTTACATTTATCGCGAGAGTCGGGGCTGACCTAGAGCTCAAACTCAAGCTCACCATCATGGGCCCCATAGCCCTGGAAGTGGTATCAATGCGCAGGGCAGCTCGCCAATGTCGAGGTACACCCCTAAACAAAGCGGATGTCCGAGCTCAGGGCTGGCATGCGGGGGTTTAGATGTCGCTGAAACAAGTTCGGTGACGACATGAAGACGCGCTCTATAACAAATAAAGCAGAGCTTGTCAATCGTGATCGGCCAATGTTTCGGCCAGAACTATCGAGGTGAAGTGCACTCACAGAACAGTGAGCGCTAACCGTGCACTGTGCAGTGCTTGCGGTGCAATACGTTTCATGGCTCAGGCGGTGGCCCAATGGAGAAAGTGCTGGGCAAAGCGCTCAAAGCCTTCTGAACGAGATACCCGATCCGCTGCGATGATGATGGTGTTTCGCGAAAGCCGACGAGGAAGCGGCTGGGACACTCTGAATCGTGAAGAGCAAAGCGCAGCGGTAGTGGTCGGGTGGTGATCTGTTCTTCGTTGACACGCCGGAACTTGGCCTGCGACGATCCGAGTCCACCTGATGGTGTCAAGGCCGACGCAGAAGAATTTGAGCGACATAGGAAGAGGAGATCGAAAAGAGGGCTTCATAATGCCAAAGCGAGTGGCTTTGTAGCCCAGAATAAACTGACCACTTCTGCTGACGTTAAATCGACCTGCAAAACATCAAAGCGAATGTGTCAACACCCGCAACGTTTTGAGGAAATTGATTGAGACCGACTTCCAGAGAACGTATCAAGACTTGGCGTCGTAAAACCCTCGGCGCGCTGAAAGCGCAAAAATATCGTAGCTCCCGTCCACGCATCTGTAGACCATTCCTCGCACGTCGTCGGAGTCTCCTCCATCCGAGGTATATATTTAAACTTCATCATCTATAGGCGTTCCATCACCTCAAAGCTGGAACGACGAAGATTGACCAGGGTTGCCAGGCCGGTACCATTCCATGAGTGTTCGCGAGCAGGTAAGTATAGCATGGACGAAACAATCTGAATGAATGATGCATGGATGGTGTAAGTATGAATGAGCGAGGGCTGAGAAGCGAAGAGATATAAACTGACCAATGACCTACTTCGCGATACAAACTGTGGGAGAGAGTAGGCATGGGTCTGTGACTCAAGAAAAGATTCGTTCCTTACGCGGCTTCGAACGCAATGAAGACTAGGTCGTGCGCCGCGGATGAGCAGAGAGCTATTTCCGATGAGACTGGACTTCTGAACGAGGCGTAAAGCTCCGGTGTCAATCGCATAGCAGTGTGTTTTCTGAGGGAGGCCAAAGTTCCGAGACGGGGTGATTTTGTTGTGGTTCAGTGTGAGAGGTACTACTCTGATCACTTGCACCAGCCATGGGCCCGGAGTTAAAATCCGTGAACAAATGATTATGAGAGAAGTCAAGGAATAGTCACGATATGAAGAGTAAAGGCTTACCTCCATTGGGAATCCCTTCCACCGCAGAATTGGATTACCAGGACCAACACGCCGTTCGAACAAGGTACAAATATAGGCATACCCTGCTCCCGCACAGACTCCAGGAAAACGTCCGCAGGCCGAAATCCATATGTTCACGGGGAATTCTATAATGCGTCACCCACCAAGTTTATGTACGTTCTACTTCCGCAAGGTATATGCCCCCACAACCGCTACAAGTTCTGAGAAGACCGGGGGCCGCTTTTAGTCTGCATCGTCGCAGCCAGAGTGACCGGCCAAATTATTCTTTCGAATTCCAGACAGAGCCCTGCGCGTAGAGTGTGCACGTTGTTTTCGACCGCACACCATCCGACAAGTCGTGGACAAGCCGCCTCCGACGGACGCCTCAGACCGTTGCAAGGCCGTACTTACGGCCTCCGAACCATATGGACCAGCCTATATCTCAGTCGAAAGAAAGAGAACACTCCAGGAGAAAAAAGGAACACTCCTCCCAAGCAAAAAAAGAACAGCCGAACGGGGATCCAAGACGAGTAGCACTGCTCAGTTCAACGAGTGTTACCAACTCATCCACCTCCCTCGGACTCCCGTGACAAGCAATCCATCACGGACCACTCACCGTCATCCGTCATCTCGTCCAACATCGTCAATCACATTCCCTTTCTGGGTCCATATCTCTCCGTTCCATCATCACGCGACAATCACCTTCCGATGGATGCAACTTGGTGGGCACGTAAGTAGTAAGAACGACGTGTAATGCACTCCACTTTGACCTGCGTACTTGTCGGTGGTCTGATAAGTACACAAGTAGTGACAAGGCTGCCGATGGAAGTTAAGTTATAAGTACTAGCCCGCCCTGGCAGCCTGACGACGGCCCGCCAACTTCGCGAACATGATGGCCGCTGCCTGCAATCCCCGTTTGGCTAAGCCACCATACTTCTGCACTAATCGGCATTAAACCAAATTAGAGCAACAATGACTTCAAGAACAAGCGCCACAGAACCGGCGGCGTGCACGGTCCACTCGACACGGAGGCGAATAAGGACACCAAAAGCGTAATCAAGCCAATCCGACAGGCCGAACTGATGCATCAGCAACGGATTCTTCGCGATGAGGTCATCCCACCCACTGGCAATTCGGCGCCAGGACTCTCAAGCAGAAGCCGTTGCGCCCAGCGAGCGCGAGCGACTATCACCAGAAAGACAGATGAACCTCGAGATACTGAGAAACCGGACGCAATAAATAGGTCGTCTCGAGTGCTCGATGCAGTGACCGAGTGTGGTGTCAGCAGCGACGGCAACGGTCCTCGTTTACAAAGCCGTGGCGTGTCAATGTGGCGGCGGCCAGCCACCAACAATCCAACACCGACGGGCCTCACGCCTCATGATCGCCGTCAGTCCTCGAAGGGTCCTACTAAGCCCGATGCACCATGCTTTGATTCGACGACCGATGAATTATGCCCGATTCAGGTCCTTTTTCATCTCGCATCTCGGATGTCCGAAGAGTGGACTTAGTCAAGAGCAGTCAATATAACACATAATATCAGACACTGCTCTTTGACTCTGGAGATGGAGAGGCCGGTGATTAAAATTCGAAGAGGGGATTGTCGTTCTCGAGACGGCAGTCTGCTTCGCCACTGGGATGCAATGATGCCGTACGTGACCCGAAGAGGTTGAGAGGACTGATCCATGGCGAAGTACGCGGATGTGTGTGCATAGCCTTCTGGTAGTGGCCCAAAATCTGATAGCTCCAGGCCGTGGAGAACAGAACTTGGAGTCGAAGAAGCAGTGGTGTGGACGCATGGAGGAAGGGGTAGGAGAGCGTCTGACTGGTATACTTAGGCGTCGGCAAGACCTGTGGGTCAAAATCTCAGAGTCAGCGTCGAGCGTCATTGAACTAAGACCAGCAGCCGAGAGAGGAAGAAGGAACGAAGACATCAGAAAGAGACAAAACGGAGGAACAAAGAACGAAGATGCCTACGAGCGTCCTCGGCTACATCCGACTCATGATCATAAGTAACTTGGACCCACAGTTCATGCGCATGCCCCTCCAATCCTCCGTGCTCACTCACCCAACCCGTGACCCAAACGCCGACATACACAAATCGACTGACCAGTGACGTTTTATATCCGAACCGAGAGACACAGCACAAAACAACGAGTTCGTCAGTATCCGAGCGAGGACTGGGCCATAACAAGCACCGTAACAGGTTTTATTACATTACCTGCATCCTCCGGCCTCTTAGTCAGCTTCGTGGCTCCCGCGACGCGCACTGGTGAGCAAAGTAAAAACACAACGATCACGATGCGTGCGGCGTCTCTGGAACAGGACCCTGAAAGGAGTATGTGTGGGTCGAAAAACAACGTGAAGATGGGTTGTTGCTGGCTCGTTTCACACGCTGGTCATTGTGGCACCCGGACGGAAGTGGTTCCACTGGGTCGATTCGAATGTTCCTTCCTCGAAAAGAGCGCGTGTGGTGTTTAGTGGCGCGGCACGCTGAGTGTCATATGTCGAGAGTCGAGCAAAGAGGACGGAGGTAAGTAGAGCTCGGTGTTTGAGACTGAAATCTTCAGTAAGACAAGTTGGCAAGCAGCACGTGATTTCCCGTCTCAACCCGCGAGTAAATATAACTTGGAAGGAAAAATATGGCTCGGAATGGTGTGGCGGAGGAACGTGGTCACCGTAAACATAGTAGAAGGAGTATAAAATACCTGGATGCTCGGAATCGATGAGACAAACCTGATGTTGGCTAGAAAAAACGAAATAGAAAGGGTGAGGTGACTTGGGTGCTTATTGAACATACTGCCTAGTAAGATCTCTCCAATGGATCAGAGGAAAGAAAAGGCGTGATGTGTGGGTCAAGATGGACGGAGTGACAGCACGGCCACACAGAGAAGGTCCGACCAGTCGGAATCGGACCTCGCATGCTATGGTTGAGTCGGGAGCACCTAAAAACGAGCGACAGGCCTGTAAGTCAGACAAAGACGGATTACGAGTGTTCGTATGGCAGGACAGTCGTTTACCGGCCGCAAAGTTTTCTGCTAGGAAAAAGTACAGGGAAAGGTCATGGAACAGACTATCCATCGACTTTTCTGGCGACGGAATTTTTAGGCGACTCGGAAAGGCTTCCTTCCAGATACGGGGGTGAGCGTCGAAAGTGTTCCGTTTGAAGGCCGGACGGATGGAAGAAAGGAGAAGGAGGGCTTTTCTCGGGAGATGACCGTTCTTTCCCATTCGCCATCTTTATGCTCCGATATGGCAAAGAGAAAGAAACGGAATTGTCCGTGGTGTACGACTTTCCTTCTGGTAGCAAACAGTCTTTTTTGAGACACCTTTTTGATCGGCAGAGTGGCAGAGCGGGATCACGCGTATCCACGAGGGCGAGCGGCGAGGCTATGAGATGTAAGGATGTTTTTGAGTACCAGCGTCGGTGTACGCGTAAGTTTTTAGGAGTGCATATTGAAGGAACTCACAAGGTACTGTACTAAGGAATGATTAGAGGATAACGTGACCAGTCCCCTTGTGAGGAGGTCGGGTAGCATCCACTATGAAGTGACACACATATGAACGAATTTAGTCGGAGATGAGCAGTAGCTTCTGGCGAAGAAAATGCTCAAGATAGCCTGATGAAAAGCGCGTGAGCCAGAAGTCAACGTCACAGTGCTTGTGGGAACCAGTGGGATGGGAGACGATGATAGACAAGGACGACGACGACGATGAGCAGAGGTGTCAGCGTCGGACTCGAGACAAGTGGCGTAGCGTGTCTAGTGCGGACGGCAACACCAGGTTAGCATGGCGCGGTTGAGGTAGGCTCTGCGGGTATCAGAACACGAGGAGGAAGCGAGCATGCCAAAGGGAGAAGTCGCCGAGGAGCGGGAACAGGGCGGACGGAGGATTTGATTCCGAGCTCTGCGGGGATAAGTGGATCTGAGATCCGCAGATCTGAATGGAGCCGTCTTCGTCGGCTTGCTGCATTCGACGCTGTCCTCGCTCGACTCGCATCCAGTATATATACTCAGCCATGGCTCAGCGTCTCCCACTCCGCACATCGTACCCTCCTCGCAATCAACCACCATGAACTCCCTCGCATGGAACAGTCTCCCCCACGAGATGCAGCTCGCCGTCCTCGACGCCTTCCCTCCCGCTGCTCTCAACGCATTTTCCAGGACGTGCAAATCGGCACACGCCTTTGCCGTCCCTGCAATGTTCAGCGTAAGCTTTTCTTTGCTAAGCATCTGTTTCTTGCTCTTATTCAGCCTCGATTTCTTCCATAAGCAGTCCGTCACGCTTCCATCCTTCTCCGCCCTCGTCCAGTTCCTCGATAACGTACCGGAGGCTTACTGGTCCCACATCCGTGCCCTCGACATCTCTACCAAGTTCGAGTCGGCAATACCACCATCTGCGGGCGCTACCCCACGCACAGACGCCCTCGTCCGCCTCCTATCCAGGTCTCTTCGACTAGAGCGCCTTACCCTCCGTCTATCAGGGGGTCTCGCATCACATGTGATCCACTGTTTTCCCCACCTTCGCAGTCTCCGTCACCTTGAGATAGAGAACTGCGATGATGAGGAGGTCTCTCCCTTGTACGTTCCTATCTGTAATGTTTCACCTTTCATTCTTATCAATAGTTGTCCAGGAGTGAAGACATTATCGTCTCTATTGCGTCCTCCATCCCCGCACTCTCCACCCTCCGACTCACTCGTATCACCCGTTCCGTCCAGCACGCACCGGACCTCTATCCCTGTCCCCGCTCCCGCTCTTCCTCACTCACAACTTCCTCCTACATCGCATCCGTACCCCTCGTCGCCACCAACTTCGGCTCCTTATCCGAAACAACATCCCTCCCATACCTCCTCTCCATCCCAACCCTCAAACACCTCTCTATCCGAAACACCCACCTCGGCGACCCCACCTGGTCATCTCCCTTCCTCCCCATCACCTGCTCGCTCGAATCGCTCGAGCTCGGCGCCCACCCTGACGTCTCACCTTCTCAGAACAGCACCTTCACACACTCCATCCTCCGCCGCCTCTCCATCTCACCCTCTGCTCCCTCACTCCGGCATATCACCTTCCACGCCGGCCTCGATAACTCGAACGACAACTCGGCCATCACCCTCCCCTCGCTCTCATCCGTACATTTCACGCCCCTCGTCATACCGGAGACGATCCAGCCGTCGTTAGACGCGTTCGCGACGTCGCCACTGTCGAAGATCACGCTCGAGTGCTTGAAAGACGACCTCATTGATATGTGCGAAGAACTCACTCGATATGTTGAGTCGCTGAAGGATAGGGAGGTGACGTCCTGTTTGATGGTCGTTGCGGTCAAAGTCGTCAAATCGCTCGAGGGCGATGTATTGGCTAGAGAGATTGAGGCGGATGAGGGGCTCGATGAGGATACGAGGGAGGCTGTGGACGGGCTGGTTGCGGCGTGTGTGGACGTTAGTATCATCAGCTCCGTGGATGGAATCTAAGTCTCTTCATCGCCTTACTCTCGCCACATCTCCATTCACTTTACATACCTCACTCTCTCTTTCTCTCACACACGATACCACCTCTCAGCTGACATAGCAGCCCACCACTCTGAAATGTATTACTATCCTCCTGATCCGCCTTCGTGCAACGCATCCGCCACCCACGCAAACTACCTACCCAGATATCCCACCCTATGTTTCAAAAGTTGCCAGTATGATCATCATTATGTTCCAGTACTGTACAGCTGTATTTCAGTGTGTACTTGGTGTCTATGATCAAGCGTTATGGACTACGATGATCGCTTAGCGCGCTGTTTGGTATTCCAGGCTAGCCTTCGACAATCACTAGTACTCGACGCGGGTCTTTGCTTCAGGAGTTCTCAAAAATTGGCCACACGGCGCCACACTTCGACGAACTTCCTTACGCCACACCGAAAATTACGAAACGAGGTTCGCGCAACCCTGCCAAGTCCGTATCTGCATTCCTTTCCAAAGTTGGGAATCAGCTTACAATCGACCGCCCAGGTCTGACCAAACAGTCATTCACCGGCCAAGGAGGACAAGAGAGGTCCCCATGTACAAAAACAAACTTGTAGCTGAGCACATACGCCACAGAGGCCTGGGCCACACTGCTCTCCGAAGACGAACTCATGCACGGTCGAGCTCACTTCTTCGCTGTTTTCTAGATGAGCTATTCATCGTGCAGGTATGTATTAGCCTGTCGCCCAGACTGTAACGTTCTCGGCCAATGAACGTAGGGAGGCGCAAGGGGGTTGTCCAAGCACGTCCAGGGTCATTCAAACCTGGCCAGGCCAGCAGAAACACAAAACAAAGAGTTTCAGTTAAGCTCGTGTTCAGCCCCGCAACATGGCGCGAACATGTCCTCCGTTCGTCACCCAAAGTTTAAGTCGCAGCTCCGATGGGCACGGTCGTAAACACGCTACAGTATAGGCTAGGTTCTAAGCACAACGGAGCTCGAGATGGGTATATGCGTATCGGAGAGAAAACGAGGCTGTAAGATTTGTGTCTAAGCAGAACCGCAGGAATACTAGTACTAGTACACCGCGAAAAGCGAAGAGACAAATGAAAATACAGCCCGAGATAAACCAGCGTCCGTCAAATCTAAGAAAGCGTCCGAAGCCCAGGAAGCAAAGTCTAGGAAGTCCATGGAGAGAACCAGCGCTCAGCTCCCGCTCAAGCAGCAGCAGGACGCAACGGCGCTGTCGAGTCCAAGCTGGCAAGACTGTATCTAGAGGCCGTGTCCGCGACCGACGCGGTCTCGTCACGTCTGAGACGCAGGGCATCAGAATGAGAATACTCTTTCACCGGCTTCTCTATTCGAACATCTTCCTTCTCGTCAATCAAACCTTCGTCCTCGCCGGCCCCAGTCTGCTTCCCTACCCGCATTACAGCAGCTCGACGTGTTCCGGATTCGACAGCATCGTCATCATCGGCGTTGAAACGGTCGATGCGCCCGCCTTCGCTACCAGGCCCCGGTCCGTTCTCTTCGTCGACATTGACAATGCCAGTGATGGGCCGCTGGAGTACAAACGGAGTGTTGCCTACCGCTTCGGGCGAGTCTTTGTCTAGTTTTAGCCTTGGGGTGGTGAGATCAGGAAGGGTGTGCAAGTCTGGGAGGAGACGACGGGTGGTCAAGACGAGTATCAGATTGACGAGACCTGTATGTGCGTTCGTGTGTGATGTGATGACGTAGGTTGCGACACACACGACACCCATGGTAGACATGGGACATGGGACAGGGGACGGGGGACAAAGAGGTGATCTCGGTCAGTCAGCTTTTCCGTCATGTACAATGGCCAGTGACATCGATGACGGAGAGGAAGATACGCACCGCTGAGATTGAAGATGAAGTCAGCGAGAAAGGTGATGGATGGGGGAACGCTCGATCCCGCAAAGGAGATGAAACGCGCGAGGGTGATGGGAACGATGAGGATCGTGTACGCCACCTAAATATAGAGCGACCATTGTCAGGACAGGAGTAGACAGCCAGTCGACGGCGAGGACGGAGCAGAAGGTCGTCCTTTCCCAAACAGAAGTGAAGGAAAGAACAAAGATAGACGCACGGGATGCCTATGTCACCCGCGCCCACCATTCGCACATCATAATCACGATTTCATACCGGAAAGATTAAAGAAGTCGAAAGATTATCAGAAGATGGAGAGACGGGCAATGCGTGGGTAGAGCACTCACCACACCATGGAAGCGGCTAGCTTTCGCATCGCAGTATCCAACATATCTCGTTGAACAGAGAGTTGCCAACTCTGATGAGATGGGACCCATCGAAGAGTCCAGACACCTTTGTTGTCGCGAATCAGGTTACCACGGACACGCAGGAGGATGCAGGTGTAGAGGATGAAGCTGAAGAACGCTGCGAGCCATTCCTTGGTGAGACAACCCACGGTCAGAGCTTCGTTCGCGTATACGAAGTGGACGGAAACTTACGAAGAAGTACTCCAAGTATGTCTGTTCAGCGGGGTATGCGTCGGTTATCCAGCACCTGAACGACGTATGAAGTCAGATCCGAGGCGTATTGTCGGAGTTTAAGCAGACAGACACGAACCAGTAACCTGATATCCCAAAGTAAGGCCCTTTCTCGGGAGTCTGTATCGCAAGGGGTCCAATGATGATGATGAACATGACAGCCGTCCATCCGATGGCAATAGTCAACCACTGGCCAAGCGCCGTCATCTTTCTACGCAGGAACAACAAGTTGAAGGTGTGCAAAGCGATCATGAAGGACCTAGCGTGCACATGCCCATCATCAGAACACAGAGCAATCCCTGAACAATAACACGACGCACCATAATGCTGCTGCCACATTCCCCATCTGCTTTATCCCCCCCTGCACGCTACACAGATCTCCGGCATAGACAGCGCCTTTTATGACCCATTGTGCATTCATGAGTGTGCCAATGGCCTGGAGCAAGTTTGCCAACAGTAATGAGTTGAAGTAAGCCACGAAATGTGTCCGCTTGTGTTCGGTTTGAATTCGTCCCAGTACTTGCAGCTATAGCCACCCGACGAGCTCGAAGTCAAAAAGAAGTCTCCACGCGCGACAGAAATAGCTCACCACGACAAGAAGGATGACGGAGAAAGCAGATATGAAACTGGCGGCCACTACGGTCTATGTCGAATGAAAAAGCTGAGTGAGTAGAGATTGCTTCAAAAGTCGTGGAAACGTCCTACAGTCACAAAGCCAGTGGCAAGTGCATCAAACGGATAGCCAGACATGAGATGCGAGTCGATGAGAATATTTGACGAAGAGTCGCCTCCTGGGCCACCGCTGGAGCCTATCGATGCATTGCCATTCTCGCGCGAAAGCGTAGCACCCATGAAAAGAAATGTTTAGTTGAGCAGAATGAGGACCCTCAGAAAAGCGAACGAAGATTGAAGGAGCGAAAGGGCGTAGACGGGAGACTCGCCCCCAGTCCCAAGGAAAGAAAATACGCTCAGCGTAGGGGTCAGGGACGGAGAGAACGAAGCGAATCCTCCTGGTATATAAGGCCTGTTCCAATTACATCACTTCGAACCAGCACGGAGGATATGAGCGAGGGAGTTGGGACAGAATCTCTAGATAGGGCCTTGCGTGAGAAGTGCCTATGCCAAAAAAGCTAGAAGGGCCCGTTGCCAGTGCGTCTGATGTTCATGCAGAACTGGCCGATGAGAGTCCTTATCGAACAATGAACCAATAACTGACGGATATAGAACAAGAACAAAGGCAGTGCTTGATACACCTTGGGCAAGGAGCACCAACGGTTCGGTATCCTACGGTATCATTTCGGTCACCACGGGCCAGAAAAGCTGTAGATACTTACGATGACCAGCTGCATTCAAGGAGCCGGCAGGGGACGAGTTCCTTGCAACACATGAGTCATCCACAAGATATAGAAAGAAATACAGCGAGGAAGAAGAGACGAACCGTGAAGGAGCGTCATACTGTGACCTGTACCCGGCGCGTCCGGCGCGTCCGGCGACGCCTGGAGGCATCCAGCACTGCCTGGAGGCAGACGAGTTATGCCTTCAGGCAAATTCGAATACAGACGAGTTGTGCCTCCAGGCAGGATCCAACACATACGAGTTGTGCCTCCAGGCATGTTCGTACGACACGCTAATTGCCTGGAGACACAACTCGCATGTGCTCGGAATCACCTGGAGGCACAACTTGTGTGCTTGAATATGCCTGGAGGCGCAACTCGTATGCGTTCGGATTCTCTCCAGGCAAAAACATTCCAGGTTGGTTCCCGCGGGGTAGGGGGTGAATAGGGGGTGAGCAGGTAGGTGGTCTGCAGGCTGTAAATGGGCAAAAATAGGGCTATGGGGTCTGTGAGCAGGGTGGACTGAACGGTGAACCAGGAGAGAATGATAGGCAATAAAATTGCGGGAAAATGGTAGAATAATAATACATATATGCCTGTGCACCCTTGGGGTACTAGCCTGGGTACCAATAGGGGAAACAGGGTGATATGGGAGTATTTTTGTAACTTTGC